TCATGAAGCACCAGCGCGCGGAGCTGGCGGAGCGGGAGCGCGCCGCGGGCAAGATGCAGCGCCTCTTCCAGAAGCGCCAGGCGGAGCACGAGAAACGCCGCCGCGAGAAGGAGTCGCGCCTCGCGGAGCAGCGGCGCCTCGAGGCGGAGCTCGGCGCGTCCGAGCAGCAAAAGTACTACCACGCGGACCTGAAGCACGCCCTCGTGCGCCGCCAGGAGGGCGAGCTCGCCTTCGTGCGCCGCCGCCACGAGACCGAGCTCCAGGACTCGGCCATGAAGCTCGCGCACGTCTCCAAGACGCTCGAGGCGCACGCTATACTCGAGGCCGACGTCGCGGGCGACGTCGCGGCGGCCGAGGCGGCGGCGGCGGAGGTCGCGGAGGACGCCGCGGCGGCGATGCGGGCGAGGATCGCGGCCGTCGCCGCGGGCGCGGCGGCGACGCCCGCGGGGGCCTTCGGCGCGGTCGTGTCCGCGCGGCCGGAGGCGGCGGCGGCGCCCGGCGACCGCGGCGCGGCCCAGGCGCCGCCGGCGCGCGCGCCGCCGCGGCCCGCCTCCGCGCCGCCGCCGCGGCGCGGCGACCGCGTCGCGGCGCTCGGCGCCGCCGGCGCGGCGACCGTCGGCCGCCCGGGAGCGGTGGGGGGAGCGACCGGCGCGCACGCCGGTTCCAAAAAGGACCCGCACCACGTCGCGCACGCGAAGCGCATGCACAAGTACTACCACCGGGCCCATGGCAAGAAGGTCGACCGCCACAAGGGCGAGTACGCGGACCTCATGGCCAAGCACCGCGACGAGCACGCGCGGCGCGAAAAACGCGTCGCCCGCAAGTTCCACCGCCACCTCGACAAGGCCCTCGCGGAGCGCCACGCCATCCAGCGCGGCGCCTACGCCGAGCGCCACGCCGACGACATTCGGGTCGCCGCGGAGACGACCGCGCGCCTGCACGCGGCGCACGACCCCGAGGGCGCCGAGGACGCGTCGCGCGCCGCGCACCGCATGCAGTCCAACCTCCTGAAGATCAAGCACGAGCTCGAGCTCGACGCGCTGCACCTCAAGCACCAGGAGCAGATGGAGTTGTTGGTGGAGCGGAAGGAGGAGAAGAAGGAGGCCGCGCGGAAGGCCAAACGGGACGCGGAGCTCCGGCGGCAGACGATGCGGGCGGAGCAGCGCCGCTCCTTCGGCGTCAAGGCCGAGTCGAGCCGCTCCGTCAAGGGCGTGCGGCGGCCCGACGCGGTCCAGGCGTCGAGCCTCCGGGTCCAGGCCGCGCGCGACCTCGCGATGGACGAGGCCGCGGCCAAGGTCCAGCACGTCTACCGCCGCCGGTCGTCCATCGCGACGTCGCTGGAGCGCCGGGCGTCGCTCAAGCCCGCCGAGACCCAGCGCGTGCTCCAGCAGGTCGACGAGCTCGCGGAGGACGTCGACGTCTTCGTCAACGTCGAGGTCGCGGAGCGCGACGAGGCCGTCCGCAAGCTCCAGAACGCCATGAAGCGCCGCGCCACGCGCAAGGAGGAGCAGCTGAGGCGCCAGCTGGGGGGGTTGTAGACGTTGAGGGGGTTTGGTAAGGCTCTTGGGACCTCGTCGTTCAGCATGAAGGAGGCCTTTAGTCCTCCGCTCTCCGGACCTCGTCGTTCAACCCCGTGGCCGTCGACTTCAACACTGGCCTCGTGTCCCCAGCAAACGCCAGGAATAGCTCAATCACGAGCTCGTGTCCACGCTCGCGCGCGCCCGCGTGGTCAAATTTGGGGATCGTTGGGGCCGGGAACGTTTCCGGGGCGCTCCCCGTCGCGTGCGCACTCGATGGGCGAAAGAGCGCGACGTTTGGCCGCGAAAAACGGGAGAAAAGCGAGGCGAAGAGAGGGAGAACAGATCTGACTCGACGACGTCCCGCGTCGCCGCCTGGGCCGCGCCGCGGCACCTCGCGGCGCGCGGGCGCGCGCGGGGGGGCATGGGGCATCGGCTCCCGTCGACGGGGCGCGCGCGAATCGACGAATCGACGAAGCGGCCCGACAACACGGCTCGACGAACTGATTTGTAGGTTTCTCGACGAGCTCGGCCACCTCACAAGGCGATCACCCGCCCCAAAGCAAGCGACACCGCATCGGCGTCGCCCCCCCGTTCTCCGTTAGTCCCTGAACGAGCTCTCAACTCCTCCGAACGATGAACAAAGTCCTCATCGCGCTCGCGCTCGGCGCCACGCGCGCCGAGGTGGACCTGAACATGGTCAAGATGGCGGCCGACGCGCACGAGGGCCTGCTCTCGTCCCGCATCCTCTTCAAGCTCGACCCCTCGGACGTGAGCGTCAAGGCCGAGCCCGACGCCGTCGCGTCCAAGGTCGCCGACAAGATCGGCTGCGGCACGAAGCCGGCCCGCGTCTTCCGCCCCGCGGGCAAGTTCGAGGCGGCCCACAAGGCCTTCGACCTCCACCTCCACTACTCGCTCGACTGCGGCGGCCCGGAGGACGACGCGACGGCCCAGTCCATCGCGTCCTACTCCAAGTTCGAGGCCTACGTCGACGGCGAGGACCACGACGGCGTCGGCTGGATCGAGCCCGAGTACGCCGTCTCCACGTCCTGGACGCCCGACGACCCGAGCCTCGGATCCCAAGACCACTACGAGGCCATCAGCCTCTTCGAGGCCTGGGACGTCACGACGGGCTCGCCGGACGTCGTCGTCCAGGTCCTCGACACGGGCGTCGACATGGCGCACCCCGACCTCAAGATGAACATCTGGAAGAACCCCGGCGAGATCTGCGGCAACGGCGTCGACGACGACAACAACGGCTACGTCGACGACTGCCACGGCTACAACCACGCCGACGACACGGGCACGGACCTCGTGAGCGGCAACTGGCACGGCAGCCACTGCGGCGGCACCATCGCCGCCGACAACAACAACGGCGTCGGCGTCGCGGGCGTCGCGGGCGGCGACGGCTCCGCCAACTCGGGCGCCAAGCTCATGATCTCCGTCGGCTTCGGCGACACGGCCGTCAAGGGCTTCGCGGAGGCGCTCACGTACGGCGCGGACATGGGCGCGCAGATCTCGTCCAACTCCTGGGGCTACACGGGCGCGCGCGCCGCGTCCGTGACGAGTTTCGAGAGAGTTTGGCCGGGAAAACGATGGTCGCCGCGCGACCGGGGCGACGCGTTCGAGCAGGGGTTCGCCGCGTGTCGACCGCGACTCCGCCGCCCTACGCGCTCCACCCGAAATCGCGACCGACGTAGGCCCGGGCTACATCGCCCAGAACATCAAGGACGCCATCGACTACTACAACTCCAAGAAGGGCATCGTCGTCTTCGCCGCGGGCAACCAGAACTCGGCCTCGGACTACTACCCGGCCTTCTACTCCGCCACCGTCGCCGTCGCGGCGGTCACGGACGCGGGCGTCCGCGCGTCGTTCTCCAACTACGGCGACTGGATCGAGATCTCCGCGCCGGGCGTGAGCGTCTACTCGACGCAGCTCGCCACCCAGACCGCGGCCTACGGCTACGCGTCGGGCACGTCCATGGCCTGCCCGCACGTCGCGGGCGTGCTCGCGCTCGGCCTCAGCGTCGCGCCGGACCTCTCCAAGGAGGAGCTCCTGGGCTGCCTCTACGAGACGGCCCGAAACGTCGACGGCACCAACGGCGCCTACGCCGGCAAGCTCGGCGCGGGCCTCGTCGACGCGGAGGCCTTCGTCGCGTGCGTCGGCGGAGACGCGGCGAACCCCCGGCCCACGCCCAAGCCCACGCCGACGCCCGAGAAGCCCCCCTTCGGCGAGGAGCAGAAGGGCTTCTGCGTGACGTCCGACGGCGGGGACCAGAACTGGGGCGTCGTGAAGCTCGAGGGCGGCGACTTCGAGTCCGCGGCCCAGAAGGCCAAGTGCCTCGAGATGTGCGCCAAGGTCCAGGGCGTCACGGGCTGCGAGACCATCTGGGACCAGTGGAACCGGGGCTGCTACGCGCACACGCGCGACGTCGCCCGCGGCAACGGCGTCGCGCGCCACTCCTGCTGGATCGCGGACGACGACGGCGCGGAGCCCGCGCCGCGGCCCACGCCCAAACCGACGGCCAAGCCCGTCGGCGACGACGGCCCGACGAAGACCGTCACCATCGACCTCCCGGACGTCACGGACAAGCGGTCGTCGATGCAGTCGCTCACGAACACGTGGCACCAGTGGGGGTCCGAGACGTTGACCTTCGACGGCGCCGTGCTCTCGGCGGAGATCAAGCTCAACTGGAAGGACCAGGGCTGGGGCAACAAGAAGGGCGCCGTCGGCGTCTCCAACGGCGACTGCGCCGGCTCATCGTGCGAGGCGCTCGCGTACTACCACCCCGCGCCGCGCTACTACACGAAGCAGACCATCAAGCTCGACGTCGACAAGCTCGCGATCGACGGCCCGGGCGTCCTCGTCCCCCGCTACCGCGTCGGCGGCGGCGGCGGCCACCAGATCTACATCCGCGACGCGACGCTCACCGTCGTCGTCTCCGCGGAGCCGTCGCCGACGCCCGCGCCGACGCCGCGCCCGACCGTGGAGCCACTCCACCCGGCCACGGACGTCAAGGTCAAGATGCACGGCAAGGTCGGCGACCTCGCCATCGCGTCCTGGACCCACGCGACGACGGCCTCCCAGGTCAAGTTCCACGTCGAGTACCTCACGAACGAGGCCGACGCGGAGTGGACGCGCGTCGACGACGGCCGCTCCTACGTCGACGAGGCCGACGGGCGCTACTACCAGGTCGTCGCGCCCCCGTGCGCGCACAAGGGCAAGGTCCGCGTCGCCTACGTCGACGCCGCGGGCGCCGCGTCCGAAGTCGCGTACTCCAACACCTTCAAGATGAAGTGCAAGAAGTGACGTTCTCGCGGGCCGCGGCGAAGCCTCCGCGAGCCACGACGACCCCCGCCGCGCGACAAGGTTCCGCGCCCACGCCCCCCACGACCACGACCAAGGTACCGCGATCCCCGCCGCGCGGATAGCGCGCGAGGCGCCCGCGGTAAAGCACCCCTGCATGTTACAAACCTCCCTCACTTCGCCGGGCGCGCGCCGAAGATCGTCGAGCCGACGCGGACGTGCGTCGCGTCGTGCTCGATGGCCGTCTCGAAGTCGTGGGACATGCCCATGGACAGGCCGAGGCTCGCCGGTTCGACGCCGAGCGCCGCCGCCGCCGCGTCGCGGCAGTCGCGCAGGCACACGAAGTCGGGGCTCGCGTCGCCCTCCGCGCCCGAGTACTTGCCGATGCACATGAGGCCCTCGAGCTGGAGGTTCGGCGCGGCGGCCGCGAGCTTCGCGAGCGCGGGCGCGTCCGCGGGCTCGCAGCCGCCCTTGGCCTCCTCGCCCGACGTGTTCACCTGGACGAAGACCTTGAGGGGCCCCGCGCCCGGCTGGAGCTCGGGCCACGCGCCGTCGAGCTTGGCCACGAGCTTCTCGGACGACACGGTGTGCACGGCCTCGAGCCGTTTCACGCCGCAGAGCTGGCGCACCTTGTTCGACTGGAGCCGCCCGATGAAGTGCCACTTCAGATGCTCCACGCCGTCCTCCACGGCCGCGGCCTTCTCGACGAGCTCCTGCACGTAGTTCTCGCCGAAGTCCACGTGGCCGGCCGCATGCGCCGCGGCGATCAGACTCAGCGGCTTGAGCTTGGACACGGCGAGGAGCGTCGGCGGCGCGGGCTTCGACGCGGCCGCCGCCGCGACGCGGCCCTTGACGGCCGCGAGGTTCGCGACGACGCCGTCGCGCTCCGACGCGCCCTCGACGTCGGCGTCCGTGGCCATGGCGCTGAAGGACGCCATCGTCGACCGGAGCGCGGTGCGGCTCGTGCGGCGCGAGACGGCCGGCCGCAGCCCCTGGCACGCACGGAACAGCGCGATGGTGGACAGCAATGCGGCGAGGCGCATGTAACACGCTGTCGACGACGGAGGTGGCCGCTTGGGTCCTCGAGAGCCGCGGCACCATCGATTCAACGTCGTGTCTCGCCGCCAGCGCCGTCGTCGCCCGGCGCCGCGCCCGCACCGACGCGCCCGAACGCGCCCCGAGAAGCCGCATCGATCGACCGCTGACCCGCCGGAGCGGCCGCGCCGCGAGAAGCGACACGAACGACGCCCCACACCGGGCCACCGTCGCGACTCTCGAGACATGGGCAACCTCATCCCCACGGACATCCGCGCGCGCTTCGCGCCGCCTCTGGAAACACAGATCGAGCGCCTCCCGCCCGCGGAGAAGGCCGAGTTCCTGCGCGAGCTCGGCGAGGCGCGGACGCGTCTCTCCGCCGACGTCGCCGCAATCGACGCGGAACTCGAGCGGTGGGAGGACCAGGCGCGCGCGTCGCGCGAGGAGGCCGCGCGCCTCGAGCTGCGGCGGCGCGAGCTCGCGGCCGCGCTCGACCCGTCCGACGCCGCGAGCGCGTCGCGCGCGCGCGTCGCGGCGACGGTCGAGCGCCGCGTCGCGGCGACGGCCGGCGACCGCCGGAGCCTCCGCGAGCGGCGGGACGAGCTCGAGGTGCGCCTCGCGGCGATCAAGGACATGATCGCGGACACGGACGCCGCCGTCGACGCCGCGCAGCCGACCTAAGGGGGGGGCTGTAGCTCGTGCGTCGCCGCGAACCGCGCGGCACCGCCGGGCAAGGAGGACGGCGCCCCTCTCCGGGAGCGGGCTCCGAGCGCCCGAGCACAGCGCTACGTATTATGGTGCGCGTCGAGCTCCTTCTTGATGTTCTCGATGGTCGCGTTCGCGCAGGTGACGTGGCGCGGCGGCGGCGCGGGCCCCTTGTCGAGCTTCTTCTGGAGGTCGTCGAGCCAGGACGTCGGCGTCACCTCGACCTGCTTCTTCTTGGGCTCGGCGTGCCTCAAAATCTGGGGCACGGCGACGGGCGGGCCGCCGCGGCCCATCTTCGACCGGTTGTTCACGCTCCGCCGCTCGAGGTCCGACCGGCCGTTGACGGACTTGCGGCCACCCTTGGGCGTCGCGCGGCCGAGGGACTGGGACGCGCGGCGCACGGACCGCGCGACGCCGAAGACGGCGTCCGCGGGCGACGCGGTCGCGCGCGCCTGCTGCGCGTTCGTCGAGCCGCGCATGTACGCGGAGAACTCCTTGACGGAGATGACGCCGCTGCCGTCGTCGTCCATCTCGCGGAAGATCGTGTCCAGCGCCGCGTGGGAGATCTCGTTCGACGTGACGCCGAGCGTCCGGCGCACGGTCTTGGCGAACTCGTCGCGCGAGATGCCCGAGGATCCGTCGAGGTCGAAGATCTGGAAGCACTTGAAGTAGTTGATCTTGCCCGGGTTGACGAGCTTGTTGTTCTTGTTCGCCGCGGACGCGATGTGCTGGCCTAAAAACCAGAGGAGCAGGTGGTGGTCCGACATGTCCTTGGGGACTTTTAGACCCTTTTTCAGCCGCCCCTCGAGCTTCGGCACGCTCGGCCCGCAGGCCAGGGGCACGGCGCTGTACTCCTGCTGCTTCGACGTCTTCGTCTGCACGGTCTGGACCTGGGCGCGGTGCATGTCGCCGGCCTTGGACCGCTCGAGCCGCGCGAGCTCGCCCGCCGACGCGGATCGGTCCAGATGCTTCGGCGGCGGCGCGCGGAGCGCGCCCGTCGTCGCCGAGTGCTGGAGCTTCCGCGGCTTCGCGCCGACGGCGTCGGACGTCGGCGCGATGCCCTTGGCGAACATGTTGAACTCGGCCATCGTGACGACGCCGGATTTGTCGCCGTCGATCATGTCGAAGAGAAAGCCGACGTCGTCGTCGGTCATGACCCTCTTCTTCAATTTGAGCGTCGTCCGCAGCGTCAAGATCAGCTCCTGCTTGTCCATCATGCCCGCGGCGTCGACGTCGCAGGCCTTGAACAGGCGCGCGTAGTTGACGTGCGCGCCCTTGTAGGACGCGCCGAAGCCGCTGCCGAGCGTCTCGCTCATCTTGCTCACGTGCGTCGCGAGCGCGTGGAAGAGGCGCGCGGCCCGGTCCATGCCCGGCGTCGGCGCCAGCGCGTCGAGCACCTCCTCGCTGCTCTTCTCCGTTTCGATGAGCTCCATGGCCGCGGACACGGACGCGCGCCGCGCCGCCGCGCCGTAGACGTAGCCGCCCTCCGTCGTGCCCTCGATGGCGCTCGTCTTGGCGTGCGCGGCGACGTCGGCCCAGGCCACGCGGCCGGCGCCGTCCTTGGCCGCCGCGTCCCAGGCGCCGGCGTCGAAGGCGTCGCCGGCGAAGGCGACGACCTCGTCCTTCGTCGCGGCGCCCTCGGCCTCGACGGACGCGCCGGCGCCCATTGGCTGGTTCGAAGGTCTAGCGGCCGAGGCCGGCGCACATCGAAGGTCTAGCGGCCGAGGTCTGCGCGCATCGTGCTCTCCCAGACCGACCAGACCGCGTCGAGCCGCGCTAAAATACACTTCAACTCTGTGAGTGAACCCGAGAAGCACACACATTGCCTCCACAAAGTGCCTCGGCGCCTTGCGCCGAAGCGGCCGCGATGGACGACGACGACCTCGCGTGCGCGCCGAAGCGGCGGGCGACCCGGGCCGCGTCCGGCACCAGCGGCGACGACGGCGCGCGCCTCGCCGCCGTCGTGGCGGAGCGCGACGCGGCGCGGGCCGACGCGCGGCGCCTGCGCAACGAGCTGCGCGAGGCGCGGGCGGAGATCGCGCGGCTGGCGGCGCTCGTGCCGCCGCCCCCGCCGGCCGACGCCGACGCGCCCGCGCCGGCGCCGGCGCCCGACGCCACCTACGCCGACGGCCGCCTGAACCTGTCGGCCAACGCGACGGCGGCCGACGTGTGCGCGCTGTGCAACCGCCACGAGGGCACGCCGAGCCCCGACGCCGACGAGGGCACGCTCGAGGGCGACCTGGTCTTCCCGCCCTTCGCCGGCCCCAAGGGCCAGGCCGTCTGGGTCCACGAGCGCTGCGCGCTCTACTCGGCGGAGGTCTACGGCTCGGCGGACGACGGTTTGCACAACGTGCTCGCGGCCGTGAAGCGGGGCCGCTCGCTCAAGTGCGTGTCCTGCAAGGAGCGCGGCGCCACCGTGGGCTGCGCCGTCGCCACGTGCCGCAAGACCTTCCACCTGCGCTGCGCCGTCGCCGCGGGCGAGCTCTACGACCCCTCGGAAGCCGTCAACTTCCTCTGCAACAAGCACCGCAAGTCGGAGGAGGCGGTGCAGTGCGACCGCTGCTTCAAGTGGCGCGCCTGGCGCAAGATGGACGCCCACTCCGGGCGGCCCGCGCCGCTGCCCGAGGGCGCGTGGGTCTGCGAGGACAACGAGGACGCGGCCTTCAATTCGTGCGCCGTCGCCGCGGAGCCCGCGATGGCCGCGCCCGGGAGCGTGATGCCCGACGCGCGCGGGGCGGCGGACGCGACGCCGCCCGCCGACGCGGCCTGCGCCTTCTGCGACATGTCCGGGCGGACCGTCGACTGGGCCTGGACGTCGCCGCCGCTGTTAAGAGACGGCGAAGTCCAGTGGACGCACGACCACTGCCTCGCGCTCGCGCCCGAGGTGCGGCGCTCCGGCGGCCACGTCTTCAACGGCGTCGCGGCGCTCCGGCGCGGCCGCCACATGAAGTGCAGCGGCTGCGGGAAGCGGGGCGCGACGGTGGGGTGCGGGCTCGCGAAGTGCAAGCACAGCTACCACGCGCCGTGCGCGGCGCTCGTCTCCGGCGGCGTCGTCGACTTCACGGGCGACGACACGGCGCCGAATTTCCACTGCGCCGAGCACAAGCGCCTGGGCACGGAGCGCTGGGCGACCTGCGACCTGTGCGGCCTCTGGCGGTCGTGGTCGGGGCCCGTGCACCCCATCACGGGCGAGCCGTTTCTGGACGGCGGCGCGACGTGCGCGTCCATGGGCTTCGGCTCCTGCAGCGCGCCCCTGGAGTCGACGGCGGACGTCGTCGAGCTCGACGACGTCGACGACGAGGAGGACCTCGCGGACGACGCGGCCGCGCCGCCGGCGTTCCTCGGCCACGCGCTCTTCTCGGCGCCGCCGCCGCCGGCGCCCGGCCACGCGCTCTTCGCGGCCCCGCCCCCGAAGCGCCCACGGACCTAGTTCGTCTTCTTGTCCGTCCGTTCGGCGGCGTCGGTGACGCGCAGGAGGTCCGTGACGAGGTCCCGGTTGAAGACGGCGAGGTCGAGGAAGCCGTAGCCGAGGATGGCCATGGCCGTCATGACGCCCGACATGAGGGCTCCGGCCCAGCCGGCCGTGGTCACATCCTGGCCCGTGATGAACAAACCGGGGATCTCCGCGACCTCGGGGCGGATCGCGGCCATCTTCGGCGACGCGTAGCGCTTCGTCGTCGGCGCGAGGCCGTAGGACGCGGCGCGCTTGAGGTAGTGGTCGTTCGTGAGCGACGTGCCCAGCTTCGAGAAGACGACGCGGCCCTCGCACTGGGGGAAGAGCTCGTAGAGCTTCGCGAGCATGCGCTCTTCGAAGGCCTTCTTCAGGGCGTCGTAGGCCTCGGGCCGCTTGTGCGCCGGCGAGTCGGCCCACGGGCGCCACCACGCCTCGTTCGTCTCGGAGATGATCGAGCACGTCGCGGGCTTCGAGGCGCGCGCCGACGGGTCCTTGGCCGACGGGAACCCGACGAAGTAGGTGCCGAGGTCGCCGCGCGCGGCCGCGGCCGCGCCGTCCGGCAGCGCGCGCCACGCCTTCGCCGTCTCGCCGCTCCCGGAGACGCACCACTGGTTCTGCGACGGCAGGTCCAGCTCCGCGGCCGTCGTGTCGAAGCCCACGAAGAGCGAGAGATGGGAAATGCCCTGCTCGACGAAGTCCTCGGAGGCGGGGTTCAGAATGGCGTCGGCCCACTCGACCTCGCGCCGCGCCGCGTCGGGCAGCAGCTTCAGCGTCTGGAGGCACCCGGCCGCGGAGACGACGCCGCGCTTCGCGAGAATGACCTTGTCGTCGTCCTCGAGCTGCACGCCGACGGCGCGGCCGGCGTCGCTCAGAACGACGCGCTCGACGGCCGCGCGCATGAGGACCCTGCCGCCGTAGGCGTTCACCGTGGCGACGAGCGCGTCCGCGATGGCCTGGGGCCCACCAACTGGCACGTAGGCGCCGCCCATGTAGTGCGACGCGACGCCCGCGTGGACGAAGAACGACGCCTCCGAGGGCGCGAGGCCGTAGTTGCCCGCGTAGCCCGTCAGCGTGGCCACCAAATCGTCGTCGTCGATGCCGCAGTCGCCGCGGATGACCTCGTCGACCGTCGCGCTCGCGAAGCCGTAGAACTTGCGGCAGAGCCTCGGAGCGACGAGCTTCTGGATGAATCTGGGGAACAGCTTGCCGAAGAAGTAGTTATCCGCCTCCTTGTTCGACGTCTTGCACAGCGCCACGTAGCGCCGGATGCGGCCCTCGTACGCGGGCCAGCGCTTCGCCAAATCCGCGACGAAGCGGTCCTCGCCCGCGCGCAGCGCGTGGGGCGGCAGGTCGCCGACGCGCAGGCAGTCGTAGGCGAAGCCGTCGCATTCGGATCCGAGGCGCGCCCAGGCGACGCGCCGCCGCGGCAGCGACACCATGTCCATGAGCTTGCCGTACTTCTCCGCGCGGCCGACGTAGTGCACGCCCGTGTCGAACGTGAAGCCGCCGTCGGCGAACTCGTGCATGCACCCCCCGGCGAGGTAGTGCTGCTCGAGCACGACGACGACGTAGCCGCAGCGGCTCAGCAGCGCGGCGAGGTAGAGGCCCGAGACGCCCGAGCCGACGACGACGTAGTCCGCGTCAGCCGGCACCTTCTTGTGGCGGAAGATCTCGCGCGTCCGCGGGGCCGTGGAGCCGTCGTCGCTCGGCTCCTTGGGGAGGAAGCCCTTGGGCGCCGCGCTCGGCCGCCGCATGGCCATGGCGTAGAGGCCGAAGACCATGCAGCCGCCGACGACGTTGGCCACGGTCCAGGCCAGGCCCATGAGGATGGCCAGCACGACGTCGTAGGCGTCCTCCGAGATCTCCACGGTGATGAGCGACATGTTCGGAGCGGCGATGGGGCAGCCTATCGCGTGCGACGCCGCACGTCTCGTGGTTCGGAGCAGCGATGGGGCAGCCTATCGCGTGTCGGAGATCGAAACCCCTAATAAGTTTCTGTCTTCTTGAACCACCACAAAACTTCAATAGGGCAGCCCCGGCTGGCCGGGCTTGAGTTGAAAGTGGAGGATCTGGTGGGCTCTCCGGGGGATCAGCTGCCCTTGGCCCGCGCCGCCCGCGGTCGCGACCGTCACACGCCATGTTCATGTCGCCGCGCGGCCAGGTCGAGGCCCTGGCCCTCTTCTTCGGCGTGTCGGTCTGCGCCGCGCCGGGGCTCGGCAAGCTCGAGGCCGTCGGCGTCACCTTGGGCCTCGCGTGCTGCGCCGCCCTTTTCGCCCGGGCGCGCGGCGCCGCCGCGGCGCCGCCGGCCGCCGCGGTCGTGCCCGAGGTCTGGGAGCAGGCCCTCCGCGTCGAGGAAGCCCCGGCGGACTTTGCGAAATTCGCGTCCTACGAGGACAAGCCGGCCACGCCTGGCAAGGGCGACGACGACGACGGCGAGGTCGTCGCCATCCGCGCGAGCGCCGCCGCCGTTGAGGGGGACCCCAAGGCCTTCGCGCGGCCCGTCCACGCGCTGAGCCCCGCCTTCGCGCCGCCCGCGACGCCGAGCCGCCGCGCGAGCGTCGCCGCGTCTTCGGACCTCAAGCGGCTGCTCAACGACCTGGGCCTCGCGCGCTGCGAGGACAAGCTCACGGAGTGGGGCGCCAAGACGCCCGAGGACCTCAAGTTCATCGACGACGACGACTTCGCGCAGCTCGGGCTCTCCAAGGCCCAGGGCCGCCTCCTCCAGCGGAAGGCCGCGGACGAACCATGATGTTCTTGTTGTAGGAGCGCCGGGAAATGCGCATCCTAATTCCCTAGGGGTGTCGCACCGTCGTAAGCCACCCCGGAAAAACAAGCGCGCGCGCGCTCAGAGCCGGCCGTCCGTCGAGTCGGAGTCGTCGCTGGCGTACTCGACGGCGAACATGCGGCTCATCGCGCTCATGCGCCGCGGCTGCGCGGACGGCGGCGGCGACGGCTGCGCGGGCGCGAGCGGCGGCGTCGCGAGCCCGCCGTTGACGTGGGGCGCGATCATGGCGTCGATGGCGTCGCGGCGGGGTCTGCCGCTTCTTCGGCGTCGGCGACCGGCCCGCGCCGCTGTCGCGGAGGAGCACGGCGAGCTCCTTGCGGTCGATGTGGCCGCCGCCGCTGGAACGAAGCAGCTCCGCGAAGATCTGCGTGGGAGACGCGCACGCGGAGACGTCGACGTCCATCTTGTCCGCGAGGCTCCGGCTCAGGTCCTCGACCGTCGCTGGCGTCGCGGCCATGGGCAGCGGCGCGGGCGACGCCTCGATCTCCAATTTCGACTCCTCGAGGCCCAGGAACGCGCGGTCGGCGGCGTCGTCGTCGTCGAAGGTGATGTGGGCCGCCTCGAGGCCCGGGTCCGTGAGCGTGCCGCTGTCGACCTTGTCCACGAAGGAGTTGCGCCGCGGCTTCGACCGCTTTTGGCGCTGGACGTCCGCGTGGGCCTGGAGCTTGAGCTCGAAGGCGATCTGGACGACGACGACCAGGAACAAGCCGCAGACGACGCACGTCCACTGGAACGCGCGGAGCCGGCTGTGGATCGAGTCGGCCGTGGGCACGGACGAGCACTCGTCGATGTCGAACCAGGCGCCATTCGCCGTCTCCTTCGTGACGTCCATCAAATTCGCGCGCGACATGTTCGCTTTCGCCGCGCACGCGAAATGGAACGCCATGTCGAGGTCCGACCCGTCCAGGATCCAATCCACCACATTGTCCTGGGGGCCGACGTACTTGCCCTGAAGATGCAGCACGGACGGCCCGAGCACGATCTTCGGCGCGCCGTGCAAAACGTCGTGCAGGATGTGGTTGCCCCAGAAGTCGTCCGTGCGGAACTCGAAGACCATGGGCAGGTCCATCAGCACCTGGTCCCCCGGGTCCATCTTGAGGGACGGCACGTCGACGTAGCCGATGGGCCGCGCGTAGAAGGCGTTTTTGTAGGTCAACACGACGCGCGTCGCGTCGAACAACACCCTGAGCGCGCCCGCGTCGTCGTAGTTCACCTCCATGTGGACGCCGGCGTGCATCGTGAGGCCCCGGTCGTCCCAGGTGCCGCCCGTGTCGCCCGTCGCGTACATGTAGATGTTGTCGACGTCCACCAAATCCTTCGTCGACGACCCCTCCGCCGCGCCGCCCGCTAATGTGATAATGCCGCCGACGGCCAAGATGCCGCCGAAGACGGCGAGGAACATGTAGCCCATGGGCTCCCAGTAGGGCGCCTGGAGCGTCTTTTGTTTCGACCCGAAGTGGCGCTTCGCGCCGCAGTTGGTGCAGAACTTCTCGTGCGCGTCTTTCCCGACGTGCGGCACCTTGCAGACCTGGCACTTCCACTCGTCGGTCTGGAGCACGTAGCGCTTGCGGCAGTTGCACCAGAAGATGGGCGTCGCGACGATGGCGATCAAAAGCGCGGCGACGTAGGTGAGGAAGGCGACGCGCGCGAGGATCCGGTCCTTGTCGACGTCGGCGTCGTAGGTTTGCGCGTCGATGGCCGCTTGAAAATTCGTCCAGGACCCGCCGCAGGCGCCGCAGGTTCGAGCGCAGTAGCCCTCGTAGTGGCCGCCCGCGGCGAAGTCGCTCAAGCAGGCGCCCTGGGTCGCGAAGTGGCCGCAGCACGACGCGTCCGACGAAAACTCCAAACATTCGGCGTGCGCGTCCTCCTTGAAGTTGTTGTCGATGCAGTCCGGGTCCCGCGCGAAGGCCGCCTGCTTTAAGACTTCCGCCCGGGGCTTGTTGTCGACGACGCCCCAGGCGTCGTCGAGCGCGAGGTCGTCGAGGAAGACGTCGTCGTCGTCCCAGCGCCGCGGCGGCGTCGGCGCGTCGTCGGCCGCCGTCGCGTTCGCGACGACGCAGTGGCAGCCGCCGCAGTCGCAGCCTAAATCCAACGCCGCGGCGCAGGTCTCGGGCGCGTAGTTCGCGCAGGAGAGGCCGCCGCAGACGTCGTCGCAGATGTCGTGCGAGGCGTGGCGGTCCGCGCCGTCGTACCACTCGTCGGCGCCGCCCTGGTTCGCCGTGCCGCCGTGGTCGGGCGCGTCGGCGCCCTCGTTCGCCGCGGTCGGCGGCTTCGGGAGCGTGGGCAGGAGCGACGGCAGGGGGCTTGGCATGGGGCTCGGCGCGGGGCTCGGCATCGGCGTCGGCGGTTTCGTCGGCGCGACGGACGGCGGCAGCGACGGCGCGTAGGTCGGCAGGAACGTCACCGACGGCGCCGGCGACGGCGCGTAGGTCGGGATGGCGCTGGGCAGCGGCGTCGCCGTGGGCGTCGCGGACGGCGGGTAGGTCGGCGCGGACGTCGGCGCGTACGACGGCGACTCCGTCGGCCGCGCGGTCGTCGGCGCGCCGCTCGGCGCGGCCGTCGGCGGCACGCTCGGCGGCGCCGTCGAGGGGGACACGGACGGCGCGAAGGTGGACGTCGGCGCGCCGCTCGGCGGCGCGGAGCAGCCGCAGGAGAAGCGGCAGGCCGCGTGGGCCTCGACCTTTTGCGCCGCGTCCGCGCCGTCGTAGCCGAGGGCCTCGCAGCGGGTCGCGGGGCTCTTGGCGACCCAGTCGCAGTCCTTGGACGGGTTGCCGCTCTTGGCCCAGAGCGCCGAGTTGTTGCAGAAGGTCGGCGCGTAGGACGGCGGGAAGGACGTGGGGACGTAGGAAGGCGCCGCGGAGAACGTCGGCGCGAGCGTCGGCGCCTCGGAGCAGCCGCAGGACGCGGCGCAGGCGTGGACGGCGAGTGAACCGTCCTCGCCGACGCTCTCGCAGCGCGCGCCCCAGCCGCCGACCCAGCCGCAGTCCTTGGACGGCGCGCCCTTCTTGTACCAGTCGCGGACGTCGTGGCACTCGGCCGTCGGCGCGGCGCTCGGTTTGTAGCGGTGCGTCGGCGGCGTCGTAGGCGCGGCGCTGAGCGAGGGCGCCGGCGTCGGGAACGGCGCGCCGGGCACGAGGACGCAGGCGTCGGAGGCGAGGGCGCCTTCGAGCGCGTAGCCGACGTAGGAGTAGGAATACGACAGCCCCGAGACGTCGACGGTTTCCTGGACCCAGAGCGCCGCGAGGCTGATGTTCGACCCGTTGATCGGCGCGACGAAGGTCGCGTTCTGCGCGAAGGCCCGCGAGGCGCCGCACGTCGCGTTCGGAGACCACCAGCCGTCGTCGCCGTCGACGCAGCCCCCGCACGCGGCCAGACAGGCGTCGGCCGCGAGGGACCCGTCGGCGCCGACGACGGCGCAGCGCGCGTCGGGGAGGCTCGCGACCCAGGCGCAGTCCTTGGCCGGCGCGCCGTTCTTCGCCCAGGCCGCGTCGTCCGCGCACGCGGCGGCGGGCTCGTCGGCCGCGAAGGCGCCGCCGCCGCGCGCCTCGAGGACGAAGGCGCCGCCGGCGCCGGACAGGGCCGCGGCGAGCGTCTCGCCGGGCGCGTAGGCGCCGCCGCAGGCCACGGGCGCGCCGTCGCGCAGGAAGTGGGCCGCCCGCGCCGTCGAGCGCAACGCCGCAACGCCGTCGACGATCGCGCCGGGCGCGACGGCCTCGTCGCAGCCGACCTGCGCCAGCGACGCGCCGCCGTCGTCGGACCGCGCCGCGGGGACCGCCGACGCCGCGAGGGCCCCGACGAGGAGCGCCCGCATCGCGTCGAAGAGCGCCGCTTCGTCAAGAGAATGTTGCGTCGAGCCCCTGGAGGCGTTTCAGCTAAAAAAAACCATCGGATACTTGCGCGGGATGTATACCCTTCAAGATGAGCTTTTTTACCGCTCTCAGACCTCGACGGGCGGCGGCGCTGCCCGGTCGACGGCGACGTCCCGGACCGGCACCACGATCCTCGCGCGTCCGCCGCGCCGCGGTCCCGGGGCCGAGCGGACTCGCTGCCCCCCGAGAGTGCTTGATCTTTACCTCGCAGTGGAGACGCCTACTCGTAGTCGGAGTCGTCGCCCTGCTCGGGCTCTCGTCGGCCTCGGACTCGTCGTCGTCCTCGGGCTCGGGCGTCGCCGCGGGCGCGGGCGCGGACTCGTCGTCGTCCTCGTCGTCGTCGTCCTCGACGTCCCGCGCGGGCTCGGCGTCCGGCTCGTCGTCGGAGAGGTCCGAGTCCGGCGCGGGCGCGTCCCGCGAGACGACGCGCCGCTTCTTCTTCGGCGGCGGCGCGGCGCGCGCGGACGGGACGATCTCGAGCACGAGCGACTCGACGACGTCGCGGAGCTCGAGGTCCTCGACGTCGCCGTCGAGCTCGCCGGACGTGAAGCGCACCTTGAAGAGCGGCGCCGGCTTGCCGTCCTCGGCGACGTAGGGGTCGTCCGCCGTCGCGGGCAGGAACCCGTAGATCGTGCCCCGGCTCTCCTCCGTCTCCGACGTCGACCGCGCGACCTCGCGCCCGAGGAAGGCGTGGTCCGTCGTCCAGCCGTCCTCGCGCTCCGACTCCGACAGCAGCCAGGCGCCGCCGCCGGCGTTCATCACGTGGCCGGCCATCGTTTCGCAGTGCGGGTTTCGACGACGGTTTCGGAGTGCGCGCGCGTCGAGATGACACAACTCGGACGGCGCGTACTCGAGCGAGAACTCGACGTCGATCGTGCACGGAACGAGCAGTTCAACGTTTCGGGTGCAGCCTCTCTCAGTCACCTCGCAGCCCGGGGCGCGCTCCTCCCTCGCGCCGTGGACCTCCCGCGCGCGCCGTGGACCGCGGACGCCATGGGGCTCGGGGACCTGAAGCTCGACGACATGATCGTCGTCGCCCTCGTCGGCTGCCTCGCCGCGACGACGCTGACCATGAGTGTCCTCACCTTCCGGCTCCCGAACAAGGGCGCCGTGCTCGAGGAGCAGGGCTTCCAGGTCGCCCACGGCGACTTCTGCGACACGCTCTACGTGTCCCACGTGCGGCCCTTCCGCTTCGCCATCGCCAAGTACGACGGCACCTTCAGTTGCCCCTGGCCGGGCACGAACACGGCGCTCCGCGCCGCGCTCTCGCTGGGGGGCCTCGCGGCGACGGCCGGCGAGGCCTGGTTCGTCTACAAGGAGGAGCTCCCGACGGTCCACGCCCTGTCCTGGGCCTTTGGGCTCCTGGGCGCGGGCTTCCTCTCCGCGGCGACGCTCGACGCCGACGCTCTTTCTGCCGGAAACGCGTTGTGCCGCGACGGCTTCAAGGTCGACTCCGAGGGCGACGCGTACCACCTCCTCACGGGCTTCAACAAGGACGACCTCACCTGCGAGCCCGCGCCCTTCGCCTGGCTCGTCATCGGCGACTTCTTCTGCGTCGGCCTCTTCCTCGCCGCCTGGTACCTCTTCTACAAGTACTCGGACGACGACGGCAGCCGGCACCGCACCGCGCTCCAGGACCCGTTCCTCGCGTCCCAGATGGAGGCGACCTACGACTCGTCGCTCCCCAACGTCGACGCCGACGAGCCCGCCGGCGCGGGCATGACGTGAACGCGGCGGGATTCCCGCCCTGTACAACCCGAACGCGCGACGTAAAGAGGCGCCCTGTGATCGACGAGAGTGCGCGGGTGCGCACCTCCTCGCAAGAAAGAGCACACAGAGTTATTGGTCGATGTCGTCGAGGCCGATGTCGCGGAGGGCCGACGTCAGGTTCATGGCGTGGACGGAGCCGGCCTTCTCGTTGTTGGAGTTGTAGCGGATGCCCGTGGCCTGGCTCTGGACGTAGGCCATGTTGAGCGCCTTCCACCGCTCGACGCCGAGCGTGCGCTTGCGGAAGTTGTCCTGGAGCGCGAGGATGGGGTGGAAGAGCATGGGGAAGCTGCGGTGGATGTTGAGGAACTCGGAGAAGTCGACGTCGCCGGAGCCGTCGCCGTCGAACTTGTCGATGAAGTCCATGTAGTTGCCCGGGAACATGGCGCCGAGGTCCTGGATCGCGGACGCGAGGCGCGCGAACTCGCGGTGGCCCACGGTGCCGCTGCGGTCCGCGTCGAAGACCTTGAAGAGCACGTGCAGGAGCTCGTTCTCGTTCAGCGTGCAGACGACGCACGCCGCCAGCAGGAGCTCGTCGAAGTTGAGCTGGTCGTCCGCGTCGAGGTCCGCCCACTCGAAGACCATGAGGTCGATGAGCACGCGGACGAACGACGAGTCCTTGGCGCCGATGAGGTCGATGAACTCGGGCACGGAGATCTTGCCGCTGCGGTCGCTGTCGGTCCGCCGGAAGAACGACCGCAGGCTCCGGCAGTCGCCGTCGGAGAGCTTCAGCAGGCGCACGGCGGCCGCGGCGAAGCCCGCGCGCACGTGGCTCCGCGTGCGCTGGCACAGGAGCAGCGGGTGCGACGACACGTAGGCCAAGGGCGCCGCGAGGCTCCGCGACCGCGGGTCGTCCCGGATGCGCTCGTTGAGCCGCTTCGCGTTCTCCGCGTCGAAGCTCAGGGGGTCGTCGGCGATGGTCTCGGCGGCGTACTTGCGGTCCGGCGACTTCGTCGGCGTCTTCATGCATTTCTCCTCCTGGCTTCGGGGCTTCGGGGGCGCGTGCGTCTCCGTGAGGTGGGCCGCGTAGTTGTCGACGCCGGCGCGGTGGTCCGTGCGGCTCGCGAGCATCTTCCCCCGCTTCGCGCGGTAGCCCGGCGCCACGTTCTTGCCCTTGACCTTCTCCTTCTCCCGCGCCCGCTCCGCCTCCTCGGGCGCGTTGCGCCAGGCCTCGTCCTTGGTCAGCGCGTGGTACTTGAGCCCCTGGTGCGCGTTCGACTCGTAGTTGTCCTTCTTGGGCATGAACAGCGCCTCCTCGCCCTCCTCCATCTCGACGAGCTCCATGTACTCCGCGCTCAGGTCCTTCATCTTCGACTCCGCGACCTTGGCCTCCTTCTTCTGGTGCACAAAGTCCTGGGCGCTGTCGGAGATCTTGTCTTTCTTGAAGGCCGCGGCCCGCTCCTGGGCCTTGCGGTTGTTGTGGATGCCGTGGTCGAGCGCGCCGTGGTGGCCGTGCTCGTTCGCGTGCTTGTTTTTCGAGTGGTGGTGGTGGTGCTTGCGCGACTCGTCGCCGTCGTCTTCCTTTTTCTCGTGATGCCTATGATGGTGGTGCCTATGGCCGTCGGCGCCCTTCTCGTGGTGGTGTGAATGATGATGCTTGTGGCCGCCGTCGCCGCTGGACTTGGCCCGCACCTCGACGACCTTCGTGCCGCCCTTCTTCAAACTCTTCGTCGGCGTCTCCTTCGGCGCCGGCTTCGACTTGACCTCGACGACCTTCGCCCCCTTGGGCTTGACCTCGATGCGGCCCATCCGCCCGCGCTGGGCGCTTCCGCCACACCCGGATGCGCGGCGTCGGGAGTTATATACTACAACATGTTGAGGTTTGCTAGGCGGCGGCAGCATTAGCGAGCTCTGCCACAAAGCCCTAACGGAGCGCAATCAGGCTGTGGCGCACGGCGTAGCAATGATGAGGTTTTCAGGTTTCCAAAAGTTTGGTGGCTCGGAGCCAAAGGTCAAAATTTACCCCGCATTCTGGTGCCGAATCGGCACCAGCGCGTTTTGGCTGTGAGCTGCATCTCAGCCGCATTGGATTTCGTCAGGGCCTTGCGCATGGATCGAGAGCTTGTTTGCTGAGGCGTAGTTAGCTCGACGCGCCACCCCATGTGCCTGTTGACGGCTTCGGTGCTCCTCGCCATCTGCACCTGGGAGAGCCTCGCCATCGCGACGGCCGTCGCGCCGCCATGAGCTTCGAGCGCGACGGCTTCTGCGTCCTGCGCGGGTGGCTCCCGGCGGCGGCCGTCGACGCCCTGCGCGGAGACCTGCGCCGCGCGCGCGCGCAGCTGAAGATCACGGACGCCGCGCTCGAGGCCGCGGACCTCAACGTCGACTTCATGGGCCGCGCGTTCGGGGGCCGCCTCGGCGCCGCGTCGCCCGCGCGGCGCGAGGCCTGGGCCTACGCGACGGCGCGGCGCGCGGCGACGGGCGGCGGCGGCGACGGCGCCGCCGCCGCGGAGCGCGCCGTGCTCGGCCAGCTCGCGGCGGCGGCGGCGGAACACGCGGGCTACGGTTCCGTGTATCTCCTGAGCGAGGTCTTCGTCGTAAAGCCCGCGGGATCAGGAACAGAATTCGCGTGGCACCGCGACGACGCGAAGCAGCTGGCGAAGCTCGGCGGCGAGGCCGCGCCGGACCGCTTCTGCTCCACGTGGGCGCCCCTCGACGCCTGCGGCGCGGCCGACGGCGGGCTGGTCTTGCGGTCGAAAGAGACGGGAGAGGACGTTCGGGCGAGCTGCGCGCCGGGCGACGTCGTCGTCTTCGACCGCGACACGTGGCACGCGAGCGGCGCCAACGCCGGTCCCAACGACCGGCGCGTCCACTACGCCCAGTACTCCCCGCGGCCCGTCGAGTGGACGCCGCCGGCCGACGGCGCGAAGCGGCGAAGAGGCGCGCCGACGCCGCTCTGGTTCGCGGTCGCGGCGGCGCCGACGCGCGAGGCGCTCGAGGCGACGCTCGACCGGGCCAACGCGGCGCCGCCGGGCTACCGCGTCGTCCGCGGCGCCTGCGCCGCGGCGCGCTTCCCGCCGGACGAGCTCCCGGAGGTTTCGTGCCGCGTCTTCCGGTCGCCGAAGGGCGCGTTCTGCCTCGACGGCACGAAGCACCCGGACGCGCTCCTGACCCAGTCCATGGCGCGCGACGACACGCTCGCGGCGCTCATCCGCGGCGCGGGGGTTTGCGGCGAGGGAGACGCGGCCGCGGGCGTCGCCGAGTACGCGGTGCTCGACGACCTCGACGACGCGCGCTGGGCGGCGCTCGGCCTCCCCGCGTGCCCCCTGGAACCGGCGCGGCGCCGGCGGTCCCGCCAGCTGTTTGTCTCGCGCGGGGCGACGACGACGCAGGTCCACCGCGACGCCTACGACAACGTCTACGTCTGCCTCCGCGGCGAGCGGAACTGGCGGCTCGCGCACGCGGACCACGGGCCCTACGTCGAGCGGTCGCCGGGGTCCGTGTCCGCCGCGGCCGACGGCGCGCTCCGGCGCCGCGTGGCCTTCGGCGAGGTCGCGCTCGCGCCGGGCGACGCGCTCTTCGTGCCGCGCGGCACCTGGCACGCCGTCGCCGCGGCCGACGACGGCGGCCTCAGCGCCGCCGCCGCCTGGTACCTCGACGACGGCGACTAAGGGTGCTACTTGTGCCTTCCTAGGACGTACCGCGTCGACCGCATAGACGAGCTCGCGCCGTTGCTCGCGGGCACGCGCTGCGAGGCCGCGTGCGCGCGGCTCGCGAACGCGTCGCTGCCGGGCCTCCCGCCGCCGGAGCGCAACCTCCGGCGCGTGGCCCGGGGTGGTAAGCGAGGTACTTAGTGGGTGCGCGTCTTCGACCCGAGCTTCGCGTGGCCCGCGCGGGCGATGACCTTGGCGCCGCGGTACTTGACGCGGCGCTGCTTCTTCGGCGCGGCGCGCTTCGTGGGCTTGTGGAGCGCCGCGAGGCCCGCGTGGGCCGCGGCGAGGACGGCGCCCGCGCGCAGCGCCTTGTTCGACCGGAGCGCGCCCGTGAGGTCGTCGAGCAAGGGCACCTCGCCCGGCGCGGCCGCGGCGACGGCCGCGGCGCGCGGCGCGGGCGCCTTCTTCGCCTTGGGCGCCACGATGGCGTTCTTCGCGGCCTCCTTGCGCAGCTTCTTGAGGCCCTCGAACTCGACGTTGCGCGCCTTGGCCGCGCGCTTCTCTTTTTCCGCGAACGCCGCCATCTTTCGCCGCTTCCGCTTGTTCCGCGCGGCCTGCGTGAGCCGCGCCTTCGCCTCGTGGTGCGGGTTCGTCCCGCCGCCGGCGTCCTCATCGTCTTCATCGCTCTCTTCATCGACCTCCGGCGCGGGCGCCGCCGCGGCCTTGCGGCGCCGCTCGGCCCACCACTCGGCGTCGTCCTCGAGCTTCGCGACGCGCCGCTCCTCCGCGGCGACGGCCGCGGCGACGAGGGCCTGCTGGCTCGCGAGCGACGGGTTGTAGGACTGGCCCGCCAAAGCCGTCGCGGCCGACCGCGACGGCCGCGCCTTCGCCTTGTCCGACACCGCGTCGTCGTCGGCCCAGCAGTCGGCCAGCTGGCAGTCGGCGTCGTCCTCGAGCGCCGCGGCCGCGGGCGCCGGCGCCGCGGGGCGCGCCCGCGCGAGCTTCTTCGCGAGCTTGCGCGCGATGGCCCGCTCCGTCGGCGCCGACAGGGACCGCAGCGCCTTGGACTCGCGCCGCGGCTTCTTCGACGACGCGCCGTCGTCGACGAAGAAGAGGCTCGCGTCGCTCTGCTTCGCCGCGCTCGCCGCCGCGCCGAAGAGCGACTCGCTGAACTGCTCGCCCAGCACCGTCTCGCGCTGCTTCCGCTTCGACGGCATGGCTGGTGCTGGTGGTGTGGGAGACGCAGGCGCGGCTCACCTCAGCTCGATCGATCGCCCGATGAGGCCTCTTTCGAGAGGAGTTGAGCCACTCGTTGACCTGCAACAAAACGCGGGGCAGCAGTCTGGGCGGCTCGCGCCAGCGCAGCGGCGCCGACCCGCGTCGTCGCGTGCAACAAGAACCAGCAGCAATGGACATTGGCAGCGCCCTCTCGTCGGCGGCGTCGCGGAAGCAGCTGCGGCGCTTCGCGGCGTCGCTGGGCCTCGGCGTCGACGACGCGCTCGAAAACTTGCTGGCGCTAGAAGAGACGACGGTCGACGCGGCGCTCGACGACGTCTTCGGCGCGTCGGCGGCCGCGCCGCGCGCGGTGCTCGCCGAGTGGCGCAATAACGGCGCGCGCGCCGCCGCGGAGCCGCCGCCGCCGCCGTCGCCCGCGCGGGCCGTCGTCGCCGCGGCGGCTCCGCGGCCTCCGTCGGCCCCCGGCTGCTGCGTCGAGTGCGGCGCGAGGAGCGACTATCGCTTTCCCCTGCTGGACGCGCGGCTCTGCGAAGGCTGCGAGCGGCTGCCGCGCTACGCGCTCGTGACCGCGCGCCTCGCGACGGCGGTCCACGCGCTGCGCGAAGGCGATCTCAGGGGGCTGAGATCCCAGGACGTCGGCGGCCGGACATGCTACCTCCGGTCCGACGTCGAGGCCCTCGCGGCGACGCGCGCGACGGCCGCGGCGAAGCGACGCGACGCGAGCGACGAGTGGCGCCGCAACACGTTCAAGACCGACGGCGCCGGCAAGACGCACAAGTGGAAGGACCTCAACACTGCTACATTTCAAAAAAAAAAGGCGAACGCGAAGCACCGCGGCCTCGACGGCGGGCCCGACGTCGACGGTGATTGCATGGACCTCTCGGGGCTCGTGCGCTGCGGCGACGTAAGCGCCGGCTAGTTGCTTCGCGGGGGAGGGATCCGCGAGACGCCTCGGAAGCGGCGTCCGCGGGACGGGTCATGAGGCGAGTATGCCTCCCTCGTCGAGGCTCTTGGCTGACGCACTCGAGGCGCCAAGCGACGACACGCGTAGGCGCACCGGCGAAAACACGATTTTGCGAGGACTTCAGGTCGATCGAGGCGGCGCGACTGAGAGCGCTCGTCCCGAGGCGTCGTCCCGCGTCCACAAAACACAAAACGAGATGGAACACACGCCGCGGGTCCTCGCCGTGATCATCATGGACGCCGACGGGAACCGCCTCGTCGCCAAGTACTACCCCGTGGCCGCCGGGGGCCGGACGTTCCAGGCCGGGGGCGAGACGGCCTACGAGAAGAAGCTCTTCAGGAAGACGAAGCACAACCACGCCGCCGCCGTCGACTCCGACGCGAGGCCTCCCGGCGTCGCGACGACACGAGAAACCGGGGGGGGGGGGGGGCGCGCGCGGCGCGCGCGACGCGGCGGAGTCCCGCAGGCGGTCATGCTCGACGGCTGCGTCGCCATCTTTCGCGCGCGCGGGGACACGTTCCTCTACGTCGTCGGCGCGGGCCACGAGAACGAGCTCCTGCTGGACACGGTCCTCGAGGGCCTCTTCGTCGCCCTCACGATCCTCCTCGACGGCTCGATCGAGTCGCGGTACGTCCTCTCGAATCTGGACATCGCGGCGCGCCGCGCGGGCATCGCGTCTTCGACCCGACTTCAATATGTGTGTTCGACGCGGTGCGCTCTCCGTGGAGCGCTCGACGAGAGCACACGACGTGTTCCAAAATGAGCCGGAACGCCGTCGATTCGACGGAGCTCCTCGCGCAGGTCATGCTCGCGGTCGACGAGCTCGTGGACCAGGGCAAGATCCTCGAGGTCGAGCCCAAGACCATCGCGAACCGCGTGCTCATGCGCGGCGTCGACGGCACGACGACGATCACGGACATGTCCATCCAGGACGCCATGAAGGTCGCGCAGGAGCAGCTCATCAAGTCCATGTCGTGAGGCCTGCCTCGCGTTCCCGTCGCGCGAGCTTAGGCGTGGCGGCCTCGCGTCGCGCGACCGATGGCGCGCGGGGGGTGTTGGGCGCCCTGCCGGGCTAGAGGGAGACGGAGTCCGCCGCGATCTCGATCTCCGCGCGGAGGACGACGGCGTCGTTGACGCAGAAGCCGAGCGCCTCGACCTGCGTGAGGACGACGTGGGCGAGGGAGGCCGTGCCCGCGGACGTGGAGATGCGCTTCGCCTGGTCCGCCTTGGCGCCGAAGACGCGCTGGCCCTCGTGCTTCCGCGTGAGGTGGCTGCCGCCGTTCTGGTGGAGCAACGAGAGCTCGAGCGACGCGACGCGCGCGAAGGACCGGTCCGACGGCGCGTCGTAGTGGACGTAGAGCGCGACCATGCCCGGCCGCTCGCGCTTGATGCCGCCCTTGTAGAGGTCCAGGGACCAGGGCGCGCCGCCCGGCGGCCGGTAGCGCGCGCCCTGGCGGAAGCCCGACGGCAGGGCCGACCAGCGCTCGACCTTCCAGGTCACGGTGTGCGTCTGGGACCCGGACGCGTTGAGGCGCTTCGTGGACCCGGAGCGGAGCACGAGGGGCGTCCGCGCGGTCGGCGCCGGCTTGGCCGCGCGCTTCGCCGCGGGGTTCTGACTGTTCTTCCGGAGGCGGCTGAGGTAGCCGCCGCCGCCGTCGTCGGGCTCGGGCGTCACGAAGTCGACGGCGCCTGGGCAAGAAAAGGGTGCGAAATTCCCAACTTCAAAGGCTCCGATCTCGGCCGTTTTCCACTCGTTTCGGCTGATTTTTGGACGAGCGATCATCTCTCGGAGCGCTCTCGAAGCGTGGGTGCTGTTTCCGAAACGCGCGCGCGCGGAACACTCACGTTGAAGCGACGTTGAATCACCCTTTTGCTGCCCTGGACGGCGCCGGCCTTCGTCCGCTCCTCGGACGTCCAGCGGAGCTGGCGCTCGTGCTCGGCCCAGAGGGCCTTGTGCGCGGACGGCGCGGACGACAGGTTGTTCTCGGGGAAGCGCGTGCGGAACCAGTCGTCGAAGGTCGGCGGGTCGCGCGTGCGCGCCTCGTCGGACGCGAAGCCGCCGTTCTCGCCGACGAAGCGCTCGATCGCCGCGAAGTCCGCCTCGAGGGCCCGCGTCTTCAGCTCGTGCCACGACGGCGGGTCCGTCATGACCACGGGCTTCTTGGGCTTCGCGGGCCGCCCGGCCAGGTCGCCGGCGCTCGACGTCGCGCTCGGCGCGGGCGCCTGGCGGCCCCGCGAGTCCGCGGACGCGGCCCGCGCGGGATACGGCTGGCGGCTCGGCGCGGGCGCGGGGCTCGCGACGACGGCCGTCGACGTCGCGGCGGCGGCGGCCTTCTGGGCCTCCTGCTGGCGGCGCACGCGGCTCCCCTCGCGGCTCAGCTCCCGGATCCGCGGGCTGTCGTCGCCCCGCGCGGACCGGCGGCCGCGCGCGCGCGCGGCCTCGCGCCGCTCCTCGCGCTCCGCGGCGGGCCGCCGCTCGGCCTCGGACGGCCTACGAATGGGGATGATGATAAGGCTCACATGCGCGAGGCGGGGGGAAGGCGCACCTCGGGCTCGCGGCGCGCTGCCGCGCCTCGCGCATGCGGAGCCAGGACTGGCGCGTCGGCTCGGGCGAGGACCCGCGCGCGCTCGGCTCGCGGCGGCCGCCGCCGTCGTCGCGGGAGCTCCGGAAGAAGGAGCCCTTGCGGGACGTGCGCTCCGCGCGGCCCCGCGGCTCCTCGGACCGGTTGAGGCCGTCGACGATGGCCGCGAAGCCGCCGTCGTCGCTGGCCTTGTCCTTCTTCTTCTCCTTGGACTTGTGCAGCGCGAGGTCGAAGCTGAACTTGCGCCGCGGTGAGAAGGACCGGAGCATGGTGGTCGGCGGGGGGCGGGCCCCGGGGGAGCGGCCGCGACCGCCGCTCCTGTTGGCGCGAGGCTGCGGCCACAAGCTGCGTCGATCCACACTGAGGTAAATTTGCGATTATTTTAGACACGTTGATGTTGCAGTGCCTTCGGGCAGCATCGATGGCCTTCCTCTGCGGCGGCTGGTCGGCGCGCGACGCCGTCGAGTGCGCCGACGCGCGGCCCGTCGACGCGGCGTCGATCCTCTGCGACGACGACGACCACTGGTCCGGGCGGCCCAGCGACGAGCCGTTCCGGCGGGAGCGGGCGCGGCCGCGGGCGAGCTCGGCGCGCTTCGACGTCTCGAAGCTCGCGCCCCGCGCGGAGGAGGCGCTGCCCCTGCTCCAGTGGCGCGACGTCGACGTCGACTTCAACGGCGCGCGCGCCGTCGCCGGCGTCAGCGGCGCGCTCCGGTGCGGCGGCTTCGTCAGCGTGCTCTGCAGGGCAGCAAAAGGGTGCAAAATTCCCAACTTCAAAGGCTCATATCTCGGCCGTTTTCCACTCGTTTCGGCTGATTTTTGGACGAGCGATCATCTCTCGGAACGGCCTCGAAGCGTGGGCGCTTTTTCCGGAACGCGCGCGCGCGGAACACTCACGTTGAAGCGACGTTGAATCACCCTTTTGCTGCCCAGGTGCTCGGCCCGTCGGGCGCGGGCAAGTCGACGCTCCTGGACGTGCTCACGGGCCGGCTGCGCGCGACGCGGGGCTCGTGCCTCGTCCTCGGGCGGCGCCACTCCGCGGCGGCGTTCCGGTCCGTCGCGGCCTTCGTGCCCCAGGACGACTGCTTCCTGCCGCACCTGCGGACGTGGGAGGCGCTCTACTTCGTCGCGCGGCTCAAGCTCGCGGGCGCCGGCGTCCGCGGCGCGCTGGCCGCGACGGACGCGCTCCTGGCGACGCTGGGCCTCGCGGAGAAGCGCGCGGTCTTCGTCGGCGGCACGCTGTCCGGCGGGGTCGTCGTCCGGGGCCTCTCGGGCGGCCAGCGGCGGCGGCTTTCGTTGGCGACGGGCCTCGTCGGCGACCCGCGCGTCTTCCTCATCGACGAGCCCACGTCCGGCCTCGACGCGGCGTCGTGCCTCAAGGTCATGGGCCTTTTGCGCGAATTCGCGTTCAAGACGCGCATGGGCGTCGATGCCGGCGTCTTTTTGGCGTGGTTTCCCTCCCGGCGAGCCCCGCGCGTCGGTCCCCCGCGATCGCCCTTCACACGCAGGTGCTCTGCAGCATCCACCAGCCGCGGTCCGCGGTCTGGCTCCTGCTGGACACGGCCTACTTCCTGAGCCGGGGGCGCCTCGTCTTCGCGGGCCCGACGGCGGGCGCGGTCGACTGGTTCCGCACGCTGGGCTACGTCGGACGGACCTTCGAGGGCAACGCGGCGGACTTCGTCCTCGACCTCACGGCCGTCGACTTCGACAAGGCCCCCGAGGTCTTCGGCAAGAAGACGATGCGCAGCGACGACGACGTCGCGCGCGCCGCGGACGCCTTCGCGGAGCGGCGGCCCGCGGAGGCCCTGATCGCGGCGCCGCCGTCCGCGGCGCCGCTGCCGCCGGCGCCGCGGCCGTCCTACGCCGTCCAGTGCCGCGTGCTCGCCTGGCGCGTCGCGCTCGGCCATCTGCGGCACCCCGGCAACTTCGCGGCGCGCGCGGTCCTGACGGTCTTATGCGGCCTGCTGTGCTGGGCCGTCTTCGGCGCGCAGGCGCCGCAGGACCTCGCGGAGCTCGAGACCGACCCGGACGCGGCCCTGAGGCACGCGACGTACCGCGGCGCCGCGTTCACGATCCCGCTCTTCGTGACGCTGATCTGCTTCGTGCCCCTGGGCTGCCTCATGTACGACCGCCAGCGCGTTTCTTCGGCGTCTCCGCGTCGACGCGTCCGCGCTTTCGGCTGATATCCGTTCCTTCACTCCCGTCTGTTCCTAGGTTCTTCATCCGCGAGCGGCGGGGGGAGCTGTATTCCTGCGCGGCCTACGCGCAGGCCTACGCGGCCGTGGAGCTGGTCTGCGTGGTCCTGATCAACTTCCCCGTCGCGGCGGTCTACGAGATCGCCTGCGGCTTGGGCGGGACTCCGCCGGGCTACGCGGCGGCCGTCGTGCTCCTCGGCGCCATGTTCGGCCAGGTGATTCTCTGCGCCTGCGCCGTATCGCCGTCGGGCGACGTCGCCTTCGTCTTCGCCGCGGCGGTGTTCATCCACGCGTTCGTGACGTCGGGCCTGCTCGTGTCGCTGCGGACGCTCGCGCCCGCGCCCCGCGCGCTGTCGCTCCTGAGCCCGCTGCGCTTCGCCTACGACCTCGTATTGCGCGTCGAGCTCGGGCCGGCCTACGCGGCGCGCGAGGGCTACGACGCGACCTTCGAAAGCTCCGTCGGCCGATCCTGCGGCGTCCTCGCGGCCATGTTCCTCTTCTACCACGGCGCGACCTACCTCGGCCTGCGCTTTTTGTACCGTAAGGCCTAGAGCGCCGGGAGCGAGCTCGACGACGCGGACCGCTCCGCGCCGAGGGGCTCGAGGGGCCGGAACTTGTCCCGGAGCCAGGCGACGTAGGGCCGCTCGACGTAGGCCTCGTAGCACACCGCGGCGACGCAGAGCGCGAGGACGTAGGCCGCGAAGTTCTCGCCGCCGGCCTTCGTGTCGAGGCCGACGGCGGAAAAGGCCGCGTGGAGCGGCCACTGGAAGAGGTAGATCTCGAAGGACGCGCGGCCCAGGGACCGCGGCGCGTCGTGGCGGCAGAGGGCCGCGAAGATCGAGCCCGGCTCGCCCTCGAGGGCCGTCGCGTCGCGCGCCGCGCAGTAGAGGAAGACCGCGAAGAGCCTGTGCCGGAAACGACCAGTGGAACGCCCCGTCCAGCAAAAACTTCAAACCTCTCGAGCTCGGTCACATCGAAGTCGATTCGACCGATTTTTGGACGGATCCTTTTCTCTCGGCGAGTGCTGTTGAGACAGTGAACGGAGTACGTCGAACCCGTGCGAATACATGAAGTCGTGTCGCATATTTTTGTTTCCCGCCCGGCGAAGAGCGGCGCCAACCCGTGGTCGAAGAGCTCCTCGGCGCCCGTGCGGTAGCGGCTCCGCGGGTTCGGGGCGAACAGCACGAGCGCCGCGACGGCGAGGCAGGACGCGTCGGCCGCGGGGGCCGCGAGGCGCCAGCGCGGCCGCGCCGCCTGCGTCGCCGCGAGCTCCGCGGCGACGACGCCTGGGCAGGAAAAGAGAGATTCAAGTTCGCTTCAATCTGAGTGTTCCGCGTTCCGGAAAAAGCATCCACGCTTCGAGACCGTTCCGAGAGATGATCGCTCGTCCAAAAGTCAGCCGAAACGAGTGGAACACGGCCGAGATCGGAGCCTTTGAAGTTGGGCATGTCGCTCTCTTTTCCTGCCCCGGACGGCGCCGAGGAGGAAGTCGCAGAGCTGCGCGGGCGGCCAGAGGTACATGGCGTCGTGGACGGACCCGAAGGGGGCGTCGCCGCGCCGCAGCAGGCCCACGGCGACGGCCGTCGGCAGCGCCGCCAGCGCGAGGCCGAGCGGCGCGAGGACCTTCGCCGGCCGCTCGTAAACCAGTCTGTCGTAGACCGCGGGGTAGAGCAACCACGACGGCGCGAGGGCGGCGACGGTCCAGGTCTGGCCGTCGGGGCACCACCGCGCGGGCGCGAGCCAGGATTCCACCAGCAGGACGCACCGGCCGACGTGGCCCGGCGCCGCGTCGCCGCCGGCGGCCGCGACCATGGCCCACGACGCGGCCATCGCGACGTACGTCGCCAGCAGCACGCGGCCGAAGCGCCGGCCGTACCATTTCTTCGCGCCGTCGCGCCACCGCGCGGCGTCGTCGCGGTGCCGCTGCAGGGCCGCGAAGGCGCCCCGCGACGCCCAGTGCGTCACGAAGCCGCTCAGCACGATAAAGTAGTCGACGGCCGCGTCGGAGCGCCAGAGCGCCTTGACGAGGGCGCCGTCGCTCGAGTGCGGCGAAAAGTGCTGGCAGACGATCCACAGCGACGCCAGGCACCGGCTCCCGCTCACGAACTCGAGGCGCGGCACGCGCGGGCGCTGCGGCTGGAAGCTGAGGGCGAGGGGCGAGTGCGGGTACATGGACCGGTACATCGTTGGATTGTGTTTTGTTTGTTATCTGCGGCCGTGCGCGCGACGTTGCTGGCGCTCCGGCGCGGCCGATCTGCTACGGATCTGCGAGTTACGCTGTTTAGATCGATCGAGCCATCACGTCGGCGCTCTCGGCACTTCGGTTCACGATCGACTTTCAGCGAGCTCATGCTGCACCTCCACAAAATCGGCAGCCTCGCTCGAGTTCGCCGTGCTGGTTCGACGCGTCGCGCCGCGCCGGAGACGCGACCCATGTTCCGGAAGCGCGGCGGCGACAGCCTCCTCCCGACGTCGGGCGCGTCGTCGGCGCCCGCGCGCGCGAAGACCCAGCTCCCCCGCGTGTCCTGCGCGACGGCGGGCACCTACGTCTGGCTCCTCGTGTCGTTGGGCGTCGTCGGCCTCGGCGTGCGGTTCCTCGGGACGCCGACGGACCTGCGGCACGTGACCTGCGGCGACCGGTCGAGCACGTGCACGCTCGTCGTCGACACGGAGGACGACGAAAGAGTCACGCACGAGTTCCTCGGTTCCGACCTCGTCCGCGCGGAGTTGATCCGCGTGCGCCGCGGCCGCGCGGTCAACGTCAAGCACATGCGCAGGAAGCAGGTGCGCAAGCTCGGCTACTCCTACCAGCTCGTCGTCCGCCTCGACGACCAGGGCAACGAGGCGCGCCACGTCATGAGTTACGGCACGATCGGCCGCGGCAAGGCGCGCGAGCGCGTCGACGAAATCGGCGAGTACGCGACGAAGAAGCGGTCCACGGCCCTCGACGTCAAGGAGAGCTCGGGCGTCTCCGCCGTGGGCATCCTCCTCATCATCTACGGCGCGTTCTCCCTCATCTTCTGCCTCATCCTCGGCCAGTTCGCGGAGCCGCCGCCGCCGCGGAAACGCAAGTGAGCCCGCGGGGGTCCGCGCGGGTAACGTTGTTCGCCGTGGCGGGCGCGACGACGCCCGGGGCCTGAAGGCATGGAAACGTGCATGGAAACTCGAGCTCTCCCACGGCGTCAACTTGCCCTTCAGGCCCCATGGTGAACTTTGCAGGCTCGACGATGGACCATCCTGCGCAAGCCTGCGTCGAGCCATGAGTCGAGCGCTGTGCAAGGCCTTCGCCGTCGCGCTGCTGGCCGGCGGCGCCAGCGCCTTCGCGCCGCCTCGCGCCGTCGCGCTGCTGGCCGGCGGCGCCGGCGCCTTCGCGCCGCCTCGCGCACGGACTCGACGACCATGCCTGCGCCGCGCCGCACCTTTTGACGACGCGCTCGCGACGGTGCAGGCCTTGCCCATCTTCGAGGTCATGGACGACATCCGCGCGAGCGTGGCGCGCGCGGGCGCCTACGTCTTTCTGGAGGCGCCGCCGGGCGCGGGCAAGACGACGACGGTGCCGCTCGCGGCGGCCGCGGAGCTCGACGAGGGCCTCGTGATCGTCGTCGAGCCGCGGCGCGTCGCCGCGCGGGCCGCGGCGCGGCGCATGGCGAAGTCGCTCGGCGAGGAGCCCGGCGGCCTCGTGGGCTACGCCATGCGCGGCGACGCGAAGCGATCGACACGGACGCGCGTCCTCGTGGTCACCGACGGCGTGCTGTTGGCCATGTGCCGCGCGGACCCGTCGCTCGCGGAGGCGACGGCCGTGATCTTCGACGAGTTCCACGAGCGCGGCGTCGACAGCGACGTCGCGCTGGCCCTGTGCCGCGAGGCGCAACGCGTGTTTCGGCCGGAGCTCCGACTCGTCGTGATGTCGGCGACGCTGCTGGGCGACGGCGCCGTCGCCGCGGGCGCGGCGGTGATCGCGAGCGCGGGCCGCGCGTTCCCCGTGGACGTGAGCTACGCGCCGCGGGGCGCGCCGCGGCTCGCGGCGCTCCTGAGCCGCCGCGGCGCGCTGGAAGACGCGGTCGTCGAGGCGACGACGGCGGCGCTCCGCGACGCGCCGGAGCGGGGCGACGTGCTGGTCTTCCTCCCGGGCGCCCGGGAAGTTAGGACTGTAGCGGCGGCGCTCCGCGACCGCCGCGGCGACGTGGACATCTGCACGCTCTACGGCGCCATGCCGTCCGAGGCCCAGGACGCGGTCGTCTTCGGGACGTCGCCGCGCCGCCGCGTCATCGTGGCGAGCCCCATCGCCGAGGCGTCGCTCACGCTGGCGGGCGTGACGGCCGTCGTCGACTCGGGGCTCCAGCGGGTCGCGACGATCGACGAGGACACGGGGCTCCGGCGCCTGACGACGCGGGCGATCTCGAAGGCGTCCGCGGCGCAGCGCGCGGGCCGGGCCGGACGCGTCGCGCCGGGCATCTGTTCGCGTATTTATCCGGAGGGCGACTTCGCCAAGTTCGCGGACTTCGCCGAGCCCGAGATCCGCTCCGCGGACCTGTCCCGCGTCGCGCTGCTCCTCGCATCCTGGGGCTGCGCCACCGTCGACGAGATGCTCGACCTGCCGTTCGTCGACGCGCCGCCGCGCGAGCGCCTCGACCGCGGGCTCGCGGCGCTGCGGTCGCTCGGCGCGGTGGTCGACGGCGCCGCGACGTTGACCCCCTTTGGGGACGCGATCGCCGACATGCCCCTCGAGCCGCGCCTCGCCGCCGTCGTCGCCAACGCCACGGACGCCGCCGCCGCGGTGCGGGCCGCCGCGCTCCTCGACGACGACGCCCGGGGCGACGCGAACCTCCTGAAGCGGCCCGCGGACCGCGGCGCCGTCGCGCGCCTCGCGAGGCGGCTCCGCGTCGACGCGGCGGGCCCCGGCGACGACCTCGGGAGGGCGCTCGCCGTCGGCTACGCGGACCTGATCGCCCAGCGCCGCGGCGACGCGAGCTACGGCGGGTCCGTGTATCAACTCGCGAACGGGAAGACGGCGCGTCTCGACGACGCGGAGGGCCCCCCGTACGTCGTCGTCGCGGACGCGGGCACGGGCGACGACGGCCGGTGCCGCATCTACGCGTACGCGCCGCTCGACGAGGCCGCCGTGGCGGCCCTCGCGACGACGACGCGCGAGGTCTTCGTCGTGCCCTCGAAGGGCTACGCCTGCCGGGCCCGCGACGCGACGCGCGTCGGCGCCATCGAGCTCGCGGCGGCGCCGGCGCCGCCGCCGGGGCCCGAGGAGGCGGCGGCGCTGCTGCTGTCCACGATCCGCGGGCTCGGCGGCGTCCGCAGGGCGCTCAAGGGCGACGTCGACGGCCTCCTGCGCCGCGCGCGGCTCGCGGAGCGCGCGGGCGTCGCGCTGCCGCCGCTCTTCGACGCGCTCGAATCCGGCGACGACGAGGCGCTCCTCGAGGACGCCGTGCGGCCCTACCTCGCGACGGACCTCAAGGTCGACCTGGAAGAGGTCGCGCGGCACGCGCTCGCGGCGGCCGGCGTCGATCTCGAGGCGACGTGCCCGACGCGCATCGCCGCGCCCGACGGCACGAGCGTCCCCGTGACCTACGGCGAGGCCGGGCCGGCCGTCGACGCGAAGCTCCAGCAGTTCTTCGGGCAGCGGACCTCGCCGACCGTCGCCGGCGCGCCCGTCGCGCTCCGGCTGCTCTCGCCGCCGGCAAGCTCCTCGGCGAGACGCGGGACCTCGCGTTCTTCTGGCGCGAGGCCTACCCGGGCGTGCGGTCGGAGATGCGCGGCCGCTACCCGAAGCACCCGTGGCCCGAGGACCCGGCCAACGCCGCGCCGACGCGGGCGACGAACAGGGCGCTCCGCGCCGCGGGCGGGGACGCGGGGGCTCCGGCGCCGAAGAAGAAGCGGCGTAAGAAGCGGTAGGCGCTACTACTACTGGCACCGCCTCTCGCCCCGCCGCCTCCCGGAGCGCGGCGCGGCGTCGCGAGACGGTCAGCCAGCTTACCGCTAAAAAGGCGCCCCGGGGGCGCTCGGGGGAGAGGGGGGCCGCGCGGCGGCCCCGCGGGGGCGCGCGGCGCGCCGCGGGGGGCGGGGCGGGGCGAGGGGCGCGCGGCGCGCCCGCCTCCGCCGCCCTAGCCGTCGTCGCCCGTGGCGGCCATGATGGCGTTGATGTAGTCGAGGATGATGCCGGCCATGTCCGCGGCCTGGCTCGTGGACAGCTTGAGCTCGAAGGTCGTCTCGTCGGCCAGGTTCCAGATGAAGAGGGAGAAGATGGACGAGGAGCCGCCCCAGCGGCAGACGTCGGCGTAGCCGAAGTGGTGGAGGACGTCGTAGGTCTCCGAGTCGAGGATGTACATGCCGCCGTGGCCGAACGCGACGGACACGTCGCCCGGGAGCTCCGCGACGATGGGCGGCTCGTCCTTGGCGACGACGCGGTGGCAGTGGAAGAAGGATGCGCCGTAGAGGGGGTAGGCGGCGCAGGTCTTGACGAATTTCTGCTGGAGGTCCTCGATGAGCGCCTGCTGCGCGTCCTCGTCGCCCTCGGCGTCCGCGACGCCGAGCGGCGTCCGGAGCGCGACGAGCTTCCCGGCGACGCCGTCGATGGCTTCGCGGAACTTGGGCGGCACGAAGTCCAGGAGCGCCGGGTCCTCCATGGCGTCCAAATCGCCGGCGCAGCCGCTAAAGTCGTCGACCATGGCCGCGTAGAGCGAGATCGCCGCGAGCTCGAGCGCGGCGGGCTCCGATTCGGGGAAGATCTTGCCCTCGTTGATGACCTCGTCCTCGGCCTGGAGGTAGACGAGGCGGTTGAACATGGCGTCGTCGCTGGGCCCGTTCTGCTGGGGCAGGAAGATCTTGCGCTTGTAGACGAACTTGAAGTGGCGCTTCTGCCGCGCCTTGAGCACGATGACGTCGCCCATGAAGTCCTTGTCCTGGCAGGGCTTGGGCGTGCGCTCCAGGTCCGCGTAGGGCTTGTGGCCGTCGGGGTCGTCGACGCCCTCGTCGCGGGGCAAATCATAAACGAAGATGCCGAACGTCGCCGCGCGCTCGTCCGTGAGCTCGAGGAACTGCGCGCAGATCTCCGCGACCTTGCCGCAGTTGAGGTCCGGCGTCACGGGCAGGTCCTCCGTGAGGACGACGTGGTCCACGAGGGAGATCGTCGCCAGGATCGGCGGCCGCTCCGTGTACGCGGCGATCTCGTCGACGGACGGCGCGAAGCCCGACGCGCCGGCCTCGAGCATGCCCTCGAGCGTGCGCAGGCAGTACTTGGCGTAGTTGCGGATGGCGCCCCGCTTCTCCTTCTGCACCATCAAAAAGTTGATGACGTAGTTCTCGAGCTCCGCCGTCGGCGGGAACCTGCGCGGAAATCGACCGCCGGTTCGGGACGTCCCGACCAAACGTTGACGTGCTCTCGCTCGGTCACATCGAAGTCGTTTCGGCCGACTTTTAGACGAATCGACTGCTCTCGTCGAGTTCTCGAAGCAGAGCCGATGAGCTCGCGTCGAACCTGTCGAATACGCGCACATTGAAGTCGGGTTGAAGCTTCGACGTCCGCGCGGGCGGGAACGTCGCGACGACCATGCACATCATCTGCCAGCCGCGCGCGATGGAGTCGGGCTGCGGGTTCGAGCTCAGCTGCTTCATGATCTGCATGTAGATCTCGTTGCGGATGCCGTTCTTCATGTCGAGCCCCCGCTTCAAAATGTCCTCCGCGAGCGTCGCGGGGAACGCGAGCGGCTTGTCCTTCATGTAGCCCAGGAGGCTCTTGTGGATGTTCTTGGCCATCTTGTCCGTCGCCGCGTCGCAGGAGAGCAGCGACTTGGGGATGACCTGGGTCGTGTGCTTGAGCATGTTCTCCTTGGTCTTGCGCTTGTTGAGGATGGACCCGCGCGCGAAGTCGTCGGGCGTCCGCAGGTCCGCGAACTTCTGGAACGCGTACTTCTGGTTCGACGCGCGCTTCTGGCGGTCGGCCCGCAGCTCGGCGAGCTCGTCGGCGGACTTGTCCGTGACGGGGCCGGCGTCGTCGCCGTCCTCGACGTCCTTCATCTGCTTCGCGCGGAAGTCCTCGTCGAGCTTCTTGAGCTTCTTCTTGACCTGCGCGGGGGCGATTCAACGTCGCTGCAACGCGAGCGTTCCGCGCGCGCGCGTTCCAGAACAGGCAGCCGCGCTTCGGGGGCGCTCCGAGGGATGATCGCTCGTCGAAACATCGGCCGAAACAAACGGCCGAGCGAGGCGCCTCTGACGTCGCGCGCGTCGCGCGCGCGTCCCGCGCCGCGCGTCGCGTCGTCCATGACCGTGAGCTGGAGCTCGAGGTCCTCGGCGGCGTCGAGCGCGGCTTTTAGGGTTTTGATCTGCTTGGACTGGAGGGCCTCGGCGAGCTGGGCCTGGACCTCGATCTGCTTCTTCGCGTGTTCGAGGACGGCGGTCGCGCGCGCGGCGGGCCCCGAGAGCCCCGCGGCCGCCGCGGTGCCGACGGCGGACTCGAGGCCGGGCAGGTCCGCCGGTACGATGCCCGACGGCGACGCCGTCTTGACCTTGAGCGTCTCGACGGCCGCGGCGAGCACGCGCGCGGAGTCGGCCATCGCCGATATCTTCTCGCGCTTGCCCGTCGCCGTCGCGATGTCGTCCTGGGACAGGCCCAGGGAGATGGCGTTCTCCAGCGCGTCGTTCAGCGCCTTCTCGAGGCCCACGGGGTCGTCGGCGCTCTTCGCGTCGAAGTCGCCGTCGGACATGTGGATCACCGCGTTCGTCTTCTCGACGAGATTCTGGCGCTCGACGGCGATCTTCGCCTTGTTGTAGGCGTCGTTGCTCATGCCCCGGGCCCTCGCGGCCTCGTAGGCCGCCTTGAGCGCGCCGGCGTCCTTGGCCTCGAGGGCCTGCGTCATGGCCTTACTCAGCTTCTCCTCCTCGATGAGGTCCTTGAGGATCGCCGTGCCCTCGGACACGTCGAGCCCGAGGCCGCGCCCCTTGGACACGGCGCGGCTCAACGCGTTGGCGTTGGCGGCGTTGCGCTGGGCCTTGATGTCGGCGACGGCCGACGCGAGCACGGAGCCCATGTTCGCGGCCTCGTGCCTGCGTGGACATCAACCGCCGGTTTCGGGGGTCCCCGCCAAACTTCAGAGCTCTCTATCTCGATCACATCGACGTCGATTCGGCTGATTCTTGGACGGATCGATGGCTCTCATCGGGTTCTCGAAGCACGGCCGAAGAGACCGGTCCGAACCGTTCGATTACATTGAAGTCGGGTCGAAGATTCGAGTTCCGCGCGGCCTCGCGCTTCTTCTTCGCGGCCTCGTTCGCGGCCTTGAACGCGGAGCCGCGGTAGCCCTTCTCGGCGCCCGCGGCGATGAGGGCCTCGAGGTCGGCGTCGGACGTCGCCGCGCCGAGCTTGGCCACGAAGGCCGCCTCCTCCTTGAGGCGCTCGATCTTCTTCAGGGCCGCGTTGAGCTCCGCGCCGCCCTTCTTCAGGCCTGGGCAGGACAAGGGTGATTCAAGTTCTCTTCAACATGAGTGTGCCGCGCGCGCGCGTTCCGGAAAAAGCATCCATGCGTCGAGATCGTTCCGAGAGATGATCGCTCGTCCAAAAATCAGCCAAAACGAGTGGAAAACGGCCGAGATCGGAGCCTTTGAAGTTGGGCATGTCGCTCTCTTTTCCCGCCCTGCTTCAGGCCCGCCTTGGCCGCCTCGGCCATCGCGGCCTCGACCTCGGCGACGGTCTCGACCTTGTCGAGCGTCGCCATGAGCTTCTCGGCGGCGGCGCCCTTGGCGCCGAGGTCCTTCATGGCCTTTTTGGCCGCGTCGAGCTCCGGGCCCTCGACGCCGAGGCTCGACGCGTCGCCGAGCGCCGCGGTCAGCGCGGACACGTCCTGGGCCGCCGCGGCCTTGGAGAGGGCGGCCTTGCAGGCCTCCATCTTCTCGAGGATGCCCAGCGTCGCGTTGGCCTCGGAGAAGGGCGCCTTGTAGTGCTCCGGCGACACCGCGGCCGCGGCGGCGAGCGCGGCCTTGAGCGGCGCCAGGTCGCGCGCGGCCGTCGCGGCCTTGATCGCCTCGACGAGCCCCAGCTCCGTCTCGATGGTCTTGACGAGGTCCGCGCCCTGCTTGACCTCGGGCACGTCGTCGCCGAGGCCGACGCCGGCCGCGGCCTTGACGGCGGACCGCAGCGTGTCGAGGTCGCGGCGGTCGCACGCGGACAGCACCGCGGCTTTCGCGTCGGCCTCCTTCTGGAGCTGGGCCTGGAGCGTCTGGGCGGCGCCGAGGCAGCTCGGCTCGAAGCCCATCTCGGCGCACTTGTTGAGGAAGGCGCTGAGCTGGCCGAGAGCCTTCGACGCGACCGCGTCCTCGAGCTGCTTCGTGACCTCGTCCTCCTCCGCCTGCGCCGAATTCGAATCTTCAACCCGACGTCGATGTGCGCGTATGCGACGGGTTCGACGCAATCTCTTTGGCTGTGCTTCGAGCACTCGATGAGAGCGATCGATTCGTCCCAAAATCAGCCGAATCGACTTCGATGTGACCGAGCGAGAGAAGTCTCAAGTTTGGTCGGGACCACCCAAACCAGCGGTTCGGCACAGTCCTCCGCGAGCCGGTGGCTCAGGGCCTGGGCCTGGGCGACGACCTCGTTGTCGTCGGGGATGCCAAAGTCGGCGCACTCGCCGAGCTTCGCGTCGAGCGCGCTCCGGTCGCGCGCGGCGACGCAGTCCTTGAGCGCGGCGATCAGCGCCTCCTCCTGCTTGATCTTGCTCAGCGCCTCGCGCGCAGCGCCGAGCTCCGGCGGCGCGAAGTCCATCTTCTCCGCGGACTCGATGGCCTGGACGAGCAGCGACTTGTCGTGCTTCTCGATGGCCTTGGACAGGAAGGCGACGACGCGCTTTTCTTCCTGGATGCGGACGAGGAGCGCGGACGCGTCTTTCACGATTTGCAGGTGCTTGCCGTTGCCCGGGAGCTCCGACGTGTTGTTCAGCGCCTCCTCGAGGGCCTCCTCCGTGCGCTTGGCGATGGCGCCCTTTAATAGATCTAATTCCTTCTTCCAGGTCTTCATCTTCACCTTCATGACGTAGCGCCGCGCGTACTTTTGGCAGATGACGGCCGTCTCCAGGAGCGAGTCCTCGCGCGCGACCTCGAGGTCCACGGACTGGGGCGCCTTCATGAAGATTTTCGTCGTGCCCTTGGCCCACATGCCCGCCTTGAGCACGCCCTTCTCCTCGAGGCCCTTGAGCAGCTCGTCGACGGACTTCGTCCCGCGGACGATCGTGCCGTAGCGCTTCGCGAAGTCCTTGTAGTCCTTGCGCAGCGGGTAGCCGAGCTTGCGGATGCGGCAGACCTCCAAGAGACCGGAGTAGCGCATCTGCTCGAGCATCATGGCCGACGTGAAGTTGCCGCCGATCTTTTCCTTGTTCGGCTTCATGCACCGCACAAAGTGGGGCTCCGTCGTCTGCAGCGTCGCGATGAGCTCCGCGAGCGACTTCTTGAAGGCGGAGCAGAGCGTCGCGGACTTCTTCTTCGAGCCGCCCTTGACGGGCGGCGGCGGGAGGCACGTCTTGACGAGGTCGGACGTCGTCGTGTGGAGCATGGTCACGACGTCGGGGTGGAGCTGGTCCTTGTTCTTCTCCAGGAAGTCCGTCGTGTCGTACATGACCATGCCCGCGTAGTGGACGATGCCGAAGGCGACGCGGTTGTACTCCTTGGGGCAGTTCTTCGGCCCCGCCTTCTCGAAGTTCTTGTGCGGCCCGTGCTTCGACACGAGCTTCGACAATAAGCTCGCGTCGGAGCCGCGCGGCACGGAGATCTCCTCGTCGATCATGGCCAGCACGCCCTGGCGGGGCTTCTCGAGGAGCTCCAGCGTCGGGCCGTTGTCCTCGAAGTCGCTCCGGGGCACGGAGACGCCCTCGGCCTCGTACCTGTGTGGATTCCAACCACTGGTTTGGGACGTCCCCACCAAACTTCAGAACTCTCTATCTCGGTCAAATCGACGTCGATTCGGCTGATCTTTGGACGAATCGATTGCTCTCGTCGAGTTCTCGAAGAACGGCAGAAAGCCTCGCGACTAAACCGTCGAATACGGTCACATTGAAGTCGGGTTGAAGATTTGATTTCCACACAGCCTCATACGCGGCCTCCTCCTGCGCGAAGATGAAGTCGTTGAAGAAGTACTGGAGCTTCTCGTTGCAGAGGTTGATGCAGAGCTGCTCGAGGGAGTTGTGGTGGAACGACTCGAAGCCGAAGATGTCCAAAATGGCCGCGAAGTTCGCGAAATCCTGGGTCTTGTCCATGGACGCGTTGCATTTCGCGATCGTCCACGTGAACAAGCCCTGGTAGATGGCCTTGGCCATGGAGTCGCGCGTCGCCGACGACTGCGCCGGCGTGTAGGAGACGATGATGACGCTCTTGTTGCCCACGTTCTTGGACGTCAGCGCCTTCTCGAGCTCGCCCGCGTCGAGGCCGAGCATGGCCGCGACGACGGCGAGCGTCTCCGGGTTCGCGACCCTCGACCCGTCCTCCTCCATGGCCTTGGCGACCTTCTCGAAGTGGACGTTGGACGCGTGGAGGCACGCGGCGAAGATGGCGAAGACCGTCTGCTTCTCCGCGTCCGAGTACTGCAACGTGCCGTAGGACCGGATCATGTCCTCGTACTCGGCCTCGTCGTTGAAGCCCTCGGCCTCCGTGACGCCGCTCTGGTCCAGGTAGTGGTAGTCCTGGGGGTCCGCGAGCTGGAGCGCGGCCCTCAGCTTCGGCTCCTTCTTGCAGCCCGCGATGAGCATGTAGAAGACGTGGTAGTTCCGCTCGCCCTCGGCCTGGAACGTCACGCGCGACTTCTCGAGCAGGTAGTCGATGATGGACGCGCCGACGACGCCGCCCTGCGTGTCGAACTTGACGGTGATGAGCTTGCCGAAGCGGCTCGAGTTGTTGTTGCGGAGCGTCTTCGCGTTGCCCTGCGACTCGAGGATGGGGTTCGTCTGGAGGACCTGCTCCTCGATGCCCGCCTCGCCCTCGACCTTGGCCTTGCCCGAGAGGCGCGCGCTGACGTCGCTGACGAACTGGAGCACGAGCTTCGTGTTCACGGTCTTGCCCGCGCCGGACTCGCCCGAGATGACGACGCTCTGGTTCTTCCGCTCCGCCATCATCGCCTCGAAGGTGTCGATGCCTGGGCGGGAAAAGAGAGATTCAACGTCGCTTCAACGTGAGTGTTCCGCGCGCGCGCGTTCCGGAAAAAGCATCCACGCTTCGAGAGCGCTCCGAGAGATGATCGCTCGTCCAAAAATCAGCCAAAACGAGAGGAAACCGGCCGAGCTAGGAGCCTTTGAAGTTGGGAATGTCGCACTCTTTTCCCGCCCTGGTCGATGCCGATGCCGAAGATGTGGGGCGCCTTGCCCCGGGACCCGTCGCGGTAGAGCTCCATCTGCTCCGGCGTGTAGAGCGGCAGCTTCTTGAAGGGGTTGATCGCGACGAGGATCGCGCTGCGACGGGCGGCGGTCGCGCGCGCGCGTCGCGCGGCGGAGGGGACGCGGCGCGACGCGCGCGACGTTGCTGTAGATCTTGTCCTGCTTGAAGCGGCCGCGGAGGATGTGGAGCAGCGAGTTCTCGTTGAGGTCGTTGACCTGCGCCGCGGCGCCTCGCGCGCGCGCGCGGCCGGGACCGCGCCGGGCGCCGGGCGCCGCGCCATGATGAGGTTGTCGATGCCGGAGTCGAGGCACTGCGCGTCGCAGACGTCGATCTTCGCCGTGTCCGTCAGGTTGTGCGTCTCGCCGTCGTCGCTCTGGCACTTGGTGGGCTCGCCGGGCTTGAACGCCGTGAGCACCTGCGGCGGCGCGTCCGGGCAGCGGCGGGCGAGAGCGCGGCACGCGCCTTGGCGGGCACGAAAATGTCCGTCTCATGGGGGAGCCAGATGTACGACCCCGGGGCCCGGGTCGCCATCCTCGCGCGCCGCCGCCGGTGGCTCCCGGATCACGCAGAGCGACAGGGCTGGGGGTTCCCAGAGCCACTAAATCTCGCAGCGTCGTGGCTGCCCCAAGATGCATGAAACATCCGAGAGTTGACGACGAGGTGAAGGCCATGTTGAGGCGGCCAGCGTAGCAAGCTCGGCGGCTCGGAGCGTCGACTCAGCCTCGATTGCAATATGGCACGCGCTGCCGGGGCCGCGATCGTCGCGCTGCTCGCGGCGCAGGCGTCCGCGTTCCGGCGGCCCGCGGGCGTCGCGCGGTTGCCCGCGCCGTCGCGCGGCGTGCGCCTCGGCGGTCGGCCCGTCGCGTCCGTCCCGGTGGCCCGGCCTACTGCCCTCGGTGCCAACGCGGCCCTCGACGAGAACTCGGTGTCCGGGGACACGTTCCTCGGCGCGCTCTACAAGTTCTGCCGGCCGCACACGATCCGCGGCACGATCCTCGCGTCCGTGGCCGGCGTCGCCAAGGCGCTCGCGGACAGCGGGGGACTCGCGGCGTGCTGGAGCTGGGAGCTGCTGCCGCGCGCGGCCCTGGGCCTCGTCGCCCTGCTCGCCGGCAACGCCTTCATCGTCGGCATCAACCAGCTCTACGACGTCGAGGTCGACAAGGTGAACAAGCCGTTCCTGCCGATCGCGGCCGGCGAGCTGTCGCCGGCGACGGCGAAGCTCCTCCTCGCTTTGTGCGCGGTGACGGGCCCGGCCATCGTCGCCACCCAGTTCTCGCCCCTCATCCTCCAGCTCTACGCGCTGGGCACCTTCGCCGGGACGGCCTACTCCGTGCCGCCCTTCAAGCTCAAGGCGCGGGGGCCGCTCGCCGCGGGGATCACGATCGCGACGTGCCGGGGCTTCCTCCTCAACTTCGGCGTCTACTACGCCACGCTGGAGGCCCTCGGCAAGACCTTCGCCTGGTCGCCGGGCGTCGCCTTCATGGCGCGCTTCATGACCGTCTTCGCCGCCGTCATCGCCGTCACAAAGGACCTCCCGGACGTCGAGGGCGACCGGGCCTACGGCGTCAAGACCTTCGCGACGCGCGTCGGCGTCGCCAAGGTCGCCGCCGGCGCGTCCCTGGCCCTCGCGCTCAACTACGCGTCGGCCATCGCGCAGGGCGCGTTGGCGCCCGAGGGCGCCTTCGCGCGGGGCCCGATGGTCGCGGGCCACGCGGTCCTGCTCCTGGGCCTCGGCCGCTTCTTCCTGCGGTACCGGCGGAGCGGGCCGACGAACATGGGCGCGATCAAGGGCTACTACAAGTCCATCTGGGACCTCTTCTACCTCGAGTACCTCCTCTACATCTTCATCTGAGCGTCGCCGCGTCGCGCGTCCGAAGCGCCGCGAGGGGTCGTAACCAGCCGCCGGACCCTCGTCTCGAACGCCGCGGCGGCGGTCCGCGCCGGCGGCAGGGGACGGGGTCGCCGGACGAGTCGGCGCCGGACGAGTAGGCGCCGCCGGCGGACGGGCATCCGGACGGCGTCCGGAAGTCGCATCATCCTTGCACCTCGGGAGCGCTTGGCGACGCGAAGCTCTCGCGCCGACCACTCCTCCGACCACGCCTCCGACCACGCCTCCGACCATGTCCGGCATGCCCCCGCCCGCGGCCACGGGCGCCAAGCCCGAGGACGAGGACAAGGTCCGCGCCGAGGCGAAGGAGATCGTCGAACGCGCCAAGAAAGACCTCGGACTGCGCACGTTCGCCGCCGGCGCCGCGCCGCGCCGCGCGTCGTCCTCACGCGTCCGTGTCGCAGGCAGGGCCGCAAGGACATGAAGGCGCTGTCCGCGGACAAGAAGGACGACATCCAGGCCCTCATCAACAGACGCGTCGCCGAGAGCCCGCGGCCCCGCGTCGCGACGCCTCCGCGGCCTCCCGCGCGCGTCACCCCCCTCGCCTCGCAGGCCTCGGCGACCGGCCGAAGGAGGCGCCGAAGCCCGCGGCGCCCGCGGCCGCGCCCGCCGCCGCGCCGCCGAAGAAGCTCTCCGTCGCGGAGGAGGCCGCCGCGAACAAGGCCGAGGCCGCGGGCATCGTCAAGGAGGCCCAGAAGGCCTACGACGCGCGCATCGCGGACCGCGAGAAGGCGAAGACCGCGTCCAAGGACGAGCTCCAGAAGCTCATCGACCTCAAGATCTCCGGCGGCGCGCCGGCGGCGGCGGAGGAGAAGAAGGCGGAGTAGGGGCCCGGTAACGCGGAGGCTCACAGACGGGTCTTAGGGAGGGGGGGGAATGCACGCGGGTCGCCTCTCTAGTTGTAGTGGACCTCGGCGTAGTTGTCGCAGTACTCGCCCTTGAGGGGCTCCGGCGAGGGCCCGACGAGGATGGCCGTCGTGCAGCCGACGACGACGAGCGTGATGATCCAGCCGAAGCACGTCTTCGCGAAGAGCTTGACGTTGACGCCGCCGACGCCCTCGAAGAGGCCCACGGCGACCGTCGCGCCGATCTGGCAGTGCGTCGTCGACAGGGGCCAGCCCTGGCCCGTGCCGTAGATGATGACGAAGGCCGCGCCGAGCTCGATGCAGGAGCCGCGCGACGGCGTGATGGCCGTGAGCTTGACGCCCATGGCGCGCATGATCTTGTAGCCGTAGGTCGCGAGGCCGACGACGATGCCCGCGCCGCCGAGCGCCAGGATCCACATCATCGTGCCCTCGTTCATCTCGTTGGACTTGACGACCTTGCCCTTCTTGTAGGCGACGTAGGCCGCGGCGAAGGGCCCCATGGCGTTGGCGACGTCGTTGGCGCCGTGGGAGAAGGCGTCGACGGTCGCCGTGAAGACCTGGACGTAGCGGAAGAACGCCTCGGCCTTGGCGTCGTGGCGCTCCAAGTTCGCGTGAATCGCGCCGACGCACTCGTCGGTCTTGAGCACGGCGAACTGGTCCTTGGCCAGGGCGCCCTTGAAGTAGCCCGCGACGTCGACGCCGCCCTCCTTCGTCGCCTCGCGCACCTCGTCGTCCTTCGGCGGCGTCTTGCACTCCGCGTCGGCGGCCGTCGCCTCGACGTCGTCGTCGCCGGGGAGCGCCGCGAGGTCCCCCTGGGCCTCGATCTGCTTCGTGATGTAGGGCAGGGACGCCGCGGCGCAGGCGGCGGCCGCGAGGCCCACGTAGCAGCCGATGACGATCGTCGGCACCAAATTCCCGGCCTTGGCCTCGCGCACCAAGCCCGCGGTGCCGAAGCGCTCGGGCTGGCCCTTGGTGCCCTTGACGATCCAGTAGCAGGTGTTGATCGCGAAGGTCGCGCCGACGATGACGGGGAAGGAGACCTTGGCGCGCCAGTACGCGTTCTCCGCGCGGAGCACCGTGAGCCGGATGATGCCGTAGAGCGCCGCGGCGCAGCAGCCCGAGGCCACGGGCGAGAGGACCCAGGACACGACGATCTCGGCCACGCCGTCGAGCCAGGGGAAGTTCTCGAAGGCCATGTTCGTCGTGCCGTTGCCGTAGTCGTTGCGCGTGTAGTTCCAGATGACGCAGCCCTTGCCGCGCGTCATCAGCGTCATGCCGATGATGCCGCCGACGCAGGAGTGGGTCGTGGACACGGGCATCTCGAGGTAGGACGCGAGGATGAGCCAGATGCCCACGGCGATGATGACGCACGTCATGCCGTAGATGAGCAGCCCCGGGTTGTCCTCGAAGCAGCCCACGTCCGCGATGCCCTTGCGGATGGTCTTGGACACGTTGGAGCCCATGAGCACGGCGCCCAGGAACTCGAAGACCGACGCGATCATGACGGCCTGCTTCACCGTGATGGCCTTGGACCCGACGGACGTCGCGAACGCGTTCGCGACGTCGTTCGCGCCGATGCCGTAGGCCTGCGGTACGCGCGGCGTTTTTTGCCGCGGCGCGCGCGCGCCCCGGCGCGGCGCGCGGGGCGGGGGCGAGGCGCGCGGGCGGCGGCGGCGCGCCGTCGGACGCGGCGCGCGCGCCGCGAGGAAGGCGCAGATGCCGGCGCTGATGATGTAGAAGGTCCAGTCGTCCTCCTGGAACTCCTGGCGGTTCGCGCTCATCTCGCTGTAGAGCGTCACGAGGATGAGGGCGGCGAGGCCGCGGGCGAGCGACGCGAAAGGGGCCATGGCTGTTCGGCTTGGTGTGCTTCGCAACTGTGCTTGGCAACTCCCCTTGCTCTGGCGAGATGCGATGCGGGCTGCCCGAATCTGGCTTTTTTTACGAATCTGGCTGCACACGTGTTTGAAGTTTGTAAAATTCTGTGGCGCTTTGATCAACATCATCATGATGTCGCCTCGCATCTCGTGAGCGTCGCGTCGCATCTCGCGAGGGACGATGGGCGCGAAGCCGTCGAAGCCGTACGGCGGCGAGTACGCCGTGAACGCGCGTCGCCGGCGTCGCGTCCTGTGGCAGCAAAATGAACGCATCGCGTAGGTCATGTTCCTCTGCAACCACAACAGCTGCCGCTCGCAGATGGCCGACGGCTGGCTCCGCCACCTGCGCGGCGGCGCCTCCGTCGGCGTCGCGTCCGCGGGCATCGTCGGCGGCACGGCGGTCAAGCCCGGCGCCATCGCCGTCATGCGGGAGGCCGGCGTCGACATCTCCGGGTTTTCGTCCGACGCGGTCGCCGACTTCGACGCGGCGCGCTTCGACGTCGTCGTCTCCTGCTGCGGCTGCGGCGCCAAGCTCGACCCCGAGGACAAGGTGGCCTGGAAGCGGCGCGCGATCTTCGAGGACTGGGACCTCGACGATCCGCCGGCCATCGACCCCGGGGACCTGTCCGAGTACCGCCGCGTGCGCGACGAGGTCAAAGCCAAGTGCGTCGAGCTCCTCGCCAAGCTCCGGGACGGCCCCGACCTCCCCGCGGCGAAGGGCGTCGCCTGCGGCTGCGTCGACTTCCTCTTCCTCTAGGAGACTCAGTGGAGACTAAGTCAGAGACGCGTACGAAGCAGGAGACTTAGGCGTCGGCGGCCTCCGTGGAGTTGTAGTGCTCGCCGAGGGCGTAGTAGTGGCGGTGGTACGCGACGACCAGCGGCGCGCCGTCGAACTCGGCGCCCATCTCGAGGAGGGGCGCGTCGCGCGCGTGGACGCGGATGGGCCGCCGGAGGGCCCGGGCGAGCGCGAGGAGCTCGGGCTGGCCGCCCCACTCCGCCGTGTCCCGGATCTTGCGCACGTGGTCGTCGAAGGCCGCGTCCGGGTCGTCGGCGTCCAGCGCGACGAACGCGACGAAGTCGTCCCGGTGGGACGCCATGTAGTCCGCGCACGTCCGCCGGAGCCGCGCAAAGTCGGACCCGTCGCCGAGCTGGTCCGCGACGGACCGGTAGAGGCAGTGGCCGTCGGCCGCGACCTCGCGGACTTTCAACCGCTCCGGCGCGAGCCGCGCGTTGATGGCCTCGAGCTCGAATTTACGCTCGGACGACGCCTCGAGCGCCGCGGTCTCGTCGTCGATGCGCTTCTCCTTCTCCGTCGCCTCCCTGGCCTTGCTGGCCTTCTTCGCGCGCTTCTTCTCCGCCTTGGCCCTCCGCCGCGCCTCCGCGGCCTCCTCCTCGGCCCGCTTCGCCGCCGCGGCCTCCTCCGCGCTCGGCCCCGCGGCCTCGTCGTCCTCCGTCTCCGCGTCGCCGTCGAGCGCCTCGAGCTCCTCGTGCTGCCGGTACTGCAGGTCCGCGAGGTGCCGGTCGATCTCGAAGTTCACCTCCTTCTTCTTCTTGCCGCTTTTGCCCGCGCGCAGCTGCGCCGCCTCGGCCTCGAAGGCCTCGAGCTCCTCGGCGTGCTTCGCGCGCAGGGCGTCGAGCGCGGACACGTGGCTCGCCATAGCGGAGCACGCGTCTGACGCGCGGCGCGACGCGCCTTCGCTCCTCGCGCGCAGACGCTTGCAGACCGCTTGCAGGTCCTCCAGCGGGGCCAGCAGCTCGTTTGGCGACCAGATACATGATGGATGATGCCGCGGCTCTTGAAGCGAACCGTGCCGCGGGCAGCCACCGATGATGATGACGCCAAGCTAGAATCGCCGCCGATCATGCGCCGCCTCCTCGCCGCGCTGGTCGCTCTGTGCGCGCTCGCCGCGCCGCCGAAGCAAAAGGAGAAGAAGGAGCGGCCGCCGGCGCACAACAAGATTTGGGACAAGTCCATGCGCTGCGTGCCGGCCCCCGCCGCTGCGAGGAACGCGAGCCGCTACGCCTACATGGTCGTCGTCGGCCCCATCTCGCGGTCCGCGCCGCGCTACGGCACCTGGCTCTACCCCATCCTCGCCCTGCGCCACGCGCTCGCGAGGAAGGGCTCCCGGGCCGACCTCGTCGTCCTGTGCGCGCTCGAGGAGGGCTCCGAGCAGGACCGCATGCTCCCGGAGGAGGAGGCGCTCTTCGCCGGCCAGGGCATCCGGTGGCGCTACGTGCCCAAGCCGCGGATCCGCGGCTTCCACATGGGCCACTACAAGCTCTGGGCCTGGCAGCACACGGAGTACGACCGAGTGCAGCTGTTGGACGCGGACGTGCTGCCCCTCGCGAACATGGACGCGCTCTTCGAGCTGCCGGGGCTCGCGGACGCGCCCTTCGTGGGCTGCCCGGGCAAGGACAGCGTGCTCAACGCGGGCTGGTTCTCGCTGCGGCCCGACTGCGACCACTTCAAGAAGATGACGGACCTGCTCTGGTACCGGGGCCAGCGCGGCGGCCACCCCTGGGACATGGCGCGCGGCTGGGGCGTCGACATGCCGCCCTGGCTCAACGCGCTCGATCGGCCCATGAAGGCCGGCTGGGACTTCTTCGACTCGCGGGGCAACCAGGGCCACATGTACGCGTACTTTCGGTTCTTCGCGAGGGACCTCGTGCTCATCTTCGGCGACCGCGTCCTCGCGTGGGGGCCGCGCGGCGGCGCCGAGGACGCGGCGTCGGCGCGCGCGCTGGCGCGCGGCGGCGCCGCGCCGCGCGTCGTCGCGGACCGCGGCGCGGGGGGGCCGCTCGCGGACCGCGTCTGGGCCAACTTCCCCTGCCCCTTCCACTCGGGCCCGGCGGCGCCGGAGCTGGCCTACTACCACTTCACGGGCAGCCGCAAGCCCTGGAACAAGCACGACCGGCGGAACGCCAAGTTCGCCGAGTGGTACGACACGCTCGCGGACATCGGCGTCGACGTCCAGGCCGTGCTCTTCGGGGGCGCGACGACCTAGGAGTTACCGAGGCGGAGCCGCGGCGCGTCCGCGGGGAGCACGGACGCGCCGAGGTCGTAGCCCGCGGCCGCGAGCGCGGCGTCGAGCGCGTCGACGGCGCGCTCGCCGGGCGCGGCCGCGGCGACGGCCGCCGCGAAGGCCTCCGGCGCCAGGCGCCAGAGGTCGCGGCGGCCCCGGAGCGCGCGGCCGTGGAGGAGCGCCGCGCGCTCGTCGCGCGGCGACGCGCCCTCGAGGAGCGCGACGCGGCCCGGCACGGCGACGTAGCGCCCCCCCGCCGCGGCGACGGCCGCGGCGACGCGCGCCGGGTGGCGCCGCCACGCCCGCAGGAACGCCGAAGGGGCCGCGCGGCCGCCGTTGTCGGGCGCGCCGGCGACGCGGTCGAGCTTCGCGAGCTCCGCGGGCGACGGCGCCGAACCCGTCCGCTCGAAGGCGTCGACGACCACGTCGAAGCGCCGCGGGCAGCCCAGCTTGTCGAGGGCCAGGCACCTGAGGCCGCGGCCGCAGCTGACGACGTGCAACGCCGTCAACACGCCGTACAAACCGAGGCTCGCGGCCGCCTTCGCGCCCGCCGCGGCGGCGCGCGCGCGGCGGGCCACGGCGACCGTCGCCGCGAGCGACAGGCCGAGGCCCGCGAGGCCGGACACGGTGCCGATCGCCGCGCCCTTGGCCGCGACCTCGGCGTAGTCCGCCGACGACGCGGCCCAGTGCGCCGCCACGGCCGCGTTCGCGCCGCCCGCCGCCACGCCGCAGAGCGCCTTGAGCACCGACGCCGCGCACAGCAACGGAAAAAAGCACGCGCGCGGCGCGTGGGGCGTCGCGATCTCGCAGAGCAGCGCCGCGTCCACACAGAGATCGCCGAAGAAGCGCCAGCGCCGCGCGTCGCCGTCGAGCGCCGGCGCCAAGCGCGACGTCGCGGCCAAAGACGCGACCATGCCGCTCGCGTCGCGCGCGAGCCACGCGACCGTCGCCGCCGCCGCGCTCGAGGCCGCGGTGCCGCCGAGGCCGAGGCCCGCGAAGACCGCGCTCGTCGCGAGCGCGCTCCGGAGCTGCGTCGACAGGTCCTGCGCGACGTGCCACCGCTGGTACCGGCCGTACTCGGGCGCGGTGAGCGTCGACGGCACGAAGAGCGAGGTCGCCGCGCGGCCGAAGCCGCGCGCCGCGCCGCCGCCGCCGACGCGCGCGGGCGCGTCGTTGTTGCTGATGTGCCAGCGTTTCAGGACCTCGCCGTTGCCGATCACCTCGGACGCGTAGCGCGGCAGCGCCAGCGCGCGCGCGACGTGCAGCAGGATCACGTGTAGCAGCGCGCGCATCGGTGCGATGCTCTCGTTGAGGTCGGCAACATCAATGCAGCATCAGCTTCGACCTAGCCTGCTCGCGCTCGACTCCTCGAGAACTGGGCGCGAGATCCCGGCGCGTTACGCGGCACAGGAGCCCTCCCCCTAGGGGCCGGCGAGGTCCGCGAGGGAGCCCGACGAGTCGCCGGCGGCGTCGAGGCTCGCGAGGGACGCGGCCGAGTCGCCGCGCTTCGGCGTGCAGTGGTCGAGCACGAACTGCTTCAGCGCGAGCTCCTCGGGCGAGACGGAGGCGTCGGTGCCGCCGTAGGCCACGGGGAGCTGGTCCTCGTCGACGAGCTCCCGGAGCGTGGCCTCGTAGTTGCCGCGCAGCACGGTGATCTTCTCGCGGACGTTCGGATCCAAAAGCGGCGACACGATGGACCAGATGACCCCGAAAATCGACGGCGCGTTGATGATGATCGTGCGCCAGACGCGCTCCGGGTAGTTGCGGTTGATGGCGTTGATGGCCTTGAAGTACGCGGCCGTCGCGCCGCCGCAGTCGCCGAGGCCGATCGACTTGCAGTCGATGATCTTCAGGAAGTAGCCCTCCGGGTCCTTGGGCGCCCGGCCCACCTCGTCGACGTCGTCCAGCAGCGTCGCGTAGGTCCAGGCGGACACGAAGTGCATGTGCGCGACGACGTCGGCCATGCCGATGCCCCGCCGCTCCATCGCTTTAAAGGCGCGGTTCGGGTTCTCGATGACCTCGTACGCGCAGAGGTGGCCCAGCTTGTCGCGCCGGTGGAAGAAGTGGGCGTGGGACGCCTTGATGACGTCGAAGTGGGGCTGGGGCGCGTACTGGACGTCCTCGGGCCGGTTCCCGTCCGCGCGCCACGCCTCCGTCTCCTTCCATCTTTTCAACGCCTGCGCCGGGTCGCCGCGGACCGCGCCCAGGAAGCGCTTCGGCACGTCCCGCGGGAGCGCGTCGGCGACCTCGTTTTCCGAAGACGCGCCCGCGTCCTCGAGGCCCGCGCGCGGCGGCTTCGACAGCTCGTCGCGCGGCGCGGGGATCTCCGCGGCGGCCGCGGCCTCCTTGAGCTTCTCCGCGCGCCGCGACGCGCTCCGCACGACGGCGGGCCGCGTCTTGGACCCGTCGCGCCAGCGCCAGTCCACCAACCGTAAATCCAGCGTCAGCTTCCGCCCGCGCTTCCGCGCGCGCTTCGCCGCCGCGACGGCGGCGAGCGCCGCCGGCGGCACGCGCTCGCCGTCGGGCCGCGGCGCCGCCAGCGCCTCGTCCGCCGCCGCCGCCAGCGCGCTGCGCACGGAGAGCGCGGCGACGGAGAGCAAGAGGATGGCGCCCAGCGACGCCCGGAGCTGCCACGCGTTATCTTCTCCATCGTAGACCAAACGGATGCTGTCGCCCAGGAAGCAGGCCTTGGCCACGTACGCCAGGACCCCAAAGACCACGGCCCCGACGACGTGCTCCAACGTCTGCTGGGACACGGTGCCCGGCGCGCCGCCGAGCACGGACGTCTTCAGGAACGCCGCGGGCGAGTCGACGAAGACGTCGCCGAACCCTTGGGCGACGTCCAAAGCCGTCGCGATGGCCCAGGACGCCCACTCCGGCAGCGTCGCGTCGTCGCGCGCCGCCTCGAACGCGGCTGTCGCATCGATAGCCACCAAGATGTCGAGCGTCTCGACCTTGGACTCCGCGCCGTCGTCGCGCGCCTCGCTCGCCTGTGTGGAAATCAACCGCTGGTTTGGGTGGTCCTGACCAAACTTCAGAATTCTCTCGCTCGATCAAATCGAAGTCGATTCGGCTGATTTTGGACGAATCGATTGCTCTCGTCGAGTTCTCGAAGCACAGCCGAAGAGCTTGCGTCGAAACTGTCGCATATGCGCACATTGAAGTCGGGTTGAAGATTTGAATTCCACGCAGTCGCTCGCGTCCTCCTTCTCCGCGACCTCGCACCAGAACGCGCCCCGGGCGCCGCCGGACACGGCCGCGTGGGCGTCGCCGACGGACGCCGCCGCGCCGAGGCCCTGGGCCTGGTCCGCCGCCGCGCGGCCGACGAGGGCGACGACGTCGAGCTCGACGTCCCCGGCGTTGAGCTCGAGGGCCAACGTCGCGTCTTCGACCTCAACTTTGACGGGCTCGCACCAGCCGTAGCCGAAGCGCGGCGACCCCCGCGCGACGATGCGCGGCTCCGGCGCCGCGGCCGCGAGGGTGTCGTCAGTCATGGTTTGTGAACGGCACACCCGCGCCGCGGCCGTCGCCGTCGCGAGGACGAGGTCGTGGCCGTGGGCCTTGTCGTCGAGGCGGTGCACGGCGGCGAGCGCGCGGTCCTTGGCGCGCGCGATGGCCTTGAGCCAGCCCAGGCAGTCGCGCGCGTTGACGGCCCGGAGGCAGATGGACACGTCGTTGAGGTCGCCGATCGTGAAGCAGCGGTGGTGCAGCGGCGGCGCGAAGGACTCCGCGTCGCCGTGGCGGAGGATGGAGAGGATGTCCGTGACGTGGAGGTTGTGGAGCAGCTTGCCGCTCGCCGCCGCCGACGCCGGGTCGTCGCCCTTGACGCCCGCGGCCGCGGCCGCCGCCGCGGGGTGCGCGTTCGGCAGATCCGCCGTCGCCGCGAGCGCGGCGGCCGCGGACGGGACCGCCTTGCCGGAATTCGGCGACGACGCCGGGTCCGACGCCTGGCGCGGCTGCGTCAGCGTGTTCAGCAGGCCCAGGGGCCCCGGCGGCGGGTCCTTCCGGCTCGCCCGCGCGGAGACGGGCTCGTCGAGCGGCTGGAAGACCAAAAGCGACAGGTGCGTCAGGATCACGTGCGTCTGGACCCAGGCGCCCGACGCGCCGTCCCTACACTCGAGGCGCCCGCGCCGCGTGACGCCGGGGAGGGACGCCGAGTCCCCGAGCGGGTAGACGGCGTTCGGCTTCCGCGACCGCTCCTTCGCGCGCTGCAGCGCGGACTCGAGCATGCCGCCGACGCCCGTCGTGGACTTGGCCGTGCGCCAGGCCGGCGGCGCCTCGCCCTCGAGCGCCAGGAAGCGCCGCGTCTCGCTCTGGAGCGACAGCGGGAGGTCGCCGATCGACGCGACCGTCTCCCGCAGCCAGCCGTTCAGCAGCTCGCACTGCTCGCTAATCTCCGTCGGCGACATGCGCAGGCCCAACCGCGCCTTCCGCGTGACCTTCGGGAAGCGGTCCGCCGTGCCGTAGAGCACGCCGCCGTCGTCCTGGAGCCTCTTGTGGAGCGCGCGGAACATCTCGAACTTCACGGACAGCGTCCGCTCCGCGCCGTCCTGCTCCGCGCGCACGAAGTAGGTCGGCGCGCCGCCGTTGACGGCGTAGCGCTCGATGCGCGCCGAGATGCGCTTCGAGGTGGCGTCGGGCGTCGCCGCGGCGGGCGGCGGCGGCGGCGCCGGCGCGTCGGCCGTCGACGGGGCCTTCGTGTCGTCGCCGAGCCAGCGCGCCTGCGCGGCCATCTCGTTTTTGTTGTTGTTTTCTCTTTGTGTGGCGTCGGCGGCGGCCGACGGAGCCGCCTCTTCGGGTGGCACGGCGGCGCCGACGAGGCCTGCCTTGCGGCCGTCGACGATTTGGGAGGCCGCCGAGCAAGCTTTCTTGCCACAAACTCTCTCACTCTCTTCGCCGGGGCTAAATTCGCCAGCTCACGCAGCTCTCTGAGGCGCCGCTTCGCGACGAGGTGCGCGCGCGTTCCTGTCGTGGGCGGTCTCCCGCGTATCTGTCTCTGCGCGTGGGGCCTCGGCTGTTCCGCTGGCGTGCCGCTGGCCGCCGCCGCGGCGAGATGGCCGAGCAGAGAAGGCGGGAATGTGGGCAGCCCCGTTCTCCCGCCGCCACCGCCGCTCCCGTACCACCGCCGCCGACGACCGCCGCCGCGCGCCGCCGGCGAGGGACGGAGGCGTGGCGGCGCTTCAAAGACCGCGCCAAGCCGACGTTGGCAAACTCACTGAAGGCGGCTTCAGGACCATCAATATCAGGATCTCCGAGATGGATCTCGAGGGCGACGTTTGTAGCGATCTTGCATCGTCGCGCTCTCGTCTTCCACGCCTCCCCAGCTAGCTCCGGCTCCGACTGGCAACAAGCGGCTTCGTTCTGCGCCGCGTTCCCCACCGACCGCCGCGCCCCGCGCCGCGCCCCGCCCCGCCGCCGCCGCGGGACCCCGCGCGCCCGGGGAAACGCGCGGGCGCCGGCACCGAAGCGGCGAAGGCCTTCGCCGCTTCCGTACCAGATGACGGAGCTCGACATCGCCCTCGCGGCGACGTACCTGAAGCGCGTGACGCTGAGCTCGTCGGCCCTCGACGAGCTCATCGAGGAGGAGAACACGCGGAAGATCCGCCGCGTCGTGTCCAGCAACGGCCTCATGCAGTCGTCGCCCCGGTCCGGGCTTCTGTCCGAGGAATCCGCCCCGCGGAAGAAGCCCGACGACGGCGAGCTGCGGCGCGTCGTGTCCGCCGAGGAGATGATCGAGATGGGCGCGAGCGCCGCGGCCCTCGAGTCCCTCGGCGGGGGTCCCTCCCTTTCCACCGAGAAGCGCGACGAGTCCGCGCGGGCCGTCAGCGAGGGCGACGACGACGCGCAGCTCGGCCGGGGCTCCGACGAGACCCTCGAGACGTTCGTCAAGGACCTCGAGGACCAGGGGAGCCTCGGCCCCGTCGAGATCGGCCGCTGCCGCGAGATCGCGGCCACCGCCGACGATTTCGTGAAGCGGGGGCTCAACGACGCGCTCGGCTCCGCGGTCCTCGAGGGCGACTTCCGCGACCTCGGCGACATCGTCGGCATCCACCGACGGAGCCGGCCCTACGACCTCCGCGACGACCTCCGCCGCGCGGTCGCCTTCACGAAGCAGCGCGCGATCGACTTCCGCCTCGCGGAGCGTACCGACGACGCGCTCGAGGCCATGCGCGAGCTCAAGAAGCTCCAGTGGCAGCTCGACCAGCTCTTCTGAGCCCCCGGAAATCGGACGCACCCGGGAATCTCCCCCCGCTCCCCCCCGCCCCCCATCGGCGACGCGGCCGCGACCAACGCGCACCCCGTCGGACACACCTCGCCAAGTCTAAGCAAGTGCTGTTTGTACCCGGGACGGCGCGGAAGGCGAATCCGCACTCCACCTGGCACGCGCCACATTCCTACCACGATCGACGCCTTAGGAGGGCTCGACCTTCGCGCGCTTCGCGCCGCGCTCGGGCCGGACGGTGAAGGACGCGCAGTACATGTCCTTGCTCGGCGCGACGTTGCGCACCCAGCGCAGCACGAAGTGCTCGCCCGCCAGCGCCGCGGCCTCGGCCGCGTCCGGCGACGCGAGCGGCACGCCGCCGTTCGCGGACTCCGGCAGCGGCGAGCCCACGGCGGCCTCGCACCGCGCCTTCACGTCGGCGACGACCGCCGCGGCCTGGCCCGCCTGGCCGCCCTTGGACGCGCCGGCGAAGCAGTAGCAGTGCACGACGACGGGCGCCGCCAGCTCGAGGTCCCGGAACGCGTCGAGGAGCTCGATGCCCGACGCCGGCAGGTTGTAGATCGCGTGCGTCGGCCGCAGTCCTTCGGCGACCAAGCCCCGGAGGAAGTCGCGCGCGCAGCCCGGCCCCCGCACCTCCAGCAGGTCGCCGCAGCGGTTGCGGTCCTTGTTGGCGCGGAGGTACTCGACGGACTTCGGGTTCAAGTCGTTCGCGTGGCATCGGATCCGCCGCTTCGCCGCGAGGGGCACGCTGAAGGGCCCGACGCCGCAGGTGCAGTCCGCGACCAAGGACCCCGCGGGGATGGTCTCGAGCAGCCGGCCGTGCTCGGCCTGGAGGCGGCTGTTCCAGTAGACGTTTCGGACGTCGAACTCGAAGTGGCAGCCCTGCTCCTTGAGCGCCACCTTCGTGTCCGGGTCGCCCGCGAGGATCTCGAGGTCGTAGGTCCGGAACTCGTTGGCGATGTCGCCGACCTTGTTCACGACCGTGCGCACGGTCGCGACCTTGTCGAGGAGGATCTCGCCGATGATTCGTTTGTAGGGCTCGTGCTCGGGCCGCAGGTTCAGGTGCGCGACGTGGCCCGCGGCCTCGAAGGACGTCGGCGCGTCGACGCCCGCGGGGAGCACGCGCTTCAGGGCCTCCTCCGCCGTGAAGTAGTCGTAGTCGAGCGCGACGACGTGCGCGCCGGCCGTCGCGCCGCCGGACGCCAATTCCGCGGCCACCCAGTCGCGCGCGGCCGCGTCGCCGATGGCGCCGGCGAAGCCCGCGACGGGCAAGTCGCGCGACAGCAGCACCTGCTTCGTGCCCGGCGCGGCGCCGTCGACGACGTTGCGCGTGCGCGCGACGTTGAGCAGGTGGGGCCGCAGCTTGCCCAGGAACTCGCCCGTGCGCTTCGCGGGGACGACGAGCGTGCCGACGCGGATCTCCTCGCGGATCTTCGACCGGTCGAGCACCTTCGACGCGCTCATGGTGACGCAGCGGCGCGGTAAGGTGATGGCGAGAAGGGCTAACATGTGCTGCGGGAGCGGGCCATCGCCTGTGGCGAAGAATGCGATGTTGCTCGTTGACGCGATGATGGACCCGCCTTAAACACCGTCTTCCGCCGTGAACATCGCGCCGCAGCGGTCGCAGTGATCGCATCGCTCGTCTCCGACATCGAAAAGCCAAGAAAAAAACGCGATGCGCCGCGCCTGGCCGCAGCTCCTCCGCTGCTGCGCCCTCGCCGCGGCGCTGCAATCCACCGCGCCGCCGCGGTCGCTCTACGTGCACCTGCCGTTTTGCCGGCGCCGCTGTTTTTACTGCGACTTCCCCGTCGTCGTCGCCGGCGAGGCGTCGGCGACGCGCGACCGCGCGACCGCGCGCTACGTCGACCTGCTCGAACACGAGATGGCGTCGTGGGACGCGCGCGCCGCGCCGCTCGACGCCGTCTACCTCGGCGGCGGCACGCCGTCGCTCGTGGAGCCGGCGCACATCCGGCGCCTCCTCGACGGCGTGCGCGGCGCCGTCGGCGTCGCGGAAGGCGCGGAGGTCACCATCGAGTGCGATCCGGGCACCTTCGACGCCGAAAAGCTCGCGGCCTACGTCGCCGCGGGCGTGACGCGCGTGTCCCTGGGCGTCCAGTCCTTCGACGACGGCGTCCTCGAGGCCGCGGGCCGCGCGCACCGGCGGGCCGACGCGCTCGCGGCCGTGGCGGCCGTCCGCGCCGCGGACCTGCCGCACGGCTGGAGCCTCGACCTCATCTCGGGCCTGCCCGGCCTCGACGGCGGCCTCTGGCGCGACACGCTGGCGGAGGCCCTGGCCTTCGAGCCGCCCCACGTGTCGAGCTACGACCTGCAGGTCGAGGCGGGGACCGCGTTCGGGCGATGGTACGACGACGACGGCGCGAAACCGTCCCCGGCGCGCCCCGCGCTGCCGGACGAGGCGCTGGCGGCGGACATGTACCGCGACGCGTCGCGGCTGCTGCGGGGCGCGGGCTACTGGCACTACGAGATCTCGTCCTACGCGCGGACGCCCGCGCGGAAAGCGGTCCACAACGCGCTCTACTGGCGGCCGCGCGCGTCGTGGCTCGCGCTGGGCCTCGGCGCGACGTCGTCGGCCGGCGGCGACCGCTTCACGCGACCCCGGGCCATGGCCGACTACGAGGCCTGGGTCGCCGGCGGCGCGGCCGTCGGCGAAAGCGACGAATCCGACGGCGCCGACTGGCTCCTCGACGAGCTCCTCACGGGCCTCCGGACGTCCGACGGCGTCGACCTCGGCCGCGTCCGGGCCGAGTACGGCGCCGACGCCGAGGCCGCCGTGCGCCGCGGCGCGGCCGACGCCGTCGCGGCGAACCTCGCGACGCTCGAGGGCGACGCGCTCGCGCTCGCGGACCCCGACGGGTTCCTCTTCTCCAACTTCGCGCTGTCGTCCATCTTCGCGGCGTTAGACGATTCCTAGCCTAGAGGGACAGCGTCAGGGGCGCGGCGTCCAAGTCGTCGAAGGACGCGATCATGGCGCCGAGCTGCGCCTGGAGGTCCGAGCACGCGGACCGGATGGCCCGGAGCGGGCTCTCCTCGGCCGCCGCCGGCGCGGCGGCCGCCTCCGTCCAGGGCACCTCCGTCGAGGGCTCGTCGTCCTCCGGCTCGGCCGGCGGCGGCGCATCGCGCAGAGCAAAGAACGTCGGCGGATAGAAGACGCGTGGCTCGATCTCCTTGAAAAGTTGCGCGTCCTCCTCGGCCGGCGGCGGCGCGTCGTCCTCGGCCGGCGGCGGCGCGGCGTCCTCGGCCGGCGGCGCGTCCTCCTCGGCCATCGGCGCGTCCTCCGGCTCGGCCGGCGGCGCGGCGTCCTCGGCCGGCGGCGGCGGCGCGTCCTCGGCCGGCGGCGCGGCGCCGTCCTCGGCCGGCGGCGCGTCCTCCTCGGCCATCGGCGCGTCCTCCGGCTCGGCCGGCGGCGGCGCGGCGTCCTCGGCCGGCGGCGCGTCCTCCTCCATGGGCACGCCCGCGCGCGCGTGCGGCGCGTAGCTCCGCAGCGTAGGCCGCGAGCGTCATCGCGCGGTAGGCCGCGAGCTCCGCGCCGTCGGCGGGCGCCGCGGCGCGCGGCGGCGGCGGCTTGCCGGCGATAATGGCGCGCGGCGGCGCCGCGCGCGCTTCCGCGGCGACGGCCGGCGCGGGCGCCGGGGCGCGCGCGGGCGCTTCCGCGGCGACGGCCGGCGCGGGCGCGCCCGCGGGCCCGCGCGCCGCCGCCGCGCGGCCCGCGACCGTCTCCAGGAGCTGGCGGCAGACGTCGTTGTTGAGCGCGACCTCGTAGCCGCGCTTGAGGTCCCTCGACTCGTCGAGCGCGTCGACGAGCCCGATGAAGGCGTCGACGACGTCCGAGCCCGGCGCGCTCGCGCCGTCGAGGTGCGCCTTGAGGTGCGCCTCGAGGTCCTCGCTCGTCGCGCCCGCGAGCCACTCGTGGAGCTGCGCGAGGGCCGCGCGGTCGACGGGCGCCGCGGGCGCCGCGGCCTCGACGGGCGCCGCGGCCTCGACCGCGGCCGCGGCCGCGCGCCGCGCCTGCTTCGCGGGCCGCGGCCGCTCGGCGGCCGGCGGCGCCGCGTCGACCGCCTTCGGGCGCTTCCCTTTGATGCCTTTGATGACCTTGATGGACTGGAGCAGGCCCGGCTTGCCGCGCCGGAAGTGCTCGTGCGAGTAGGAGTACATGAGGCCCTCGACGCGCTTGAAGCCGCGGTTGTGCAGCTTGTCGTAGAAGGACTGGAATTTCCAGCGGTCGAGGCCGAAGCGCGAGGGCAGCACCTCGTCGCAGAAGCGCCCGATGTTCCGGACGACGAACGCGTCGCCGTCCTCGCTCCAGCCCACGACGTCCCCGTCGGCCACGCCGCCGTTCGAGTCGACGGCGTCGTAGAGCGCCGCCGGGAACGCCGCGCCGCCTTTCGCGTTGAAGTCGCGCGGCGCGGGCCGCGGCGCCGGCGCGGCCGGCGCCACCGCGGCCTTGGCCCGGGCGGGCAGCGGCGCCGCGGCGGCGTGCGCCTCGAGGGCGCTGCGGAGGTCCGCGATGTCGCGCGGCGCCTCGGCGGCCGGCGGCGCGGCGGCCGCCGGCGGCGGCGCGAGCTTGGCCTTGGCCTGCCGCGCGGGCCGGGGCTTCTTCGGGGGCCGCGTCGCGTAGCGCGCGAGCCGCAGCGTCTTGCCCTCCTGCGTCCCGCGGACCTCGTAGTCGACGAACTCGGAGCGGCCGACGCCCGCGACGTCGTAGCGCTTCGGGCCCTTCTTCTTGAAGAACAGGGTCATGCTGTCGACGACGAAGCCCCCCGCGTCCTTCGTCTCCGCCTCGCCCTCGGGGACGTAGTTCTGGAACCTGCGAGGGAAATAGGTCCGCGCGCGCGCGCGCGGACCCGGAGGGGCGGCGGACGCCGCGGCGCGCCCGCCCTTGAAGATGTAGGAGGTGCCGTCCGTGGCGCTCTGCGGCTGCGGGATCATGTTGTAAACCGCCTGCAGCGCGTGCCGCGAGTCGAGATTGTGCTCCTCGAAGGCCCAGCGGCCCTGGAGGACGAAGGCGCCCTCGCCGTCGCTCTTGATGACCTCGCCGACGATGTGCGCCATGGCGACGGGCTCCGGCGCGGCCTCGCGCTTCATGGTGTCTTCTACCGTTCGGATGCGGCGGCGGCGCCGAGGGGCCACGCGGGGGCTGCGCGCGCGGACCCGGAGAAGCGGCGGCGCGGCGCGCGCGCGGGGCCGGGGCCGAGGGACGCGGCGGCGCGCCCGCCCGCGACGATGCAGCCGGCGCTCCTCCGAACGCCCGCGCCGAGCACCGAGGCACCACTGCGAACCGAGGCACCACTGTGGAACCGAGGGCCGAATGAAATCCAAAGACCCCCTTGGCATAAATGATATGTTTGCCCTAGTCCTTCACCTTTCCCCCAGTAAAACTGAAGCTCTCGTCGGGGCCTGGGGCTGCGTCGGCGCGCGAGGGCTCCGCGGCGCGCGCGCGGACGGACGGTTGCACGCCGCGACTCGTCGGCGGCGCGGAAGGTCGCGCAGCGCCGCGCCCGCGCGGGACGCGCACGAACCGACCGCCGGCGGCGCGGCCGACGCCGCGTAGCCCTGCGCCATGGGCGGCGCGACGTCCGTGGAGCGGACGCCGAAGATCGAGGAGGCCGACGGCATGCTGAGCATCATGTGCACGGCGCCGCTCGACGCGTCCGACGTCCTCAGCGAGAAGGACGCCTTCGACGAGATCGTGAGGCTCCGCAAGGCCATGGTCGTCATCAGCGAGGCGCGCGAGGACTGCCTCACGCAGCTGTCGCCGCGGTCGAAGAAGAAGGAGGACAAGGAGAACGGCGCGACGCGAGAGCTCGAGGGCGGCGGCGTCGTCATGACGCCCTTCAAGATGCAGGGCTTCAACGAGCCCGGCGAGCTGACGTGCGTCATGATCCCGTCCGGCTCCAAGAAATCCATCGTCTTCGTCGGCGGCGAGTCGGGCTTGATTCGGTCCTACGACTACCGCAAGGGCCACGTCGTCAAGACCTTCGCGGGCCACAAGCGCGCGGTGACGGCTTTGGCGGCGGGCGGCGGCAACGAGGCGTACTTCGTCTCCGGGTCCAAGGACAAGAGCGTGCGCATCTGGCGCTGCGACACGCAGGAGGCCGTCGCGACGCTCCGGGGCCACAGCCAGACCGTCACCAGCGTCGCCGTCTACGAGGTCGCGACCATCGCGACGGGCTGCGACGACGGCAAGCTCCGCATCTTCTCTTACGATTCTGATACCTCAGAATCCAACATGGCCGCCATGGTCAACTTCACGGCGGAGAAGGACGACGCCGGCGCCTCCGAGAAGAAGGGCGGCAAGAAGAAGAAGGGCAAGAAGAAGGAGCAGGAGGCCGTCGAGGCCGCGACGCCCGACCGGTCCTCGCAGGTCCTCGCCGTCGCCATCTCGGCCAAGCTCATCGCCGCGGGGCGCTCCGCGCTCTGCGTCGCCGTCCTCAACCACGCGGGCGTCGTCCTCTGCGACATCGCCCACGAGGGCTGGGTCTACAGCTGCCGCTTCGCGCGGCCCGACCGTTTGATCACGGGGTCGTCCGACGGCGCGACGCGCGTCTGGGACGTATCTGCGTGCCTCGGTGCCTGCGACGCGAAGAAGGCGCCGAGCCCGGCCCTCGAGCTCCCGACGGAGTCCTCATTCCAGGGCAACCGGTCCTGGATCATGGACGTCGTCACGGACGCGGACCACAAGTTCGTCTGCAGCGCGCAGCGCGACGGCGACGTCGCCGTCTGGAAGGTGCCCGACGAGTCCCCCTTCTACGCGAGCGACCCGGCCCAGCTCCTGCGCGTGTCGGAGCAGAGGGACGACGCGGACGACCACCCGGAGCCGAACGCCGTCGCGATCAACTGGAACGGCACCTTAGTCTGCTGCCCCTACAGCGACGGCTTCCTCCGCATCTACAAGCTCGGCGCCAAGCCCTCGGCCAAGGCCGTCGAGCCGGAGATGACCGAGGAGGACGTCGCGGCCCTCAAATTCCAGAAGCTCACGCGCGGCAAGAAGGCGCGGCGGACGTCCGCGATCGGCTCCGTGCTCCCGTCCATGCGGCCCCCGGACGCGTAGCGGCGCGCCCCGACTTTCTTTCCTCCGGCGTGCAATCCGCCCCACTCGCGCGCCAGGCGTCCATAACGACCAGCGAGCGCTGTTTTATTCGGTCCGCGCGGGAGCGTCGCGCGGCTCGAGCTAGATGCAGCTGAATAGGAAGGAGCTCGCGGGCGACGCCGGCGCGCAGCCGCCGGGCGCGTAGTCGCGGTTCTCCGGGCGGATCGGCTTCGGCGCGAGCCGCGGCGTCGAGACGACGACGCCTCCGCCGTCGTCGTCGTCGTCCGCGGGGACGACGGCGCGCGGCGCCATGGGCCAGGGGTGCGCGGCGACGGGCTGCTCGAGGGGGACGCCTGTCATCCGCGAGAACTCGAGCTCGTAACGCCGCACGCTCTCGGAGGAGCTCTGGCGCGAAAGTTTACTCCCCGGCGAAATTTTTTCGCACGACTTTAGGTCGTGACTTCTCCTTCGCCCGCTGCTCATCGCGTTTTACGGTATGCCGCCGGGCGACGCGTTCAGGCACACGCCCCCCCCCCCCTGTGGGTGTCGCCGAGCGCGAGATCACGTCTTTGGCGCCCGGGCGTGACTCCACAACTCTTCGTCGACTTTGATCGCTAAAATTTTGACATGGCCGACTCCCGCTATAGCGCTAGACGACACGCTAATTAGTCCGGCCTTGGCGGGCGGCTGAAGTCGTGGCGTCGCCGCAGGATCATAGAGAAGGGCGACCGCGGCGCGGCCTGGATCGCGTCCCGGTGGAGGCCCAGGCGGCCCGCGTCGCGGAACTTCGAGAGCCCGAACTCCGTCGCCGGGTAGCCGATGGGCGGCCAGCGGTCCGACTCGTCGTTCGCCCCGAAGATGTCGTCGAAGTGGTCGTTGACGGCGTCCATGCCCTCGTCGACGACGTCCGCGGGCGGCCGCGTCCACGGGTTGTCCGAGAGGTCGAGGTCCTCGTCGCGGCAGTGGAGCTTCGCGACGGACCGCACAAGCACGGCGAACTCGTTGCCGCTCAAGTTGCACTTCTCGAGCGTCGCGAGGCGGTCGCCGAAGTCGACGGGCAGCTCCGCGAAGCCGCAGTTGGCGACGTCGAGCTCGACCAAGGACGGGCACCGGTCCGCGATCGCCGACAGCGCGTCGTCCGTGAGCCCGCCGCAGCCCCGCAGCCCGAGCACCCGCAGGCGCGGCGCGCCGGCGAGCACGTCGTCGAGGGCGTCGTCGGCGAGGGGCAGCCCCGCGGCGTCGAGCGCCTCGAGGTCCGGGCAGTGGAGCGCGGCCAACGCGCGGCCCGAGAGCCCGGCGCAGTTGGCGACGTTCAGGCGCCGAAGCCGCGTGCAGCTCGCGCCGAGGACGATCATGCCTACCGAGCACGTCGGTCACGATTTTCATCATTTTCCCGGTCAAAAACTCGCGACAATCGTCACGGCCGCAGGGCGCTGGATCATGCCGACGTCGCTCAGGCCCGGGCAGCCGGAGACGTCGAGGTCGAGGAGGCCGTGGCACGCCGCGACGGCGGAGAGGCCGTGGTCCGTCAAACGGTCGCTCCCCGACAGGTCCAGCGCCTCGAGGGCCGCGCAGGTCGGGAGCAGGCGCGCGAGGGCCCCGTCGGCGACGTCGCTCGACGCGCAGCGCAGCGCGCGGAGGCGCTCCGGGCGTTTCAGCCGCGACAGCGCCGCGGCGGCGAGCGACGTGCCCGAGACGTCCAGCGTCTCCAGCGGCCCGCGCGAATCGACGTCCCGCAGCGCCCCGCAGTCGGAGACGTCCACGAACACCGCGTCGCCGAGCGCGGGCACCTCCGCGAGCGCGCCGCAGCCGCCGACGTCCAGCGTTTCGAGCGCCGCGAGGTCGGCGGGAACGGAGGTCAGCCGGCCGCAGCCCCGCGCGGCCAGCCGCCGCAGCCCGGGGCAGTGCGTCGCGATGAGGAAGAGGGCGACGTCGTCGAGGCCGGGGCAGCGCGACGCGTCGAGGCTCGCGAGGTCCGCCAAATGGCCTGGGCAGGACAAGAGAGATTCAATGTCGCTTCAACGTGAGTGTTCCGCGCGCGCGCGTCCCGGCAAAAGCATCCACGCTTCGAGACCGTTCCAAGAGATGATCGCTCGTCCAAAAATCAGCCAAAACGAGTGGAAAACGGCCGAGATATGAGGCTTTGAAGTTGGGAATTTCGCTCTCTTGCCCTGCCCTGCAAATGGCGGAGCGGCGACAGATCCGCGAGCGTCGCGCAGCCCGACACGTCGAGCGCCCGGAGGTGCGCCGCGCCCGCCAGCGCCTCGACGCCGGCGAGGCGCACGCAGCCGGCGACGCTCAGCGCCGTCAGCGAGGCCAGGGGCTCGCCCGGGAGCGCGGCGACGTTCGCGGCGCGGGACACGTCGAGCGACGTGAGCCGCGGCGCGGCCGTGTGGAGCGACGCGAGCGACCGGGACGTGAGCTGGCCCCAGTGTGCGCAGCTCAGCGTCTCGAGCCGCGGGCAGCCGCCGGCGGCGGCGAGCAGGCCGTCGACGCCGACGTCGCCGCAGCCGTCGAGCCGCAGGATCCTCAGATTCGGGCACGACGCGGCCACGACGGACAGCAGCGCGCGCGTGAGGCTCGAGCAGTCGTCGAGGACGAGCTCGACGAGGTCGCGGCGCAGCGCCGTGACGACGTGGCCGTCGGAGACGGCCTCGCGCTCGTACCACGTCAGGGGCGACAGGTCGACGACGGCGCCGTTGGCGCGCACGACGAGGTGGCCCTTCCGCTCCCAGAGCTCGCGGTCGTGCGGCGGCCACTGCTCGACGGAGGCCGCCGCGCCCATGGCGCGCCTAGGTGCAGCCCATGGCGGCGGCGCCGCTCCGGCGGCAGGCGGGGGCGACCGCGACGACGACCGCAACGACCGCCGCGGCGGCGACCGCAACCGCACGCGGCGGCGCGCGGACGACGGCGGCGGCGGCGGGCCGAAGCTGAACGGCGCGCCGGCGCGCTCAGGGAGCCGCGCTTCAGGGGAGAAACGACCCGGTCATCGGAGGCGTCGACCCTGGGATGCTGCCCGATCGCCTCAGTTCGGTGATTTTGAGGTGCAATGAACAAAGATATGTGGCATCTACATCGATAAAACTGACCTTGGATACGGCTGCCCAGCTTTATCGAGAGGCTAGCGCTCTCTCGCCTGTACAACTGGCCACCCCGTGGTTGTGCGCGACAGTGGTGCCCTGAGCCATGGGGGGCGGTCTCTCGGTGAATGAGGAGATGAAGGACCAGGTGCGTCGCCATGGCCGCGCCGCGGCGACGCAGCGAGAGGGCCGGGGGCAGCCAGCCGACGTGCGGCGCGCCGGGGCCGACGGCCGGGGGGCTGCCCCATGCCGGGGCCGCGCGCCCCGCAGCGACGCGCGCGCAACCGTGGACGCTCTTCCCCTCCGCAGCTGGCGCAGGTCTTCAACGGCCTCAGCGAGCACGGCGAGCAGCAGGACTGGCTGAGCGCCAAGGACGTGAGCCCCGACGACGCCGTCAAGGAGCTCGCGCGGCTGCGGCAGCTCGCGGCGGCCTGCGTGAACGCGAAGCACGCGGGGAAGCGCGTCAAGGACGAGCTGAACCTGGACCACTACAAGGCCAAGAAGGCCAACCTGCCGCCGGAGATCAAGTCGCTGATCACGTCCGTCATGGACAGCAACATCCTCTTCAAGCGCTGCAAGGCCGAGGAGAAGGAGGAGCTCCTCGCCAACTTCGAGGCCTGCGAGTACGCCTCCGGCGAGGTCATCATCAAGGCCGGCGACCAGGGCGACTGCTTCTACATCATCCAGACGGGGTCGTGCGACATCTTCCTCCCGAACAACGAGGTGCCCGTGGCCAAGTGCACGGCGGGCAACTCCTTCGGCGAGCTCGCGCTCATGTACGACACGCCGCGCGCGGCGACGGTGAAGTCGACGTGCCCCGTCAAGGCCTGGAAGATCGCGCGCCAGGCCTACCGCCTCATCTTGGCGTACCACGCGGTCCAGCGGTCCAACGAGCACATGGCCATCCTCAAGGAGGTCGTCCTCGTCTCGTCGGACCAGCAGGAGAAGAAGATGCTCAAGGACTGCCTCAGCGAGCCCCAGCTGCGCAAGCTCGCGGACGCGATGGACGAGGACATCGTGCACGCGGGCGACGCGATTTTGCGCGAGGGCGAGATCGGCGACACGTTCTATGTGATCGCCGACGGCCGCGTCCAGGTCGAGACGAAGCACGACGGCATCGTGACGACATTGGAGAAGGGCGGCTACTTCGGGGACCGCGCGTTGATCTCCGAGGACCGGCGCGCGGCGACGTGCACGGCCATCGGCGGCGACGTCAAGCTGCTGGCCATCGACCGCGACGACTTCCTTACATTACTCGGCAGCGTCCAGGAGATCATGAGCGCCGGCGGCACCTGCGAGGAGACGAAGAACAAGCAGCCCGTGATCAAGCGCGTCAACGACAAGATCACGAAGGCGGACCTCAAGCACATCTGCCCCCTGGGCCAGGGCGCCTTCGGCAAGGTGACGCGCGTCATGCACACGTCCACGGAGACGCACTACGCCCTCAAGGCCCAGGCCAAGTCCGCCATCGTCGAGCAGGAGCTCCAGAACACGGTGCTCCAGGAGCGCGAGGTGCTCATGCAGCTCGACCACCCCTTCGTGCTGAAGTTGGCCTGCGCCTTCCAGGACGACAAGTACATCTACTTCCTGTTGGAGCTCCTGCCGGGCGGCGAGCTCTACAAGCACATGACGAAGCGCAAGCGCTTCACGGAGCCGGAGACGAAGTTCTTCGCGAGTTCGGTGATCCTCGGCTTCCAGCACATGCACGAGAAGAACATGGCCTACCGCGACCTCAAGCCCGAGAATCTCGTGCTGGATGCCGAGGGCTTCCTCAAGGTCGTGGACCTGGGCCTCGCGAAGATGGTCGAGGGCAAGACGTTCACCATGTGCGGCACGCCCGACTACCTCTCGCCCGAGGTCATCCTCAACGAGGGCCACGACAAGTCCGTGGACTACTGGGCTTTGGGCGTGCTCCTCTTCGAGTTCGTCAACGGCGTGCCGCCCTTCTGCGCCGACGAGCCCATGCGCATCTTCGACAACATCCTGAGCAACCGCATCAAGATGCCGTCGCACTTCGGCCGCCACCTCAGCGACATCATCCGCAAGTTCTGCAAGTCCAAGCCCTCCGCGCGGCTCGGCAACGGCCGCAAGGGCTTCGGCGCCATCAAGAAGCACCGCTTCTTCTCCGGCTTCCCCTGGACGGACCTCCTCGAGCACAACAAGGACAAGATCACGCCGCCCATCGAGGTCTCCGACTCCTACGAGCTCGCGCCCGAGGAGGACTTCCTCGAGCCCTACTCCGTGCCCGACTGGAACCCGAACCTCGGCGAGTAGAAGGAGGACGAGGGCGCACCCCGCCCCCGCAAACCGACCCGACTCGCCGGCGCGCGCGACGCCGCGCCCGCGCGCGACGCGGCGCCCGCGCGCGACGCGCGCCGCACGAAGACGCCCCACCCCCGCCCTCTCGTCGCGTGTCTACTTTATCGTACCCCTCTTCCTAAGAGCTTCTCCGCGCGCCGCGCGGCCGAGGGCCGAGCCGCCCGCGCGCGCGGAGCCGCTGCCCAGGGCCCCGCGGCCGGGGCGCCAGGCGGGGCGCCGGCGCCGCCGCCCGCTGCCCAGGGCCCCGCGGCCGGGGCGCCAGGCGGGGCGCCGGCGCGCGCCGCCGCCCCTGCCGCCCTCGCCGCCGGCTCGCCACAGCGCCCTCAGTGAGTGACAATGGTGGCCGCTGCCCGGCGCGCGCGCTGGCTGCCCCGGCCCGTGCTCGTCGTCTGCGCGTGCGCGCTCCTGTCGGCGGACCTCGTCGCCGAGGCGAAGAAGAAGAAGAAGAAGAAGGCGGCGCCGATGGGCGTCTGCGAGGCCTGCGAGACCATGATGGTCGACATCCAAAAGGCCGTCAAGCAGCAGATCCGCCTCAAGTTCATGGGCAAGGAGGACGAGGACCCGGCCTGGGAGGCGCGCCTGAACCACACCTGCGCGACGGCGCCGAAGCTCGCGCCCCACTGCGAGGATTTGGTCGCGTCGCGCAAGGGCGACGTCGTCGCGGCGCTCGACGCGCTCGTGGAGCGGTCGCAGGACGCGAACGAGCGGTTCATGGACCTGCCCCAGCTGCGCATGGCCCTGTGCGGCCACGCGTCGGGCTTCCGGGCCTGCCACGCGAACCACCACTTCACGACGCGGGGCGACAAGGAGGCCGTCGACGCGTGGTTCAGGAACAACGCGGCGGTCGCGGCGACGGCCTACTTCCTGCGCCACGGCAAGGACCGCGACGACGCGGCCCTCTTCGTCGACGACGCCAAGGCCGTGCTCGAGCCCGGCGGCTGGTGGAAGGAGGCGGCCTTCCAGCACTACACGTACCGGTTCCTCGTCGAGGGCCAGCCCTGGCACAAGGGCGTCGACGTCACGCTGGGCCCCGCGGGGCAGCAGAAGTTCGAGGCCTGGAGCTTCGAGCCCCGGCCGAACTACGTCGAGCTCGACAAGCCGAAAATGATCCCCAAGCCCGGCGTCGACCGGCCCGAGGGCTGGGACGACGAGGAGGACGGACCCTGGGAGCCGCCCATGGTCAAGAACCCGGACCTCAAGAAGACGGACACGCCCTTCTACCTGCGGCCCCTCGGCGAGGAGGAGTTTTAAGCGCTAGAACCCCGCCGCGCGCTCCTCGCTCGAGCTCGGGCGTGCTCAAACAAACGAGATTTAGTTGGTGTTGTCGTAACAGCTTTTGTCAATTTACTTTTGAGTCTGGGAGAGCGTTTCGCAGAGCGGGGCTGCGTGCACGACACCGCCATGCCCGCGATGTCGCTGCCGGAATTGAGCCTGAGCCCCGCGAAATCCGCGGCCTCGCGGTCCCCCCGGTCGCCGCGGAGCCCCCGGTCCCCGAGGTCGCCGCGGGGCCGCGCGGGCCGCCTCTCCGTGAGCGGCACCACGGCCGTGGAGGTCGCCGCCCAGCTCGCCCTCGTCCAGCTCGACGAGTTCCTGGGCTCGCGGGGCATGCGCGTGAACACGCTCTTCACGAACAGCGAGTTCAACACGTCCGGCGTCGACCTCAAGGACACGGTCCTCGACGTCGGCGAGTTCGAGGGCGTGCTCCGCAAGTCCGGCGTCGCCATCCCCAGGGACCGGTTGCGGGCGCTCATGCAGCTCCTGGACACCGACGGCGGCGGCACGCTGGATGTCCGCGAACTGGAAGCCGCCCTGAAGCGCGCTAGAAAGGCGCACCGGAACACCGTCGTCGACGCTCTGACGCGCATCAAGAAGCTCGAGCTCGCGAACGCGTCCCAGGACTTCAACGTGATCCGGTCCCAGATCTACCACAGCCGCATGTGCGCGAACCGCGAGAGCCTGTCGCCGCGGAGCCCCCGGAGCCCCCGGAGCCCGAGCAAGAGCCCGCGGACGCTCGAGACGCTCACGAAGACCCAGTCCAAGGCCTGGATCCTCCAGCAGGCCATCCTCGACGACGAGGCGCGCCACCCCCTCTTCGCCAAGAAGGAGTCGGACCGCGCGAGCCCGCGGCCCGCGTGGAAGGGCGGCGGCAGCGAGTGGGCGCCGCCGAAGGTCGCGCCGCCGCCGCTCTCGCCCCGGCCCCTCCACCCGTCCCCCCGGTCCTGCGCGACGTCGACCCTCGAGCCCTTCGGGACCATCTGAGCCCCGCTTCACTAACCTCCCGGCGTGGGACATCCAGATGCGCGGGGCCATGCTTTTAAAAGGGCCAGTCGCCGTCCTCTTCCGCGTCGGGCGGGAAGTTCTCCGCGTCGTCGTCTTGCGACACCTGCGCCTCGAGGTAGGCCGGCGACGCGGACGACGGCCCCGGCGAGTAGTGCTCGCCCGTCGCGTAGTTCTCGCCCGCGTCGGCGGCCCAGACGACGACGGCGCGGTCGCCCTTGGCGAGGCTCACGACGTGGGCGTCGTCGGCGAGGAACGCGAGCCGCGCGACCTTGGTCGTGTGCACGACGCCGCGCCGGAGCTCGTCCGGCGGCCCGTCGGGCGCCGCCGCGGGCGCGGACCGGAGCTCGAGGCCGTCGGCGTCGGCGACGACGTAGGCGTCGCGGCCGTGAGCGCGGTCCACGGCGTCGATGCCCCGCGTCGCGTCCCTCGCCGTCCACGACTTCCAGCGCCAACTCGCGTGGTCGTCCAGGTCGTCGCGCCGCGTGAGGCGCCGGCTCGCCTTGCCGTCGACGGCCCAGTAGAAGAGTTCGCCCGCACCGTCCTGGCTCCGCAGCACGACGAGCCCCGAGCCCTCCACACCGAAATCCAGCGCCTCGACGGCCGCGTGGTGCCCGCTCAACGACGCGAGCGGCTTCGCCGTCCTCCGCGGGTCGAAGAGCAGCACCTTCCCGCTCCGCGCGCCGACGGCCAGCAGGTCCCCGTCGGGCGAAAAGGCCAAGGCCGTCACGGCCGTCTCGCGCAGCGCCTCGAAGCCGTGCGCGTCGTCGAGCGACTCCGCGTCCAGAAAGTGGACCGTGCCGTCCTCCAGGCCGACGACTAGAGACGCGCCCGACGGCTCGCTGTAGGTGAGCGCCGTCGCCGCGCGGGGCAGCGTCGCGTGCTTCAGCTTGCGATCCAGGGTCCAGGTGACGACGCGCCGGTCGTCGCCGCAGGTCGCGAAGGTCGCGCCGTCCGTCGGGTGCGCCGCGACGTCCCTCGCGGGCCCGACGTGGCCTTCCACCACTAAACTCCGGATCTTGCGGCCGTCGACGGCGCCGCGCTTGCCCGCCTCCGTCGTCACGTCGACGGTCATGAGCGTGCCCCGCGCCGTCGCCGCGAGGGCCGCGGCGCCGTCGCCGTCCAAGCAGCGCGCGTAGACGACGCCCGCGACCGCCGCGCCGGCCGCCGCGGCCGCGTCCGCGGACGCGGGCCGCTTCGAGGCCACGATGGCGCAGTCGCCCTGGGCACTGAGCCGGGGCCCCGCCCAGCGCCGCACGGCGCCGTCGTCGCCCGCGGAGAGCACCGCGTCGCCGGCCGGCGCGCACGACAGCGACCGCACGGGCCGCGTGCCGTGCGCGGCGAAGGACGCTAAACACACGCCGTCGCGCCAGACGTAGACGCGGCCGTTGGAGCCGCCGCTGAACGCGACGCCCGGCGCCGTGCACGAGAAGGCGAGCGCGTGCGTCGTCGCCGCGCGCGCGACTTTCGCGCCGAAGCGGCCGGGCGCTTCCCGCAGCCCGCCGCTCCGCTCGAGGGTCCAGAAGGCCACGTGGCCGTCGCCCGCGGTGCCGAAGGTCGTGGCATCCGTGGGGCAGCTCGCGAGGCACCTGACCTCCCCGCCCCGGCCGCAGGACACCAGATGCTCGCCGAGGACGTCGCCCGTCTCGGAATCGAAGACCGCTAAAAACGGCAGGCCGTCGCGGCCGCCGTCGGCGCCCGCGGCGGCGAGGGCGTGGCCGCCCAAGAACGCGACGTGGCGCACGCCGCGGAAGAGGCCGCGGCCGAGCACCTGGAGCACCTCGAGGGACCGCAGGCGCCACACGTGCACGGCGCCGGCATCGCCGGAGCACGCGACCGGCCGCGTCGCGTGCGCGGCCACGCAGCCCACGGCCTCGGCGTGGCCGCAGTAGACGCGCTGGCCGTCGTCCTCGTCGAGGTCGTCGACGACGACGGAGGAGCCGCAGGCGAAGAGGACCGTCCGCGTGGGGGGGAAATAGGCGACGGCCGAGGCGGACGGCTCGGCGCCCGGCCGGCCGAGGCCGTGCACCCGCACGGGCGTGAGGCCGCCGAGGACCCGGGCCCCGCGCGGGCTCGCCTCCGGCGCGAGCCAGCTCGGCGACGGCGGCGGGCTGTCGACGGCGACGCGCATACCCGGGACGGCCGCCGCGGCCCCGCGGCCGCCGCGGACGACCTCGGGCGGCGCGCGCGGCGCCTCGAAGAGGTCGCGGGCGAACTTGCCGTAGTCGCCGCGGTCGCAGGCCGCCCAGAGCGCGGCGAGCACGGCGTCGGCGGGCGCCGGCAGGCCCGCGGCCACGGCCAGCCCCCGGAGCGCGACGCACCACTGGGCCAAAGCCAGCCGCCGCTGGCTCCGCTTCGCGCCGCGCTCGCAGAGCGCCCGGCAGCGCCGGAGGAGCGCCGAGCTCGCCGTCTTGCGCACCTCGCGGTCGTCGGCGGTCCAGGCGCCGAGCTCCGCGCGCGCGGTGCGCTCGAGCTCGTCGCGGAGCACCGTCTTCAACGCTTTCGCGCGTTCAACATCGACATCGCTGCCGCCCGTCGCGCGCTGCACCTGGACGGGGTTGTGGTAGCTGCCGGCGTCGGGCGTCGCCACGTCGAGCCGGCGCTCGCCGGGCGCCGCGCCCCGCGACGGCGCCGGCGCCGGCGCGTCGCCCGCCGCCGCCGCCGCGACCTCGCGCGCGAAGCGGTCGCAGGAGAGCTTGCCGCCGGGCATGCGCGCCGCGAGGCCGTCGCAGAAATTGAGGACCTCGCCCTGCTCGAGGCCCACGAGCCACGTCGCCTGGAGCGCGCGCGCGAGCGTCGGCGCCTCGAGCCAGCCGTCGGCCTTGGCGTGCGTGCTGAGCACGCGCTTGATCTCGCGCTGGATCTTCGACCCGCTCCGGCCGCCGACGCGGTTCTCGACCTTCTCCACGAGGAGCTTCATGAGGTCGCGCTCCGCCGGGGCCGCGTCCCAGGCGCGCATCTTCCGCACCATGTTCAAAATGTTGGGAGAGGAGCTGCCCGGAGAGGCGTTCAACCACCCGATCTTATGCATGTTGAATTCAAGTTACCACATCAGACCGTCCCCGCGCGCGCGCTCCTCGTCTCCGCCGGCGTCGGCGCGAGCTCGCTGGCGCGGCGCACGGCGACCTTGGCCGACTTGAGGAGGAAGCCGATGAGGAGCGCCTCCGCGCGCGACTTGGCCTCGAGGCGCGCGGCGTCGGACGACGATCCCGCGAGCGCGAGGCAGTTGGCGAAGACCTTGAGCGTGTCGCGGATCCAGGTCGTCAGCGCGCGCTCCTTGGACGCGTACCAGGTCGCCGTGCCGTCGCCGCTGAGCGTGCGGACGTCGCGGCCCACGGCCCTTTGCGTCGACCGCCGCTTGAGCGTCCGCGCGGGCAGCGACGGCAGCAGCGCCTCGCCGCGGCCCAGGGAGCCGCCGAGGTTGCTCAGGTCGCTGACGTTGATGACGCTCGACAGCTCCGGCAGCACGGCCAAGAGCTCGCGCCGGAGCCGCGCGAAGTCCTTGAGCGACCGCGACACGCGCGCCTGGACCCGCCTGCGGCGCGCGTTTCTTTCGTCGGAGAAAAACAAACAAAAAAAACGGGACGCGGGCGCGCCGACGTCGTGCCGGACCGCGTCGCGACGGCCGTGCAGATGGCGTAGGCGCCCGCGCCGCGGTCGTACGTGCACACGGGCAGCCGCGCGGTCACGTCGCGCGCGATCAAGGCCACCAGGTCCATGGCGCCGGCGGCGAGGAGGTCGTCGGGGTCCGGCTTCGACGGGCCCTCCTCCTCGAACCAGCAGCTCGTCGGCCGCTTCAGCGACGACACCTCGACGTCGCTCATGGTCCGCAGCGGCGACCGCGCCCGCGGCGGCGACCGCAGGCCGCCCGCCTTGGCCGCGACCATGGCTTTTCCCACGTGTCTTTTCCGCCGCTGTACCGCGACGCGCCCCGCGACACGTGTGCGCCGACGGTGCGCGGCGCTTTGTTTCCTGGGCCGCCCGGCACGTCGACGACAGAGGCTGCCACAGCCACAACGTGAAAATTCCCGCTGGGTAAACATACGTTTGTTAACGGCAAGGTTGCGGGCGCGCTTTAACCTCACCCGCGCGATTCACATTTCGCAAGCAGGCGTCCAACGTCGTGGGGCGACGGCCGGCGCGCAACGCCGAGTCGCGCGCTCTTCGACGCGCCGCCGGCGACGCGGACCATGCCCGAGGCCGGGGGCTGGACGCACATCGGCGAGGAGAGCATCGAGCTCGGCGACCAGATCGGCGGCGGCGGCGTCGCCCTCGTCTACAAGGGCTGGTGGGGCGACGATCCCGTGGCCATCAAGACGCTCTTCGACCCCAAGGTCGACGCGAAGCTCAAGCAGGAGTACATGGACGAGCTCCTGGTGATGAGCGAGCTCAAGCACCGGAACGTCGTCACCTTTTACGGCGCGTGCATGGAGCCGCCGCGCCACTTCTTCGTCATGGAGCTCTGCGACCGCAGTTTGTACGAGCTGCTCCACGGGTCGTCGAAGCGGGGCATCGCGCCCTGCGCGCTGAGCGTCCACGAGAAGCTCCAGCTCGCCTGCGACGTCGCGGACGGCATGGCGTACCTGCACGCGCGGAAGCCGCCCATCGTGCACCGGGATCTGAAGACCCACAACGTGCTCCAGGCGTCCAACGGCGTGCTGAAGATCTGCGACTTTGGGCTCGTGCGCACGAAAAACAGCGGCGCGGGCACGCCGTCCTACATGGCGCCGGAGCTCTTCACGGGCAAGCCTTTCAACGCGTCCGTGGACGTCTACGCGTTCGGCGTGCTGCTCTGCGAGCTCTTCTCCGGCGAGCAGCCCTTTTATGGCTACGACTACATGGACCTGCGGCGCAAGGTGCCCCTGGGCGAGCGGCCCGAGCTGCCGCGCTTCGACACGCCCGAGGGCATCCGGCGGCTCATCAAGGAGTGCTGGGACGAGGACCCGGGCCGGCGACCGACCTTCGAGGACGTCGTCGACGCCGTCGACGCCGCGCGGGACGCGACGCCCGCCAAGTCCAACTGCGAGCTCCTCGACAGCCTCGACGAGTTCGGCGGCGGCGGCGACTGCCTCGACTCGCTCATGATGGGCGGGAGCCACAAGTGACGAAAAAAACAACCCCCTTGCGCGTGGAACCGAGACGCGACTCCCCCCTTCCTAACACAGACCTAACACAGACTACTTTACGTCCCGGAGCGCGGCCGCCGCGGCGACGAGCTCGTTCGCCACCATGGTCTGGTGGAACTTCTCGACGTCGCGCCGCTTGATGACCTTTTCGTCGACGAGCACGAGGATGCGGTCCATGCACAGGGTCTGCAGCGCCGCGACGGCCGCGGGGCCGAGCGCGTCCGTCGCGGCGGCGACGGCGGCCGGCGGCGGCTTCGTGAGGTCGGGGACGTCGGGGTCCTCGTAGCTGTAGGCGTCGAGCGCGCGCTGTGGCAAGGACGCGACGGTCCTCAGCGCGGACCCGGCGACGTCGGTGGCCGCGGCCGCGGCCGCGTCGCCCGCGGCGGCCGCGCCCGACTTGACGGGCTTGACGACGGCCTCCTCGACGAGGGCCTTGGCCGCGCCGGCGAACGCGGCGCCGAGGGCGCCGGCCGCGCCGGAGAGCGCGGCGCCCAAGCCCCGGCCCGCGGCCGCCGCGCCGGAGCCGACGGCGTCGCCCGCGGCCGCCGTCGCGGAGCCGACGGCGTTGGACGCGGCCGCGCCGACGCCGTCCGTCGCCTTCGCCGTCGCCGACGCCAAGGCCCGCGTCAGCGGATTCGGCGTCGTGGGCTGCCGCGGCGGCGGCGTGTCGTCGCGCGGCGGCGCGGCGGCGTCGTCGCGGACCTCTTCGAGGAGCGCGCGCGACCGCTCGAGGGCTTCGGAGCGCTCGAGCGCCGCCTGGGCGCGCTTGACTAATTCCGCGTCCCTGTCGTCCTCCTCGGCGGCGTCGTCCGCGAGGTAGACCTGGAGCACGCGGTCGCCCTCCTCGCGCTTGACGGTGCCGTCCCAGGGCGTGGCCTCGGCCGCGGCGGCCCGCGCGCGCGCCTCCTCCGCGCGCGCGGCCGCGTCCGCGCGCTGCCGCTCGGCGAGCGCGTCGGCGTCGGCCGCGGCCCGCGCGTCGGCCTCGGCCCGCGCCGCCGCGGCCGCGGCCGCTCGCTTTTCTCGCTCTTCGGCCTCCGCCGCTTCCTTCGCCGCTCGAGCCTCGGCCTCGGCTTCGGTCTCGGCGTCCTCCTCCTCGGGTTGCTCGTCAGCCTGCGCCTCCGCCTTGGCGGCGTCGAGCCGCTCCCGCGTCGCCCGTTCTCCGTCCTCGGGAGTGTACGCGCGAAGCTCCGAAACGGCGCCCTTGACCGCGTCGAGGAAGGAGCCCGTGGCCGTCGGCTCCGCGGCGACCTTGGCGGCGGCCTCGACGCGCTCGGCTTCGACGCGCTCGGCTTCGACGCGCTCGGCCTCGGCCTTGGCGGCGGCCTCGGCTTCGACGCGCTCGGCTTCGAGGCGCTCGGTCTCGACGCGCTCGGCCTCGAGGCGCTCGGTCTCGGCCTTGGCGGCGGCCTCGGCTTCCGCGACCTTGGCCTGCGCCGCCGCCTTCGCCGCCGCGGCCGCCTCGGCCTCGAGTCGTTCGGCCTCCGCGAGCCGCGCCGCCTCTGCCTCTTCCTCCTCGCGCTTCGCCTCGTCCGCCTCGGCCTCCGCCCGCCGTGCCGCCAATTCCTTGGCTCGTCGCGCGATCTCCACGGCCTCCTGGGCCTGCTCCGCCGCGAGCGCCGCGGCTTGCTCTTGTTCGGCCTTGATGCGCGCGATATCCTCCGCCGCCTCGCGCGCCTCCGCTTCGGATTTCGCCGCCGACAGCTCCTCGGCTCGTCGCCTTTCCGCGGTAGCCCGCGCTTCTTCGGCCTTGACCTCCTCCGCTGCCTTGGCCTCCGCAGCAGCTTTAGCCTCCGCAGCGGCCGCGGCTTCGAGGCGCTCAGCTTCCGCCTTCGCCTCCGCGGCCGCCTTCGCCTCCGCTTCCAGGCGCTCGGCCTCGGCCTTCGCGGCCGCTTCGGCTTCGACACGCCTGGCTTCGAGGCGCTCAGCTTCCGCCTTCGCCTCCGCTTCCAGGCGCTCGGCCTCGGCCTTCGCGGCCGCTTCGGCTTCGACACGCTCGGCTTCGAGGCGCTCAGATTCCGCCTTCGCCTCCGCTTCCAGGCGCTCGGCCTCGGCCTTCGCGGCCGCTTCGGCTTCGACGCGCTCGGCTTCCAGGCGCTTGGCCTCGATCCGCTCAGCCTCGACACGCTCGGCTTCGACGCGCTCGGCCTTCGCGGCCGCTTCGGCTTCGACGCGCTCGGCTTCCAGACGCTTGGCCTCGATCCGCTCAGCCTCGATCCGCTCAGCCTCGACACGCTCGGCTTCGACGCGCTCGGCCTTCGCGGCCGCTTCGGCTTCGACGCGCTCGGCTTCGACGCGCTCGGCCTCGAGGCGCTCGGCCTCGGCTTCTTCGGCCTTGGCCGCCGCGGCCGCCTCGGCCTCGACGCGCTTGGCTTCGAGACGCTCGGCCTCGACCCGCGCAGCACCGACCCGCGCGTCACCGCCCCGCGCGTCGCGGAGCGCCGCCTGGGCCTCGAGCGCGGCCCGCTTGGCCTCGGCGAGCAGCTCGGCAGCCTCCGTGGCCTCGCGCGCCGCGCTTTCAGCGGCCTCGACGCGCTCGGCTTCGAGACGCTCGGCTTCGACCCGCGCGGCGCCGACCCGCGCGGCGCCGGCGCGCGCCCGCGCGGCGCCGACCAGCGCGCTGGCCGCCTCCGCGGCCTCGCGCGCCTCCGCGTCGGCGAGCGCGGCCCGCTCCAGCTGCGCCGCGGCGAGCGCGGCCTCGCGCTCCGCCTGCGCCGCTCGCGCGGCGGCGGCCTCGGCCTCGGCGGCCTCGGCGGCCTCGGCGGCCTCGGCGGCCTCGGCGGCCTCGGCTGCGGCCTGCTCCGCGGCCGCGCGCGCCGCGCTCTCGGCGGCCTCCACCCGCGCGGCCTCGTCCGCCGCCGCCGCCTCGTCCGCGGCGGCGCGCGCGGCCTCGTCCGCCGCCGCCGCCTCTTCCGCCGCCGCGCGCTCGACCTGCGTCGCCCTCCAGGCGGCCTCGCGCTCCGTCTGCGCCGCCGTGGCTTCGTCGCGGACGAGCTGGCCCTCGGCGCGGAGCGCGGCCAAGGCCTCGGCGGCCTCGGCGACGAAGGCCTTCTCCGCGGCCTCGCGCGCGGCCTCTTCCGCCGCCGCGGCCTCGGCCGCGGCCGCGCGCTCCGCCTCAACCCGCGCCGCCTCTTCCGCCGCCGCGGCCGCGCGCTCCGCCTCGGCCCGCGCCGCCTCGACCCGGGCGGCCTCCTCCGCCTGGAGCCGCCTCGTCTCCGCCGCCGCGGCCTCGCCCTCGGCGGCGAGCGCGCGCATCTCGGCTTCGACTTGCTCCAGCGCCGCCGCCGCCTTGGCGCGCGCTTCGGCCTCGCGCGTGGCGGCCTCGTCGCCGAGCTCGACCTCGACCTCGGCGACGACGGCCTCGGTCTCCGTCGCCGGCGGCGCGGCCGCGTCTTCGCGGCGCGACGGGAGCCGGCGGCGCAGCTTTCGCAGGAGGTTCGTTGTTCGCGGGAATGCCTCGACGAGGCGGTCCTTGCGCAGGAGGTTCGTCGTGCGCGGGAATGCCTCGGCGAACCGGTCCTTGATGCCCGCGTCGAGGACGACGATGCCGCGACGCGCGCTGCGATGCTGCACCGGCGCCGCGCGCGGCGGCACGAAGGCCGTCGCGAGGACGGCGACGGCAAAGACCGAGAGCGCCTTTCGCATGACTGGCCTAGCGAGCTACAACAGGCACTCAGCTCGATCCCATGCCGAGCCAAAACTTCAAAGCTGACGTTGAACCATCGGTGCTGGCCGATGCGCGCCATGGCCGCTGCGAGGGCAGCCTCATGCGCGTCGCTCCTGCTGACCCTCTGGGCCAGCGCCCAACACAACCCACCGCCGCCGAACTACGAGCTCGCGCGGGACCACGACAACCTCAAGCCGCTGCAGGAGTATTTAGAGTACCGCTGGGTCGACGTCGCCGTCGGCGGCGAGAACGTGCGGCTGCGCGTGGGCCACGGCGCGGCCCTCGACGGCCTCTACGCCGAGGCCTGCGCCGCCGTCGCGGCCGGCGACGCGCGCTGCGTCGGGGAATTACGAGACTACGTCGAGGCGGAGCTCCGGCGGGACCCGACGTTCTACGGCGCCGCGACGGCCGCCATCGCGACCGACCGATCCGAGGGCTTCGCGCCCCGCGACGCCTACGAGGCCCGCGTCGAGATCGTGTCGCCGGCCCAGGGCGCGCGGACGGCGGCGCGGAGCGACACGCTCGCGTTCACCTGGCGGCTCGCCGGCGCTCCGTTCGCGCTCGGCGTCGACGGCGTCGCGTGCGTCGCCATGTACGAGGCTTACAAAACCCAACCCCTCAGCCACCGCTGTTTCGACACATTGGAAGACAGCGTCGACGGCTACCAGCGGCTGAGCGTCTTCAACGCGGCGCCCGGCGAGTACGCCCTGGTCGCGCAGCTCCGGGGAATTCGCAACGCGGACGCGCGCGGCCCGCTCGCGCTCCGCCGCGCGGTGCTCGTCGCGACGGGGCCCGCGCTCGACGCCGTCCCGCGGGACCGGCTCACGGCGGAGACCCTCGGGCGCTACTACGAGAACGTCACCCGCGCGCCGTGGGTATCCGCGGCGCTCGCGGTCGCGCCTTCCCGGGGCGCGACCGTCGCGCCGGAACGGCTCAGCGGCGACCTCGACGTGCTCTTCCGCTACGACGCGCGCCTCGCGAGCTTAGCGGCGCGCGACCTCGGCCTGGCGTCGGCCCGGGACCTCGCGGCCTGCGTCCGCGTGGGCACGGCGGAGGAGAACGACGTCGGCCACCTCGCCGGCTGCGTTTCTTTATCCCCGCACGCGGACGACCCGGCGTCGCACGAGGCGTCCGCGCTGCTCCGCGTCGGCGCGCTGCTCGCGCAGCCGCTCCTCGTCGACGCGCTGACCAAGGTGCGGTCCGGCGGCGGCGCCGGGGACGGCGCGCTCGCGCTGACGGCGCACGCGGAGGCGCGCGCGGGGCCGCCGCCAGGGCAGCAAAAGGGTGCGAAATTCCCAACTTCAAAGGCTCATATCTCGGCCGTTTTCCACTCGTTTCGGCTGATTTTTGGACGAGCGATCATCTCTCGGAACGGTCTCGAAGCGTGGGCGCTTTTTCCGGAACGCGCGCGCGCGGAACACTCACGTTGAAGCGACGTTGCATCACTCTTTTGCTGCCCAGGCCGCCGCGCGCCGCGTCCGCGACGGCGACGACGCTCGCGGCCGTCGGCGGCGGGCGGCACCGGACGCGCCGAGCGGCTTCGCGGACCTCGACGCGCTCCGTTCGGCCGTGCGCAGCTTCGAGACCCACATCGGCGGCAGTTTCGAGAAGCCGCGGAAGCAGCGCGCGCTCCGCGCCGCCGTCGAGGACGCCGCGCGTCGGCGCGCGCCCGCGCGGCCGCTCTACTGCGAGGTCGGCTTCAACGCGGGCTACTCGGCGTCGGCGGCGCTGAGCGCCGGCGCGGACGTTTTAGCGCTGGACGTGGCGACCATCGGCGCGGTCCACGCGGGCGTCGACTTCCTGCGCCGCGCGTTCCCGGGGCGGACGGTGGAGCTCCTCGCGGGCGAGAGCTGCCGCAACCTCGAGCGGGGCGCGGCCCTGTCGCCGACGTGGGCCGGCGGCCGGCAATGCGACGTCGTGTTCGTCGACGGCGACCACTTTTTTGGGCCCGCGGACTGCGACCTCCGGCTGCTGAGTCGCTTCTCGCGCGCGGGCGCGGCCGTCTTCGCGGACGACGTTCGATTCGACTGCGAGGAGAACGCCCACGCGGCGCTCTGCGGCGGCCCGCTCCGCGCCTGGAACGGCACGCTGCGCGACGGCGTCATCCGGGAAGCGGCCTGCGACGACGAGGGCTTCTGCGCGGGCTTCTACGTCCGCGCGGACTTCGCCGAGCCCGAGGCGGGGTCCTACCGCGTCTCCGGGCTGCTCGCCGCCGGCGGTCTAGCGTAGACTGCTTACTTCTCGACCTTGACGGCCTTGGCCGCGGCCGCGCGGCGCTTCGTGAACACGTCGACGGCCTTGGCGTCGTCGTCGTCGTCGTCGTCGTCGCGCGCGCGCTTCTTCGTCGGCGGCGGCGGCAACGCCGCCACGCGCAGGGCGTCGAGCACGAAGGCCACCTTCGACGGCGGCGCGGGCCCGCGCGCGGCCTTGCGGTGCGCGAGGTCCGCCAACCGCCGGAACGCCTCCGGCAGCTTGCCCCGCGCGAGCGCCGCGAAGAGGCCGTCGCCCTCGCCGCCGTCGTCGGCGAGGTCGTCGGCGTCGAGGCCGCCGTTGTCGTACTCGTCGGCGAGGAGGCCGTCGGCCCGCGCGGCCTCGAGCTTCGCGGCCGCGTCGCGGCACGTCGCGAGATCCCGGGGCAGCGTCGCCGGCACGGCCTCGCGCACGCGCCACGCCGTGTCGACGGCGTTGAGCGGCGCCGCGCGCGTCGACGCGACGTCGCGCCAGAGCGGCGCCAAAGCGCCGCCGACCGCATGCTTGCCCGCGCGGCGGCGCCGCTTCTCGACGTCGTCGGCGCGCCGCGCGCCGTTCCTCGCCGTCGCGTTGCGGTGCGCCAGGCTCGCGAGCGCGTCCCACAACGCCGGCGGCGCGTCGCGCTCGCCCTTGGCGGCGACGGCGCGCTCGACGACGGCGGCCGCGGCCTCCGCGTCGCCCGCCGCGGACTCGAGGAAGGCCGCGTACGCGAGCACGTACGTCGCGTCGTTGGCCAGCAAGAGCTCGGGCCGCTGCGATAACCCGAGCTCGAAGGTGCGGCGGGCCGCGTCGACGTCGCCGTTCATGGAGAGCTCCAAAGCCGCGTGGGCCTCGTAGATCTTCGCGCTCAATTTCTTCGACGCGCGCAGTCCCTGCGTCCGCGCAAAGACCGCGCGGCCGGCTTCTTTCCCGCCGTGGCGCCGCGCGTGGCGCTCGAGGAGCGCCCAGGGCGCCGCGTCGAGCTCGCCCTCGCGCGCGTCCGGGTCGTCCGTCAGGGGCGCCGCGTCCACCAAGGCCTCCAACGCCGCCTCGGCCTCGCTCGGCCGGTCCAGACGGTCCAGGAGAGCCGCGCGCGCCGCCACGACCAACACGGACGTCGGCGCCGCGGCGGTGGCCTCCTCCAGAGCTCGAGCGGCGGCCTCGGGCCCCGCGGGCGCGCCCGCGAAGAGGGGCCCGTCGGCGTCGACGTCGAAGGGCGACTCGAACGGCGCGTCGTCGCCTTCGCCGCACCACGCGGCGAACTCCAGGAACAGCTCCGGCGCGTCGCCGGCGTTCGCGTCGCACGCCGCGCGGTAGGCCGCGGCCACGCGGCGCCGGCCGCAGGCGTAGTGGAGCGCGGCGGCCTTGGTCTCCGCCGGCAGCAGGTCCGTCGCCGTCGACTTCTTGGGCGCGGACGCGCGCTCGTACGCGACGACGATGCGCCACTTGCCGAGCTCGTCGCCGTCGGCGTGGCGCGCGGCGTGCCAGAGCTGGGACCGCGCGACGCCGTCCTTGCGCGCGGCGACGCGGTGGGGCTCGAGGCATTTCACCAGATCCTTGAGCTCGCGGTCCGAGGTTTCCCTCGCTTCCCGGTCGAGCTCGGCGTACGCTTCCTCGGTGCCGTCGCCCGGCACGAGGCACGCGCGCTCCAGCGCGGACCGCCGCAGCTTCTTCCGCAGACTGACGGGCGCCGCGTTGGCGCACCAGTCCACGTAGCAGCGCCAGAGCGGCGCCGCGTCGGGCGCCGCGCCCGCGACGGCGACGGCGCGCTCGAACGCGCGGCCGAGCGCCTTCGACTCCGGGCCGAGCTCGTCCTCGCGGCGGCCGCAGTCGCGGCGGAGCTCGCAGGCGACGCGCCAGAGCTCCGGGTCGCAGCGGCACCAGGGCAAAGCGCTCGACCCGCCGCCCTCGAGCACGGCCAGGCCGCTCGCCGGCCCCGACAGCGACCGCTCGTGCTCCGCGTAGAGGCGCCAGAAGAGCGCCGTGCGCGGGAAGTGGGTCACGCCGTGCTGGAGCATGTCCACGTACTCCTCGGGGCTCCGCGCCTGCGCGAGCTGCGCCTGCAACGCGCCGGGCGTCGCCATGGTGGCCTCTTTTGCGCTTTGACGGCGAGGCCGCGATGCGCGCCGCCGGCGGGCCCAGGGCGCCGGCCGGGCCCGCCTACGCGCCGCGCGCCGGCCGCCCGACGTCGTCCGCCCCCCGCACTTCCCCCCCCCGCCGCCGCGCGCCGCTCCGTCCGCCAGCCCCTCTTAGTGGTCCGCGAAGGCGAGGGACGTGTCCTGGGATTCGCGGGACTGCTGGGCGTTGATGAGGAAGTCCGTGATCTCGTCGACCGTGAGCGTCTCGCTCTTGTCCGCGTCGATCGTGTCGAAGAGCGCGCCGATCTGGTCGTCCGTGATGCCCGGCAGCAGGCCCGAGAGCGCCTTGACGCACTCCCCCCGCTCGAGCTCGCCGGAGCCGTCCGCGTCGTAGTGGCCGAGCGTGTGCTTCACGGCGACGCGCATGTTGCCGCCCATGCCCTCGAACTTGTCCAGCAGCAGGTTCCGCAGCTTCGTCACGGCCCGCGTCCCCTTGGGCGGCGGTTTCGTCGCGCGCTTCGCGTCGCCGTGGGAGAATTTGAATAGGATTTCCTTGATCTCGCCGTCGTTGCAGCGCCGCCAGACGACCTCGGACGACGCGCCGTCGAACAGGCCGCTCTCGTCGACGTCGAAGTGGTCCAGCGCCTGCGGGGCGCGGCGTTTTTTTAAAGGTCGCTGACGGATTCCCGCGCGGCCCCGAGCGCCTGCTCGAACTGGCGCAGCGTCAGGTGCCGCGCCTTGACCGTGGACCGGTGGCGGTCGCACGCGCGCCTCAGCAACTTGTCCTCCAGCAGGGGCTCGCGGCGCGCCGTGCTGGAGAAGGCGTCGACCTGGAAAGGCGCGTCTTCAAAAAGGGGTGCGTGTGTCTCTCTCGCGAATCACTTTCGCTCGGCTCTGGGGCGGGCGGCCTTGGCGACGTTCGCCATCGTCCGCGCCCGGAGCCGGAGCTGGTGGAAGAACTGCGTCACGACCGCGTCCTCCGCGGCGGCGCGCGCCTGGTCGCTGATCTTGCGGGGCGCGCCGGCCGTGCCCGGCCGCGGCGGGTGCGTCGTCTTGACGCCCGTCAGCGCGCCGCCCGACGTCTGGCGGCCGTGCTCCTCCCGGTCCTTGGCGAGCTTCGTCAGCGCCTCCTCGAACTCAGCGATGGACACGGCGCCGGAGCCGTCGGCGTCGAAGGTCTCGGCGAGGGCCGCGAACTCGGCGTCGTCCATGCCGTGCAGGAAGTCGCCCAACGCGTTGCGGAACTCGCCCATGTCGAGCTCGCCGGACTTGTCGTCGTCGTACTTGCTCAGGAGCAGCTTGATCTGGACCTGCATGGACCCGCCGCGCTCCGAGATCTTGTCCAAAATCGTGTCCAGCATCCACGCCTTGCGCTGGTCCGTCACCGTGGCCGCCATATCGTTTAAAAGGCTGCCAGCAATGTATCTACCGAGTTGCGACGAGCACCGCGCGCATAAGGTTGTGACAACGAACGGCACCGATTTGGTTCCGGGTTTGGTGTAACTGATCCCAGCTGTGAGATTTCAAGTAAGACCGGTGGTTCTGGTAAAATCCCTCAAGTTGAAGCGCAACTTGGCGACTCTCCTCGGCGCCGCATCGACGCAGCCGGCGCCTCGACCGCCGTCACGCGGCGCGCCAACACGTTAACAGAGCGGACCTGCGACGCGAAACGGATGGCGAAGAAGCGGAAGGCGCCCGCGCCGACGGACGCGTCCACCGACGCCACAGCGTCTTCCTCCACGGCCGACGCCGCGCCGACGGAGAGCGTCGACGACATCTTCGCCGCGCTCGCGAAGCCGAGCAAAACGGCGAAAAAAGCGGCGACGAAGCCGACGAAGTGCGAGCCCGCGCGGCGGCGCGACGACGACGACGCGGGCGACGACGCGTGGCGAGCGGGCGGCGGCGAGACCGACTACTACGGCAAGCAGCGCGACCCCAAAGTCCACCGGTGCGTTCCCGCGCGCCCGCCCCCCCGCCGCCCTCGACGCCCGTCGACCGCAGGTACACGCCCGAGGGTCTACCGATCTACAAGTACTTCCACCTGGGCATGCAGCAGGAGGACGGCGGCACGCCCCAGTGCCCCTTCGACTGCGAGTGCTGTTTTTAATTATGAGGGAGGCGGCGGCGGGGTGTCGAAGGTCGCCGGGCCGGCGGCCTTGCCCGGTAGTTTCGTAGTACTTTTACTTCTGCTAGTTGACAAGAAGGCTGACAAGGTTGGCAAAAACTTTTGAAGGCTGGTCAACAAGAAGGCTGACAAGAAGGACGACAAGGCTGTCAAGAAGGTTGACAAGAAGGACGACAAGAAGGCTTATAAGGCTGACAAAAAGAAACGGAAGGCCCCGGCAAAGTCGAAGCGGCGCGCGTCCGGGGCTCGGAACAGAGCATCGGCGGGTGTTCAAACCTTCTTCGCCTTGAGCGCCAGCTTCACGGCCGCGGCGGCTCCGGTGCAGAGCAGGAGGACCACGGACAACACGGACGCCAGGAGGCACGCGTAGAACACGCCCCAGGTTCGATCCGGGTACAACCCTCGGAGCGGAAACGCGATCCAAAAGAGCGCGTGGGGGACGCCGTCCTCGCAGGTGCCCTTCAAAAGCGCGGCGTTGGCCGAGGCATCCTTGTCCATGGTGTCCCACACGGCCTTGGCCCGGAAGCACGTGTACCTCGAGTTTCCGCGGTCGAGGTCGATGTGCTGCAGCGTGAACGAGAGGTGCTGCGGCAGGGTGCCATCCACGAGCAGGCCGTTGGAGCCGGGCTTCTCGTTGATGGTGTGCTTGAAGGTCTTCTTGAGGTTCCAGCCGATGCCGAAGACGCCGTCGCCCTCCTTCCACTGCCAGCGCCGGCAGCGGGCCGGGGGGCGGCGGTCGTAGAGGTAGCCCCCGCGGGTGACGAGGTCCGTCTCCGCGAGGCAGAGCATCTCGAGGTCCGGGTGCTCGCCCACCTTCTTGTACATCTCCCGGAAGTGGCCGTCGGCGTTTTCGAAGCCGAGGTCCTCCACGTTCCAGGGCTCGCCGTAGAACTTGCGCTTCCAGAGCGGCGCGAGGTTGAAGCGCTCGTCGAGGAGGTCGCGCACGTCGCCGGAGACGAGCATGAACTTGTAGAAGGAGAGCAGGTGGCTGTGGAACTTCCACCGGATGAGGATGCCGTTGTTGAACATGCGCATGTTGTACCAGATGACCGAGTCGTAGGCGATGGGCGCCGGGAAGGTGCCGACGTAGGTCTGCTGGTTGTTCATGTCGAAGCGGCCGGGCACGCCCACGTTGAAGAAGGTCGAGAGCGGCCGCGGCTCGACGCCGCCCATCTTCTCGAGGATCTTGTCGTGCGTGAACCACTTGATGGCGACCTCGAAGTACCAGCCGAAAGCCTCGTCGCCCGCGGCGCGGACGTCGTTGATCTCGCCCTCGAGGTCGACCTTCTCGTGGATGTCGCGCGCGATGCCCTTGGGCGACTTCTCGTAGAGGCAGTCCGCGCCGCCCTCGTCGTCGTCGCACTCGTAGTCGCCGTGCCACTCGAAGAACCACGACACGTTGTTGCAGGGCTTGGGCAGGGAGCCGCAGTCGTACTCGCCGGTCCGCGGCCGCACGCCGGGCTGGGGGCCGATGTGGATGTGGTGGATGTGGATCGGCGGGTAGCCGAGCGTCGTCCCCGTCTTCGCGTCGCGCGTGACGATGGACGCGTCCGTGACGTAGATGGTCCCGTGCTCGTCGTACTTGTCGCCGAGCTTCCAGAGGTCGGCCCAGCCGAGCTGCCACCAGTCGTAGCCGCCCGTGGAGTACATGGGGCCGATCATCTCGATGGACCACGTGCCCCCGTCGGAGTCCGACGGGACCTCGCAGTGCTTGTGCCGGACCTCGAAGCCCTCGTTGGCGTAGGAGCCGCCGCCCCGCAGCTTGTTGTAGCGGGGGTAGAGGTGCGAGTTCTCCGGGATGAGGTCCAGATTCTCGAAGTTCTGGAACGCGGGCGTGTTCGGGAAGTAGTTCACCGTCGCCAGCGACCGCGCGTCGGAGAACTTGACCCACGGGAACGCGGCGTCGTCCTCGAAGCAGGCGTGGCGCGGGTTCTCGAAGTCGCGCGACACCGGGTAGTTGCGCGGGTCGTCATAGCTGAAGTCCGGGTTCGTGCCGAAGTTGTCGCCGAAGACGTCGTCGTCCAGCGTCGACGTCACCCACTCCTGCGAGCGCACCTCGAACGACTGCTTCCCCAGCTCCAGCAGGTGCTCCTGGATGGTCTCCGCGCTGAGCCGCGGCACGAGCACGGCGCCGAGCAGCGCGGCGCGGGCAGCCGCGACCATCGTACGTAGAGATCGGTCAGCTGGAAGTATAATCCAAGCCCTGGAGTCTCCAAGGCAGTTGTCCAGATGGAATCAATAGAAGTTGAAAGTCAAGACACTGTGCAAGACTTTTCGTTAGTCAAGAAACTTATTACCACTTGCTCCTAGTGCTTACTCCTCGTCGCTGGCCATGGAGGAGTCGGACGTCGTCCGGAGCGTAGGGGCGTCCTGACCGTCAGTGACGACGGCCTCGTTCGCGAGGGGCGAGCACGTGTGCGGCTCGTCGTCGGCCAGCTGCGCCACCGCCTTCGGCTATAGACTATCCTGACACGACACAGTGCACGAGCCTGACTCTCTAGTTAAGGAGCTAGTAAACTACCCTGCGCAGGATGTAAAGGAAACAAGTAAAATAAATCAAACTAAATCTAGCCAATAATTACACGAAAAACAAAAGGGTAGGGTCAACAAAAGAGTCACCATAGGCGGTCAAGGAAAAAGCCGACGAGGTCCGCCAGCGTCGAGGCGGCGCGCTCGGCAAAGGACTCGGACCCGTTTGTCTTTGGCGTACTCTCGGCTGTGCTTCTCCGACTTGCGGCCCGCGTCGGCTTCGTCTTTGACCGGCGTCGTTGCGCCGAGACGCCCGCGAAGCCGGCCGGGTACGACGTGGAAGGCGACGACCGCCGCGACGGCCGCGGCATGGAGGACTCGGACTCGTACCAGGCGACCGTGTCGTCGTAGTCGGACGCCGACAGCACGTCCACATCTAAGTCGCCGTCGACGTCGATCGCAATGACCTCGCGGGCACCGTCCGCAAGCGTCGTGATGACGCGCTCGGCGAACGACTGGGACCCGTCGTTGTTGTACCAGGCGACCGTGTGGTTGCCGGCGGACGCCGCGACGACGTCGACGTCGCCGTCGCCGTCGGCCGCGAAGACGGAGACGGCGCCGTCCGCCGAGTCGGTGATGTCGCGCTCGGCGAAGGAGACGCTGGCGCAGCTGACCGTCGACTCTTCGGAGGTCGCCGCTCGAAACAGGAGCAGCGGCAGCAACCGCACGATGGCACGCATCACGGGTCGCTGAGGAGGCTGCGCCACTCAGCGGCGCAGCCTCCTCAGCAGTCGGCGGTCGGAGATGGAACACTGCACTCGAGGTTGGGCCGGTCTCCGGCTAGAATGCAGCAGGGCGGGGCGGGCGGGTATTCAGCTGTCGATGTGACGAGGCTCAAGGGCAGTCCACGATAACAATCCTCGACCCAGGGCCGGTTTGGCAGACCGCAAGGTAAATGTTGGCTGGCTGGCTGGCTCGGTCGCTGGCAGCCACCCATTTCTTCAATGTAGACGTTGCATGTGCAAATCTTGCGATTTTCGCGCGGGAATCATGTCAAAATCTAATTAGGCGCCCGGAGTGGCCCGCCGGGGGTGACGGAAGCGCGAGCGCCGACGCGCGTGGCCGGCGGCCAGCCGGTCGCCGCAGCCGCCCCAGGACGGCGCGGCGCGCCGTAGGCGCGCGTTGTAGAGGTTGTAGCGAGGGGTCGTTTCGTGGACTGGACGTCCCTGGCTGGCTGGCTGGGTCGGCCCTGCCAGTGGGCGGCTGGCTGCGGTCTTGGCCTGCCCTTGCGAGGCTGCCCACAAAGAAAGTCAAGTCCGGCATCAACAACCACCGGTAACAAGCAACGTTGCTCCACCGCGCCGCGCGCCGGCCTGACGGGCCCAGCGCGGGCACGCGCCCCTTGGCGCGCGCGGGGGCGGCGCGCCGCCGCCGAGGTCCTCGCCGAGGAGCGCGCGGAGCCGCTGCGTCGCGACGCCGCGGTGCGCCGCGAGCGCGCAATGTATCCCGCCGATCTACGAGTACGTCCACCTGGGCATGCAGCAGGAGGACGGCGGCACCCCTTCGACTGCGAGTGCTGTATTTCATTATGGGGGAGGCGGCGGCGGGGCGTCGAAGGTCGCCGGGCCGGCGGCCTTGCCCGGGGTCTCGAAGCCGGTCGGAGGGGCGGCGCCCGCGATGGTCGCGCCCTGGAGCCGCGCCTCGAGCTTGGCGAGGCGGTCCGGCGCCATCTTCGGCGGCGGCGGCGCCGCGCCCTGGAGCCGCGCCTCGAGCTTGGCGAGGCGCGCCGGGTCGACGGTTAGGGCCGCGCGCGGCCGCGGCCAGTCGAGCCGCGCGAGGCGGCAGCGCCGCGGCTCCGCGGCGCGCGGCGCCTTGTCGTCGCGCGCCTCGAGCGCCAGGAGCAGCCGGGGCCCGAGGCAGCAGAGGCCCGCGACCGTCGGCGGGTCCAAGGCCCGCCGGCCGAGCTCCGCGCCGGCGTCGTCGTAGAACGCGGCGAGGCCGTCGCCGGCGACGGCGACCGCGCGGTTCCGGACCGCGAGCGCGCGCGGCGCCGGCTCGCCGGCGGCGCCGGCGACCGCGAAGCGCGCCGCGCCCGTCCGCGCGTCGAAGCCGAGAACCCCTCCGTGCCAACTCGCCGCGGCGCCGAGGTCGCCCGACACCGCCAGCGCCGTGCAGCGGCCGTCCGGCAGCGCGAGCGTCCAGGCGTCGCCGGGGAGCCGCGCGAGGAAGCCGTCGAGGAAGGCGGCGACGACGCCGCCGCCGTCCGCGTGCGCGACTTTCACCGCGCACCGGCCCTCGCCCAAAATCACGCCGGGCGCCGCGGCGCCGTCGGCGGCCATCTTGAAAAGCTCGACGCCCGCGAAGGTGCCGACGGCGACCTCGTAGGCGCCGTCGGGAAGCGCGCGCACGGCGACGTCCTTGACCTCGCCGACGGGGTCGAGCGTCGCGGCGCCGCCGGCGGTCGCGACGGACACGCCGCGCCGCGCGGCGGCCGCGACGCAGCCGCCGTCGGCGGACCACGCGTGCGCGACGGCACCGGGGCCCGCGGCCTTGAGGAGCTGGGTCTGCGCGTGCTCGAGGCCCTCGACGCCGACGATGGCGCCGGAGGCCGTCGCGAGGCTCGCCGCGCCGGTGGGACAGGCGACGAGGCACGAGTTCAACGTGGCGGCGGCGCAGGCGCCGGCGTCGAAGGACTGGAGCTGGGGCTGCGTCGATGCAAAGAGCGCCATTGGCTAGCGGTTTGCTGCTGCGAGCGCAGCTCTCATTTGCGAGGGCTCGACCATGCCGCGCAGTGCCTCGCCGGGGGTTTTTGGCGCCCCGGGGAGTGTCCCGGCGTTTGCCTATGGACGTGGCGATGGATGCGACACGGCGGACGCCGGCGCGCGCCTGCGGGGGCGGTGCCAGCTTGGAGCGGGTGCTGCTCATGGTTGCCACCGCTCCGGCGCGGGCGCTAGCAGCCGGACGCGCGCGGCTCGCTCGTCAAGTTAGGGGGTCGGTCACAGAATCTCGGGTCGCGCGGAGCATCAAACCCGATCTGCCAGCACGTTCCGATATGACGAAGGGAATATAGATCGAACTAGAGGGTCGATGTTAATCTCGAGACGCGGCACGACCGAGGGGCCCCTGCGCGACGGTGCGTGCCGCGGTCCCCGGCCACGTCCCCGGCCCGTGCCCGGGCCGTGCCCGGGGCCCCGTGCCGGGCCCGTGCCGGGCCTCTCCGGCCCGTGCCCGGCCCGTGCCCGGGGCCCGTGCCGAGTGCCGGGCCCGTGCCGGGCCGCGTGGCCCGTGCCCGGCCCGTGCCCGGGGGCCCGTGCCGAGTGCCGTGCCGCGTGCCGGGCCCGTGCCGGGCCGCGTGCCCTGAGCGCATTTACCGTGCCGGAACCCCCGTGCCCGCCGTCCCCGCCCCCCGTCCCGGGGCCGGACCGTCGCGCAGGGGCCCGTCTAAATTATAAACGCCAACATGAAGTGCGAAAAAGAACATCTCGGGGGTCTGTCGTCATCGGGTTGCTCACTGACTCTGGTGCTGCTGATCGCACGCGGAAACCTTCAATTCTGGCAGCCGTGGCGCCCGCGTCGAGGCTGAACACCTTAATCCCCTTCGCGGGCACACCCGTGGTGCCATGATCGAACCGACTGCGACGGCCCCGCCGCCGCCGCCTCAGCCGGAGATGACATCATCAACTGCAAGCATGGAAGCGCGCGCGCGATCCGGCGGGCTGGCCAACGACCTCGGCGGCGTCCCGCCGGATTACTTCGTGATCAAGCTCTACCAGATGCTCCGCGAGCAGAAGGAGGTCATCGCGTCGGTCCCCCGCGTCCGCGGCCGCCGCCGGTCGATTCGGAAACGCCGGTCGATTCTGAACGCGCGATTCGTAGGTGGGACCCCGAGGGCGGCATCATCATCCACGACCGGCAGCGGCTCGAGGCGACGCTGTCCGTCTACTTCCGGCACAACCGGTTCACGTCGTTCCAGCGCCAGCTCAACAACTTCGGCTTCCACAAGAAGCGCAAGGGCTTCGGCGCGAGCGCGGCCGGCGCGCGCAAGGGCGCGGCCTACGACCACCCGCTCCTCTGCGGCGAGCAGCCCGAGGCCGTGCTCCGCCTGCGCCGCGACGCGCGGCCGCGCCAGCCCGCCGCGCCGAGCCCGCGCGCGGCGCCGCCGGCCGCGGCGCCGCCGCCGCGGCCGGCGGGCGGCCTCAGCATCCTCGAGACCCTGGCGGACGTCGCCGCGTCGGCGCTCCACAGCCACAACGCGGCCCAGTCCTCCGAGGACGCGTCGGACGGGTCCCTGGACAGCTCGGCCCAGAGCACGGCGACGCTCTCGAACTCGAACTCGGGCGGCGACCTCGAGGACCTCGCGCGCGACGCGTCCGACGCCGCGTCGCCGCCGTCGCCGCGCGTGCTGCCGCCGCCCGTGCCCACGGCGGCGTCGGCCCTCGCGTCGGCCCTCGCGCGGCCGGGCGGGCCCGTCGCCGCGGCGCTCGCGCTCCCGGAGCTCTTCTCGGCCGCGGCGCGGCCGCGGCGCGCGCGGCCCTTCCCCTGCGTGCTCAAGGACATGATCGACAACACGCCCGACGACGTCGTCGCCTGGTCCGACGACGGCCGCGTCTTCCTCGTCCGCGACGCGGACGCGCTCTGCAAGGACGTGCTCCCCAAGTACTTCCGGCATTGCCGCCTCGCGTCGTTCCAGCGCCAGCTGAGCCTCTACCAGTTCCGCCGCGCGCGCATGCAGCGGCCCGCGGCGCCGGACGGCCGGCCCGCGGCGAAGCCCCACGGCGGCGGGCTGCCCCTCGCGTACCACCACCCCAAGTTCGTCCGCGACGCCGACGAGGCCGCGCTCCGCCAGATCACGCGCGCGGCGCCCAAGCCGCCCGCGGCGGCGGCGGCGCCGCCGCCGCCGGCGGCGGCCGACGCGCCGCGGGCGCCGCGGCCCCTCGGCTCGCCGCCGTCGCCGCGGCCCCTCGGCTCGCCGCCGTCGCCGCGGCCGCTCGGCTCCGCGCCCGCGGCCGCGCCGGGCCCGCCGTCGGCGGGCCACGTCACGGACGCGGGCACCTCCTCCGACGAGGACCCCGTCAAGCCCGACGCCGCGGCGCCCGCGGACGACGCGTCGCGGAAGCGCGCCGCGCCCGCCGCCGAGGGCCACGACGGCGCCCTCGCGGCGCTCTGCGCCCTCCGCGGCGGCGGCGACGACGACGACATGAACAAGCGCATGCGCATCGTCGGCTGAAGCCCGCCCGACGCGCCCGCGAGGAGCTCTTCTACAGGGAGCCGCGCGGCGCGCCACAAGCCTCGACTCGATGATCCCGCCTCGACTCGCGAAGCCCGTCCATCTCTAAGGACGCCCTTCCATGTGCCCTCGCATGCCGCGCGGCGCGGGGTCCGTGCGGGAGCCGGGGGGAGGGCGCCGGCCGTCCGCCTGGTCGCGCTTGCCGGCGGTCCCGAGCGTCGACGATCGGTCGACGCGGACCTCGGGCGCCCGTACGTGGAGTCACGGTCGGACTCTCGGGATATTCTTAGCGACGCGGGGGGGGGGTTGCTTGGTCATTTTTTCGGGGGCGCAGCCCCCCTCCTAGAGGAGCGTGTCGTCCGTGCAGCCCGGCCAGTAGGACAGGGAGTCGTAGACGTAGGGGAGGTCGTCGTTCGTCGGGTCGACGAGCTCGTAGAACTCGTTGTTCGTGTAGAGGCCGTCCTGGCTGTCCATGAGGTCTGCGAAGGGCAGCAGGTCGTCGCCCTTGTGGCCCGGGCACGTCTCCTTGGCGCAGGTCGGCAGCTCCATGGACGCCGGGTCGACGCCGGACCAGTCGCAGACGATGCCCGTGTCGCTCGGGAGCTCCTGCGCGTGGCTGTAGCCCCAGGACTCGGAGAAGGAGAGGACGCCCTCGGCCTTGAGGAGGCGCGCGTACTGGAGGTAGCGCTCCGCGTTGCCGTGGAGCGGCCAGAACGTCGGGTCCTGCGGCGCGGCGGACGTGAACATCTCGCCCGGGTGGCCCACGTGGCAGAGCGCGTCGAGGTACTGCGTGTCGTTGAGGCCGTACTCGTCCATGAGGAGTTCGAGGTTCGAGTTCGGGTTCAGCGCGTCGACGCCCGCGAACTCGAGGAACTCCGACGCGGACCGCGTGACGCCGACGCCGGTCAAAGTTGAAGGGCACGAGCACTCGCAGTCCGCGGGCTCCGTGTCCCAGGAGCACGTCGCCGGGCAGCGCACGTAGCCCTGGCGCCAGAGGAACTTGGAGAGGAGCAGGAACGCGTCGGGGAAGCTCAGCTGGGCCGTGAGGTCGCCCCATTTCGGCTCCTTGAAGTCCCACTGGCCGCCGATCATGATGTGCACGGGCCCGTGGAGCGCGCCGTTGAGCGCGAAGACCATGTCGCCGACCCAGTCCGAGGACGTGAGCCAGGACGCGAAGGACGAGCACATGGGGAACGTCGTGTAGGAGTCGTAGGCCGCGCCGTTCGTGAAGTTGGACCGCGTGAGGTAGGGCGTCTTGTTCGTGTTCCAGGGGCTCCGCAGGAGGCCGTAGGGGTTCGTCAGGTTGCTAAAGGCCAAAGCCTTGGACCCGCTGAGCACCTGCGTGTAGGCCCAGCGGCCGCCGTCGACGACGTGGTGCTCGTTCGCCGGCGACGCCGTCCCGAACCACGAGTCGTAGAACACCGGCGACGACTGCCAGTCGGCGCCGTAGACCGAGGCGTCGTAGGTGTAGTCCCAGTAGTGCATGGCCACGGAGGAGTCCACCAAGCGCATGGAGTTCTCCATCTGCCACGTGATGCCCACGTGGTGGTTCAGGATGCCCGCGTCGTCGTGCCAGTGGTCGCACTCGACGGCCGCGGCGCCGTAGATGTGCTCGCGGATGAGCCAGTCGGCGCTCTTGAAGGACGACCCGTACAAGCTTTCGCCCTCGTCCTGGCTCGTCGCGTAGACCGTGTGCATCGCGCTCAGGTACGCGTCGCGGTCGGCGTCCGACAGCTGGCGGAGCTCCTGGCGCACGACGCGGCTCGACACGTCGAAGGACGCGGACTGGACCTTGGCGCCGGAGACGCGGACGGTGTAGGTGTGCACGTCGGGGAAGGCGAAGTCGACGCGGGGCTCCGGGCGCGCGCTCTCGTAGAGCGTCTCGCCTCCGGCCGTCGCGATGGTCCACGACGCGGGCTCGCCGGACGCGAGCTCGAGGCGCGTCTCCTTGGCGACGTGGGCCAGGTGCTTGTGTTTGTAGAGGCCGTTGCCGATGGACCGGCCCGTGGACCGCTCGTAGTCGTTGGAGACGCGGAGCACGGGGCTCTTCGTCTCGGCCGAGCCCGTCATCGTCTTCGCGAGGTCCCAGGCCGCGCGCGCGTCCCCGACGACGGACCCCGTCGCGAGCTCGTCGCGGCGCAGCACGACGGCGCCGAAGGTGAAGGCGCCGACGGTGACGGCGGCCATGACCCAGCGCCCGAGCCGCCGCGGCGCCGCGGCGCCGCCCGACCGGTCGCGCGGACCGTCGCTCCCGTCGGACTGGAACGTCGGCGACAGGTCGCTCAGGTCCGCCGCGCTCACGGCGGGCACCGACGCGTAGGACTTCATCGCTTCCGGGAGCCGCGGGCCCGCAGACGACGCGGGCTGCCCCACTCCCCACAGAGTCACCGATTGTGGCAAAGGCCGGGGCAGCGTATCCAGGCGTGCACAGCATCATCGGCCCCGGCGATCGAAGCCGAAGCAATGGCTAAGCACAAAAAAAAGGCCGCAGCGCCGGCGCCGAGCTCGCGTCGAACGTGTCGAACCTAGTCTGCTGCACCATTTGAGCGTCGTGTTGATGGAACCGACGACGACTGCGCCGTTCGGAACGCGCCTGAAGCTCGCGCCATGCAGGGCCAAGCGACCCGATCTCACGTGGCATCACGGTATGTGGTGCATGCCAAGAAACTCGCTCTGCCCCGTCTGCGTCGCGCGTGAAGGGCTCTACGCCTGGCGCGACCAGAAGGGCGTGATCGTGCCGAAGGGCGACGGGACGCCGTACGCCATCACGAGCCGCGGCTGCGGCGGCTGCGGCAAGTGCGACGCGTGCCGACGCAGCCTCTGCTGCGACGGTAGCCTCGTCGCGCACGTCTTCGTAGGGGATCACTCCTACCCCGTGCACCTGCTGTGTCTCGCTCGCGAGGCGCTGTGCGTCGACTACGCGCCCACTGCCCGCGCGTTATGCGCGATCAGCGGCGAGAAGATCAAGTTATCCGAGCTCCGGCTCGCCGTTGTGCTTCCAAAGCACAACGGCCTCGCCGACCGCGCCTTCACGTGTCGTCTTCACGCCGCCCGCGATTTCCTGCGGACTCTCTTCGCCGCGCCGGGGCTCGCGGGTTTCGACATCGCGGACGTGCGCGGCGTCGCGGAGCTCGCGCCCGAGCACCGGGACTGGGCGCTCGCGGCCCTCCGCGGGGAGGGCGGGCCGCCGAGCCCCCCGCCGACGGCCGCGAGGGCCCTCCGCGCCTACACGGGCCTCGAGGGATCCGAGAACTACCCCACGCACTGCACGGGGTGCAGGCCCGCCAAGGAGGCGCGGAAGCCGGAAGCCGGCCAGACGACGCTCTTGTCGTACTTCAAGAAGCCCGGCGCGTAGGCGGGCCAGTCCGTAAATTGCGCGATCGGGACAGAATTCGTGACGAGTGGCGCTCGCCGACGGCTTCAACGTGATGTGCATCACAGCTTGGTTGAACCCTCCGGAACCCACCGAAGCGGAGAGCATGGAGAGCGGGACCTCGATTGCTCACGCTCCACGGGTTCGCTCGCTCGCGGCTCTACGCTCGGCCGAACTGATCCTCGTCGAGCACTCTCCGAGCGGCACCGCGCGCCTCGCTCCGATGTTCTATTCCTGCGCCGCGCGCTGCGTCCCGAGGCCGCGCCCCAGTCTCCCGGCCCGAAATATGAGCGACTCTCGAAGCCAGCGGTCCGCGAGGCGCGAAACCAGCTCGTTATAGTTGTTGACAACGGCTGGCAGCGGCGCCACTCGTCGCTCTTTTCGGCGTGCGAGCTCCGCGCGTCCGAACCGGGGCCCGGCGCTCGCGGAGCAACTCGTCGTCCGCGACCGCTTCGCGAAGGACCAGACGGTGTTCGGAGTCGATGACCCACACGTCCGCCGACTGCTCGTCGTACAGATCGATGCGGCCGATGATGACGTGCCAGCAGACGCCCTACGACGGGAACCGCCGCCCGCCGAGCCCCGAGCTTGAACGTCGTCGTCGAGGCGCCGGCCGCGACCTGCGACGCCTGCCTCGCGCCGGCGCCCCTGACAGTGCGGCTCGACCGCGGCATGATGTCCAACGCGGCGAGCACTTCGACCCGCGCGCGCCGATGCGCTCCCGGACGCGCTCCGGTACTCGCTGGACCGGGCCGCGTGCCTGCTCGGCGCGAAGCTCGTGGACCTCAAATCCGACGAGACCTTCGAGGACACGGGCGTCGAGATCCGCAACACGTCCGACGCCTACGCCAACTTCTACCTCGGCGGGCTCGCGGCGGGGGCCGCCGCGGCACGGGCGCCCGGCGCACGCGCTCCGCGGCCCGCGCGGCCCGCGCGGCCGTGGCGGCGGCCGCCACTGGGCGCGGCATCGGACCAGGGCGACGCAGCGGGCGCGCGGCGGGCTGCTTGAGAACTTCCATGACTTACTACGCATTAGCTTCGTATCAATCCCGCGCGCGGGGGAGGCGCGACGGCGTCCCCGGGCGAGCGCGTGCGCCTGCGTCGAGTAGCCGGTCCGTGTAGGCTGCACTCGTACGCCGGCCAGTCCGTGGGGTGGGATTTGGAGCGGCGTGGGCGCGGCGGACCGGGTCGAGGCTCGCCCCTGGCGCGATGACTATTTTTGTTTTTGCCACAAAAGTCGCTCAAATTTTTGCGCAAGTCAATTTGGTGCGACCAACGACTTCACGCTATCATGTGGTCGCTCCGATGCATCCTGGGCTTCGCCCTCTGCTACTTCATGTACCGATGCTGCGAGACCATCCCCAGCGAGACCTGGTGGTACCACTGCCGCTGGGAACCGTGCAAGGCCAAGGAGATCGTCCCGTTTTCATGGCAGGTCGCGGAGCCCTGCGGGTTCACCTCGCGGTCCTGCGCCGCGTACCTGGGTCGCCAGGCGCTCTTACCCATCGGCGCCTACGCCAACGTCATGTACTACCGGCCGTACACGTTTGGAAGCCCGCGCGGCTACCGCGAGACGGACGCGGCGGTCGACGACATCGAGCGAGGACTTGTACCGTTCGCGGAGCCCGAGTCGAAGCCCACGCCGACGCCCGCGCCGACGCCCGCGCCCGCGCCCGTGCCGACGCCCGTGCCGACGCCCGCGCCCGTGCCCGTGCCGACGCCGAGCCCGGGCGCGCGGCGCGAGACGGACCCGTTCGGCGGAACCGACGACGCGTGCGCGAACGTCGCGGACGCGGACGCCATCGACGACGACGCGGACTTCGAGGGGCTATTCGCCGCGTCGGCCGGCGGGGTCTTCGTCGAGACGCTGGAGGCGGAGGCGGTCATCGTGAACGGCGACGTCGGCGCGGTCGACGTCATCGTCCCGGACCCCGCCTACGACCGCGCGGGCTTCGACAACGGCGAGGGCTCGGGCCTCGACGGCGGCGTCGACGGCGGCGTCGACGGGGGCACGGACTTCGGCGGGTACGACGGCGCGGGCGTCGGCGCCGCCGCCGCGGACTTCGTCGACAAAATCTACGACGCGCGCGCGGTCGTCGCGGGCGCGACCACCATGGACGTGCTCGTGCGCCTCCCCAATTGCAAATCCCTGGTCTGCTTCGCCGTGGACCCGCGCACGACGACCGACGACCTGCTCCGCGCCGTCCACGCGCGCGGCGCGCGCGCCACCTCGAACGGGCGGCCCCTCGCGCTGTCCGCGCGACTCGCCGAGCTGCCCCGCAACGCCATCGTCGACGTCAATCTGCGCCTGCGCGGCGGCGCCAGCGCCGGCCGCGACCAGACCCGTGGCGCGGCCCGGGCGAGCGCCGCGGCGACGGGCCCGCTCGACGGCTCGCGCGCGATCGACGCGCCCGCGACCGTCGTCTCGCCGCAGAACGGCGTCGTCGCGGGCATCGACCAGGCCTCCGGCGCGTCGTCCAACGCGGGCCAGGCGAGCGCCGCGACGGCGAGCCCGCGCGGCGCGTCCGCGGAGGACCCGTACGGACTCGACGCGCTCGCGATTTCGTCGGTCGCGGACTGCTTTCGCGACGACGGCTCCGGCGCCCTCACCGAAGACGTGATCCGCAGCGCGGCGGCGGCGGCGGCGGCGGCGCGCCGCGAGATGCCGACGGGCCCGGCCGCGAACGCGAACCTTTTCTCCATTTCCAACTGGGGCATGGAGAAGCACTACGACCACTGGAAGGACGCGCTACCGGGCGGCGAGAAGCTCCGCGGCGAGCCCATCCCGGCGGCGACGCTGCCGGACGGTCCGCAGCGCCACCTCGTGCCGACGGGTGCGCTCGGCCGCTGCGTCGCGGACGCGCTCGCGGACGCGGGTCCGTCGGGGATCTACCTCGACATGTTCCACGCGCACTCGCACGCGGCGGACAGGGAGCACTTCTTAGCGCAGATCGCCGGACGAGGTACCAGACCTACGCCGCCGGAGAACACGGCGCTCTTCGAGGGCAAGCTCCTCCACGTCACGCGCCTGGCCGCGAAGGAGTTCGGAGTCGACCTGAGCTCCGTCATCGTCCACTTCTACGACGGCGACCGCATGCTCCTGAACTTTCACGGCGACGGCAAGGACAAGAAGACGCTCTTCCGCATCCTCGCGGGGCTCGAGGGCTTGCCCAAGGGCCTCGCGGAGACGACGCGCGGCACCAAGGAGGCCCCGATCGAGAGAACCTGCGCCCGCGTCTGGGAGATCCCGGTCGACGCGGGCCTCGTGACCCGCTGCACCGACCTCGAGCAGTCGGACGAGAACCTCGCGGACTCCCAGCTCCGGAAGGCCGCGGGCCTCGACGACGACTTACCGGCCACCAAGGTTCACGCGCGGTGCTCGAAGTCGCTCTGCGAGCTCGCGGAGATCGGCATCGCGGGCAAGACCTCGGACAAGACGCTCTTGGTCGACGTCCGCACGCTCGACGACGAGGAAGACGAAGCCGTCGCCGCCTCCATGACCTACGCGCTCTTCCACTTCGTCGAGAACCTCGCGGCCTCGATCGCGCGGGTCCGCGCCCGCGCCGGCGCCGCGGTGCCGCCGTTGCCGCCGCCGCTGCTCTTCGCTCCGCACCAGGCGGCGCTCCTCGAGCAACTCGCGAAGCGTGGCACGAAGGCGCGTTCCCGAGTCTGGAGAGATGTGTTTTACGCGCGCGTCGCCGCGCGTCGCCGCGGACGCCGCGTGATCGCGCGCCCCACGCGCAGGTCGAGCCGCCGACGGAGCCGCGATCGCCGGCGGAGACGCACAAGCACGCGACGACCAAGGTCCTGGGCTACGTCGCCCGGCTGTTCAAGCAACGCGCGACCGCGGTCGAGGCCGACCCCGAGTCCAGGGTCGGCCTGGCTCCGCGGGAGCCCGGGAGGCCGCGTGGCACGAAGGCGCGTTCCCGAGTCTGGAGAGATGTGTTTACGCGCGCGCGCCGCGCGTCGCCGCGGACCCCGCGCGATCGCGCGCCCCACACGCAGGTCGTGGTGAAGGAGCGGGACGGACGCGTGCCGCGAGCGCCCAACGCGCCGGGCCCGCCGCGCGATGGGAGCGCCATCGAGAACTCAAAGCGCCGCTTCGGGAAGCTCACGCTCCCGTTCCGGAAATCGCTTGCCGAGACGTTCCGAATCGCGCCGAAGCCGCCCAAGCCGCCCAAGCCGCCCGCCGTCGCGCTGGCGCTGGCGCCGGAGCTCGCGGCCGCGCTGGCCGTCGCGGAGGCCGCGGCGCGCGCCACGACGCCCGCGGACGCGAGCCTCGCGGAGGCCGCGCACGCCTTCGCGGCCGTCGACGGCGCGTCCGGCGTCGCCGCGCCCGCGCCGGCTTCGGCGCCGCCGACCATCGCGGACGTCGAGCGCCGCGCGTCCGTCGACGCCGAGCGCGTCGACTCCGTCGCGTCCGCGGACGCGAGCCTCGCGAAGGCCGTCGTCGTCGCCGCGTTGCCGTCCGTCGGCGGCGCGTCCGGCGTCGCCGCGCCCGCGCCGGCTTCGGCGCCGCCGGCCATCGCGGACGTCGAGCGCCGCGCGTCCGTCGTCATCCGGCGCGCGGTCGACGCGACGGCGGAGCGCATCGTCGAGGGCGAGGAGCTTTCCGGCGCCGACGCTTACGCGCTCCTGCGGGCCCAGCGCAGCGGTCACTGGCCGCCACTGTCGGTGCAGGAGAACTACGCGTGCCCCCCGTTCAAGGGTGGGCACCACGCGTACCTCGTGAATCCGGGCTCCGACGGCCTCCGCTACCCGCACCTCGTGAATCCGGGCTCCGACGGCCTCCGTTCGGTGCGCGGCGCGATCCGGTTCCCGAAGCCTGACTCCCAGGTCAGGCTCAAGCTCACCACGTGGGACAGCTCAGGGCTCCGCGGCGTGATGTCGCGGACGCTCCCTCTGGACGGATACACGGCGAGGCAGCACCACCTGGTGCAGAGGAAGTCGGCGTCGTCGGCCGCGACGTTCGTCCCGGGCGTCCGGCTCGTCCAGGTGTGGGCGCCCGCGGCCGCCGAGGCCTTCGCGCCGCCGTCGCTCGCCGCCGAGGCCTTCGCGCCCGCGCCGCCGACGCAGTCCGCGGCCACGCCGTCGTCGTCCGCGCGGCCGCTCGCCGCGCTCGCGCGGGCCGTCGAGCCGTCGGGCATGTTCGTCCCCGCCGCGACCGACGGCGGCTTCGCGGCCGCGCCCTTCGACGGCTCCGCGGCCGCGCGGGGCTCCATGCCCCACTTCGGCTTCGAGGGCGGCTCCGCGGCCGCGCAGTACTTCGGCGCCGCGAGCGGCTCCGCGGGCGGCTCCGCGGCCGCGCAGTCCTTCGGCGCCGCGAGCGGCTACGCCGCCGTGGGCGGCGCGGGCGCGCCCGCGCTCATGCAGCACTCCGTCGCCGGCGCGGCGCACCCGCCGCAGTGGGCCGCGCCGCCGTCGGCCGCGCCGCCGTCGGCCGCGCCGCCGTCGGCCGCGGTCACGCCGTCGTCGTCCGCGGTCACGCCGTCGTCGTCCGCGCGGCCGCTCGCCGCGCTCGCGCCGGCCGTCGAGCCGTCGGGCGCGCAGCGGCCCGCGCCCTACGCCGCCGTGGGCGGCTTCCCGGGCGGGCTCGCGCAGCAGCGGTCCTTCGGCGACGCGTGGCGCGGCGCGCCGCTGCCGCTGGACATGCTCGGCGCCGGCGCGACCTTCGGCGGCTTCGAGGGCGCGCAGCGGCCTGCGCCCTACGGCGCCATGGGCGCCTTCCCGGGCGGGCCCGCGCTCACGCAGCAGCACTCCGTCGCCAGCGCAGCGCGCCCGCCGCCGTGGGCCACGCCGTTTCCGAACGTCCCCGCGCCGCCGCAGCAGTCGGCGGATGGCCTCGACGTCATGTCAGGGCCCGAGCTCCGGGAAATCCTCCACAAGGCGGGACTCCCAACCCAGGGCAAGAATAAAAAAACACTCATCAACCGCATCCGCAAGAACTCCGCGCCCGCGCCGCCGCCGCCGCCGAAGCGCCACCGCGTCGGCTGAGCCCCCCCCCTCCGTCCGCGGTCTCAAGTTCCCTCGCCGACCAAAGAAGCGTAAGGATGCCGCAGTGGCGGTCGAAGTCCGTCGCGTAGCGCCGGCACGCACTGCAGTGGTGCGCGTTCGCGTGCGCGTGGAAGCGGTCGCCGTCGTAGGGCGCGGGCGCCTTGGACCGCCAGGCGTAGCAGTGCACGAACGTGCGGCCGTCGGCGCCCGCGACGTTCTGGAGCTTCACCCGCACGGCCTCAGAGCGGCGCGCCGGCACGCACTGCAGTGGTGCGCGTTCGCGTGCGCGTGGAAGCGGTCGCCGTCGTAGGGCGCGGGCGCCTTGGACCGCCAGGCGTAGCAGTGCACGAACGTGCGGCCGTCGGCGCCCGCGACGTTCTGGAGCTTCACCCGCACGGCCTCAGAGCGGCGCGCCGGCACGCACTGCAGTGGTGCGCGTTCGCGTGCGCGTGGAAGCGGTCGCCGTCGTAGGGCGCGGGCGCCTTGGACCGCCAGGCGTAGCAGTGCACGAACGTGCGGCCGTCGGCGCCCGCGACGTTCTGGAGCTTCACCCGCACGGCCTCAGAGCGGCGCGCCGGCACGCGCTGCAGTGGTGCGCGTTCGCGTGCGCGTGGAAGCGGTCGCCGTCGTAGGGCGCGGGCGCCTAGACTGCGACGTTCTGGAGCTTCGCCCGCACGGGCTCGCATCTGCGTGCGACCGCTACACTGCGCTTGGACCTGTTGTCATCAGCCATCGAGTGCGCAGCATGCTGCGCGGCATCGTCAGATCATCATCGGCCAAGCGATCGTGAGCATGGCCAAGTCCAAGAGGCGTTCCGCAGCGCCGGCGAAGAAGGCGGCGCCCAAGGCCGGCGCCAACTGGGACAAGCTCAAGGCCAGCCTCACGAAGCACGCCAAGCCCAAGGGCTCGAAGCACGCCGCCACGGACCTCAGGGACCTCGAGGCCGCCGCGAAGCGGTCCGCCGCCGCCCCGCAGGCGCGCGCGCTCAAGCCCGACGCCTTCGTCGCGCTGGACTGCGAGATGGTCGGCGTCGGGTCCAGCGGCCGCGAGTCCGTGCTCGCGCGCTGCTCCGTCGTCGGCGGCGACGGCGCCGTATTGTACGACCGCCACGTCAAGGTCGGCGAGCGCGTGACGGACTTCCGCACGAAGTACAGCGGCGTCCGCGCGCGGGACCTCAAGGCGCGGGACGCCGTGCCCTTTGCCGAGTGCCAGCGGGCCGTCGCGTCGCTGCTCGAGGGGAAGGTGCTCGTGGGCCACGCGCTCCACAACGACCTGAAGGTGCTGCTGCTGCCGCACCCGCGGACGGCGACGCGCGACACGGCGAGCTGGCCGCCGCTCATGCGCGCCAACGGCCGGGGCAAGCGCAAGCCCCGCAAGCTCCGGGACCTCGTGAGCGAGCACCTCGGGCGCGCGATCCAGGAGGGCGAGCACGGCTCCGTGGAGGACGCGACGGCCGCGCTCGACCTCTACCGCAAGTTCGCGACGGAGTGGGAGGCGGACCTCGTCGCGAGCGGCCGGGCGAAGTAAGCTTTTCTCACACGAGCGTCTTACGCCTCCACGCGGAGCTGGAGCTCCGGCGGGAGGTCGCCCTGGTCCTCGAGCCAGTCGCCGAAGCCGTCGATGCGCTCCTTCTCCTCGGCCTCGACCTTGGCCTCGTCGCCCGGCGCGGGCTTGGCGTAGTCCGTGACGCCGTCCCAGAAGTAGGACTTGAGCGTCCGCCCCCGGAATTCCGCGCCGTCCCAGGCCTTGATCGCGTCCGTCGCGTCGCCGGGCAGCTTGAACTTGAAGACGCAGACGCCGTCGGTCCGGTGGAAGTGGACGGCGCACTTGTCGACGTCCGGCGGCGCGTCCAGCAGCGACTCGAGCGCGCCCTGGAGCTCCGCCGCGAAGCCGTCGCGCGCCGTCGCGCGCCGCGCGGCGAGGTCCTCGAGGGACGCGTCCTCGGGTGCCTCCTCGTCGGGCGCGTCGCCGGGCACGAACGCGCGCTCCACCACCACAATACGCAGCGCCTTGGAGCTCGCGGTCCCCGAGTCGTCGTCGTTCGCCCACGACAGCGACTGCGCGGCGGCCTTCTTGGCCACCTTGACCTTGTTCGCGTTGATCTTGCGCTTCTTCGACGCGTCGTAGGCGCCGTAGCGCGAGCTCCCGAAGTCCGCGCGCGTCACCTTCAGAGGCACGTCGAAGCGGAGCGAGCCGCCGTCGAGGATCTGTAAAGCGAGCGCCACGGACGGCTCGTTCGCGTAGCAGAGCGCGCCGTCGCCCTTGGCGACGCCGGCGCCGTCGCGGTAGATCTTGACCTTCGGCTGGTTCGACTCGGCGTCCACGGCCACGACGCCGCACTTGCCGAAGTGGTCCAGCAGCTCGTCGACGGTGACGTCGCTCGGCAGGCCCTCGACGTAGATCCAGCACTTGCCCGCGTTCTTGTCCCAGCCGCCCTTCTTTTTTGCCGCCTTTTTTTTATCCCGCTTCGCCTTGCGCTCCGCGGCCCTGGCGTCGTCGTCCTCGGTCTTTCGTTCGGGGGCCGCGGGCGCGTCGTCGTCCGCCGCCGCCGGCTCGTCGTCGTCGTCGCTCGACGCGTCGCCGTCGGCCTCGACCCACTCGCCGTCGGCGGAGAAGACGTAGCGCCGGCCGTCGTCGCCGCGGAAGGACCGCTTCTTCGACGGCGCCGCGGCCGCGAGCGGCTCCTCGCGTTCCTGGACCTCCGGCACGAAGGCCTGGCCCGCGTCGTCGGCCAGGGGCTCCTCGGTCGCGAGGAGCGGCCGCAGGCCCGGCACGTCGCCCAAAGGCCGCCACGCGTCGCCGCCGGCGACGAAGACGGAGCTCAGCCCGTCGGCGTCGCCGGCCTCGACGCGCCTTCGGAGCTCGCCGAGCGGGAAGGGCCCGCCGCGGCCCTCGGGCGCCGCCGGGTCGGCGACGTAGAACTGGCACCGCACGAGCCTGGCGCGCTCGCCGAGGCCCGGCGCCTCCGACGGCGCCAGCCAGGCGGCCTGGCTCGGCCGCCAGACGAGGCAGCTCATGGGCACGACGCCGCGCTCGAGCAGCTTGAGCAGCGCCTGGCCGGGCAGCGGGCCGCGCTGGGCGCCCTCGACGCAGTACATCCACGAGTCCTCCTCGGGCGGCGTTGCCGCCATGGCGGTGCGGTCGAGGCGACGCTGTCGCGGAGAGGCCGGCACCTTGGGTGCATCACCTATTCAACAAAAATTGCCGCAAAGCGATTATGCGAGCATAAACCACGCTGGAGCAATGATGCGCAGCAGCGCCGCAGTGCAGGACTGCCTCGCCGTCGCCGCCGCCGGCGCGTTGATCGGCTTCTACCTGGGCTACCGCCGGCGCGCGCGGCGCGACGCCGCGGACGCCAGCGAACAAGAGCAACAACCGGACTACGGCGACCCCGACGCCTGGTACGCGCACTACATCCTCAAGGACGGCGACCGCTGGGCGCCGCCGACCTACGTCGACGAGCAGGACCGCGCGGCGGCCGACGCCTTCTTCGTCCACGGCACGACGGCGCTGCGGGGGCTCGGCAACGCGTCCGTCGAAGAAGGCGAGGGCGCGGCGTACGCGGCGTGGAAGATCGCGCGCCAGACGAGCTGCTTCACGCACCGCTGCCGCGTCTTCGCGCCCAAGTACCGCCAGGCGCGCGTGGCCAACTACCACTGCTTCGAGGGCCACGCGGCGCCCGACGGCCCCCGGCTCCCCGGCTACCAGGGCCGGCTCTTCTCGGAGCCGTGCGGCGAGGCGGCCTTCGACGTCGCCTTCGCCGACGTCGCCGCGGCCCTCGAGCTCTTCCTGACGAAGCACCGGCGGCCCGGCCGGCCCTGGATCCTGGCGGGCCACAGCCAGGGCGCGGGGCACGTCACGCGCTGGCTGAACGAGCGGAGCGATCGGTTCCCGGCGGAGATGGCGGACCTGGTCGTCGCGCTGCCCCTGGGCATCCAGCACGGGGCCGACAGCCTGCCGCCGGGCCTGCGCTTCGCCGGCGGCCCCCGCGACTTCGGCGTCGTCCTCGTCTGGAATTCCGTCTCGGAGGGCCGCGCGGACACGTACGCCGCGGGCCGAAGACGCTTCGGCTACGTGGCGAACGCGGCCGTGACGAGGTTGGCGCCCTTCTCCATGAACCCGCTGACGCTCTGCGGCGGCCGCCAGGGCGGCCTCGGCGTCGACGGCAACGTCCGCGCGGCGTGCGTGAAGTCCGCGGCCGTCGAGGGCGGCGTCACCATCGCGACGGCCGGTGCCGACGACTTCGGCGCCCTCTTCCCGAGCGCCGACGGCGACCTCCACGCCTACGACTTCGAGCTCTGGTGGCTCAACCTCCGGACGACCGTCGCGCTCCGCCTCGACGCGTGGCTCGCGGCGCGGTAACTTCGCTTAGACGACGCGCGCGCCGTCCCTCGGCGTCGACAGCTGGAGCTCGACGGAGGTCGACGATGACAGGGTCCGCGCCTTGAAGAGCTTGCCGAGGAACGCGGGCTTCCGGTGGAGCCGCGTGAAGAGCGACGCGCCGAGGCTCCCGGCCCGCGGCGCCGCGTCCGGCGCGGCGGCGGCGTGGGCCCGGAGCGCCGCCGCGGCCTCCGGAGGCAGCGCGGCGGCCGCGGCGGCCGCGTCCTTCTCCGCGGCGTCGAGGAGGCGGTTCAGCGCGCGCGCGCGCGCGACGACGCGCTCCGCGACCCCGCGGTTCGTCGCCCGCGCCGTGAGCTGCGTCAGGAGCACGTGGAGCCCGCAGGCGAGCGCGATGAGCGGCACGCCCCGGTGCACGGAGACGCCCAGCGACACGCAGTCGACGCCCGCGCCCTCGAACGCGCGCCCGAGGAACGCGGCGAAGTAGGCGCCGAGGTCCCCGCAGGCCGCGTCGTCGGCGACCTCGGCGACGTAGGGCAACTGGGACCAGATCGCGAGCAAAGTAACTAAAAAAACGTCGAGCGCGGCCCAGCCGTGGAGCGCGTTCGCGATGATCGCTAGAACTTGCTGCTTTTTGGCGCCGAGGGGCACGGCCCAGAGTACGGCCAGCACGACGCCGTGCACCATGGGCACAAGCACGGCCAAAAACACGGTCGTCGCGGCGAGGAACTCGATCAGTTCGTCGCCGACCGGCTCGACGCGCCTCAGCCGCAAGGGAAAATCGATCAGCGCGTAGGTCCGCGCGAGCGACTCGCCGGACACGTCGAAGCCCAGGGCCCAGCCCGCGACGCCGCCGACGCGGAGCGACACGGCGTCGAGCTCCAGCGCCCCGGCGGCGAGCGCCGCGGACGCCAGCGCGAGCGGCGCGACGAGCGGCTGCCAGCGCCGCGGCGGATAGCCCTTGAACGGGTGCGCCGCCAGCGCCCGCGGCCCGAAGCTCTCGTCCCGGGTCGTCCGGCAGTAACGCGCGCGCCGCGGCGGCGTAGTGGGCCTCGAGCGCGTCGACCGCCGCGCGCCGCGTCGGCGTCGCCGCGCGCGCGGCCGCGTCCCTCCCGTGCGCGCGGCGGTGCGCGTACAACAGGAGCTGGTTCGCGGCCATGGACGCGAGCGTCGCGCCGACGTAGCAATAAATACCCGCGAGCGGCGCCGCCCAGGCCTCGACGCGGACACCGCTCGGCGCGTCGCGGCCGACGCCCGTCAGCTGCAGTTCGTAGACGACGTGGAACGCGACGACGACAACAACAATGGCGAACACAAACACCAATTTCCAGCGGCTCAGGCTCTCCACGGTCAGCAGGATGGCCTCGCGGGCCGCGGGCCTCAAGGCGCACGCGAAGGCCGCGAGGAAGAGCAAAATCTCCGCCACGGGGAACGCGAAGCACAGCAGCGTCGCCGCCACGGCGCCGCCCGCGTCGCCGGAGCGCCAGACCTCGCGGATGATGCCGAAGAAGGAGTAGCTCGTCGCCGGCGTGAGCCACTGGCGCACGGACGAGCGCTCCAGCGTGAGGACGAGCTTCACGACGGCCGTGACGGACTCGTGGACGTTCGCGAGGACGAAGAGGACGATCGTCAATACACAAAGCACCAGATCGCCAGCTTCGCCGCCGCCGGCACGTCCGCTTCGAAACAGAGGCGCGCCGCCGCCTTCGTGGCGTTCTTCTCGGCGCCGCCGCCGGCCTTCCAGACGCCCGCGTCCCAGACGCCGTCGAGCGTCGCGTTCCGCTCGCGCCCGACGAAGCGCCGCCGCGCGTCGCGCGTGTAGCGCTCGCCCCGGGCGCCGACGGCGCTCACGCCGACGCCCAGGAGCAGGCCGAGCAGCGCGAGCAGCTCGACGACCTGCGTCTCCCGCGCGGACAGAGCGCCCGCGTCGTCGACTTCCGTCAGCGATTCCTCCACGGGCGACGGCCCGCGCGCGTCCGCTTCGTCGGCGACGCGCCATCGGTCCGCCCAGGGGCCGCAGGCGGCGTCGCGCCGCGCCGGGAGCTCGTCCCGGAGGGCGTCGTTGGCCTCGTAGACGACCTCGGCGAGGACGTTCGCGCCGTCGACGTTCTCGCCCACGTAGCCCCGGACGGCGAGGTAGATCGCCTCGACGAGCTCCCCGAGCCCCGCGACGTCGCTCCGCGCGTCGACGCGCACGTCCGCGGCCGCGGCGGCGAGCCGGAGCCCTACGCCGCCGACGCCCGAGAGCACGGCGCACGCGGAGCGGTCCGCGAGCTCCCGCGCCGCGGCGGCGGCGTCGTCGACGTCGTCGTCGTCGTTGCCGTGGGGCGAGAACAGGCCGTTCAGGCCGAGGTCGTCGCCGACGCTCAGCGCCGCGTAGGCGTCCGCGTCGACATAGGCGTCGACGCCCGCGCCGCGCAAAGACGCGGACGCGACGGTGACGTTGACGTCCAGCGCCGCGTCCCCGAGGGACGTGGCGATGTCGAGGGCGACGCCGGCGACGAGCACGGGCGCGCCCGCGACCGCGACATCGACGAGCAGGGGCAGCGACCGCTCGTCGTTTTTCTGCTCCGCGCGGACGGTGAGTTCGAGCGCCCCCGGCGGACCCGTCCGCGCGAACGCGCGCGCCACGGCCAGCGACCGCAGGAAGTCGAAGCCCTCGACGTAGTCCTCGGCGGCGACGTCGACGGACGCGACGTCCGCGGCCGTGACGACGAGCGGGTCCTTTGTCAGCGCGCTCGCTTTCACAGATCGCTCCGCGCCGTCCGCGCGGCCCGCGAGGTCGGCCAGCGACGTTTCGTTCCAGTCGAGCCAGACCGAGGAGCCGTTGGCCGGCGCGGGGCAGGCGCCGGAGTCCGCGGCGTCGCGGACCCGCGCCGTCGCGTCGTCGGCCGCGGCGCGGACGTCGTCCGCCAGGGCTCCGAGGCCGGCGTCCGACGCGTAGATGGGACCGCCCGGCGGCCAGCGGTCGAGGCCGTCGACGAGGCGCTTCGCGAGGGCGAAGGGCTGGTCCGCCCGGCTCAGGAAGCCGACGGCGCCCTCGAGCATCGCGGCGACGTAGTGCGCGAGCGTGCCCGCTTCCGCGCTCACGGAGTCGACGAAGAGCTCGAGCGACGTCGCGTTGACGTGCGCCGCCGTGAGCACGGGCGTCGCGACGGCGCCCGGGTGGGCCGCGACCTCGGCCGCGACGCAGCCCGAGGCGAGGAGGTCGCCCAGGGACGTGTCCGCGAGGAAGTCGCGCAGGTCTCTGGGTCGAATCCCGACGTGGACCGTCGCGCCGAGGCCGAGGCCCACGAGCGACACGCTCGAGTTCAACGTCAGGGCCACCTCGGGCGCGGAGAGCGTCGTCTCGCTCAGCGTCGTGAGGCCGTCCTCGCTCTTGGCCACGACGCCCGCGTGTCCCGAGACCGCGGAGAAGACGACTCTCGCGCTCGCCGTCGCGTCCAATACCGCCTCCCTCGGCAGCTGGAGCCAGAAGCGCACGCCCGCGCCGCCGTCGGCCGTCGCGCCGAGGTGGAACTGGGACTTGGCGAAGTCGGCCCACGCGACGCCCCGCGGGGAGACGACCAGCTCCTTGAGATCCACGGACACGTTGACGCCCGCGCGCTCGAGATCCGCCGCGGACGACGTCGCCAGCGCACCCAGGTTCCGGAACGTCGCGGCGGTGCCGTCGAAGAAGGGCTGCGACCGCTGGGCGTCGAAGAGCTCCCAGAGCGCGTCGCCGCCCCGGTCGTAGGCGGCGGCCGCGGCCGCGCTCCCGGGCCCCGCGCCGCCGCGCGCCAGCGCGACCCAGTCGACGAAGCTCGGGTCGTCGTCGACGGCTAGCGTCGTCGCCACGATCGACATGGGCGCGCCGCCGCCCGTCGTCTCGTTCAAAAACGCCACGACGGCCTCGTCCAGCGGGACGGCCGCCTCGTGCTCCTGGGCGACGACGATGGCGCAGGCGACCTCCTCCATCGTGTCCTCGATGTGGGGCACGAAGTTCTCGATGGAGCCCGTGGGCAGCGAGCTGCCGCCGAGCTCCACACCGTCCAAAGCGACGTTCGCCTCGCAGCCGACGACGGTGACGGTTTCGAAGAGGCCGCCGGACCCGACGTCGCCCTCGACCTGGATCACTAGATTCGACCCCTCCACGGCGGCCTGGAGCTCGCCGTCGCCCCGGAGCGTGCCCAGGCCCGTCTTGTACTTCCAGTCGTATTCGCCGGAGCACGTCGCCGACACGCCCCGGACGCGAACGGACGCGACGCCGGGGCCGTCGTTGGACCAGCTCAGCGTCTCGAAGCCGAGGTCCGTGCAGACTAACGTGTCGACGTCGAACTCGACGCCGGAGATCTTGTCGTCGTAAAAGTCGTCGATGACGAGCGTGAGCGAGGCGACGTAGCTCACGAGGTCCGGCGCGACCGGTAGGGACGCCGCCGCGGGCTCGGGCTGCAGCAATAAGAGGAGCGGCAGCAGCGCCCAGGTCTTATGCGGGAGCAGCATGAGGAGGAGGAGCATGGGCCGTCACACCGAGGCTGCCCGAGCCATCCCGCGCTCGAACCACAGAAACAATCTTCAAGGTGGCGCAACGTCGGCCTCAAGCGTTCAAGTTAAGGTTTTTGAGACGCCGCGCCGTCGCGGGCGGGGATTTAGTCTGCGGTGTCGGCGGACGTCCTGTCGTCGAGGGGGCGTCGTCGAGGCCGTCGAGGCCCGCGCCCGAGTCGAGCGCGCGCGCCGCGGCCGCGATAAACGCGGCGTCGACTCCGCGTCGGACTGCGGGACGCGCGAAAGCAGCGACCCCGAACTCCCCCCGCGCCGACGTTCCGAATGTGCGCAAGGCGGTGGTTAAGGTGGGTCGAACGGGGGGAACGCCTATGCCTGCGCCTCGATGAGCTTGCGCATGCGGCCGATGGTCGTCTTCGCCGTGACCGCCGGGGGCGTGTTGAGCATGTAGGCGCCGCCGGCGATGACCTTCTTGCAGGAGCGGCACTTCCAGATGCCCGTCGACTGGCGCTTCACGGAGTCCTTGCCGCAGAAGACGCAGTTGTACTTGCTGTGCTGCGACACCTCCATCTTCTTGATGTTCTTACGGATCGAGGCACCGTACCGGATGCCGTACTTGCCGCAGATCCCGACCTTCTTCGTGCGCTTGCCCATCTTGAACTGCGGGGGGGCGGCGGGTGAGGGGGCGCGCGCGGCGCGGGGGTCGGGGAGGCGGGCGTTCGAGCGAGCGCGTCGGGGCGGCGCGCGGCCAGTGGGGGCGGCGGATCGCGGCGTCCGCGGCTCAGCGGTGGCACACAGTCGTGGAGACCGACACGAGCGTTGAGACGCGCGGCCGCGGTGGCGCGGCGCACGTCTCGGCCCGCGAGCGGCGAGACAGCCGCTGCGGCGATTTTCGACCGCCGGACGTGTCGTCACGCGGTCTTCGATCAACCACAGCGTCCACCGTCGACACCAGCCCTCCCACGACGTCGCGCACAGCCGGAAGATCTCTCAGGGGTAGATGGGAGGGCGATCAGGGGCGGCGCTCATCACCTTGCTCGCCCGACGATCAGCGACGGATGAGACGGACACAAGATCCTACCTGTAGCTTAGGCTAGGCCGCTCGGAGAGCATCCATGGCCGCTCTCCCTGTAGACCACAGTGAGCGCGTCTCTGCCGCGTGAGCAACCTCGTCGTACCTATTCCTCAAAGCTGTAGCAGCGACAACACATCCATGGTCCAGACGCGCGCGCGCATCGCGGCGAAGCGCTGCCTGGGCAACCTGTTTCCTGTTCTGCCGCACCAGCTCGTGAATGACATCTTCTCGTACGCGTCGGACGACGGCCCGCGGGTCATGGGTGAGAAGACGCACATGCGCATCGCAATCCAGCAGCACGACGACATCATGCGCGAGCGCGACGATTTGTTCCGCGACAACGAGCGGCTCGACGCGCTCCTTGTCGTGGCGGGCATGTCGCAGCTGCGCGGCGTCTCGAAGGCGTTCCGCGCCACCGTCGACGAGATCGCGAAGCACGAGCACCTCGCGAGCGTCGGGTTTCCGCCCGCGGACGCGACGACGCCCGTCGTGTCCGTCAAGGACTACGTCTGGGACAATCTCGAGTGGATCCTGGACCGCTACTGCGAACCGCGCCGCGGCGACTCTCGGTCGCGTAGCGAGCTCGGAGCCGCCGCCGACGCCATATCAGCGGCGGTCGCGGTCGAAGGCGGCAGTTGGCTCGATCGCGCCAAATTCGACGCGTGGTTCGACGACGGCGAGGAGCTGGACCCCCGCGCGGCCGGCGGCTTCCCGTTCCTCGACGAGCACAAGGGCGCGGACCCGTGGGCCCACCGGACGGGCATTCGGAACACCGTCCGCCGCCAGCCCCAGCGCTTCCGCAAGCGCATCCCGTGCATGACCCCGGTGATGCCGGGGAAGAGCCCCTGGAGCTTGCGGCGCGGATCCAGCCGCTCCAGCCGGTGGCGCGCGCTCGCGGATCGCGCGCGTGCGATCGTCGCGTATCGGTCGGCGACGATCCTGTACGGGACCAACTACTACGACTCAACTCGACCAGCACTCAGGAGGTTCGTTAGCACGCGCGCGACCAACTTCGCCAAGTCGCTCTCGCGGACGTTCTTTCGCCGGGCGTCGTCCGTACCCTGGCCCGTCGACGCGTGGCACGTCGCCATCGTCTGTCCGCGCGGGGGGTTCTTCCACTACCCGGTCGATACCGCCGGCGCGCGGTGCGCGGCCCTCCGCGACTTCGCGCTGTCGCTGGTCCCGCCCGAGTCCGCGGCCGAGATCCGCGCGCTGCCGTCCGAGCGGGTGCGGCGCGTCGACCTCTTCGGCCGGGAGTTGGAGGATTACCAGTTTGACGGCGTCGCCCCGGGGGACCGGCCCGAGCGCGTCATCGAGGCGTTCTGCGCCTTCTCCTTCCGGCCCGACCACGACGACGTGGAAGAAGCCAAGCAACGGAAGCTCGAGCGGGGAGCGACCCGGCGCGGAGGCTACGCGGTGCGCGCCGCCGACTTCCGCGAGCCGGACGGCGGGTCCGACATGGACGTGTATGGCTGGGAGAGCCACTGGAGCGAGAAGGATTCGGAGGACCCGGACTTCGACCCGCACCCCCCGGAGGGCGAGCGATCGTTCGTCCAGTACTGGACCCCCAGCGGCGGCCCTCCCTTCGCTCGCTTCACCGAGGGCCACTACCCTCCGGACGAACAAGTGGATTTCGAGTCGGACAACGAGGAGGATTACGTCGATTACTCGTCGTTCCTGGATCCTCTACCCGCCGCGCCCATCGTCCTCGACGAGGTCCTCTTCGACTTCGTAGCTGGAACCGTCGAGCTCCGATTTCAATTTGCCGACAATCGCGTGCTCGAATCGAGTAGAAAGCTGCAGCTTCGAGTCCGCGGGACGATCCCGCTCCTGTACTCTCGCGCTCGCTACCGTCGTCGCGGCGGACAGTCCGACAGTTCGGACTCCGAGTAAAGTCTCCTCGCGTAGACGCGCGCCGCTAGCGCACACCGCCGGGCAGCGATCGCGACAAGTATCGCGACGGACCGTGAGCCTACCGTGACCGTGACCCCCGGCCAACGCAAAACTGCACACAAAAACCCACGATGATACCGAGCATCGGTTGCCAGCGCCCCCCGGCGCCGTCGGTGGCCATGTCGTCGCGCATGGCCTTCAGCCCCGACGGGAGCGGCATGGCCTACTATTTGAGCGGGCGCGTGGCGGCCTGCGTGTCGGAGGTCAACGACTACAGCAGCCGCTTCTATTTCTACGACGACGACCGCAAGGGCACGCTGCTCTGCGCCGTCGACGAGCACGCCGTGGGCTTCGCCATCGGGGACGACGGGGCGCGGCTCGTGCTCAACAAGACCAAGGGCATGCTCAGCGACGGCGACGGGACCATCACCCACGAGTGGAAGTGGGCGCGCGGCGCGCAGCGCGCGGGCAGGCCGCCGCCGCGCGTCGAGATCCGACTGAACGACTCCATGACCTTCGTCTTCACGGGCCGGACGGAGATGGAGGTGAAGTTGCGGTTCGCCGACGGCGACGCGTCGCGGGGCGGCGGGCGGCGGGGCGGCGGCGGCGACGCGGGTTTGGCGCGCGACTTCGACGTCGGGCACAAGACGAAAAGGACAGACACGTACCTGGACCACGCGACGCGGGGCCTCGCGGGCGCTCTGGACCCGCAGATCGACCGCATCTCCCTGAGCGACCGCGTCACGGCCGTCGGCGAGGCCGCCGCCGCGGACCGCAACCGGCTCCACCCGAAGTCGTCCGCGTTGGCGAACGCGGGCGCGCGCGCGGTCGTCGCGGGCCTCGAGCGCGACTTCGACACCTACGACGCGGACCACACGGCGCCCCGCGAGTTCCCGACGGGCTGGCGGAGCGACGCGCTGGCGCGCACGAAGGACGAGGTGCCGCGGCTCGCGCCCACGGGCGACGAGCTGTGTGGAAACCAACCACTGGTTTGGGTGGTCCTGACCAAACTTCAGAATTCTCTAGCTCGGTCAAATCGAAGTCGATTCGGCTGATTTTTGGACGGATCGATCGCTCTCGTCGAGTTCTCGAAGCCCAGCCGAAGATCTTGCGTCGAAGCATTCGAATACGCTAATATTGAAGTCGGGTTGAAGATTTGATTTCCACACAGGCGACGAGACGGGGCCGACGCCCGGTCTGGGATCGACGATCTACACGGGCAAGCTCAAGGGCCCCGAGGACGACGAGCCCAAGAAACCGCCGGCGGAGGCGGGCCCGCCGCCCCACTGGAGCCTCAACGCTCTGGAGATGCGCCAGGCGCTGATGGAGCAGAATCCCTTGTTGGAGCGGTCGTCGATCCTGTGCGACGCGTCGGGCCGCTACGCGGAGGACATCGTCGTGCCCGGCGGCGTCGTCACGGCGACGAACCCCACGGGCAAGCGCGAATCGGGCCGCGAGACGCTCCAGGTCGTCGACCCGCGGGACCTGGCCACCTTCGTCGACGAGCGGTGCTCGCCGACGCAGCTCGTCTGCGTCGCGTGCGTGCGCCAGGACGACCGCGTCTGCCGCAAGGCCGAGGCCGTCGCCGAGAGCGTCTGGGGCGCCATCCTGCGGGGCGACGCGGGTCTGCCCGGCGACGACGGGGCGAACGCGTCGGAGGCGGATCTGAAGTACCGGGTCGCCAAGGTCGAGATGTCCGCGAACCGCGACGTCGCGGAGCGCTACGGCGTCCGCGCCCTGCCGACCTTCCTCATGTTCTACGGCGGCCAGCTGGTCTACCGGGGCCAGCTCGGCGGCGAGGCCATCCGCGTCGCGCGGGAGTTCAAGCCCTACAGCGTGTTGTACGTCGAGCCGAACTTCAAGGACCAGATCTGGTCCGAGAAGATGCTCAAGAAGCAGCGCTTCTCCTGGGAGCTCTGCATGAACGCGTCCGAGGCGACGCAGCGCAAGCAGCAGCTCGACCGCCGGGCCATCGACGGCGGCGCGGCCGGGAGTCAACGAGGCTACGACGTCGTGCTCGTGTCGTCCGCGTGCCCGCCGGAGGAGTGCGGCGCGCTGGAGCGGCTCTTCAAGCGCGCGGCGGGGCCCGCGGGGAGCGGCAAGGACGTGCTGGTCTGCGGGCTGGCGGCGCTGTCGGGCGACGCGGGCGCGGACGCGCTGACCGTCGCGTCGTGGGTCGGCAAGCGGCGGGGCGTGACGCCGGACGTCGACGTGCTGCTGCCGCCGGCGCTGGCGGCCATCGCCGACGTGGCCATCACGAAGCCGCTCAAGGCGAACGCGCTCGAGGACCTCGTGGACTTCCTCGAGTCGCGCGCGGCGGCCGCGAGCCGCGCGGAAGCGGGGTTGCCCCCGGCGGACGGCGTCCACAAGGGCCTCACCAAGGCCGCGCTCGTCAAGCAGCTCTGGGAGTCGCTCAAGGCCGGCCAGCGCGGCGCCTTCCTCCCGGACCTGAAGGCGCTCCGCGGGGGCAAGAAGCCGAAGAAGATCCCCTTGGCGCCGCCGATCAAGCGCAAGGTCGTCTTCCCGCCGCCGCCCCACGACGTCACCATCGAGTCCCTCATCGAGTCGAAGATGGAGTAACGCGTCGGCGGCTGTGTGTACTTTGGGGCGGCGCGCGGCGGCGGTGGCATACGGAGCCTACGGAGGCCTCGCGGGCGCGGCGCGCCGCCGGCCGCCAGGCGCGCGCGCGCGCGCGAAGCGGCTGCGGGCGCGAAGTACCTCCCGTCCGCCGCCGGCGCGCGCGGCAGCTTCAAATCGCCCGGCGATCGGCGTCACACCGCTCTTGGCGCGCCGCAAACATCGCAGCCATGGACGTCGCCGCCGAGCGGGACCCCTGCCGCCTCGTGCAGCTCGCCGACGGCGCGGCGCCGGCGGATATCTGCCGAATCCTCGATCGCCTGCTCGCGCTCCCCGCGCCGGACCGCGACGTTTTGAAAGCCGTGCGCAAGCCTGTGCGGCGCCTCGCAGAGCGGCACGAGGACCGCGGCGTCAACGCCAAGGCGTCCGAGGTCCGCGCGTACTGGGCCGCGCACGACCGCGACGCCGGCGACGACGGCGACGTCGACCTGGCCTGCACGCCGCGGCGGTCGCGGCCGCCGGCGCCGGCGGAGACGCCGGCGACGGCGCCGCGCGAGGCGCCGCCGCGGCGCGACGACGACGCGGCGGCGGGGAGATCCCACGACGCGGGGAAGTCGTACGACGAAAAGAAGGAGGAGAAGAAGGACCGGATCATGGCGATGATGGACGCGGCGCTGGCGTCGACGGCGCGCGTCGCCCGGGGCGCCTGGCCGGACCTGGCCCTCTGCGTCAAGCCCGAGTGGCTCGAGAAGATCCTGCGGGGCGTGAAGACCGTCGAGCTCCGGGGCACGATCTCGAAGAAGGGCGGCACGCGGTTCGGCCTCATCTGCTCCGGCACGGGCCTCGTCTGGGGCGAGTGCACCTTCGTCGAGTGCCGGGGCCCGCTGACCAAGGACGAGCTCCTCGAGCTCCAGCCGCGGCACCACGTGCACGCGCGCGACGACGGCGAGCCCGACACGGCCGACGAGCTCCGCGCGCGCGTCAAGTACCGCAACTGCTACGCCTGGGTCATCAAGGACGCCGTCGTCTACGAGACGGGCATCGCCTACGAGCACCCGCGCGGCGCCATCGGCTGGATCGACCTCACGAAGTCCGTCGCGGACCACCCGCGGTTCCGCGCGCGGTCGCCGCCGCCGCCGAAGCCGGACGGGCCCCCTCAACTCTCGCCGCCGAAGAAGGAGCGGCCCCCGGGCGCCGAGATGTCGCCGCCGAAGAAGCCCAAGCCGGGCGGCTCCTCGTCGCACAAGGGCGCGCCCCGGCGGCGGCGCTGCAACGCGTGCGCCGGGTGCGCGGCGCCGAATTGCGGCGAGTGCGGCAACTGCAAGAACATGGTCCAATTCGGCGGCACGGGCGCGCGCAAGGCCGCCTGCGCGAACCGGCGCTGCGTCGCCATCGACCCGGCGCGGGGCGGGGGGGCGCCGCCGCGCGCCGAGCCCGAGGCCCCGGCCCCGCCGCCGCGGGCCGAGCCCGAGGCCCCGGTCCCGCCGCCGGGGGACGACGCGCCGCCGCCGCCGCCCCTGAGCCGGCGGGAGTGGATCTAACTTACGTCGTCCTTCGCGAGCCGGTAGGTGCGCGCGGCGACGTCGTGGAAGATCTCGCGCTTCTCCTCGGGGCCGAGCTCGAGGCGCGAGCAGACGCGCTTGTGCGCGTTCCAGAGGACGCGGTAGGACGCGGCCATGCGGTCGACGGGGAAGTTGCTCTCGAACATGCACCGCGACGGCCCGAAGGCGCGGATGGCGACGGCGTAGTACGGGAAGAGCAGGTCGCAGAGCTCCTCGGAGCCGACGGGCGCCTCGCGCGCGTGGAGCTCGAAGCCGTTTTTCGGACCGAGAAGCCCGCCGACCTTGCAGACGACGTTCGGGCACTTCGCCGCCACGATGCCGAGGAGCGCGCCCCAGTCCCTGAGGTCCGTCGACGGCCCCAGCTTCCCGCCGCAGTGGTCGAGGACGAAGACGACCGTGGGAAAGCGGCCCGCGAGCTCGACGAGCGTCGGCAGCGTCGCAAAGTCCTCGTCCCAGAACTCGTAGACGAGATCGTACTTCTCCAGGAGCGCCACGCCCGCCAGGAAGTCCTCGCTCAGCTCCGGCGTCGCGACGCGGACGCCGCGGAAGTTGCGCTGCTTCATCATCGTCCGCAGCACGGCCTCGGCCGACCGGTCCGCGAGATTCACAGAGCCGACGATGGCCGCGCAGGCTCGGGTCGGTCCGTAACACCCGCTGTCGGCGACGGCGGCCATGCCCTGCGCGAACTCGACCTCGCCGATGGACGCCTCCTCCCGCGGGCCGAACGCGCGGTAGTAGCTCCCGGCCTGCACGTAGACCGTGGAGACCACTTTGTGGCCGCCGCCGACGTCGCGCAGGAGCTCGGGCAGCAGATAAGCTTTGGGATAGCGGGCGACCTCGCCGCCCGCGACAAGCGTGACGATGAACTGGCTCTTGTCGCCGCTGTGGTCCCAGAGATGGTGGTGCGGATCGCAGATCCTGAGCTCCGGTTCCAGCACGTCCTCCTCAGCTTCGAGTTTCAGCCACGCGTCGAGCGCCTCGTTGCGCGCCGCCATGGACGCCGCGGAGCCCATCGATTGGCGCTGCCCTAATTGTTGCACGCTGCCCTAATTGTTGTGCGCCATAATGCCAAGTTTCAACCGTTATATTGAACTACAACCGCAGGCGAGCATCGGCCTATTGGGCTGCCAGAATTGAGAATGGCCAGCCGGAATGCGCGGCCAATGGGGTCGCCAGATTGGAGAATGGCTCGAGCTGTAGCTCTTCTGCTAGCATGCCGCACGGTCCACGCGACCATCGAGCCGCGGTACCAGCGAGACAGCCGATGCCCGGCGGCGATCAAGTACGACGCGGCGGGCAGCACGCGGCTGCTGTCCGGGTCGAGATACAAGGACGTGTCGGGCATCGCGAGCGTCGAGGCGTGTGGCTACGCCTGCTGCGGCGACTGGTCGTGCCTCGCGTTCGTCTACAACGCGACGTCGCACAACTGCGGTTTCAACGACGACGTGGACGCGGTGACGGCGGCGAGTGCCGGGCTCTCGTCGGGCGTCCGCGGCCACCTTCCGTCGCGCGACCCACCGGGCGAGCCGTCGTCCTGGACGGCGTCGCTCGACCCCGAGATAATCATCGGCATCAACGGAGACGAATTTCCCATCACCTGGGGCCGCGACGGCCGACAGTACACCGGCGCGGGCGACAACCACCAACCGGGCGAGCCCGAGAGTCCGCTGGCCTTTTTCAGCGTCGACGGCCAGCCCGAGGATTTAAACTGCACGCTCGAGCCGACGCCGCACCACAACCAGCCCTCGCCGTCGTGCCAGCACATCCAACGCGCGGGCGCCGCCGTGCCCATCAACGGCTCGAAGGCGCGAAAGCTCTGCCCGACGTGGGAGAACAAGCCCATTCCAAATTTAAAAAGCTCCGGCGTGATCTCCGTCGACGGCGCGCTCTACTGGGCGATATCATGTTTCGATTACGGCGACGACCCCATCTTCAACCGGCAGCGCTACGGCCCGGCGTGGATCGTCGCGTCGCGCGACGGCGGTGCCACGTGGGACGAGGACGCGATGAACGGCACCTTCGCGGGAAACCTCGCGGCGCCGAGGTTCCTCCAGTTCGGGCGGGACAACGCCGGCGCCATCGACGACTTCGTCTACGTCTACTTTCCCGGCACGACGTCCGGCGCGGCGTTCTTCGAGAACAACGACCAGGTCCTGCTCGGCCGCGTGCCCGCGAACGCCGTCCTCGACGTCGGCGCCTACGAGTACTTCATGGGGACGTCGTACGGCGGGGAGCCGCGCTGGACGAGCGACGCGACGCTCGCGGCGCCGGTCTTCTCGAATCCGCTGATGACTTCCGTGCAGCAGGTCAACGCGTTCGGCGGCGCGAGCTTCGTCTTCGCGAGCTGGGCCTGGATCTCCGTCGACGGCTACCCGCGGCCCGACCACACGCCCGACGAGCGGAACGGGCGCACGGGCCACCAGCGGACGCAGCTGACCCTCTTCGAGGGCGACGCGCCCTGGGGGCCCTTCCGGCCCTTCTTCCGCGCGGACGACTGGGTCATGAGCGACGGCTCCGCGGGCGCCTACACGCCGGTCATCCCGCCGGCCTGGGTCGCCGACGACCACTTCTCCCTCGTCTCGACGCAGTGCTGCGGCAACCCGCGGTTGCCGCTCAACAACTACAACTTCCTCGTGCAGCGGGTCAACGTGGCGAAGTAAGGGGCCGATCGGAGCTTCGTAGTGGCGGAGTAAGCGAACGTTCGACGCTTCGCGCGTCGTGCAAGAGACCAGCATCGCGGCGAAAGGAGCTTACGCGCCCCCCTAGTCGCGGATCTTGACGGCGGAGCAGTTCGTCTCGATCTCGGCGGCGAGCCACGCGTCGAAGCCCGCGCGGTCCGTGTGCTTCGCGTCCTTCTTCGCGGCCCACTCGGGCTTGTCGTCGTACTTGGCGAGCTGCTTACTTCGCCACTCGTCGAGCTTCGCCTTGTACTTGTCGAACTCGGCCTGGGTGTAGAAGCCCTTCTTGCCGTTGATCGCGAGGACCTCGACGTCGAAGACCAAGTCCGCGTTCTCGGGGATGACGGGCGGGTGGCCCGCGGCGCCGTAGCCGTAGTCCGCCGTGATCTGGAGCGTCGCGCGCTCGCCGAGGCTCATCTTCGCCACGCCCTCGTCCCAGCCCTTGATGACCTGGCCGACGCCGATCGTGAACTCGAAGGCCTTGCCGCGGTCCCGCGAGCTGTCGAACTTGGAGCCGTCGGCCTTGAGCGTGCCCGTGTAGTGCATCTTCATCTTGTCGCCCTTCTGCGGGAAGGTGACGCCGTCGCCGGGGGACGAGGTCTCGACCGTGACGCCCATGGTGGATGCTGCGGTGCGTCGGAACGTGTCTGCGAGGGATGCCGTGATGAGGTTTCGACGCGCGGCGTCGGGTGGCGGTGGTCGCGCGGCTGGTGCGCGTCGTTGCAAGGGTCAAGGGCGGCGCGCGAATGCGCGCTCGGAAAGCGGGCGCCGGCGGTCGCAGTGGCGCGCGAGACTCGAGTGTGTTGGAGAGCGGTGCTCCGCTGCCTCACTTTCAGCGACGATGTTTGCGCTGAGCTCATGAGGTAAAGAAGCTCATGCTCAGGCTGCCCCGCGCGCTCGCCTGAGTCCGCCGCCTGAGTTCGTCACTGCTCGCGCGCTGCTCGAGGCTGCAGCCTCGGTCGAACCAGCGCCATGTGCGTCATCTGCGACTTCTTCGCCGGCAAGACGCCGACGAGCGCCACCGTCTGCGCGCCCTGCCGCGACGCGGCGCGGGACCAGGCGAACTGGGCCTGGCTGCCCAAGGTGCACCTCCACGTCCACCTCGAGGGCGCCCTGCGTCTGCAAACGGTCATCGAGCTCGCGGAAAAGCACGGCCTCGCAGAAACCGCCGCAACCGACGACCCGCGGGGCTACTACCTCACGGCGGAGCCCTTCGAGAACCTGTCGGCGCTCCTCGACCGCTTCGGCCGGTCGCAGCGCGTCCTCCGGGACCTCGCGGACGTCGAGCGCGTCGCCTTCGAGTGCGTCGAGGACGCGCACCGCGACCGGGTCGTGGCGCTGGAGCTCCGCTACGCGCCGTCCTTCCTCTCGGGGGGGCATGTTATTCATGGGATGACGCGCTCGACGCGGTGCGCGCCGGCGTGAAGCGCGCTACCGCGGCCTACCCCGTCGAGGTCGGCCTCCTGTGCATCGCCGTGGGCGCCGCGGGCCCCGAGAGCGTGCGCGACACGGTGGACTTCCTGCTGCGGCGACGGGACGCGTTCATCGGCTTCGACTGCGCGGGCGCGGAGCAGGGCAGGAAAAGAGTGCGAAATTCCCAATTTCAAAGGCTCCTATCTCGGCCGTTTTCCACTCGTTTTGGCTGATTTTTGGACGAGCGATCATCTCTTGGAACGGTCTTGAAGAGTGCATGCTTTTTCCGGAACGCGCGCGCGCGGAACACTCACGTTGAAGCGACGTTGAATCTCTCTTTTCCGGCCCAGGCGCGGAATTGGACCTCGCGCAGTGGGCGCCCGACTTCGCGCGCGTGCGCGCCGCGGGCATCCTGGCGACGTGCCACGCGGCCGAGGACCTCGGCGCGTGCCCGTCCAACGGCCGCGTCGCCGTCGACGTGCTCGGCGCGGTCCGCGTCGGCCACGGCCTGCAGATTTTGCGGGACCCGGGCTCGCTCGCGGCGGTCCTCGAGAAGCGGGCCGTCCTCGAGGTCTCCGTGTCGTCCAACTACCTCACGAGCGCCGTGCCCTCCCTGGCGGCGCACCCCGCGCGGGAGCTGTGGAACAAAGGCGTGCGGATCACCGTCAACTCGGACGATCCCGGGCATCATGGACCTGACGCTGTCGGGCGAGTACGCCGTCTGGCAGGACGTGCTCGGCTTCTCCGACGCGGAGCTCGTGCAGTGCAACCTCACGGCGCTGGCGGCGTCGTTTCTGCCCGCGGCGACGAAGAAGCGGGTCTACGACGCGTCGTTCGCGGCGCGGCCGCGGCGGCCCCGAACGGCGCCGCGAGTCCTCGTCGCCGCCGCGCTCGCCGCCGGCGCTCTTTGCATCGTCGCGCGCCGCCGCTCATCATAAGGGGGTTCTACCATCGGGATTGAGAAACGACAACAACAGGGGAATTTACCATCGCGCGGAGCCCGGGTTGAGCGTCTCCTCGAGGCTCGGAACGTGGTGGAACCGGGTGTGCAGCACATCCCGCACCGCGTCCCGGTCCTCGACCTCGGGAGACCCCGGCCCCTGGTAGGCGAGCTCGACGCGGGCCACGCGCGCCTTCGCGTCGAGCCGCGACTCGCCGTCGACCTTCAACATGCCGCCGCCGTTCGCGCAGCCCGCCTGAGGGATGTGGGTCCCGGTAATGCCAGGCGGCTTGAAAGAAGCGCGCGCGCGCGGCAAATCCGACCGATGGCCCGATGCTCTTGCGGCGCACTGGAGGGGCGAGGCGAAGCGACTGAGATCGCGCGGGCCCCGCCGTGACAAGAAGGCGCGCGTAGAATTTCCTTCAAAAGAAAGGACGCGGCGACACGGACGGGGCAGGCCAACAACTCGACGAAGTCGTAGGGGCAGGTGCCCTTCTTGAGCTGCGACGTGACGCGCTGGACGTTGCGGAAACCCGTCGCGACCGCGAAGACGAGGGGTTTCAGGCCCGGCCCGCGGTCCAATTTCGCCGCGACGAAGTCGTCGTTCTTCTCGCGCTTGAAGGGCACGGGCGCGCCGGCGGCCAGGGACGCGCCGGCGGCCGCGCGGTAGGCGGCCTCCGCGAAGCCGCCGGACGCCGCGAAGGGCGCGGCGGCGACGTCCTCGACGGTCGCGGCGTCGTCGTCGTCGTCGTCCATGGCGTCCGCCAGCGCGTCCCGCAGCGCGTCCTCCGTGAGCACGTCCCAGAGCTCCTGGGCCGTGAGGACCAAGTCGACGTCCGGGCCGTGGTCGCCGCTCAGGTCGCGGCGCGCGGCCTCGAGCTTCTTGTCCGCGCACGCTTCGACGGCGACGACTTTCGAGGACGGGGCCGACCGCTTCCAGAGCGCGGCGGCGGCGGCCGTCGGCGACTTGGTCGAGGCCAGGTAGGGCAGCGCGTGGGGCGCCGTCTTCTCGACGAAGCAGACGACGCCGGGGCACGCGGACGCGACGAGCGGCAGCGGGCCGTCCGTCCGGGCCGCGGCGGGCCCGCATTCGACCGTCGCGCCGTCCGGGCGCCGGTACCGCGTCGCCGACACGGCTATGGATGGTGCCGGGATCTCCGGCGTCCCCGCGCCGGCCGCGAGGCGCGCGGCGAACTCATGGACCGTCTCCGCGCGCGCGGTCGCGGCCGCCGCGGCCTCGGAAAGCGCCTCCGCGCCGTGCACCTCCCGGAGCACCGCGGCGACGGCGGCGAAGGCCCGCGCCGGCGCGCAGTCCAGCCGCTCGCCGAAGGACGCCAGCGCCGCGAGGCCGAGGAAGACGCGCGCGTCGGGCCCGCACACCTCGCGGAACTTGTCGACGGACTGCGCGTTCACCAAAACCGCCTCCGCGCTCGTGACGCAGCCGGAGCACGCGAGGCAGTCGGCGACGGAGACGACGGCCTGCGTGGACTGGCCCGCCGTGCGCATGATGCCCCTCGGCTTCGGCAGCGCGAGCGCGTCGTCGTCGGCCTCGACGGAGAGCTGCATGCGCCGCCGCCGGCCCGCGGGCGGCGGCGCCGCCGCCGGGGCCGCGGGCGCGGGCTTCGCGAAGAAGGGGTTCGTGCAGTCCTCGCCGAGGCCGATGACGTCCGCATCGAGCTCCGCCAGGAAGATGGAGGCCATGTATCACGGCTGCGAAAGAGGCCTGGAGCTCATCATCGCTTGGCGCCAGAGCTCGGGCCGAGTGTGAAGGCATGTTGACCTGCACATTTGCTGGCAGCCCGGCCCGGCCGATAGCGGACCGCTACGATGCGCTGCCCGCTCGGCCTCTTCGTCGCCTGCGCCGTCGTCGACGTCGCGTCGCCGGCCTCTCGCGCCGACGTCGCCTACGCCGCCTGCGCGCTCGCGCTCCTCGACGCCGGCGCCGACGGCCAGACGACGGGCGCCAAACTGGAAGACGACTACCCGAACGGCCCCAAGAACCTCAAGTGCTTCTACAGCAACAAGGTGGGCCGGAACACGGGCTACGCGTCGAACAGCGATCTGGAGGCCATCCTCTGCCCCGAGGGCCAGAACAAGTTCTGCGTGCGCCAGGTCGTCAACGGCCTCGCGCGCACGGAGTGCGGCATGACCGAGTACTTCGGGGACAAGTACTACACTTTGGCCAACGACGACCAGGAGTGCATGTTCCTCAAGTGCAGCGACACCTGCGACGAGGACCAGCTCGACGTCCACTCCGAGTACATCGAGGAGTTCCGCGAGGACGCGACGTACACGCGGGACACGCTCTGCTGCAAGACAGACTACTGCAACGCCGCGGGCGGGCTGCGGCCCGCGGGCGCGGTCCTTTTTTCCGTCGCGGCGCTCGCGTTCCTAAGGTGATGAAGAAAGCCAGGTTCGGCACCCCGAGGATGCTTTGTGGTTAGAAGACGTCCCCGAGGTGGCGGCCGAAGACGCCCGGGGCCAGGAGGCGCGGCGGCGGCAGGCGGGCGCAGGGCGCGTCGATGGTTTCGGGCGCGGACCAGGCCGCGGAGCCGTCGTCGTCCAACAGCATGGCCGCGAGGCACGGGTAGGTGCCGTTCCACGCGGCCGCGACGGCGCCGCAGTTCGCGATCGCGTCGTCGCAGAGGCTCGGGTACCGCTTCCGCACGCGCACGGCGTCGGGGAACGACGCGTAGTGCGCTTTGCCCGCGCCGAGGAAGCGGAACAGCGACTCGAAGACGCGCTCCGCGTGGGTCGTGAGGTCCTCGTAGAGGACGATTGGCCCGCGAGGCACTCGCCCCGCAGCAGCTTGACCGCGCAGGGCTGCGACGGGCCGCTGGCGTTGCGGTTCAGCGCGACGCACTTGGGCTTGGACATGGGCTCGANATAGACGCGGACGCCGTCGGAGAGGTGGGCCAGCGTCTCCGAGAGCCACTCGCTGCCCGTGCGGGCGGCCTTGAAGACGACGAACGAAGTCACGCGCGCGGCCGTCGGGTGGCCCCGCGCGCTGCGGCACCACCAGTGCAGCGCGTGCGACTCGTTGCCGGCGCCGCGGCCGCCCTTGACGGACGCCGCCGGGCTCGCGGAGGCGCATTTCTCCGGGAACTGCGCCGCCCAGGTGTCCCGCGCGTCGGGGACGACGAGCGGCGGCTGGTGCGCGAGTTCGTCGGCGATGGCCGCGCGGTCGCCGAAGCCGGCGCGTGTCGCGGCGAAGATGGAGAGCAGGATGGCCTGGGTGCGCTGTCTCGCGCGAACCATCGCGCTAGCAGCGCAGGCCGACTTTGCCACAACTTTGCCACAGCTCGCCAAGGACATGCAGACTTCCACTCGAGACGGGCGACCGAAGATTTCTCGAGGATGGCTGGCGCCAAGATGATCGCGTGCGCCCTGGCAGCACTCTCGTCGTCCGCCGTCGCGCTCGTACCGCCGCCGACGCAGAAGCTCGGTCACAAGTTCACCTACGAGGCGACGATCTCCCGCGACAACTGGAAGACCTCCGGCCGCGACCTGCTGCTGCCGGCCAGCGACGCGTCGTCGACCATCATCTTCGACGCGGACCACCCGGACGCATCGGACCCCGTGGCCATCGTCTTCCTGCCGTCGCTCGCGCTGCCCAAGGTCAACGCCATGTCGAGCTCGCTCCGGACCTGGTGCCGGCGGAACGAGTACAGCTTCGTCGTCGCCGACTACCACGGCGTCGGCCGGTCCACGGGCGACGTCGAGCAGGCGACGCTGTCCAAGTGGGTCGACGACACGGTGACGCTGCTGCGGACCGTGGCGTCGCCCGAGGAGCACCGGCGCGTCGTGCTCGTCGGCGCGGGCGTCGGCGGCTGGATCGCGTGCCTCGTCGCGATGCGCCACCCGGACCTCGTCGGCGGCGTCGTCGGCCTCGCCGCGGACCCGGACTTCACCGAGGAGCTGCTGTTGAAGCGGCTGCCCCAGGACGTCATCGACCGCATCATGGAGGGCATGGAGGAGGTCACGTGGGGCGACAAGACGTACCCCATCACGAAGGCGCTCATCGAGGACGCGCGCGAGCACCACCTGCTCCTCGACGGGCCGGAGCGCACGCTGCCCATCCAGTGCCCCGTGCGCCTCCTCCACGGCCTCATGGACGAGGAGGTGCCCTTCGACACGTGCGTGCGGCTCGCGCAGCGCATCGAGACCGAGGACGTGACCATCTCCCTGTCCAAGAGCGGCCACTACATGGACGACATCGACGACATGCAGCGCACGCGCATCGCCATCCAGGACTGCCTCGAGTCCATCTTCGTCTACGACCTCCGGTCGCCGACGTCGGGCTGAGCGAACGCGGCCCCCGGGAAATCAGTCTGCACATAGCTACGACCTGTTCTATAGACATCGAAATTTTTCCCATGCCGGAGTAGCCGTAGCCGGCGGCGGCGACGACGACCCGTTCTATGGACATCGAATGTTACACGCCGTAGTAGCCGTAGCCGGCGACGACGGCGACCGCGGCGGCGGCGACGGCCTCCGGCGGCGGCAGCGTCTGCCTCTTCGGCACGACGGGCGCGTGCACGGGCGCGACGACGTCGCCGAACTTGGCGTAGAAGTCGCCCGCGCCCGCCGCCGCGGCGAGGTCCAGGTCGTCGAGGGCCACGGGTCGGCCGGCGGGAGGCGCGCCGACGTGGAACGTCACGTCCGCGTCGTCGGGCCAGAGCGCCTCGAACGTCTCCGCGACGACGGCCGCGTCCTCGGTCGCGCCGAAGCTCGCGGCGACCTGGCCGCCGGCGTCGTCGCCGGCCGCGAAGGCGAGGTCGAAGCGCTCGCGCTTCGGCGCGTAGAGCGCCTCCAGCTCTTCCGTGGTTTTGCCCCGGAGCTGCTCGTGGGACAGCTTCAGGCAGACGGTCTCGTCGTCGATCTTGTAGAGGGCGAGGTGCAGCGACCGCCGGAGGCCGCGGGTCGCCGCGACGCGGCGAGCCTGGCGGAGCATCTCGACGAGGCGCTCTTTGCCGCAAGCTCTCGAGCACGAGCTGTGCCACGGGCAGCGGCATCATCGCAGTGTTGCCGTCTGCACTCTCCCCTTTGCCGGCGGGCAGCCCTCGAGGACGAGGGACTCCAGGGGACGGCAGCCGCTGGACCTTGGGATTCGGCGCCGGGAGCAGGTCCGACGCGGCCCCGGCTTTCACCGATGACGTCGCCCACGCGGTTCCGCGAGCTGCGGAAGAAGGCGGCCCGCGTGACCGGGGCGCACCACGCCTTTAGCCCCCGGAAGCGGCCGGCCCCGGACCTGGAGCGGGAGGCGTCGGTCCCCGGCACGTCGCCGGACTTCCTCGGCGAGGAGCCCGAGGGCGAGACGAAGATGGACCCCGATTTCGACGCCGAGGAGGCGTCGCAGGAGACGACGGACAGAGAAGCGGAGGAGGCCGCGGAGAAAGCGCTCAAGGACGAGATGGAGGCCGTCTGGGTCCTCGGCTACCGCGTCGACAACATCTTCGCCTGACCTTATTCTTTTTGTGGGCGGCGACGCTGTGCGCGCACGAGCGCGCGCACAGCTTCGCCGCCGCCGCCGCCGCGCGCGCCCCCCCGTCGCGTAGTATTCTATGCCGGCTCGTAGATCGACGCGAGGGAAAACACGCGCACCGTGGCCGTCGCGCTCTCCGCGAACTCGCCGTCGACGGCCGTCGCCGCGAGCCGCAGGCTCGTCGGCACGGCCGCGGGCTGCCCGTCGGGCCCGCGCGCGCGGAGCCGGCCGCCGCGCGGCGCGGACGTCGCGACGCGGCCGCCCTGCGCGAAGACCTCGGCGGCGACGGGGTCGACGAAGATCCGGAGGCTGAGGGTGGCGTCGTCGGCCTTCCAGGCGAAGGCGTCGCCCGTCTTGAAGAGCGACGTCGCGCAGCCGGAGGCGTCGCATTTGAGCGACAGACTCCCGCCCGCGCCGAAGGAGAGCGCGAGCTCCGCGCCCCGCTGGAGCTTCCGCGAGTGGCCGCCCCAGCGCACGAGGATCTCGACGGCGTCGGCTCGGGGCCAGTCGAGCGCGAGCGGTTTTTCATAGAGCGACGCGCCGTCCGCGCGCGCGACCGTCGCTATTCTCAAGCCTCGCAATTCGGCGACGGGGTTCGACGTCAGGATCCCGAGCTCGCGGTCGTAGGCGAGCTCCCGCGGTAAAGTCAAACAACCGTGGGCGACGCCCGAGAGCCACGCCCAGACTATCCGCCGGCCGCCGACGTCGTAGTCCTTGGGCGCGTAGTAGCCCGCCCCCCGGTCCAATCTTCGGCACTCCGTCGGATCCTCGCCCGCGGCGCCCTTGCAGGCGACGACGGGTCGACCCGTCGTCGTCGTCCACGTCAGCGTCGCGTCGTCCCAGTCGCCGAGGTGGTAGAACGCCTGGCCTTTCCCGTAGAAGTGGACGTGCGTCGGGTCGCCCGGCTGGGCGCCGGGATTGGGGAACAGGCTCGGGCACTCGCCCAACGGCAAGTTCGAGGTGCCCTCTAGTTTCCACGTCGAGAGGAAGTCGGAGCCCGCCGTCGCGTAGACGGGAGCGCCGTCGCGGTCGCACCGGTCGCAGCCCGGCATCTTGCCGCCCTTGGCGATCATGCGCCACGTTCCCTCGTAGCGCCAGGCCGTCGACGGGTCGTCGTCCGTCTTCTCGATGAGGGGGTCGTCGCGTTTTTTGTAGTTTGTAAACGTGTCGTCCGGAAGCGCGGCGCCGAACGCGTTGGGGAAGCCGCGGCCCGCGTAGACGAGGACGACGCCGCCGTCGGTTCTGGTGGCCGAGCCCGTGTAGATGGCCTTGGCGCTCCAGGCCTCGGGGCCGTTCCAGATCGCGACGGGGAGGAACGACCAGCGCGCGAGGTCCTTGGAGACCGCGTGGCCCCAGACGGGCCCCTGCTCCGCGCCGCCCGTGGACCGGCAGATGCGCTTCTGGAAGAAGACGTGGTGCGCGCCGCGATCATCCACAAAAGGCGCGTTCGGGTCGTTCATGTCGCAGGTCGGGTCCTGGAGATGGATCACGGCCGCCGGCGCGTGGGGCGCGCCGCAGGTCTCGTGGCCCGGGCCGCAGGGGACGCCGTCGCAGACGTGCGGGTAGCCATCGAAGGCCGCGGCGCGTGCGAGGATGAGCGCTACGAGGGGCTGCATCGGGCAGCCTTTTGGTGCTATCGGTGCCTGAACATCGCGCGCAGCCGGGCTCAAGTGAGACTTCGAGGCAGACATCAAGATTGAGCTCGCGTCGACGAATAAAGCTTAAAAGGGAAAGGGCCGGGCCAGCTGCCGCAGTGTAGACCACTGTCTCACCACGGCTGATTGCCAACGCGCGCCGCCAAGCAACACCCGCGTCGTCCGCGCATGCGGCGCCTCGGCGTCGTCGCCTTCGCGGCGGCCGTGGGCCTCTGCCCCGGCCTCCAGACGACGCGCGCGCCGGCGCCCCCGGCGCAGACGCGGCGGCGAACAAACACCCCACCGAAGAACGGAAACGGCGTCCCGATCGCCACGACCTCCCTCGGCGCCAACCCGACCGACGACGACTGGTGGACGCCCTTCCTCGTGCGGCCGGGCCAGGACGAGGCCTACGCCATCCTCAGCGACTTCCAGCGCGGGGAAGCGGCGGACGACGCGTTCGACCACGCGGTCCACGGCGCCAAGTTCCTCGACGACCCCGAGTCGGGCGCCTTCCCGACGCGGCGCGCCGTCCTCTCGAACGTGCTCGAGGGCGAGGTCTCGTCGAGCTGGTGGGGCGCGATCCTCGAGGCCTTCGACAAAACGTCGTCCTCGGAATCCGAGCTCTTCGACGCCGCGTGGCAACGCGTGCGGGCGGACCTCGGCCCCGCGGGCGCCGACGCGGCGGGCGACGTCTCCCGCAAGGCCCACGCGGCGACGAAGTTGTTGCACACCTGGGCCTCGATGACGTCGACGCCCGCGGAGGCGAAGCTCGTTTTAGCGCGCGGCGCGCGCATCGCCGCGTACATCGCGCGGACGCCCTTCGGCGGCGACGCGGACATGGTCGCCGCGGCCCTGCTCTGCGAGGCGCACGAGGCGTTAGATGGTTTGCGCCTCGAGGAGATCCGAGCGTCCGTCGGCCCGGAAGCCGCCGGTTTGGTCCGGTGCCTCAACAACCTGTCGCAGCTCTACCGGCTGCAGCGCGCGCGCTGGGACGCCGAGGGCGACGAGCTCTGGCGCTGCGACCAGGACGTGCGCCACGACTTCGCCGACGACGAGCTGTTGTATACTTGTCGTTTACCTTCTTCCCACGCGAAGAATTTGCGGCAGATGTTAGTGGCAGTCGCGGGCGACTTCCGCGCGCTGCCCCTGCTGCTGGTGCGCCACCTCGAGAAGTTGCACGAGGAGTGCGGCTCGGCGGCGGCGGCGCGGGAGGCGTCCCTGCTGGAGGCCGCGTCGGAGCACATCAAGGCCACGGTCCCCAATGTGACGCCGTCGACGCGCGCGCGCGACGCGCTGGACGTCCTCGCCCCGCTCGCGGACCGCTTCGGGCTCAACCAGCTCAAGAACGACCTCGAGGACGCGGCCTTTGAACGCCTCGCCCCGGCGACGCGGTCCCAGATCCTCAAGGCCCTCGATCGGAAGCGCGACGACCGGTCCGTCGTCCGCGGCGACGTGTCCGCGCGGTTGCGGCGCCTCATGGTCGAGGACGACGTGCTGATGAACGCCGTGGAGAGTCTGCGGGTGTCCACGCGGGAGAAGGAGCCCTACTCCGTGTGGCGCAAACAGCGGAAGTTGCGCGCGCGCGCCGAGGCGAACGTCGAGGTCGACGGGTTTTCTACCGTCGTGGACCCGTCGGGCGACGAGGTGCTCTATCCGTTGGACACCATCGCGCTCCGGATTGTGTTGGACCCGACGGCCCTGGCGCCGGACGCGTCCGCCGCCGCGAAGGCGACGAGGGTGGCCGCCGGCGAAGCTTTGTGCTACCACGCGCTGAACTTGGTCCAGGCGGCCTGGCAGCCTTTGCAGAACCGGACCAAGGACTACGTGGCCCGCCCCAAGGCCAACGGCTACCAGTCGCTGCACACGACGGTGTTGATGAGGTTGCACGGCGCGTCGTATCCCTTCGAGGTGCAGATCCGGACGCGCGACATGCACCTCGTCGCGGAGTTCGGGTCCGCGGCCCACGCCTTGTACTCGGGCGCGCGGCCCGCGCCGGTGCCCGTCGCGCCGCCGCCGCCGCGGGAGGAGGAGGCGGCCGTCGAGGTCCCCGGGGAGCCTCTCGAGGGCGAGGCCGAGTCGTCGGCGATCGGCGCGCGGCTCGGCAAGTCCATGGGCGACCGGCTGCGGGCCGAGCGCATCTTCGTGTTGGCGTCCGGCGGCCGCGTGCTCACGGTCGGCGCCAACGACAACGCCGTCGACGTCCGCAAGGCCTTGCTGCGGGACCTCGAGCACGACGCGGGCGAGGGCGCTTTGGTCACCGGCGGCGGCCTCTGGCTCGACGACGAGCGGGCGCGGGGCCACCTCGAGATCAACGGCAAGCGCCTCGAGTGGCTCCAGTCGCTGTCGACGAAGCTCCTCAACGGCGACGAGGTCCGCTGGGTCGAGGACCCGGAGGCCGCGCACGGCGAGCTCGAGGAGACGCCGCGGCCCTGACCTTTTGCACATTCTACCCTGCACATACCTGCACATAAGAACCGATTTACATGTAGCCGAGCCCCGCGAGCTTGCGGATCTGCTCCGTCAGCGGGAGCGAGACGACGAAGACGGGCGCGAGGCGCACGAAGAAGGGCGTGAAGCCGCGGTAGAAGGCGAGGGGCCCGTCGGCCTTGAGGATGGCCGCGGCGCAGGCCAGGGACGAGCCGTAGGGGTTCGCGCCGCCCATGCCCGCGGCCTGGAACCGCGTCATGACGACGTCCGCGGGCGTCGAGCACAGGCACCCGCCGAAGGCCCCCGCCGTCGACGCGGCGGCGTGGAGCGCGAAGCCCTCGTCCATGAACCCGTACCGCTTCGACGCCGTCTTGCAGCCGTCGTAGCCGAGCTGCATGCCCGCGCTGAGCAGCGCGCCGCGCGCCATCAGCGCGCCCGACCCGCGCAGCAGCGCGCCGTCGGCGCCCAGAGCGGCGAGGCCCGCGGCGAGGGACCGCCCGTGGAAGCGCGGGACCTCGCCCTTGGACGCGCCGGACGTCAGCACGCCGTCCGCGCCGATCGCGCCCGCCTCGGCCTGCGCGAGCGTCTTGACCTGATATACCGGGCTCGAAGCAAAGTAGCCGACGCCGCCGGCGAGCAGGCCGGCGAAAAACATGACCGGCGCGTTCTTCTCGCTCGCGCCCGCGGCGTCGAGCATGGCGTCGCGCACGTAGGGGTAGCAGCCGACGCGGCCCATCGAGGAGATGCCGATGCCGAGGAAGTTCGCGAGGATGCCCGGCGCGTACAGGCCGCCCCAGAGGCCCTCGGCCGCCACGATCTCGAGCGCGAAGGGCCGCATGGCCACGGACGACGCGCTCACCTGGTAGCGCACCTTGAGCGTGTCCAGCGGGTTCATGACCGCGACGGCGAGGCCGCCGGACACGCCCGCGGCGCCGCAGCCGACGACGAAGTCGTAGGTCGACGCCATCGCTTTGCGTGCAAGCGGTGGCGCACGATGTGGATTGCGAGAGCGGCGGCTGCCGGTGGCTGCAGACGCGACGGCGGACTTGATGGCGGACGCGATCGCGATGATTATGGGCTGAGGCTGATCAAACGTCAACGCCTCGATGGTGGCAATGATGAGGCGCTTGCCGTACAAGTCCGCCTCGTCGCGGAGCGCCCGACGCGATGGGCAGCCTCCTCTGGCGCCTATCCTGGCTCCTCGCGCTCGTCGAAACCGCCGCGCGACCGCTGAAGACGGCCTACCTCCACCAGGGCCTCGGCGACGGCGAGGTGGAGGCGAGTTTGCTCGCGGTCTGCGCCCACGTCGACCGGAGCCGCATCGACCCCCACGTCGTCGTCTTCGGCCGCGGGTCCAGCGACGCGCTCGCGCCGGCGCTCGCGGCGCGCAACTGCAGCGTGGCGCGCTTCCCCGCGCGCTGGCGCGACGCCGGCGGCCGCATCGCCTGGGAGGACTCGGAGGTGTCGCGCCTCGTCGACCACGTGAGAAACGAACAATTCGACGCGGTCGTGGCCTACTTCGGCGTCTCCGAGCCCGGCGAGTCGGTGCCGCTCGGCGTCGCCGTCGCAAAGCGGGCCGGCGGCGTGCCGGCGGTCGTGCGCGTGGCCTGGGCGGCGGCGCCGCCGGCCGCGTGGTCCGGCGACGTCCGCGCGTTCGAAGCGCCGTCGCCGTTCGTCGCGCGCTTCCAGTACCAGCGCGGCGTGCCCCACGTGCACCTCGTCGGCGCCGGCGTGGCGCCGCCGAAGGCGGCGCCGCCGTCGACGCGGCGCCGCCGGGTCCTGCGCGTGGGGCGCGACGCGCCCGTGGTGTTGGCCAACGATCCGATCTCGTTCGTGCTCGCCGCGCCGCTCGTCGCGGACGCCGTCCGTTTCGACTACGACGCCGTCGTCTTCGTCGTCGCGGGCGACGGGCCCTACCTCGGCGCCCTCCGGGGCATCGTCCGGGACCGGGGCATCGCGAACGTGGAGTTCGCCGGCGACGTCGACCGGGAGGACTTCTACGCGTCGCTCGACGTCTACCTCTACACGACGACCTGCGACGCGTCGGGCGCGCACGTCTTGGAGGCCATGGCCCGCGGCGTGCCCGTCGTCGCGACGCGGGTCTGCGCCGTGGAGGACGTCGTGGAGGACGGCGTCACGGGCGTCCTCGTCGATCCCGTGCTCGCCGCGGGCAGCAAGCACGTCGAGGTCGGCGACGCGTCGGCGGCGCGCCACGCCGCCGCCGTCGCCCGCGTCGCGGCCATGGCGCCGGCGGAGCGGCGAGCCATGGGCGACGCCGCGCGGGGCGTCGTGGCCCGCGCGTTCTCGGCGGACGCGCGCGCGGACGGCCACGCGGCGGTCGTCGAGGCCGCCGCGCGGGGGCGGGCGCCGCCGCGAGCCGGCGGCGCGCTGAAGCCCCGGGCGCCGTCGACGGCCGACGCCCCCGCGACGCCCGACGGCGGCGCGCTGAAGCCCGGGCGGCGGCCGCTCGTCTTCCGCACGGCGAAGCGGGAGGCCGCCGAAGCCGAGGACGACGCGCCGGCGGCGGCGCCCGCGCGCGCCGTCGAGGCGGCGTCCGAGGTGCCGCCGCCGCCCCGCGGCGGCGCGCTGCGCGAGCCCGAGGCGAAGCCCCTCGCGTTCCACTCCGAGCCCGCGCCGCCGCTCGTGTTCCAGTCGTCGAAGACGGCGGAGGAGGTCGACGCCCCGGAGCGCGCGGCCGCGCCGCCCCGCGTCGCCGTGGCGTCCCGGCCGCGCGTCGAGCCGGCCCCGGAGGTCTTCGACTTCGCCGCGAAACCGCCCGAGGCGCCGCGGCGCGCGGTCGTCTCCCACGCGCCGGACGAGACACCGGCCGCGGAAAAGCCGCCCGTCGTGGCGCGCGTCGTCGGGGCCGCGCCGGACGCGACGAAGGTCGAGTCGCTCGGCGCGGGGTCGCGCCAGGCGCGCGTCGTGCGCGGGACGTCGGCGAAGCCCAAGAAGACGCTGAGCGTCTTCCACGCCGGCGACCACCGGGCGCCCGTCGCCCGGGCCGCGCTGTCGCCGACCGGCGACCCGAACGACGACGTCGACGCGGTCGACTCGGCGCGCTGGGGCGCGACGGAGATCGAGTACCACGACGGCGAGTCCGACCGGACGCGCTCCAAGGTCGCCGCGGTCGCCGCCTTCGGCGACGACGAGCCGGGCGCGCTCGCCGCGAGGGCCTACGCGTCCGCGAAGGAGGCCTGCGCCGTCGACGGCCACCCCGACCGGCGGGACGCGTGCGAGGCGCACGTGGCGACGACGCTCGTGGCCCTGGCCCGGTCCGCGGCGCCCGGCGCCATCCGGTGGGCGCCGCCGCCGGGCGCGACCGCGTCTCCTCGAGCGCCGACGTGCGTGCTGGAGTTCGGCGCGGCCACGGAGTGGTTCGAGCGCGGCCCCGTGCACCTGGAGGTGCTCCGCCAATCCGCGACGCCGCTCGTCGCCGTGAGCGACTGCGACGTGCCGAATACGGTCCAGGTCTGCCTCGCCATGTTCGACCGCGATTCGTTGTCGACGACCTGGGTCGTGTGCGACTCCGAGGACTTCGCGGGCCACGAGGCGCTGGAGCTCGGGCATCGCGGCTTCGTCGTGGCGGCGACGGGCCGCACGCGCTCCATCGTCGCCATCCCCTGGGAGACCTTCTCCTTCACGTGCAAGTCAGGGCAGGACAAGAGAGCGAAATTCCCAACTTCAAAGCCTCATATCTCGGCCGTTTTCCACTCGTTTTGGCTGATTTTTGGACGAGCGATCATCTCTCGGAGCGGTCTCGAAGCGTGAATGCTTCTACCGGAACGCGCGCGCGCGGAACACTCACGTTGAAGAGAAGTTGAATATCTCTTGTCCTGCCCAGGTGCAAGTCGCGGTGCGCGCTCGCGGTCTTCGCGCGGGACGCCCAAACGCAAAGCGCGTTCTCCGACGCCGCGCGGCGCTTCGCGACGGGCGACCGGGGCGTCGTGTCCGTGGCGCCGCTCTCGCCCGTCGACGTCTTCGAGGCGCCCTTCGCGGGGACGACGCGCGTCTTCGACGAGACGGCGCGCGGCGGCTCGTACGCCAAGGTCGCGGACCAGCCGTCGTTTCCGTTCCAGTCGCGCCACTCGGAGCTGCGGCGCGTCGGCTACGACCCGAAGACGCAGGAGCTCGTCTTCTTCGCGCCGGACGGCGGCGCGGACGATCTGCCGGAGGTGCTGGGCAAGCCGCGGCGGCCGGGCCTGTCCTTCGCGGGTTTCCGAGGCGCGCGCGTCTCGTCGGAGACCTACGCCGAGTTCAAGCGACGACAGCGCTGCATCACGCACGAGCGCGCCGTCGCCGCGACGCTCGTCCAGCCGCCGGGGAACCAGTTCCACGCGCTCACGAGCACGCTCGCGCCGCTGCTGGCCTACGCCGGCGGCAGACCCGCGCTCTTCCTCAACGACTGGGCCCACGCGGACGCGCTCTTCGCCGGCGACGGCGGCGAGCTCGTGCGGAGCGGCGTGAGCGCCGAGCTCGTGCGGCGCGAGCGGCGGCAGTACGACGCGTTCTTCGACACGCAGCTCTGGGCGGACGCGCGCGGCCAGCGGCTCTGCTTCGAGGCGCTGACCGTGGGCTACGACGAGCGCGATTCCCTGAACGGCTTCGTCTACGCGAGCAACGGCCTCGTGGTCACGTCGGCGCACGCGGCGCGCGCGCCGGCGACGTCGCAGTTCGCGCGGTCCGCGCGGTCGCTGCGGCGCCTGCGCGACGAGCTCGCTTCCGCCTTCGCGCCGCCGGGCGCCTACGACGTTCCGCGGGCCGAGACGACGAAGGTCCTCGTCGTGGAGCGACCCAAGACGCGGAATTTCAAATCCACGGCGGCGGTCCTCGAGGAGGTGCGGCGCGGCTGCTTCGAGGCGACGCAGCGCGGCCTGCGACGTCGAGCCCGTCGACCTGGAGCGGCTGTCCTACGAGGCGCAGATCGCGAAGCTCGCGGCCGCGCACGCGCTCGTCGGCGTCGAGGGCATGGGGCTCGCGAACATGCTCTACCTGCGGGCGAACTCGTCCGTCGTCGTGCTGGTGCCCGCGGGCTTCGACGAGGCCGCGGTCGACTACGTGTCCATGGCGGCGCTCCTCGGGCTGCGCGTCGAGTCGACGCTGTTGCTCGCGTCGCCGCGGCGGCCGAGCCTCCACGGCAACCGCGAGGCGGACCTGTCGGAGAAGGGCTACTGGACGAACAGGACGAACGACCTCGTCTTCGCCCCGGGCGTCGTGGCGACGGCCGCGACGCGCGCGCTCGGGGGCGCCGGCGCGGCCCCGACGGCGAAGCGGCGCATCATCGGCCTCCGCCACCCGAACATCCCCTAAAGGCTATTAGTCCTCGTCCTTCGGGACGCGGGTCTTCGGTCGCGCGCGCGCGCCGTGCGCCGACGCGTGCCTCGCGACGGACCCGTCGGCGTCGAGGAGCCAGTTGCCCACGGGGCGGCCGAGGTGGAGCCGCGTTTTGACGATGGTCCGCATGTAGCGGCCCGCGTAGCCGCAGACATCGAAACCGACGCCCGTCCAATTCGCGACGCGGTCGCCGCCCGCCTCCGCGCGGTGCGTCAGCAGCAGATCCGCGTCGATGGCCAGGATCTGCTCCACGATGGCGACGTCGCCGAGGTCGAAGCGGTCGCGCGGGACGTAGTCGGCGTCGTACTTGCGGAGGCCCCGCGCGCGCGCCGCCGCTAAAAAGTCGACGATGTTCCGTCGCGTCGCGCGGTAGCTCTTGTCGAGCTTTTTCGAAAACGACGTCCACAAGGGCATGTCGAAGTCGGACGGCATGTCCGTGACCAGCAACGCGGCGCCGGTCGCCGGCGCGGCGCCGAGGAGCTCGGCCGCGCACGCGCGGAAGGCCCCGTCGACCTTCGCGTCGCGCCGCGCGACCATGGTCTCGGAGCGCCAGTGGAGGACCGTGTAGGGCGACCCCAACGTGCGCTTGTAGGCGTCCGCCGCGTCGTGGAGGCGCCGCGCGAAGGACCGCAGCGGGCCCGCCTCGACGGCGGCCTCGTCGGCGCGCGTCACGGCGCCGCGGAGCGACGCGAGGTTGAAGCCGCCGCCGAAGCGGGCGATCTTCAGGGGCCGCGGGCCGGCGAGGGCGTCGGCGATGTCGGCGGCCGACGCCGACGAGGCGACGAAGGCGTAGCCGTAGTCGTGGTCGAGCGCGAGTCGCGTCGCGCATCCGACCGTGATCGGCGCCGCGCCGAGGTAGGTCCCGATGGCGCCGGCGTCGAGGTACCAGCCCGCGTCGTGGACGGCGACGTCGGGCACGCCCCGCGACGCGTCGTCGTCGCCGGACAGGGGTGCTCCCTCGGTCCGACCGAGCGCGAGCCAGGCCCGGAGCTCGTCGGTGACGCCCGCGCGGACCTCGGCCTCGATGCCGTCGTCGTCGCCCGCGTTGGGCAGCGGGTCCGACGCGCGGAGCGGCCCGGAGACGCCGCAGGGGACGAGCACGGAGTGGCGCGCGCACGGCAAAATGATCGACGCGTTCGTCCCCCGCGCGAGCGCGAGGACGCGGCCGAGGGTCACGCGCCAGCCGTTGAGGCCCTCGCCCTGGATGGGCTCCGTCGGCGCGTAGCCCCAGGTGTGGAGCCAGAGGTAGCCGCCGGGGTGCGGCGCCGCGGGGCACGGCGCGGAGTCGGCCGCGAGCGACGGCGGGGCCAGCGGTCGTCGTTTTCGGAGCGTCCGGCGCGCGCCGCCGGCGCGCTCGAGGGCCGAGCTTTTTTGGTACGCGCCGCCGGCGCGCTCGACGCCGAGGGCCGAGCTTTCTTGGTACGCGCCGCCGGCGCGCTCGAGGCCGAGGGCCGAGCTTTTTTTGTAGGCGCCGCCGGCGCGCTCGACGCCGAGGGCCTCGCACCAGGGGCGGCCGCTCGGCAGCGGGACTGCCGCGTCGAAGCAGCCGCACGACGCGCCCAGGTCGTCGCTCGCGACGCACGCGAAGCGCTCCATCGCGGGGTTGGCGGCGCTCCGCAGCTCGCGGCCGCCGCGGCGCCGCGCTGGTCGCGGCGGCGGTGGTCGCGGCGGCGCTGGCGCTTTGGGCGGCTTCTCGCGCGGCGGCGCTTGCGCTTTGGGGGCTTCTCGCGCGGCGGCGCTTCCGCTTTGGGCGGCTTCGGCGGCCGTCGCCGCGCGCTCGCGACGTCGAGGCGCGGCGGCGCGCCGTCGAGGACGACGAAGGCGTCGCAGGCGTCGTAGGGCCAGACGTCCTGCACGCCGTAGGCCGCGTCGCCGACGACCGCCGCGCTGGCCGCGCGCCGCCAGGCCAGCGGCGCGTAGCACTCGTCGCGCTCGAAGTCGCCGCCGTCGCAGGCGACGATCTGCGCGTATTCGGCGTCGAGCACGCGGCGCACGGCGCGGCTCGCGTCCGAGTCGGTCGCGACGAAGAGGCTGCACCGGTGTGGTTGGGATGCGCTCGTGATTTGGGCTAATAAAAGGGCTGCCAGGCGCGCCATCGTCCGGCAGCTCGATGTTACCCTTCAACATCAGCTATGATGCTGTGGCGCGGCTGAGGATGAGCGTGTAGACGAGGCCATCTCCGTGCATAGGCAGAACGCTGCGTGCCCATCGGCATGCGCCTGAGAAAGTACCTCCTCGTCTCGCTCCCAGGCGCCCTCGCCATCGCGGAAACGATGAGCTGCGTGCGCTCGGCCATGCGCGTGCTGCGCGTCGCCACGGCTGGCACGGCGCACCCCTTCGGCGACGAGCGCACGGTGCGCCAGGCGTTCCCCAAGGCCATCGCGGCCGAGGACGCGGACCCGTTCCTCATGTGCGACAACTTCGCGTTCGCGCCGGAAAAGGCGAACTTCGGCGAGGACGAGTTCCCCATCGGCTGGCACCCGCACCGGGGCATGGACATCCTGTCCTACCAGAAGACGGGCCTCGGCCGCCACGGCGACAGCCTCGGCCACCGCGAGACGTACGAGACGCCCGGCATCCAGTGGATGAGCTGCGGGTCCGGCGTCGAGCACGCCGAGGGCGGCGGCGGCGACGGCGAACTGATGAAGGGCTTCCAGATCTGGGTGAACGTGCCGTCGTCGAAGAAGCTCGACGATCCGCGCTACGGCACGCACCCGCCGTCGGAGATCCCGACGGAGCGCGGCGCGGGCGTCGCGCGGCGGCTCCTCGCGGGCGCCATCGGCGACGAGAAAGGCCCCTTCGAGACGGCGACGCCCGTGCAGATGGTCGACTGGGAGCTCGAGGCCGGCGCGTCCCTGGAACACGAGCTGCCGTCGACGATGGACACGGCGCTCCTCTACGTCTACGAGGGCGGCGCGCGGGTCAACGGCGCGGCGGCCGCCGCGCACGACGTCGTCGAGCTCGACGCGTCGTCGGCCGAGGACCGCGGCCTCGACATCACCGCGGGGCCCGACGGCTGCGCGGCGATGCTGTTCGCGGGCAAGAAGCTCCGGGAGCCCATCGCGTGGCACGGACCAGCGTCCTGCGACCGTGACAATTTTCGAGAGCTTTAGACCGGGAAGAATTCGCCACCGACACGCTTTGTAGGCACGGACCCATCGTCATGAACAGTCAAAGCGAGATCCAGCAGGCGTTCAAGGAGCTCCGGTCCGGAAAATTTCCTCCCGTGCGGGTCCCTTGGGACTACAAGCGCGCGAGCGCGAGGCCAAAGAAGTAACACACAAGAACAGTTAGACCTCCGCGGCGACGAGCCCCGGCCGGTGCGCGCCCTCGAGGAGCGCGGCCAGCCGCCGTCGGGACCACTCGAGCGCGGCGACGTGCGCGCTCGCGATGAAGGCGAAGAGCACCGCGAGGCCGATCTCGCCGAGGCCGCCGAGGACGCCGAGGCCGATCACGCCGACGGTCGCGCCGAAGACCTCGACGACGAGGAACCAGCCGGGGTAGGCGACGATGTCCGCGCGCGTGATGAGCGCGGCCCAGACGCCCGTGCCCAGCACGTGCACGGGCAGCGCGCCGACGACGCCCGTCAACAACAGCAGCGCGAAGAGCGGCGAGCTCGTCACGAGCAGGAACATGAGCGCGCGCGCGAGCCGCCGGACGGTCGGCCGCGCGTCCTCCGACGGCGCGGCGCGCCGCCGGCGTCCCGACGGCCGCCGCGCGACCGGCCGCGGCTGGGACCGGCGCGCCGGCGATGCGGACCGCGACGGGCGCTCGGCGCGCTGCGAAGAGCTGCGCGGCGGGAGACTCGAGGCGCGGCTCGAGGAGCCGCTGCCGCTGCTGCTGCGGCCTCTTTTCGACGTTTCGCTCGACTCATCGCGACGTTGTGGGAGGCTGGAGCGGCCTCCTCTCGACGGCGCCATGCTGCCCGACACATCGAGGTTTGGGCTGCGTTGATGCTGCCGATGTTAAAGAAGCGTCAACACATCGGTCCGGCCGGGGAAATTGTGTTCCGGTCGTGCCGTGCGGGCTGAAAAAGCTGAAAAAGCCGGGGGTCGAGGCCGAGGATCGACGGCCGGCTCTGACTCCCCGGCGCCGCGTGCCGGCACATTCTTTGGAGGCGCGCGCCGCGACCGCTCTCCTGGAGCGGGCCCCGGCCCGCCGAACACGTTCCCCGATCCCCCCACCACTAGACACGTTGAGGCGCGAACGTTTTTTCCCGCGGGAGGGGGGCGTTTTCCCGAGGGGGGCCGGGCGGGCCACGCGATGAACAATCCGCGGTCCATGGAGGGCCGGCGGCTGGGCGACGTGGCGAAGGAGCTGCGGGCGTGCCACAGCGGGGGCGGCCTGTCCCAGGCGGCCAAGGCGCGGGAGCCGTCGATGCACGTCTTCCTCATCGACGCCTGGGCGCAGCGGTCGATCCTCGGCGGCCGGCGGAAGCTCGAGGTCAAGCCCTGGGCGACCGTGCGCGAGGTGAAGAACGGCATCGCGAAGCTGCTGCGCATCCCGCCGCAGCGCCAGCAGCTGCGCGCCCCCGCGTCCGCGGACGCGCGCGCCGGACCGTCGACGCCAGCTGTCGTTGACGCCGCGCGTATCCAACGGCCTCGCGCGCGACCGCGCCCTTTTCTAGGTACTTCCGCTCGGCGGAGCTCGCGGACCACCGCACGCTCGAGGCCTCGGGCGTGCACCACAGCGGCGCGACGCTCCTCTTCGACGCGCGGCCGGAACTCACGGAATCCGACGAGGCCGCGCTCGAGCCCGTGTCGTGCGCGGCGCTCCACGGCGGCGACGGCGCCCTGCCGCCGACCCTCGGCCGCGCGCTGTTGCGCGCGCGCCGCGCCCTCGTCGTCGGCCAGAAGGCGCCGGAGCTCGCGATGGACGGCACGGGCGGCACGTACTTCCTTCCGGGCCTCGACGGCGCGCCGGAGGCGTGCTTCAAGCCCGCCGACGAGGAGCCCTTCTGCGCCAACAACCCGCGCCTGTTCGTGGGCACGGCCATGCCCGGCACCCGGGAGGCGCCCGAGGCCGAGATGCGCCGCGGCGTGAGGCCCGGCGAGGCCGCGAAGAGAGAAGTCGCGGCGTACCTGCTCGACGCGCGCAACGGCGGCGGCGCGGGCGTGCCCGAGACGACGCTCGCGAAAAGCCGCCACCGGGGCTACGAGTACCACGACCGCGTCGTCGCCGACAAGGTCGGCTCCTTCCAGGTCTACGTGCCGCACTCGGGCGTCGCGGAGGACTTCGCGCCCGGCCGCTTCGAGACGCAGCGGTTGCAGGCCATCGCGGCCCTCGACATGCGCTGCCTCAACTGCGACCGCAACGCGGCGAATTTGCTCATCCCCAAGCAGCGCCGCGGCGCCGGGAAGAAGGAGCACGACCTGAAGCTGGTGCCCATCGACCACGGGTTTTGTTTGCCCGAGGTGCTGTCCATCGAGTGGTTCGACTGGTGCTGGATCGACTGGCCCGCGTTGAGCGCGCCGGTCTGCGAGCCGTTGAAGGCGCAGATCGCCCAGCTCGACGCGGACGACGACGCCGCGGCGCTAAGAGACGCCTTGGACATCCGCCCGAAGTCCGCGCGGCTCATGGTCGCGGCGACGGAGCTGCTCAAGCGCGGCGTCGCCGCGGGCTTGACTTTGAGAGATGTGGCCATGCTCATCGTCTTGCCCGAGGATGCGTCGTCGAAAACCGGCAAGTTGGCCACCGCCGTCGCGCGCGCCGCGGAGCTCGCGGACCTCGCCTTCGCGGAGACGCACGCCCTCGGCGGCGCGCTCCCGCGGGGCGTGCCGGCGACGATCCGCGTGTCCCTGGCGCCGCCGGAGGAGAAGGTCTTGGGGGACCTCGACTTTGACGCGGTCTCCGCCGTCGACGTGCGCCTCACCGTCGCCGTGCCGCCGGAGCCCGCGGCGACCAAGGCCCACAGTTCCTACTACACCCAGTCCAAGCCCATCGCCATCGACTGCGCGGAAGCCTGGCGCGACGAGGCGTCGTCGTCCCCCGAGCCGTCGCCGTCCGGTCCTTCCAGTCCTTCCAGCAGCGACGTCGGCTGCGCGCACGGGTCGCCGCGCTGGGTCGACGGGTTGCCGTCGACCGTCGCCCCCTTCGCCAAGGGCGTGCCCGCGAGCCCCATGCGCGCGCGGTCCGTGTCGCCGACGTCCGACGACGACGACGGCTTCGTCGCCCGCTTTTGCGGCCGCGCGCCTCCGAGCGCGCGCGCCGCGCCCAAGAAATCCTCGAAGCCGCCGCCGCTGCCGCTGGGCGTGCCCGCCGTCTCCGTCGAGGACGACGACAAGCCCCTCGTCTGGACGAACAAGTCCTCCGAGGGCCGGCCGCTCGTCCGGCTCCACAGCTGCCCGTCGTTCGCGGACGCGCTGCAGCGGTCGCGCGCGCGCCACGCCGACGGCCAGCCGTTGGCGCCGTCCGCGTCGAAGCCGGGCATCGCCGCGAGCCGCAGCGGCCTCTTCTCCGACGGCCGCGTCCTCGGCCGCCGCGCCAAGTCCGCGGACCGCGACGAGTACGACGTCCACTTCAAGCGCTACCTCGGCGGCCTCCTCGACGACCTCGTCGCCTGGAAGCTCCACCGGCTCAACTACCCGCCGCTCCGCTCTTGACCGACCCAGCGGAGCTGGCGAGCCGCGCGCGCGCCTCTCCGGAGCGCGGCCGCCGCGCGGCGGCGAAACACACACAAAAACACACAAAAACACCCGAGGCCGGGCGCCCACGCCCCGCCTCCTGCACACACCATTGTCCCCGCGCCCCCCATTGTGCCCTAAACCACAGTCTGTGAACTATCGTCGTCGCGCGATCGCCGCGGCGCCGCGCCACGCGGCCGTGGACGCGTCCCCGACGTCCGCGAGCCGCGTCTTCCGCTTCGCCCGGTTCCTGAGCTCGTCGCATAAGCCCGGGAGGTCCGCGCCGCCGCCGACGAGGGCCACGGCGCCCGCCGCGAGGTCGAGCAACGGCGCCTGCTTGCCGAGCGCCTCGCCGAGCGCCTGCTCCAGCGCGCCGCCGCCGTCGCGCGGCGCGAGCAGCGCGCGGCGGCAGACCGCCGCGTGGTCGCCGTCGGTCCGCTTCGCGTGCTCCGCGATCGCCGACGACGCGAGGCCCGCGTCGCCGTCGAGGACCTGGCGCTCGCGGAGGAGGAGCTGCACGTAGTTGGTCAGCGCGGCGCCGCCGAGGCGGCCGTGGCGGTCCGTGGCGCCGAGCGCCGACGCGCGGAAGTGGCCCAGGTCGAGGACGACGTCGAGGGTTTCGCCGGCGACGGCGGCGACGCAGTCACAGGGCTCGACGACGCGGATCCGGCTCCCGCGGCCGCCGACCGCGCGTTTCGCCGCGCGCAGCAGGGGCCCCGCCTCCGCGAGCGGCGGCCGCACGAGCACGAGGGACAGCGTGTCGAGGGGCACGCGCAATCGGTCGGCGACGTGGCCGAGCAGATCCCGCAAAATTCGATAGTCCTCCAGGAGGAGCTTCTGGCGGAGTAAAGGCGGCGGCGGCAGCGGCGGCGCCGAGTCCTCGACGGCGTCCACGGGCGTCTCCGCGACGGCGAGCGTGCCGCGCAGCGCGTCGAAGGCGACGTCGAGCACTTCCGGCGACCGCCAGGACGGCAGGCCGTAGCGGACGTGGCGCAGGCCCAGGTCGACGACGACGCCCGTTTCGTCGATTTCTTTGCGCGTGCGGTAGGCCGTCGCGTAGGGCGTCGGGCCGCGGAGCGCCGGCCGGAGGGCGCCGCCGCCCGCCCAGGCGCGCCAGCGGCACTCCGTCGCGGGGACGAGCCAGGCCGTGACGGCCTTGCTCAGCTCCGTCTCGAGCGTCACGAGCGTCCGCGGCGCCGGCGCCAAAAAGGCCAGCGCGTGGAACGCAAAGGCGTCGGCGGGGACGACGTCGGCGATGGACCGGCCGCTCGCGCGCCGCACGGGCCGCACGGTCGTCGTCTTCGGCGGCGGCGGCGACCAGAGGCTGTCGCGGACGGCGGGCGCCTCCCTCGGCGGCGCCGCGTCGACGGCGGCGGCGACCGCCGCCCGCACGCGCTTCGGCAGCGACTCGCTCCGCGCGAGGGGCGCCGACGGCGCGGACACGGCGGCCTGCCGGGGCAGCGTCCGCGCCAGCACGTTCGCCGGGATCGACGCCTCGTGGGCGGCGTAGAAGGCCGCGGCCCGCTCGACCTCGTCGCGCTGCTGGGAAGCGCGGCTCGACCTCTTCCGCGGCTTGCTCTCCGCCTCGAGCTTCGCCGCGGCGCGCCGCCGCCACTCGGCCGCCGCCTTGACGTCCGGCTTGTGCCACACCTCGCCGTGGGCGCGCTGGGTGGGCGCCATGCCGAACGGGCTGCTGCGCCGTGTGCCGGTTGTTGAAGCGCTAGGATTACAGGTAGGCATGTGGTAGGCTAAGCTTTCTTATGAGCGCTGAACCCAGCCGAAGCGCGACCCACGCGTTGATCGCCGCGACCTCTTCCACGCGCCGGAGCTTCGCCGCGGCCCGCGCCAGGAAGATGGCCAAACCATCAGCCGTCGAGTTCAAGTATGTCGTCACCGCATCCACGGAAGAAGCGGTCGCGCCCGAAGCCCAGTACCACGCGCTCGCGCGCAGCCCGTTAGACGCTGGCGCTCTCGAAATGATCTGGGAGATGGCGTTGGAGGATGCGCTCCAGGACGAGTCGCGGCTGCGGGAACGCGTGCTCGCCGCGCTCAAGCGCACGGAGGGCGCGGCGCTCGACGCGCGCAAACGGTGCATCGGCGCCGCGCTGGAGCACCGGGAGGCCCGCGTCGGCGTCGTCGTCGTCGCGAGCAAGGCGCCGTGCGATCCCTTCGGGTGCCTTCTCGCCGGCGGCGGCGCCTTCCTCAACGCGGTGCGCGGCTCGAGCGGCGCGAGGATCTGGCTCGAGCCGCGGAGCCAGAGCGACCGCTGCGTCGCGAACATCGCCTCCGCGCGCCTCCTCCTGGTGACGGCCGACTCCGCCCGCCAAGTCATGGACGCGCTGCGGGACATCGTCCCGAAGCTCGCCGAGGAGGCGTGCGCCATCGCCGGGCGGCCCCGCCGCCGCCGCCGGTGGCCGCTTCGGCGCCCGTCCAGGCCGTTCCGGCGTTCGGAGGGTATTCTCCACCTGCTCCTCCAGCGTTTACTTTCGGGCAGGCCGTGCCGCCCGCTCCGGCGTCGCCGCCCGGTTCGCCCGGTTCGACGACGGTCGTCTGCTCGCCAGTCCGGTCCGCGACCGCGCCCGCGCCGGCGGCCTGCACGCCCCCGCCGTCCCAGACGCAGACGCCGCCGTCGAAGAAGCGGCCCGCGCCCTCGCCGATCTCCCCGGAGCAGCGCGCTCGCGCGGCCGCGAACAAGGAGGCGGCCCTCCGGAAACTCGCGGAGAAACGCGCGCGGCGGGAATCGGCCGTGGCCAGCGCGTATGAACGGTAATGGTTATTCTCGCGGTTGTCGCGTCGGCGGCGGCTCGCGGGGGGGCGGCGGCTCCCGCTCCCGGGATCGGGAGCGCCGGCGGCGCCGCGGCGGCGCGCCGTCGGGCTTCTTCGGCGACGGTTTCACCCACGTCGGCGCCGCTTTGGCGGACTTGGTCCGCTTCGACGCCGGCGATTCCCAGGGTTCTCGATGCTCGGGGCTTTTGGCCAGGAGGTGGCGCTCGAAGGGCGTGAGCTGCTCCGCCATCTCGATGGGCGGCGGCGACTTCTTCCGAGTCGGCGGCGCCCGGGCCGCCGCCTCGGCCCGCTCGCGGCTCGCCTGGGCAGGACAAGAGTGCGAAATTCCCAACTTCAAAGGCTCATCTCTCGGCCGTTTTCCACTCGTTTCGGCTGATTTTTGGACGAGCGATCATCTCTCGGAACGGTCTCGAAGCGTGGATGCTTTTTTCAGAACGCGCGCGCGCGGAACACTCACGTTGAAGCGACGTTGAATCACCCTTGTCCTGCCCTGCGGCTCGCGCGCGCCATCCGCATCGCGCGGTCCGGCCGCGGCGCGGGCGCCGGGGACCCCCATCGGCGACGCCCCATGGGCCCCCGCGGCGGCGGCGGCAACGTCGTCGGCGCGTCGAGCGCGTCGAGGTAGCCGCCGCGGTCGTCGCGCCACGCGCCGCCGCCCAGGGGGATCGTCTCCCGCGGCGGCGCGGGCGACGTCTTCCGCGCCGCGGGCGCGGGCACCGGCGACGCTTCCCGCGGGGCCCGCGTCGGCGCGGACGCCGGCGCGATCGCCTCGACGCCGAGGGCCGCGAGGACGTCCGGGACCACGGCGCCGTGGCCCTCGGACGTCGGATGGTACGTGTCCATCCAGAAGCCCTCGCGGTCGCGCGCCGTGATCGCCGCGGCCTCGTCGAAGAAGACGACGCGGCACTCCGGGTACGCGGCCTGGACGTCGCGCACGACCTCGAGGTGCAGCTCGTTGAGCCAGGCGCCGAGGCCGTCGACGGCGCGCTTCGAGACGTCCGACGGCACGGTCCGGAAGAGGCAGACCTTCATGAGCCCTTGGGCCAGCGGAAGCGCGCCGCAGATGGGCATGCCCGAGACTACAATGGTCTTCGGCCGCCACGCGGCGGCGACGTCGAGGACCGCGCGGCGCACGGACGCGACGGCGACGGGCGCGGCGGCGCCGAAGAACGACGGGCCGAGCGCGCGCCGGAAGTCGACGGTCCCGCGCCGCGCGCCGCAGAAGCGCCGCAGGCACGCCGGCTTCGAGCTCCAGAGCAAGAGACGGAGCATGTCCAACCACAGCGGCCACCAGTACCGCACGATCTTCTTCAGCACGTCGTTGCCGCCGTTGTGGACGACGACCAGCAAGTCGTCGTCGAGCTCGAGGCGCCAGTCGGCGATGGCCCGGCGCGCGAGGCGCACCTGGGGCACGAGGTCCGGCGACTGGGCGCCGCCGAACGACACGTTGACGCACGCGAGGTGCTTCGGTCTGACGACGGCGTCGTAGACTCGACCGGGCCAGCTTCGCTGCTTCGTCGCGAAGTCGTCGCAGTAGGAGTCGCCGAGGATGACGCAGCCCACGCGGCGGCTCGCCTTATGCTGCAAGCCTGGGGGTAACTCCTCTGCATGTGTCGATGGTGCTGAGGCTGCCCCACGAACCAGCGTCGCGTAGTTGCGCTCCTCGACGAAGTGCCTCCATTTCGCGCGCGTGAAGTAGCGTTGAACCTCGGCGGTCTCTTCGCGGTGGTGCGACCAGACGCGGCGGCCGCGGCGCTTTATGTCCTCGCGCAGGATGTCGAGGAGCGACGCCGGCGCGAGCGGCTCCGGCGGCGGCTCGCGCGGCGCGACGCGCCGCGGCGGCGGGTCGTCGAGCGGCGTCGCGTCCTTGACGACGAGCAAGGCGACGAGGACGACGCAAAACGCCGCAACGCCGAGCGCCTCCGGTGCGGCGGTTCTGATGAAGCGGCATGCGGCGACGCCGGCCCAGGCCAGCGTCGGCGCCGCGCAGGCGACGACGACGTAGTCCGACATGCTACTCAGAGCTCCCCATTCTACACCATCATCCCCATCATCGTCGGCCTTGAAGGCTTTATGTTTTCAGTTTCTGGGATCTCCTTGGTTGCCGTGCGTGAATCGAGAGGGCGCCTCTCGCGCCGTCTGACTTTTCCAAGCACATCCACTGACTGTTGCCATGGCCGAGCCGCCGGAGCGTCTCGGCCATGCGGAGTCGCTCCCGCTGAACATCGAACCGTCGGAGCAATCGATTCGCAAGGCGGGGTCGAAGGGATCCCTCCATTCCCTGTTGTCCACCTCGCCGCAGTCGCCGGCGTCGCCGGGCGCGCCGCCGCCGCCGCCGCGCGGCGCCGGCGGCTCGCCCCGCGGCCTCGCGTCCGGGAGCCTGCGGCGCGGCGACGGCGCCCTCTGGCACAGCTCGTCGTCGCGCGCGGCCGCCGCGTCCGCCCGCGCCGGCTTCCCGACCCGCTCACGTCGAACCTCGTAGGGGAGCGCTTCGCCATCCCGTCGACGGCGCGGCTCTCGCAGAGCTACTCGCAGCCCCGCGCGTCCCGCCGCGTCCGAGTACCATCGCACAAACCCTGAAAAAATGAACGACAGGCACGCTCCTCGCCGTCGAAGAGAAGCTCACGGCCAAGGACACGGTCACGGGCCGCCTCGAGCGGCTCGACGGCGGCGGGTCCTGGCGCGCGTGCTACTGCGAGCTCGCCGGCGGGCGGCTCCGCGTGCTCGCGCCGGGCCGGGACCCGCGGCGGCCCGACGGCGCCGACGACAGCGACAGCGACGCCGACGACGTCTTCGTCGAGGCGCTCGAGGAGCTCGCCGTCGACGCCGGCGGCCGCGGCCGGCGCGGCGCGACGCTGAACCTGACGCGGTGCCGCGTCGTCGGCACGTCGCCGCAGCACGGCGCCACCGCGTTCAAGTTGGTGGTGGACCGGGGCCCCGCGGCGGACGTCGCCGCGTGCCACTTCCGCGCGCCGTCCTACGACGACATGTGCGCCTGGCTCCTCGGGTTCCACCGGTCCCTGGCCGTCGTCGTCGCGCGCATCCGGCGGCGCCGCGCGGCGTCGCTCCCGTTCAGCCGGAGCCGGTCCGCTTCCACCGACGAGTCGCCGTCGGGGAGCCCCTGCTCCCAGGGCGACGCCCACGGCGTGCGCAAGAAGTCGAGCTCGCGGCGGCGCGGCAGCGGCGACGCCTGCGCGAGCCCGCTGAGCCCGCCGCGGAGCCGCGCGGCGACGTCGCCCGCGCGCCAGTTCCCGCTGTCGTCGCCGCTGCGGCCGCCGCTCGGGACGCCGCCGCCCCCGACGCCCCCGCCGGCCGGCGACGACGGCGGCGCCCTCTGCCGCAAGTCGAGCGCGAGGCCCTTCCACGGCAAGACGGCCGCGGAGCCCGCGCCGGCGCCCGCGGCGGCGCCGAAGAAGTACGTGCCGCCGCACCTCCGCGCGGGCTACGCGCCGTCGCCGCCGCCGCCGGCCGACGCCTTCGAGGAGACGGGCGACGCCATCACGGGCGGCTTCTTCGCCGAGGAGGGGAGCCCCTGGCGGACCGCGCCGGGCCTCCGGTACCGGAGCGGCGCCGTCTGCGAGAAGGGCATCCGGCGCCACAACGAGGACGCGTGCGCCGACGGCCCGGCGCCGCCGGCGGGCCTCGAGGGCGCGGCCTACTTCGCCGTCTACGACGGCCACAGCGGCTTCGACGTCGCCGCGCGCTGCCGCGACGAATTGCACGGTCTGTTCTACGAAGAATTCCAAAAGTCCGAGGACCCGGCGGCCGCTTTAGAAACATCGTTCCTCGCGCTCGACGCGGCCTACTGCGCCGAGGCCGCGCGGGGCGACGCGTCGCCGGACGCCGGCGCGACGGCGCTCGCGCTCGTGCTCGAGTGCGGCGGGGGTTCAAGCCCACGAGCCGTCGTCGCGAACTGCGGCGACTGCGCGTGCGTCCTCGGCCGGAAAGGGGCGCCCGTGCCCCTGAGCGCGCCCCACGCGCCGGCGCCGGGCTCGTCCGAGGCCGCGCGCGTCGAGGCCGCCGGCGGCTGGGTCACCGCGGAGACGGATCTCTGCGTCGGGCGGCTGCACGCGATGGATCTGGCCGACGACGAGATCTTCGCGGACGCGCACGAGCGCGTGCGCCTCAACGAGATCCACCGCGTCTGCGGCGAGGTCGCCGTGACGCGCGCCATCGGCGACGTCGACTTCAAGGGCTGGCCGTGCGACGGCCGCGAGAGTCCCTGCTTCGCGTACCCGGAGGGCCACGACGGGTCCTTCGCCGCGGACCTGCTCGTGGCGACGCCGGAGGTCGTCGCCGAGGCGCTCCGGCCCGGGGATTCCTTCCTGCTCCTGGCGACGGACGGCCTCTGGGACGTCGTCGCGCCCGCGGAGGCCGTCGCCGTCGCGGGCCGCCGCTTCGACGCGGGCGACCACCCGAAGGCCGTCGCGGCCCACCTCGTCGACCGCGCGCTGCGCCTCGGCTCGGGCGACAACGTCACCGTGCTCCTCGTCCAGCTCGAGGTCGCCCCGTAACACTCTCGTGAGGTTGCGTGTCGACGCGCGAGCGGGTGCCGCCGACGGTCCTCTTCGAGGCGCGCGTCTCGCTCCACAGCGGACCCGTGCGTGCGGCGTACGTCTCACTCTACTACGCAGTACTACTACACAACTTATTACTGTACAGGGGCGCGCAGCGGCTACGAGTTGCGGAGCGCGAAGCCGAGCAATGCGACGACGATGAAGACGACGCCGCCGAGCACGTAGGAGTTGGAGGTGAGCTCGCTTGACGTGCCCTCTAAGAGCCCTCGGTTTTTTAACGGCGCGCCCAGGCCGCCTTGGGCTCCGCCTTCTCCGCCTTCGCCGGCTTCTCCGCCTTCGTCGCGGCCGGCTTCTTCTTCCGGGGCCACCAGGGGTAGATTCTGGCGTCGTCGACGGCGCGGGCTGCCCGGCCCGCTGTTTCGGCGGCGTCGCCGAGCGGATGCACCTTGTTGATGGCGTCGCCCGGATCCATTCGCGTGGCGGCGCGTGCTGCAGCGCTGCGGCAACAGGAAGGGGCCGAAGCCGTGAATCTCCTGTGACGGGCTGCCTCTGCGTTTTATTGCAACTGCACTCACTTCAACAAAAAAGGCAACTCGCCGCCGAATGCCGCGTCCTCACCCGCTCTCGACTTGCGCCCCGTCGTCGAGCGAGCGCATGGCCGACCCGACCGTCATCATCGCCGGCGCCGGCATCGGCGGCTTGACGCTGGCCCTCGCGCTCAAGACGCACTGCGGCCTCGAGGGCTCGGAGATCCTGGTCCTGGAGCAGGCGCCGGCCTTCGGCGACGGCGTCGGCGGCGGCATCGGCCTCTACGCCAACGGGCTGCGCGTGCTGCGCGACGCGTCGCCGGCGCTCCTCGCGGCCGTGCGCGAGGCGGGCTACCCCTACGTCTACCGGCGCTGGCTGCGCCACGACGGGACCGAGGTCGCCGTCGCGGAGGAGAAGGAGCTCTGCGGCGACCCGGAGCTCCAGAGCCTGGGCATCCGGCGCTGGAAGCTGCAGCAGGCGCTCTGCGACGCGGCCCGGGCCGCGGGGATCGTCGTCGAGTTCGGGTCCCGCGTCGAGGAGGTTACAGAAATACCCGGCGGCGCCGTCGTCCGCACGGCCGAGGGCGCGCGCAAGGCCAAGGTGATCTTCGGCGCCGACGGCCTCAAGTCGCAGGCCCGGCGCGCCGTCGCCGGCGCGGACCTGCCCGCGCACTTCACGGGCGTGACCTGCCTCATGGGCTCCGCGCCGGTGGCCCGGCCCGTGCGCGGCATCTGCTTTCCCAGTTCTTCTACGACGAAATGCCACGCGTGCTACTACCCCACGGGCGAACAGGAGACGGTCTTCCAGCTCTACTTCCCCGCGGAGACCGTCGCGGAGAACTGGGGCCCGCTCGCGCCCGCCGAGGCCGCGACGCAGGCCGGAGCGTTGGCGAACGACCTCGAGCGGGACGGCTGGGACGCCGCGCTGCTAGAACCGCTCCGGGGCCCGCCGGACTCCGTCATCCGCGTGGGCATCTTCGCGCGGGACCCGCTCACCACGTGGGTCAAGGGCCGCGTGTTTCTGGTGGGCGACGCGGCGCACCCGCCCGTGCCCTACATCGGCCAAGGCGCCATGCAGGCCATGGAGGACGTCGGCGTCCTCGCGCTCTGCCTGAAGCGCTTCTGCTGCGAACACGGAACATTCGACCCGACGGACGCGGCGCTCGCGGCGGCGGCCGAGGTCTACCAGAAGATCCGCGTGCCGCGCGCGACGCGCGTGCTCGCGAGCTCCCACGTGCTCGGCGCGTCGCAGCAGCGCCGCGCGGAGTCGTGGTCCTACAACTTGCGGCGCGAGTGGTCCATCCGGCTCCAGTGCCTCCTCCACGGCACGCTGCCCATCATGAAGCCCGGCGTCGCCTACGACTACGCCGCGGACGTGCGGCGCCACCTCGACGGCGACGCCGCCGCGCCCGCGCCGGCGCGCGCGCCGCTGGTGGTCGCCGGCGTCGCCTTCGCGGCCGCGGCGGTCGTCGCTTTGCGCAAGGCGCGGGCCTGAGCATGGCGACCCCCCCACTTCCGTTACTAGGCGCATTTCAACACGTACCAGTCCGGGAGGACGACCTCGCCCGCCGTCGGGATCGCGCTCGTCGTCGTCGCGTAGACGCGGTGGTCCGCGCGGAGGAAGAACTCGTCGACCGCGTCCTTCGTGCCGAAGTAGTAGCCCGCGGGGCGCACCCAGCCCGCGTGGTAGTCGTTGCCCGCGAAGAGGCCGCCGCGCCGCAGCTTGGGCCACCAGGCCTCGAGGTCGCCCCGGACGCCGCTGTACGTGTGCTCCGCGTCAAGGTACACGAAGTCCAAACTCGCGTCCGGGAAGGCCCGCGCGGCGTCGAGCGACGCGAGGCCCTCGCGCAGTGCGGCCCGGCGGCCGTAGGGCGCCACGGCCGCCCGCGTCGCCGCGACGTCGCCGGCCCGGTCCGCGTCGTAGAAGTCGACGGCGGCCCAGAGGTCCACGAGGTGCAGCTCCGACAGCGCGGAGCCGTTCAGCAGCTTCGCGGCGAACTCGCCGCGGTGCGTGCCGACCTCGACGCCCGTGCCCGCGTAGCCCAGGTCCGCGAGGAGGCGGGGCAGGCCGTCGCGGTCCGGCAGGGACCGCAGGAGGCGTAAAGGTGTGTGGCTCCGCGAGCTCGGCCGCCTCCGCTCGTCCCGCAACCCCTCCAGCACGACGGCGCGCCGCGCCTCCAGGGGCTCGTCGGCGCAGGCCGTCCGCCCGAAGATCTCGTCGGCGACGAAGTCCGCGTCGTTTTCGAGGTCGCCGCGGAGCTCCACGGTGAAGGGGATGACCTCGCCGCGGCAGGAGACGTAGAGATCGCGCGTCGTCAGCTGCTGCGCCGCCCAGGGCACGTTCGCGTCCCACCAGGCCTGCGACGCGCGGGCGCAGGCGTCGTCGCGCAGCTCCTGGCGCTGGCCGGCCACGGCGGCGCAGCAAAAGAAGCCACAACTCGACGATGGCCCATCACTCAGCTCGTGCTAGGTTCAACGAAACAAAAACTCCCAAATTGAAGCTATACAATGCCGCCCCACATGATGGAGTTTTCGACCCGACGAGGTTGACGCGGACCAGACGCGATACGCGCCATGGAGGAGGAGACGTCGAGCACGCGAGAGCGCGCGTCGTCGCTGCTCGGGCGCTCCGGCGAGGCCAAAATTACCCTTTTCTCGGCGGACGCGCGGGCCGGCGTCTACTACAAACTCCACGTGACCTGCAGCGCCACGCGGCGCTCCCTCGAGAGCACGCAGCGCTACTCGACGTTCCGCGGCGCCTACCGCGTGCTGCGCCGCTCCGGCGCGACGCTGCCGGCCTTCCCGCCGAAGATCTACGCGCGCGCGGCGCTCGGCGTCGCGCTCGCGCCGGCGCAGGTCGCGGCGCGGACCGCGGGCCTCGACGCCTACTTCGCCGCGGCCTTCGCGCGCCTCGACGAGCTCCCCCTGGAGACGCGGCGGCGGTTCTGCGAGGTGCTGTTCCTCGAGGAGGTCGCCGGCGCCGTGCCTCCGCCCGTCGACGCGGCCTACGCCGCGGAGCCCCGGGACCGCGCGGCGACGCTCTGGACGCCGCCGAGCTCCGCGCCGAGCTACCAGCGCGAGGCCTACGGCGCGCCCGGGCTCGTGTAGTAAACCTCGAGCGAGCTTAAGCGGGAAGAGGCGGGCGGGGGGGGCGGGGGAACGGGGACGGCCTAGGCCATGAGCTCCTTGAGGGCGACGGCCTTGGCCTCGATCTCGGGCCCGCGCGCGTTGCAGTAGTTGGCGTAGAGGGAGACCATCTCGTCCTTCTTCGACGCGGCCGCGGCGCCGAGCGCGCCGTCGTCCAAATTCGCGAACTGGTGGTAGAGGAGGAGCTTGTCGAGGGACTCGCAGGCGTTGACCGGCTTCTTCGTGATGAGGTCCGCCTTGGCGTTGTCGATGCACTCGAGGCAGACCTTGTCCGCCAGCGCGACGAGGTAGGACGACGCCTCGTCCGCGCCGAGGCCGTAGCCGTCGGCGACGTCGCCGACGGCCGCCGCGGCGTCGTCGTCGTCGCCCTCGATGGCCGCGACGGCCTCGGCGGCGAAGAGGGCCTGGACCTTGTTCGCCGGCAGGCCGAGGTCCTTCTTGAGGTCGATGCCCATGGCGACGGCCGCGTCCCGGAGCTCGGCGGCCTTGGCCGCGGTGTTCGGGTCGTTGTAGCCCTGGGACACCTTGTTGAGCTTGTCGAGCAGGGCGTTCTTCTTCGCGGCGAAGGACACGTCGCCGAGGTCGACGCCGAGCTTCTCCTCGAGGTTCGCGACGAAGGCCGCGTCCGCGCCGTCGAGCGTCGCTTTTTGGGCGAGGGCCGCGCCGCAGTACTTCTGGGCGATGGTGTTGCCGACCTCCTGCTTGGCCTTGGCCGCGTCGACGTCGTCGACGCCGAGGACGCCCGGCAGGTGGAAGACGGCGTTCGCGTAGCGCTCCTTCTTCGCGTCCGTGATCGCGTCGCCCTCGGAGACCTGGAGCGACGAGAGCACGCACTGCTTGAAGAGGTCCGCCCGGAGGTCCGGCGGGACGAGCGCGGCGCAGTCCACGGCGTAGGTCCAGGCGCCGCCGAGCTCCTCCGGCTCCGTCGCCAACCCGTTGCCGAGCACGAAGTCGACGACGGCCGCGAGCTCCGAGAGCACCTTCTCCGGCGACCCGGCGCCGACGGCCGCGCCCTCGTCGATGCCGAAGGTGCCGCCGGCGCCCTTGTCGACGTTGAGGTCGTCGCCGGCGTCGATGCCCCGCTTCTTCGCGAGCTGCTCCGGCGTCAGCACGATCTCCTCGAAGGCGCCGACGACGCCCTCGACCAGAGGCTGCAGGCGATCCTTCGCCGCGGCCGCGAAGGCCGTCTGGGCGTCCTCGTCGCGGAGGTCGAGGCGCGCCTGGAGCTTCGCGAGGCCCTCCTTGTACTCGTCGGCGACGATGCCGCCGCCGGACGCGCCCATGGCCTCGAGCGCGGATTTCGCGTACGTCGGCAGGAACGTCGCCTTCTTCGCGGCGTAGACGTCCTCGTCCGAGAGCTCGAGGAACGCCTGGAGCGAATCGAGCTGGGCCTTGCGCTCCACGGAGAGGATCGAGTTCTCGGAGCTGTAGGCGCGGATGCGGTCCGTGTAGGCCCGCTCCATCTTCTCCTTGAGGAGCGCCGCCGGGAAGTCGACGTTGGCGACCCAGGCGTCCAAGTCCGTCCGGTCCGGCGTCGCCTCCCGGAGCATCTCGCCGAGCTTGATGTCGAGCTTCGGCGCGAGGATCTGCTCGTGGACGAGCGCCGTGTCGGACGGCGTGAGCGAGAGCGTCTTCGCGAGCGCGCCGAGCTCGGCCTTGGCGCCGTCGTCGAGCGCGTCGCCGAGCTTCTCGACGTAGACGAGCTTGTAGAGCGACAGGGGCAGCGACTTGCCCGTGACGCCCAACAAATCGTCGAAGAACGACCCCGCGTCCGCGCCGGACAGGAACGGCGCCGTCTTCACGACGGTCTCGACGCCCTTCTGCACGTCCATGAGCCGCGACACGGACGCCAACGCTCCCGGCGTGTTCTGGAGCTTCAGCGCGTCCGTGGCGGCCTTGTAGGGCGCCGCGAGCACCTCCCGCACCGCGGACCGGAAGACGCCCTCGGCCGCGCTGTCCGTCAGCCGCAGGTCGACCTTCATCTTGTCGAGCGACGGCCCGAGCGCCGCCGCCGCCGCGTCGTCGGCGCCGATGCCCGCCTCGACGGCGTCGCGCGTCGCGGCGACGTAGAGCGGCACCGTGAGCGTCGCCGTCGCCTCGGCGGCCGCGTCCTTGGGCACGGCGAGGATCGTCGCCAGGGATTCCAAACGCGCGTCGTCGGCGTCGGAGAGCGAGTTGCCGTTGGCCGCCAGGAGCTCGCCGACCTCGGCCGTGTAGCAGTCGAGGTGCATGTCCGACGCCGTCTGGTCGGTGATGCCGAGCTTCGCACGCGCGCGCGCGAGCATGTCCGGGTTCACGGAGTCGAGCTTCTCCAGCGTGCCCGCGAGGGCCCGGTCGTAGAAGGGCGCGGCGATGGCCGAGCAGCGGTCCTCGAGGTCCGCCTGCTCCAGCCCGAAGACGGCCCGGACCCGCCCGACCTCGTAGCCGTAGGCCTCGTCGCTCACGCTGTCGGCCGCCGTGCCCGCGAAGGCGCGGTCCGAGAGGAAGAGGAGCTTGGACACGGTCTTGTGCTCCGCGGACTCGGGGTCTTTGAGGACCTCGTCGCCCGTCCACTGGAGCTGGCCGTAGACCTCGACGGCGACGTCGTAGTGCGCGTTGCCGGCCGCCTCCGCGTCCAACCCGAGGATCTCGCGGAGGGCGACGAGATCGTTCATCTCCGCCGTCTTGACGTCGGGCATGCGCATGACCTCGAGGAGGTACTTGGTGTAGATCTGGCAGAGCAGCGCGACCGAGTAGTCGCCGGGCAGGCCGTACTCGCGGACGACGGCGTCGACCTCCGCGGACGTCACGGTGGTCCAGTCGCCGGCGACGGCGGCGTCCCGCAGGAGGCCCGCGATCTTCGCCTGCATGGCCTTGTAGCGGCCCTCGACGAGCGTCGGCGCGACGGCCAGGCGCGTCACGCTTCCGCCGACGAGCGCGCCGACGCCGGACACGACGAGCGACCCGGGCATGAGCACGCCGGCGAGCGCCGCGCCGGCGACCGTCGCCGACTTGCTCGCGAGCTCGCCCACCGTCGGGCCCGTCTTCGCGAAGAGGTCCGCCGCGGCGCCGCAGTCGTCCGCGACCTTGCCGAACGCGTCGGAAGCGGCGGGCGCGCCCACCTGTGGACGCGAGAGGGTCTGCGGCGTGTCTCTCGGGGGCGCGGGGGGGACGTGGGGCCCTCCGGGGCTGGCGAAGGAGCGGCGCGCCGAACCGGCGAAGGAAACGTGGAAGGACGCTGTTTTCGCGCGAGCATCTGGGCCGTCTGGCGCCCGCTGCGCGCCGCGTGGCGCGGCAGGGTGTTGCCGCGCGGCAACAGGGAGAACACATCCACCACGAGGGTGAGAAGGAGAATCGAGGCCCGTCGGACGACCATACTTGGGCGAGGCTGAGCTACGAGCCGAGCTCGGCTGCAACCTCAATCAACCAAGGCGAAGCGCAGAGATATCCGCCCGAGTCCCCCAAACGGGCCGCGAAGCCGACGCCGTACGCGCCACGACGGTCGACTTCGTCGCCAGCTGCGGCGCCCTTGGAACCGGCGCTCCGGCGGCCCACGGCGACGCGGGCTCTGCGGTGCGCAAACCCCACGCTGGTCGCGCACGGAGAGATCGTTGCGCACCCCCTTGGAAAACCTCGACTCCCTTACGCGATGCTCCCCCCGAGCTTGTAGGCCGCGGCCTTCGTGACGTCCTTGTCGAGCTTCGCGTCGAAGGCGAGGGAGATCGTGGTGCCGGCCGCGACGGCGACGGGCGCGTCGGCGAGGAGCTGGAGGACCGTCTGCCAGTGGCTCTTCTGGGCCTCGCCGTTCGCGCCGCGGCTTTTCACCAAAGTCGCGGCGTCGTCGTCGAGGACGAGCGTGGGCCACATGGCCAGCCCGGAGAACTTGGCGGCGATGTCCGCGCTCGTCGCCGCGGCCGACGCCTTGGAGCCGTCCTCCTTGACCAGCAGCGACTGCAATTGCCGCTCGTTCGCGAACGCGTCGGCGTAGTTCGCCTCCGCGCGCTGCAGCGACGCGGCGTCGACATTAAAAGCGAGCTTCGTCGACACCGTCGCCGGCAGGGACGGCAGCGGCCCCGCGAAGTTCACGTCCTCGAGCAGCTGCGGCGGCGCGAGGAGCTGCAGCGCCTCGTCGCGGCAGTTGAAGCGGATCGGGTCCTTGCCGGCGATCTTGGACCAGTCGTAGGACGGCGGCGTCAGCAGGTTGTGCAGGGCGTAGCTCACGGGCGCCGCGTAGGTCTGGCAGCGCTGGGGGATGTAGGACCCCGGGTCGTCGGGGTTCTTGAGGTGCCTGGCCTTCGCGTCCTTCATCGTCGCGTACAGGCCCTCCTCCGACGCGATGGAGCCGCAGATCTCAAAGACGCACAAATCCACCTTCTGCGGGAGCTCGAGCTTCGTCGAGAAGCCCTCGATGACCTCGATCTGGCCCGGCGCGAGTGGGATGACGCCCTCGCCGTCGCGGCCGCTCGCGTTCGGCTTCTCGCACTTGGCGATGAACGCCTTGGCGCGCCGCGCGGCCTCCGGGTTCGCCTCCACCGCATAGACCTTTTTCGCGCCGTACTTGGCCGCGACGAGCGCCAGCACGCAGAAGGGGCCCGTGCCGAGGTCGAGGACGACGGCGTCGGGGCCGAGCGCCTTCAGGCGGTTCGCGATGGCCTTGGTGAACTTGGGCGTGCGCCGCGGGTCGTCGCGCATGGCCTTGTAGGCCTTCTCGTCGAACTCGATGAAGTCGATCTGCGACGGGAAGTCGCTGTCGAAGCCGTCCGTGGCGCTCCACTCGATGGACTTGAGCGCGACGGCGGCGGCGGCGGCGGCGGGCAGCGGCGGCAGCTGCGGCACGATCGCCGCGCCGACGAGGCCCTGCACGGCGGCGCGGCGCTCGACCGGCTTCAGAGCGCACGCCGTCGCCAGCAGCAGCGCTGCTGACACGACAGCATTGCGACTCATCATCGTGGTGGCGGCGGCTTCAAGAGATGGCTTCAAGTTGAAATCCGAATCTATCCGATGCATGTTGAAGGGAAACGAGGAGTTTATTGCGTCTCCACGCTCACCTCAAACACCACCAGCGACAGCGGGGGCATGTCGAAGCGCTCGAGCCGCGCGAAACCGTCGCCGACGACCGCGCATCCCACCTCGGCGGCGACCGGCGCGACGAAACTCGGCGCGTCCGGCCCGTTCCAGCCGCCGGCCTCGCGCGCGTACGCCTCGCCGGCCAGCGGCGACGCCAGCACGGTCGCCTTCGCGGCGCACGTCGCGGCCGACGCGTTGGCGAAGACCGGCGCCACGGGCCGCGTCGCGTTCAGCCCGTTCGCCACCCGCAGGAACAGCCCGCCGTTTGACGCGGCCGACGCGGCGACGGAGAGGTTCGCGGCGTCGCCGACGGCGAGGCGCGTGCCGTGGTGCGACGCGTAGCTCAGGCGCATCGCGTGGTACGGCGGCTCGAGCAGGACTTGGTCCGGCAGCAGCACCGCGTGGCCCTCGCCGCAGCCGTCGTAGTGGGACCCGGCGGTCCAGAGCTGGGACGACGCCGCGGCGGCCACGCGCGTCCCCAGGGCCGCGAGCGCGTTGAAGGCCGCCGCGCGGTCTAGGGCCGCCCCGAAGCGCTCGCCGTCGCGGCACGCGTTCTGCTCGAAGACGACGAGACCAACTTTGCACCCCGCGGGCGCGAGCGCGTCCAGGGCGTCGGCGGCGTTCCGCGGGCCGTCGGACGCGAAGGACGGCGTCGAGTGGAAGTCGAAGAAGACGCGGTCGCAGGGGCCCGCCGCGTCCGCGAGTTCCCTCGCGAGGTCGCGCGCCGTCGCGTTTCGCGCGCAGCGCCGGTCCGGGCCCGTCAGGCCCTGGAACGTGCCGTAGACGTAGCGGAGCTCGTGGGGATAGCCCAACGCATTCGCGCGCGTCTCCATCGCGGCCACTTGGTCCGCGAAGCCGAAGCCCAGAAGCGACGAATTCCGCAGGAACGCCTCCGGGCAGAGCTCGTTGCCGATCTGCACGACGACCGTCTTCAGATCGTGGCTCGCGGCGACGGCCTCGACGAAGTCCGCCAACGCGTCGGGCGCCGTCCAGTGCGGCAGCGCCACCGCGCACGCGCCCAGGCCCGCGGCGTCGCACAAGTCCAGCGCCTCGAAGGCGCCCCAGCCCCGGCTCCAGCGCCGCAGCTTCGTCGGCTTGACGTTGGCGTGGTCCGCCGTGTAGGGCGGCCGCTCGGAGGCCGGGCCGGCGTAGAGGCGCCAGCCGTCGCCCGCGCTCCGCGGCGCCGTCGCCGTCTCGGTGAAGGTGCCGCCCCACCGCAGAAACGTCGCGCCGGAGTCGCGCAGGGCGTCGCCGGCGCCCTTGTGCACCGGCAAGCCCGCGAAGCGGCCCCAGGCGCCCGGCTGGAGGTAGACGAAGTCGACGTCGCACTCGCGGTCCGACGACAGCGTCAGCGCCCCCCCGCAGACCCGGCAGCCGTCGTTGCCCTCGGCCGTCTCGCCGCCGCAGTCCAGCGGCGGCGCGCCGACGGCCGCGCGGCCGCAGGTCGTGCCCGCCGTCGGTTTCAGCAACGCGTCGACGCGCGTCCAGTTGTCGCCGGACACCGTAAAGTCCTCCGTCGCGAGCGTCGCCGCGGTCGCCGGCCGCGTCGCCGCGCCCGTCGCCTGCACGTCGCCCCAGTCCTCGAGGGCCACCGTGAGCTCGCACGCGCCCCGGGCGAAGGCGTAGAACTCGTAGGGCTCGCCGGCCTCGAGCGCGAAGCCCTGGTGGTACAGGCCCCGGTTCGAGAGCCGCGCGCCAGGCTCGAGTCGCACGGAGACGTTGCCGTTGAACGCGGCGCTGTCGTTGACCCACGTGGCGTCGCCGGACCAGCCCAGCGACCTGGCGCCGCCGAGGTCCGACAGGCTCTGCTCGAAGCTCTCGTCGTAGACCATCTGGCTGTAGACGCCGTAGATCTGGTGGTTCAAAGGCGAGAAGTGGTAGCCCTTGAGCAGGGGGCTGTTTGCGCTTCGGTCCGCGACGTCGACGACGACGGCCTCATAGGCGTAGGCCAAGGCGCCGAGGAGGGCTGCCCACATAGCCATCGACACGGCGTTTGATTGAGGCCATCATGAATTCATATTTACCAGTAGACCTTCCCGGCCGGGCATCGTCCCAGCTCGTTTAAAATCGATTGCTCATGGCCAGCCAAACACGCCGTCCTAAGACGCGATCCGTCACCGCCGCGCTGCGGCCGTCACGCATGACTGCGCAGGCGTGGACCGTCGCCCTCGAATTCCTGCCTGCCGAGGCGGTTAGCCGCGCCAAACTCGTGTCGAAGGAGATGCGAAGCGCGGCGCGTCTTGTCCTCACGAAAGGTCGCTACCGGCCCGTGGCTCAGTGCCTCGAGCTGGTGAGCCGCCTGCGAGCCATCCGTCGTGAGGACCGCCTCTACGAAGCTTGTCGCAAAGTCACCGACGCGGACGAGGCGAACATCGTCCGCGCGGCCTGGTTGCTGGAGCCGACGCTCGTCGCCGAAGAGGTCTTTCAGGGGGACCCACACCATTACAAGCGTTACATCCCAGAATGGGCCATGCGGATCTTCGAACCCTCCTTCGACGGCCTCGAGCGGATCGTCGCGGCGATGGAGCACGTCGACCGGCACGAGGACTTCAGCGACCGAACCGAGCGGTTCTTCAAGGATCACTGGACGCGGTGGGTCCGTGAGGTCGGGAGCTACCCCGGGCCTGCCGATGAGCGCGGACACCGATGCATGATGTTCATAGAGGGTCACGGAGATAGAACCGACGCGCGCTTTTTCCGCGCGCTACGACACTGGAGCGACCCGTATCGCGCGTACCGCGCTCTCTACGCCGCGAATGAACAGTACTTCTGGGAATCACCCCGCGAATTTGTGGAAGAGGCAGAGACGCTCACTGCCGACTGGGACGTCCTCAAGCGGCAAGAACTCCTTGGACGATTGCGACACACCGCTGTCCAGATCGAGCGTTGCTTAGAGGAAGAACGCGCAGAAATGGAAGCCGACGAGGGTTCGGGAGACTACTAGTAACCCCTAAAGTACAACCTTACATGAGCACCTTCTGGCCGTTGATGTCGACGACGCGCGCGGAGCCCGACGCCATCAGCGCGCGCGCGTCCTGCTCGTCGTGGATGCGCTGCGAGTGCGCGATGGCCTCCTCGGCGCGGTCGCTCTTCTCGACCTCGAGTTTGAGCGCGTCGACGACGGCGGCGTCGGGCGTCGCGTGGGCGAAGGGCGCCGCGGCCCGGAAGCCCAGGACCGCGCCGCCCGACGCCGCGAAGAGGGGAAAGGCGCCGTCGCGCGCGATGGCGCCGCTCCGCGCGACGAGCCGCCAGGGCCCGTCGTTGACCGCGTAGCCCACGATGCCCGCGTCGAGCAGCGCCGCGAGGCGCACCGTGTCGCCCTTCTTCGCGGACGGTGTCGCGGCCCACGCGTGCGGGTCGTCGTGCAAGGACGTCACGACCTCCGCGTCGCTCCGCTCGAAGGCGGGCCCCGCGAAGCCGACCTCGAAGGACTTGGGGTCGTCGGTGTGGAGCGCGACCTCGTAGTAGGCCACGCCGGACGTCGCGACGGCGCCGTCGGCGCCGAGCACGGAGCCGAGGAAGAAGCGGCGCCGGTCCGGCCGCGCCGCGTCCGCGCGGATCGAGATGCCCGGCTCGCCCCGCAGGCGCCGGAACACGGGGCCGCCGCCGGCCTGGGCGTCGACGGCGGCGCGCTCCGCCTCGACGGGGTCGCGGATGAGCACGTCGCACGACGCGAGCTTCATGAGCGTCGCGGGCGTCTCCGGGTCGAGCGCGTTCTGGAAGGCCCAGACGGCCTTGAGCTTCGTGCAGGCGCCAAAGTCGGGGCAGGGGCCCGTCAGCGCGTTGCGGTGGACCTTGAAGTCCTTGAGCGTCCTCGACCAATGTTCGGGGATGGCGCCGACGAAGCGGTTCGTGTGCGCGGAGAACTTCTCCAAATTCGACGCCCGCGAAAAGTCGGGCAGCTCGCCGCTCAGCTGGTTCGTGTGCACGGAGAAGCGCTTCAGGCGGGGCAGCGTGCCGAGCGCCGCGGGCAGCGCGCCCGCGAGCTCGTTCTCCTGCAGGTTGAGCCACTCGAGGGACCGCAGTTCCCCGATGCCCGGCGGCACGTTCCCCGTCAGACCGAGGCCGCACAGATCCAGGACCCGGAGCCGCCGGCACGCCGGCGCCGTCGGCCCGAGCGTCGGGTCCGGCAGCGCGAGCGCCGCGAGCGACCAGCCCCGGAACGCGGGCTCGGCGCCCGTCGCGTCCGTCGCGCGGTAGAGGTTGCACTCGAGCAGCGCGCAGGGCTCCGTCGTCAGCAGCTTCGCGACGTCCCGGCGCTGGTCCTCGCTGACGATCGTGTGCTTGACGACGAGCTTCCGGATGATGCCGCGCCGCGCGCGCGCGAGCGCGTCGTCCGAGAGCACGCCGTCGTGCGTCGTCGTCGTCGCCTCCATGGCGCCGAGGATGCGCGCGCCCTCGTAGAGCACATGCAGGTCCCCCTTGAGCTCGAAGAGGGACCGCACGTGGAGCTGGATCTCGACGACGAAGTCGTGGTCGCGGCCGAGCGCGAGGCGCCCGTTGACCATGACGTCGCGGTTGCCCCCCGAGAGCTCCGGGTCCCAGGACCGCGTGATGCGATCCTTGACGCGGATGACCTCGAAGCGGTCCGCGCGGGCCTCCAGCAGCCACGCGAGCGCGTCTCGGACCTCGACGAGGCGGTCGCAGAGGATCGTGCAGCGCACGTAGTCGGAGATCCGCGTGTAGTCGCCGCCGTAGTCGCACTGCGTCTTCTGGAGGCAGCGCCGGATGGACTTGACGGGCTGGGGGCTCGGCACGACCTCGACGTGCGCGTCCGGTAGCGACGCTCGCACCGCGCGGACGCAGTCGTCCGCGAGCCGCCGCAGCTCCGGCGCCGCGGCGACGGCGCGCGTCAGCAGGCGCATGAGCGTCGCCTGGGAGTTGACCTCCTCGGCGCAGGGCGGTTTTTGGTGGATCTCGGGCTTGGACCTCCGGAACGGTTTCACGAGAGCCTCGATGCCGCGGAGCGCGGCCTCGCCGCCGGGCGCGTTCGCCGCCCGCTCGTAGCGCGCGTCGAACTTCTCGACCGTGTGGAGCAGGAGCGGCACGAAGCGCTCGACGCCCGCGTCGCGCATCTCGTTGAACTGCTCGACGAGCGCCTGCTCCTGCTCCCGGCTCTCGCCCATGGCCTTGTCGAGCGACTTCTGCGCCTTGCGCAGGTCCATCTCCCGGAAAGTCCCCTTCCAATCGCGCAGCACGGTCTCCTCGCGCTGCTTGAGCTCCTTGAGCTGGTGGTGGAAGCGGTCGCCGTTGTTCCGGAGGAGCGTCACGGCCTGCTGCAAGGCCGTGACCTCGAGGACGTGGACGCCCAGGGGCACCTCGCCGCCGGAGTTCTGGTAGGCGTCGACGATCTTGACGGCGTTGCTCAGCGGGTCCTCGGTCTCCTCGGCTTTCGGCGCCGCGGCCGCGCCGACCCTGCGCGCGTCGGCCTCGCGCAGCGACGCGGACTTCTCCCGCTCCCGCGCGTCCGTCTCCCGCTGCCGCGCGTCCGTCTCGCGCTGGAGCACGGCGGCCTCGCGCCGGAGCACCGCGGCCTCGCGCTCCTCGAGGGCTCGCAGCCGCCGCTCGACGGCCGCGTCGTTTCGGAGCCGTACGGCAGCCGCGCCGGCGTCGCCGTCGTCCTCGACGGGCGCGACGCGCGACGACGACACGTGCAGCTCCGACGCCGTATTGCCGCGGAAGATGGTCACGGGCATGGTTGTCGTTTACAAGGTTGTGGCTTCCATCGTTTGGCAGCCCGTTGCCCGGTTCACAACGACTGCAAGGTCGGCCGGATCACGATGTTGAAGGCGGCGACGTCCAGACGCGTGAGTTTAGCAATTGATCAACGACCGGGAAACTTAGCAGCTCGACGGGGACGAATCACCAGTCGAACTTCTCCTTGCGGAAGGAGATGAAGAACTCGCGCGAGAACTTCGTGAGCGCGTCGACGACGGGCTGCGCGCCGCCGCAGTAGAGGATCTCCCACCGCGAGAGCCGCGCACCGCACGCGTCGAAGAACGCCTCGCGGTCGACGTCGACGCCCGCCTCGCCGAAGATGTCGGCGGCGCTCACGGAGTTCTTCGACGACTCGTGGGACTGGGAGAACTCCTCGCGGAGCGAGTCGGGCGACTCGCCGTGGACGTCGAACTCGGCGAGCGAGGGCGCGTGGCCCATGGCGTTCGCGTGGGCGTGGACGAAGGCGCCGAGGGCCTCGCGCGAGGGCAGCTCCGCGGCGACCCGCGCCGCGTCGGCCTCCGACAGGTCCGCGCCGTGGCGCGCCGCGACGGCCGCGAGCGCGTCCGGGCCGACGCCCTTGGCGCCGCCGGCGAGCACGAAGCGGTCGACGACGTCGTCGCGGCCGTCGGCGCGGAGCGCGGCGCGCACCGCGGCGGCGAAGCGGTCCATGGGCGCGTCGCCGGGCTCGCTCTGGCGCCGGTGCGCGTCCGACGCCCGGGCCTTGGCCTCCTCCGAGGCCTGGACGGCGTCCTCGGGGAGGCCGGTGCCCGTCTCGATGGCGTGGATGAGGCCCTGGATCGCCCGGGGCAGGTTCGGACGCTTCGCGAAGACGAGGACCCGCGCCGGGAGGCGGCTCGTGTCGACGCAGAGCTCGCGCTTGCCCGTGTAGTAGACGACGGTGTAGCCGTCGTCGTCGAATTCCACCGCGCTGAGGTAGAACTCGACGAGCGACGCGTCCCGGCACATCCACAACAGGTTGCAGCGCCGCGTCTCCTTGGCGGCCGCGAGGATGTTGATCGCCGGCGTGATGCCGATGCCCGACGCGACCAGCACCAGATTGTCGAAGTTCGACGCCGTCGCGTAGGGGCTCGTGAAGGGGCCGGTGACGTAGCAGGGGCGCACCGTGTCGAACGTGACCTCCGCGTGGAGCTTGCGCGTCCAGTCGCCGACGGCGGAGACGCACACCGACGAGTAGCCCGGGTGCTCCGGCGACTGGTAGAGCGAGAAGGCGTGCCACTGGTCCTTGGCGATCCAGGGGATCATCACGTAGACGTAGCCGACGGCGTCCGCGCGGAAGCCCGGCGGGTTCTCGAAGGAGAGCTGCACGCCGCGCTCCAAGCGATGGAATACAGTCGTCTGATGTGGAACGTGAGGGCGAAGACCTGGTAGAGCACGTCGGCGGCGTACACCGCGAGGGCCGGGCCCACGACGTAGGCGACGACCGACTTCGGCGCGTGGAGCGCGACGGCGATGCCCATGGCGAGCGCCCCGGCCGTGTGGAGGCCCTTGCGCACCTCGTAGCGCACCTTCTTGCGGAGCCGCCCCCAGGCCATGGGCAGCACGACGACGGGCGCGGCGAGCAGCGCGAGCACGCCCGTGCGGCCCGTCACGTGCGCGTAGAGGAAACGGGAATCGCCGCGGATCGCCCAGCGCGCGACGTGGCCGACGCCGTGGATCAACGCGCACACGCCGACGGCGCGGCCGCACGCCGCGTGGAGCGCGTGGAGGTCGTGGAACGGCACCCAGACGGCCAGACACGACCGGCCGAGGAACGTGCGGAGGCCGTGCGCCTTCGTGACGAAGAGGAGCACGAGCGACGGGTACATGGCGTAGGCGGATATGCGCGAGAGCGCGAGGCAGGACATCTGGAGCGCGTCCGCGGCGCAGATCGTCGCGCGGATCTCGCAACCGACGGCGCCCGCGTGTCGCCCGGACGTCTCGACGAGGCCGACGGGTTTCGGCATGAATACGGTGACGATGTTATATAACACGCATATCGCGGAGACGGCGGCGACGACCGCGAAGGCCCGCCACTCCTCCTTCGCGCTCTCCCTGCCCGAGCGCCTCGAATCGTGCGACGGGCGCCGCGACTTGCCATGCTCGAGGTCGTCGTGCACCGGCGGACGGGTGGCCGTACTTACCCGGCGCAAGGTTCGATGCCGCTCGACGACGCGCTCGACCAGCGCCCGCGCCGACATTGGGTCTACGCTCCGAGAGGCCGGCGACGAGCCGTTAAAGCAGATGGATTAATTTTTGCCTGGCACTGCTTTTGTTTGGACGATCGCGAAATTCTGAGGTGCGACGCCGCTCCGCGCCGCCCGACCGCCCGCCGCTCCTCCCGCGACTCCTCCCGGGACCCCTTCGTTTAGAGACGCATCTAGGCGAAATTCAGGCAGCTGCCTCACGGACGCCTGTGGCAAGCGCCTTACCTACTCGATCGCGCGGCGCGCGGCGCCCGGCGTCTCCGGCGGACTGAAGCCCGGGAATTCTGCCACCTTGTCCGCGGGCCGGACCTCGTCGTCGCCGTAGAGCCGCGCGCCGGCCTCGACGGCCGTCTCGAGCTTCGCGCGCACCGTCGAGTCGGCGTCCCTCGGCGGCGGCAACGCGTGGAGGTCGAAGGCGGAGCCGCCGTCGCGGGTCGTGTTGGCGAGGCCGAAGGACGCGAACAGCGCGTTCGCGTGCGTCGTCCGCGCGGACATGGGCGCGGTCTCGAGCCACCGCTCGTACGCGGCGACGCGCTTTTCCACGTCCTCGAGCGACGCCGCGGACGTGACCAGGTCCGCGAAGTCGAGCTCGAGCGCGTCCGCGACCTGCTTGAGCCCCAGGCGCACGAGCGCCGTGCCGCGCCACTTCCAGTGGTGCGCGTTCGAATTCTGCGTTCGCGCGTACGTCGCCTGCTTCGCGGCCTCGTGCACGGCGGGCGCCTCGGGGTAGTACTCGACGATCGCGTCGTCGGCGTGGTCGTGGGCGCGGCAGGCGCCCTGCTCGATGGCCTCCGTGACCTTCTCCAAAACGGCCGCGTAGGGCGGCTCCCGGCCGACGTCCGTGTCCTTCAGAACGCGGTACCGCGCGGCGATGCCCCGCAGCTTCGCCGCGACGGCGGGGTCCTTCGCCGCGAGGGCCCGGACGGCCTCGAGATGCTTCGCCTCGTGGGACACCGAGCCCTCGCGCGCGTGCGCCAGTTGCTCCGCGCCGGACAGGCACTCGTGGCGCAGCTCGTCGGCCAAATCCACGAGCTCGTTGGTGAAGCGCGCGTCCTCGTCGTGCTTGCCGAGCTCGTCGTGGGCCAGCGTGAGCATCTCGTCGTAGTGCACGTGCGCGACGCCGTGGTCCGCGGCCAACGCGCTCGACAGCTGCTTGACGTGCATGCGCCAAAAAAAAGAGAGCCAGAGCGCCGCGTGGAGCGGCGCGAAGGCGGCGGCGTAGGCTCGCCACGTCGCCACGGACGGCGCCGCCGCGAAGGCCGCGCAGGCGCGGTGGTAGCGGCGGCCCGCGTCGTCGACGGCGTCGTGGTACTGCCGGCACTCGGCCAAGCCGACGTTCTGGAACGCGCGGAGCGTGTCCTCGATGGGCACGAACTTGTCGGCGACGACGCCGTCCTCGAAGATCCGGAAGTCGCCGCAGAAGACGTCCGGCTTCGGGGCGTTCGCGCCCAGGGCCGCCTCGAGGAGCGCGGCGCGCGCGGGATACACCGAGGTCCGCAGCGCCGCGAACCACGGCGACAGCGGCGAGTTCGGGTTGTGGATCCAGACGTCGTCGTCGGCGAAGCGGCAGCGGCCGTAGGACTTGAGGAAGGCCAAGACGTCCGAGTCCTTCTTCGGCGGCGTCGGCGCCTGGACTCGGAACTCGCCCTCGAGCTCGAAGCGGCTCGCGGAGTGGAGCTCGAGGTGGCCCGCGTAGACGGCCTTGGTCAGGCCGTCGAGCGTGACGGGCCGCCCGTCGAGCTTCGCGAGCTTGTCGACGACGCCCGGGACGCCGCAGAGCACCGCGAGGCGCCGCTCGCGGCCGATCAACATGGGATGCGCCGTCGGGCTGCCGTCCTCCGTGACGATGCCGCGGAGCGACGTCAGGTACTGGTTCCAGTAGTTCGACGTCTTCGCCGTGACGACGACGTCGTCGGGCCGAATCGACGCCTTGCCGCTGATGAGATCCTCGAAGTTGCGGATCACGCGGCACGTGCCCGCGACCGCCCCGAGGAGCGAGTAGCTCCCCTTGGCGACGACGCGGCTCCGCGCGGCGCGCCGGTCCACGGTGAGGATCTCCTTCGCGCCGAGCGCGACGACGGGCCGCGACTGGAGGTGGAGCACCGTGTCCGCGCCGCTGACGGCGAACTCCGTGTCGACGTCGTCGTAGCCGAAGAGCTGCTCGTAGACGGCCCGCACCTTGAGCGTCGCCGCCGCGACGCGCCGCGCCGTGTCCAGGTCCATGCAGAAGCGCGCGCGCCGCCGCTCCTCCACGGCGACTTTGTCGCAGCCGGACGCGCCCCTCCTGGGCACGTACTCGCACTTCTTGCTCCCGAGCACGCGCTTGATGCACGCCAGCTTACTGCGGTCGAAGAGCCACTCGTCGGACGTGACCTCGCCGGAGACGACGGCCTCGCCGAGGCCGTAGGACGCGGCGACCTGCGCCGCCGGGAAGCCCGTGTTCAGCTCGACGGAGAACGCGGTGCCCGCGACCGTCGACTCGACCATGTCCTGGACGACGACGGCCATGACCGTGCCCGCGTGGGGCACGCCGTGCCGGTGGCGGTATTCGACGGCGCGGTCCGTGAAGGCCGACGCCCAGCACGCCTTGACGCTCGCGACGACGGCGCCGAGGCCCCGCTGGTAGAGGAACCTGGGCAGCACAAGAGTGATTCAACGTCGCTTCAACGTGAGTGTTCCGCGCGCGCGCGTTCCGGAAAAAGCATCCACGCTTCGAGACCGTTCCGAGAGATGATCGCTCGTCCAAAAATCAGCCGAAACGAGTGGAAAACAACCGAGATAGGAGCCTGTGAAGTTGGGAATTTCGCTCTCTTGTGCTGCCCTGAGAGGAACGTGTCGTGCTGCCCCGCGAAGGACGCCTCGGCGCCGTCCTCCGACGTCGCCGACGACCGCACGGCGACGGGCCGCTCCGCCAGGCTCGCCGCGGCGAGCGCGGCGCCGACCGCGGCCTCGGCGGCGTCGGAGAGCGGCGACGCCGCGATGTGCGCGCGAAGTTCGGCGGCCTTGGCGAAGAGCTCGGCCATGCCGTTGGCCTCGGCCGCGTTCTCCAGCTCCGACCGCTTCGACGGCGACCCGGCGCTCGGGCGGAAGCCGTCGCTGAGGGCCTGGAGCCCCGCGAGCAGCGCCTCCGACTCGGCCGTCGAAAAGTGCGCGCGGTAGGCCGCGGTCGTGACGCAGAAGAAGGTCGGCACGGCGACGCCGGCGATGGCGTTGAGGATGGCGAGGGACGAGCCCTTGCCGCCCGTCAGCGCCGTCTCCGTCGCCAGCACCTCGCCGGCGCCGAGGACGAAGGCGGACCGGTCGCCCGCGCCGGCGCTGAGCTGCGCCACGACCTCCGGCTTCAGCAGCGACGGCTCCATGGTCTTGAGCGTCTCGACGCAGCTCGACACGCAGGTCTCGTGCGTGTCCAGCGACTTGCGCACGCTCATGCCCCGCGCGAGCGCCATGCTCGGGCAGCTCGTGGACAGGTAAAACGCGGGGCTGCCCGGCGTTGAAGAACGCTTGCCTTCCTCACCATCGGCCCGGCAGCCCAAGTTCTTCGCAATGGGAGCAAAGGGCGGCCTCGCGCTGGCCGCCGCGGCCGCCGCCGGCGCGGCGCTCTACGCCCTCTACCGGAAGCGGCGCGCGGCTCAGGAGGCGGAGCGGCTGCGGTACAACTTCGCGCCGGCGAGCGCCCTCGACGCCGCGGCCTTCGGGAGCCTGCGGCCGGGCCTCCAGAGCAACACGGGCGAGGCCGCGGGCTGCGTGTCCGACGCCGAGGTCGCCGCGTGGGTGGCCTTCGTCAAAGGCCGGGGCATCACGCGCGTCCTGTCCTTCTTGGGCGACGACGAGGCCGCGTGGTACGCGTCGGACGTCGACGGGGCCATGGCGTCCGCGTTCGGGTCCGGCAACTACCTGCGCCAGAGCGTCCACGCCGACGGCGCCTACGCGGCGGCCAAGGCCTTCGTCGACGCCGCCGCCGCGGACCCGAACGCGAAGATCCTCTTCCACTGCTCCGGCGGCGTGAATCGGACGTCGATGGGCATGGCCATGTGGCTCGGCGCGAAGCACAGGGCAGGACAAGGGTGATTCAACGTCTCTTCAACGTGATTGTTCCACGCGCGCGCGTTCTGGAAAAAACATCCACGCTTCGAGACCGTTCCGAGAGATGATCGCTCGTCCAAAAATCAGCCGAAACGAGTGGAAAATGGCCGAGAGAGGAGCCTTTGAAGGTGGGAATTTCGCACTCTTGTCCTGCCCAGGCGAAGCACGGCCTGTCGCCATCGGCCGCCGAGGACGCCATCAAAGCCGCGGCGGCGGCCCACGGCACGACGCGCAAGCCGAGCGCGGCGAAGCTCGAGACGTTCATGACCGCGGGCAAGCTGCCCCTCAAGACGAAGAAGCCCCGCGACGTCGCCAACCACTAGGCCTCGCGGAAGCTAGAGGACGGCGCGGGGGACGTTCGGAGCGAGGGGAATCGGGGGGTCGTCGTTGCCGGCGCGCGGCGCCCTCGGGCGCCGCCGCCGACGAAACCCCCTTGCTCACCGCATGTAGGTCGGGTCGTCGCCGATGACGACGGACGTGGCGAGGAGCTTGATTTTGAGGTCCTGGGCGGCCTTGGCGTCGTGCTTCATCTCGCCGAGGCGCGCGGGCGTGATCTCGCCGTTCTTCATGGACCGCTGGGCGTCGGTCTCGTACTGGACGACCTCGTTGCCAAAGTTGAAGTGCTCCTTGCGCAGGTCGGCCTTGACCTCCTTGATGAGCGTGCCCTGCGCCGCGAGCGCGGACTCGGACTCGTACTTGAAGGACGTCGCGGACGTCGTCGAGTAGTTGAGCACGTCGTTGCCCAACACAAAATTGTGGCCGCTGAGCTCGGCCTTGAGCTTCTTGGCCTGGGCGCGCATGTTCGACGTGCCCTGCTTGGACGCGGCGTCCATGTCCATGTCCATGGAGTCGCGCGCCGTCGTCCGGTACGTCATCTCGTCGCTCCCGAAGTAGCAGGACGACTTCTTCGTCGTGTCGGCGTTGAGCACGCCGATGAACTCGTGCATGCGGCCCGTGGGGTCCTCCTGGGTCGCGTTCGTCGTCCACTTGACGTCGTCGTTGCCGAGCACGAAGTGCGTCGCCGTGAGCGTCTTCTTCATCGCCTTGCCGTCGATGGCGCCGCCGCGGTCCTGCTTCCGCAGGATGTCCTTCTGGCGGCTCTGGGCGTCGGTCTGGTAGTTCATCTCGTCGAAGCCGAAGACGATGGACGTCTGCGTGTTGCCGAGCTTGCGCTCGCGCAGCTTCTCGCAGACCGTCTTCCGGTCGTCGACCTCGTGGAGCCGCGACGCGACGCGCTCCATGTCGCGGGCCATGGTCGTCTCGAAGCGGCGGCCGGCCATCTTCGTCGGGCGGACCGCGGGGCCGGGGGCGCTTCCGGGGCCGTGCGACGCCTACCACCAGCGTTACTCCACAAGCACCAGGGCTGCCCGATCGGCCTACATGTATCGAGCTGCAACTCGCTTCATCGTTCTCGTCGCGCACCTCGATCGAGACATCGATCGACTTTTTGCCGGTCCTCGACGTGTCCTGACGCCGCGATGGAGGCGTCCGCCGCGCCGCCACCGGCGCCGGCGCGGCCGCCGGGGCCCGCCGCGCCGCCACCGGCGCCGGCGCGGCCGCCCCGGCGGCCGCAGGTGCTCAAGGGCTGCCTCGCGCTCGCCGGCGCCGCGGCGCTCGGCGGCCTCGCGGCCTACGCCGTGGCGACGAGTCGGCACCCCTCGGACGCCGCGGGCGTCGGGGACGGCGCGACGTCCGACGCCGAGGCGTCCCTCTTCTTCGACAGTTTAGATAGTGATGCCGACGGGCAGATCGAGCGCGACGAGCTCGAGTCCTACGTCGGCGGCGCCATCGGCGGCCACGTGCTCGACAGCGCCGCGGAGATCGCCGACGGCGTCGCGTCGATCTTCGAGAACGCGGACGCGGACGCGGACGCCCAGCTCAGCGCGACGGACATGCGCGCCTACTGGAAGGCCCTGGGGAGTTTGTTATCCGTGCGCGAGGTCGCCGCGTGGGTCGAGCACGCGGTGCAGCTGCCGCGCGACATCGCGGACAAATTCGTCGACGCCGGCGTCTCGGGCTACGACTTCGCGGAGCTCGCGCGCGACGTCTCCGAGCGGGGCGCCCTCAAGACGGAGGTCGGCGTGCGCACGCAGCGGCAGCGCGCGACGCTCGCCCGGGCCATGCGCATGCGGCTCACGGGCGTGGGCGATCCGCCGGCGTCGCCCGCGCCGCTGTCCATACTGGGCGGCGCCAAGTGCACGTCGGCGCACCTGGCCTGGACGGCGGCGGACGGCGGCGGCTTCCCGACGCACAAGTACGTGCTGGAGCGGCGCGCGAAGCGGGAGGGCATGGCCTGGGAGGTCGTGGGCGACGGCTACTTCCACGAGTTCAGGGACGAGCGGTTGAGGCCGGGCGTCGGCTACGACTACCGCGTGGCCGCCTGGAACGCCATCGGCCGCGGGCCCTACGCAACGGCGTCGGCGTCGTCCGCCCAGCGCGAGGCCTGCGACCCCCTCGAGTACCTCGGCGCGATGGCTTTAGCACCTCTCTTCTCGCTGCTCCGGTCCGCGGTGTTTCTCGGGCAGCTGCTCCTGAGCGGCATCGTGCTGTTCCTCGCGGCGCTGCGCCTCGTCGACGCGGGCGCGGGGGACGCGGACTACCACCCCGTGTTCCGCGCGCTGTGGACGCTGTGCCGCGTCGTGACGGACTACGTGCCCTTCGCGCGGGACCTGCTGTTATTGGTGGACCCGGCGCTCGGCCGCGTCGAGGTCCCGGAGTTGAGGGAGCGGCGGACGCCGGGCGAGAGCGACCACGCCCTCGTGGGCACGTCGCCCGCGACGCTGCCGCCGGAGATGTCGGCGCCCGCGCGGCGCGCGTCGTCGCTGAACCGGCGGAGCCGGAGCCCGCCGCTCACGCGGTCGTCGTCCGCGGGCTCGCTGGGCGACGACCGCGAGCGGCCGTCGGACGCGGCGTGCTCCCAGTGCGGCAAGCCCTTCATCACGGGCTACCGCACGCGCCACTACTGCTACGTCTGCGCGGCGTCCTTCTGCAAGCGCTGCGGCGTCGTCAAGCACTCGAACATGGTCACGTGCCCCGTGGGCGCGCGCTGCGCCTGCGCGCGCTGCGCGCACGACCAGCCGGCCCTGGGCCGACTGCCGAGCCGGAGCCCGGAGCCGCCGACGCGCGAGCTCGCGGGCGGCGCGCCCGTGCGATAGCGCGCGTAAGCCGGGTAGTACGGGCGCGCGCTAGGGCCGCCGCGACGCGGCGACGGCGTCGCTCGCGAACATGAGGCTGCAGGCGAGCGTGAGCGCGCCCGGCGGCGCCTTGGCGACGCCCGCGGCGGTGCCGTTGATGGCGAAGGCGACGCTGCCCGCGTCGCGGTCCACGACGAGCGAGACGACGTCGCCCGCGGCGAGCGCGGGGCGGTCCGCGGCCGCGGCCGCGCGGCGGACGTCGAGCCCCCGCGCGCCGCACGCGCTACACGTCGGCCGCGCGCGCGCGTCGCCGCCGCAGGCCGCGCAGCGCGCCGTCGAGAAGAGGCCCAGGCCGTCGAAGGGCGCCTCGCGGTCGAGCGCGGGGCCCTTGGCGACCAAGGCCGCCGTCTCCAATTCGAGGCCTAAAACCTGTGTGCAAATCAACCAGTGAGCTGGGACGTCGGGGCCAAACTTGAGAATTCTCTAGCTCGGTCAAATCGAAGTCGATTCGGCTGATTTTTGGACGAATCGATTGCTCTTAGCGAGTTCTCGAAGCACGGCGGAAGTGCTCGTGTCAAAACATTCGCATACGCGCACATTGAAGTCGGGTTGAAGATTTGATTTGCACACAGCCTAAGACCCAGTCGTTCAGCTCGTTGACGCGCGCGTCCTCGCCGACGACGCCGACGGCGACGGCGCCGCCCGTGAGCTTGAGCACGGCGACGTCGTAGGCGACGGCGCCGGACGCGACCTCCTCGTCGAGGACGACGGCCCGGAAGTTGTGCCAACGGCTCGACGGGTGGCGCCGCGCGATTCCGTCGGGCTCGAAGACGACGTGCGGGTTCCGCCGCTTCCAGGCCACGGGGCCGGACGCGACGAAGGCGTGGGGCGTCGGGTGCGACACGTAGCAGCACGTGCCCGTCGCCGCGCGCCGCGCGACGCCCGGGGGCGCGCGGCGCCACGCGAGCGACGGGGACGGCGGGGTGTTCCCCGCGAAGGCCGCGCCGAGGGCGTCGCCGCCGACGGCGTAGTCGACGACGTGGTCGACGACCTCCGCCGGCGCGTCGCGCCGGAGCTTCGATTTGGCCGCCGCGCCGACGAGCGCGGCGGCGCGCGCGCGCGCCGCGGCGACGCGCTTCGCGACGCGGTCGCCGCCCGCGGGCGCGGGCGCCGGCGCGTCGCGCCGCCGCTCGTCCGCGGACCGCCGCTGCTCGTAGGAGAAGTTCGACAGGTCCCAGCCCGTGGCGCCGAAGAGCGTCGGGCGCAATAAGAACTCGTCGTCGTCGTAGGTGTGGGCGTAGTGCTCCGGGTTCTCGGCACCGTCTTCGCCCGCCTCCCGCGACCGCTCCAGCGCGGCGAGGCGCCGCTCCAAGGCCTCCTGCGCTTCGGCCATGAAGCTATTCACGCTCGGGGTTCGTACGACGGCGCGCACTCGAGAGAGTTCACGCCGAAGCTGAGCCCTCTCTCACATCGAAGGAGTTTTGGCAAAAGCATCACCAAGGTCTTGAAGTGTCGATGGTATCTATTAGTTAGTTTCTAACACATTTCCCGTTGAAGCACGCCGCGGCTCCCCCCTAGAGCTGACTTGAGCTGAGGGGTTCCGGGGAGGACAACTTCACCCGCGTTGATCCTAGCCCTCAGAAACCGACGCGTTTGGACGCGTGGAACAGGCCCTCGAATTAAGTGCGAACATTTTTCTAAGAAATTTCTCCATTCGTCCCCGCCAGCACTCTGGAATTTTCCACCGCGCGTCGCCATCGGTAAGATTTTGCTTACTTGGACCACCAACCGCTTCCGACGGCGGGCGCCGTAAGCTCACCGCGGCCGGTGAATTAAGTGTGAGGACCGCGGCTCGTCGTAAGCAAACGCGTTTGGGTTAGTTTATTGAAGTAGTAATCGAAAACCTCATCGAAAGCGTCCAAAACTGCATCGTTTCGACCGTCGATAACGCTGCGATGATGTGATGCGCCGGCGCCGCGCCGTTTTGCGCCAGGTGGTGCACGAAAAGCGCGCGTGCTGCGCCGGGCAGCGACGACGGGGTTCGTGAGCGCAAAAAATCCTGCTGGCGGCCTTCCGCGGCGAGACTGTCGATCACTGCGACTTCGGGGCGCGCCCCCACTCGATTTTTGCATCCCCGGGTTCATATGCCGTGACAGCTGGCATGGGGCAACTCATCACCGCTCTACGCTCGCCCTGCGACTGAATTAGGTTCGAAACTCCCGCGCGCGCGACGACGACGACGACGGCGGCGGCGGCGGCGGCGGCGGCGGCGGCGGCGACGACGACGACGACCGACCGACCGACCGACCGACTGGCCCAGAAAGTAGGTGCCAGGAACTAGCCCGGGACCCAGGGGAAGTCACCCGAGGTCCCCCCGAGTACGCCCCAGTCGGTTTGGTTTAAATTTTACCACCCCAGACCCCAAAGCCCGAGTTCACTCCTAGAAGCGCGCCTTGCCCGCGCGGCGCCCGGCGCTCGGCGCGGACTTGGGCCGCGAGCCGCCCGGCGTGCGGGGCGAGGCCGGCGCGTCCCGCTTGGGCTCGTAGGACCGGCGCGCGCGCGCGACGTTGGCGTCGACGTCCGCGAGGGGCGCGGGCCGCTTCGCGGAGCCCGACCGCAGCCGCGACAGGGCCTTGGGCGTCGACCGCGGGGCCGCGGCGGACCGCGGCCGGGGCCGGAGCTGGCCCGGCGCGTAGCCCGAGATGAGGTCGTCGAGGAGGCGCGCGTCCTGCTCGTGCATGCGCGCGAGCGAGTCGGAGTTGCGGCGGACGCGCTGCGAGGACCGCGCGATCGTCGCGTGGTCCGCCGCGTTGAGCTTCACCGTCGACTTGGCCTCCTTCAGCGCGCCGATGAAGCTCGTCCGCAGCGCGCCGCCGTCGTCGGCCGCCGGGCGCCAGTCGCGCGTCGCCGCCGCCGTGAAGTCGCCGAAGCTCGCGGCGTCGACGTAGTTGCCCGCGCGGACCGCGTCCTCTCTGGAGAAACAGTCGACGCCGATGAGCGCGACGCGGTCCGTCGCGGGCATGGTCAGGCGCCCGCGCTTGAAGAGGTAGTGGGCGGCGAAGTCGGGGAGCTTCGGCGGCGCCCGCAGGTCCGCGTCGAAGTCGCGCGGCGCCGGCGGCGCCGACGCCCGCGGCTCCGCGCCGCGGAACTTGGCGTCGTTCGCCGCCGCGGCGAGGTCGCGCTCCTTGAACAGCAACGGCTCGAAGACGTCCGCGGCGTCCGCGCGGCAGACGGCGACGAGGTAGTCGCGGCGGTGGTTGAGGAAGACGGTCACCGGGAGGAACGCGCGCGCCTTCATGAAGAACACGGGCTCCCGGCCGACCTCGAAGAAGCGGCGCTCGAGGGCCGACCGGTCCTCCTCGCGCATGGCGCGGGCCTCGCCCAGGCACCGCGCGTCCTCGGCGGCGAGCTCCTGGGACGCGCGGCGCTCCGCGCGGATTTTGGCGTCCAGCGACGACGCCACGGAGTACTTGGCGAGTTTTTCTTTCTTCTCCTTGAGCCGCTTCGTCGACGGGCTCGGGTCGCCGGCGCCCCAGCGCGGCCGGAACTCGAGGGACGGCCGCCGGTGCTTCGCCGCCTTCTCCGCGAGGGCCCGTTGGAACTTGGAGACGCCCACGGGCACGTCCGCGGCGACGCGGAGCGGCGACGGCTTCGTCCGGTCCTCGACACCCTCGTCTTCGACGACGCGGCCGACGCCCGTGACCCAGTGGGCCGCCGCCGGCGCGGGGCCCGCGACGGCCTCGAGGGGCGGCGGCGGCGCGGCGAGCGCGGCCGGCGACAGCGGCGCGCGGTCGGGCGCTTTAGCCTCCATGGGCGGCGGCCTCCGCGCCTTGACCGGCGACTTCGACCGCGCGTGGGCCGACCGGGGCCGCGGCGGCGGCGACCGCGACCGCGGCGGCGGCGACCGCGACCGCGCGTGCGCCGACTTGGGCCGGGCCGCGGGCCTGGCGGCGGCGCGCTCTTTGTCCTCGCGCGCCTTGGCCGCGCGGATCTCCCGCTCGAGGAACTCCCAGCAGATGCGCACGTCGCGCCGGAACGGCGCCAGGCGGCCCTGCTCCGCGACGAGCTCCAGGAGGCTGTGCATGGCGCTGCCCACAGTTGGCGTTCGCCGCGTTCCAGGCGCTGGCTACCGGCTCGGGCAGCCTCAACGTGCACTGCATCGAGACGTAGTTGATGTCTTGACCAGCTCTCACGTCCAGCTCGTCCTCGCGCGCCGCCGGGCCCGCCACCGTCGCCGCCACGAACATGAACATGTTTCGCGCGTTGTTGTGCTCGCTCGTCGTCGCGGCGGGCGCGCTGCAGCTCAAGGAGGTCGCGCCGCTCAAGGGCGCGATGCTCGCGAGGTCCTGGCTCGGCGACGCCGCCGAGGGCGACCAGAAGATCGGGAAACGGGAGGACGGCGGCGTCGGCGCCCTGCGCTACGGCGACGACCTGCGGCGGCGCGAGAACTGCCAGCGGGGCCTCAAGACGTACGTCGACACGGCGCTCGCGCTCGCCGCGGCCGACAAGTCGCGCGGCGCCGGCTCGCCGCGCAAGACCGCGACCTTCGCCGTGCTCGACGGCGCCGGGCCGAACACGCTGTCCATGGTGAAGCGCGAAGACGACGGCTGGACGCTCCTGGGCCTCTACTGCAACCCGAACGAGCGCGACCTCGACGTCGTCGCCGACGCGGAGGCGGAGACCATCGGCGCGATCCGGGACGCCGCGGGCGTGCCGCTCGGCTTCCTCGGGGGCGTCGAGGAGACCCTCGTCGGGTCCTACGGGACGTAATCGCGCGCTCGGCGAAAGTTCAACATAGCCCAGTTGAAGCGGCTTGAAGCTTTGAGAGCTCAGCCGAGCTCTTCAGCCGAGCTCTCGATCCTGCGCCGTCGGTGCGCAGCGCAACGCCATGCGTCGCGCGACGCTGGCGACTCTCCTGCTCGTGCGCGCGACGGTCGCCGAGGCCTTCCTGCCGCGCGCCTCGACGTTCGGCCGCGTCGTGGCCGTCCGCGGCGCCGAGGACGACGACGCCCTGCTGCAGAGCGCCGGCTGGCCCGGCGTCAAGGACATTTTGAACCAGCTGCCGACGTTCTGCGTCGCCAACGCCGAGGGCCAGCCCTTGCAGTACGAGGCCGACGGCAAGCCCCTGGCCATGTTCTACACGTGCGTCGACGCGGCCAAGGCCGAGCTCGCGGACGCGAAACGGGAGTACCCGGACCTCGACCTCGACATCATCCCCATGGGGTTGGGCGAGGCCTTCCGCCTCGCGCGGAGCGGCGCGGCCGTGCTCGTGCCGTCCGCGCGGAGCCTGCTGGCGGCGGGCGCGCCGCCGACGGCGACGCCCGTGGGCCAGGAGGTGCCCCTCTTCTGCTGCATGGAGATGTCGCAGGAGGGGCCCGACGGCGGCGCCATCCTCCCCATGTTCATGGAGGAGAGCGAGTGCCGCGACGCCGTCGCGCAGGCCGCGGAGGCCGACGGCGGCGCGGGCGACGACCCGCTCGAGGTCGTCGGCCTCTCGCTCGACCGCGCCGTCGCGCAGCTCTGCCAGCTCGACCGGCCCGCGTTCCACTTCGTGCCCCCGCGGTCGTCCATGGCCCACATCCAGCAGTACCTCGACGCCTCGGGCGGCGTCCAGACGCCCGCCGACGCGCTCTAGGCGGGCTAAGGCGCGCGGCGGCGACGTCGCCTCGTCGGGCGACGTCCGACGCGGCGCTCATGGTGCGCGCTCGAGCGTGCGCCCGCCGGCCCCGCGCGTCGTCGAGAAAGGCGCGAGGTTACTCACGCGGTGAATTCGGGGCGTGTGGGTGTGTTTCTTCTCGCGCGCCGCGGCCGACGCGGCGGCTGGTGAGGGAAGACGGTTGGCAGTGTGCGCATGGTCGCGGAGGGGTGCGATCGGGCGAGGGTAGAAGGGAGCGGGGGGGGGCGGGCCGCGGGCGGCGGCCGGATAAGCCGGGCCGGACGGCGGCCCTCACGCGGGCGGCGCCGCGGGCGCCGCGGCGCCCCGCGGCGGCTGCTGGTCCGGCGCGAGGGGCGTGACGCCGTCGGGCGCCTTGCCCGTGGGGGCGTTGGTGTTGGGGCGGAGCTTGGCGAGGTCCGGGAACTGCGCGAGCTCGAGGTCCGTGAAGTCGAAGAGCGGCGGCAGCGCGCCGCCTCCCGGCTCGAGCGTCGCGCCCGGGACCCGGAGCTCGTCAAAAAAGTCGTGGGCCAGGGCCCGGAGGGGCAGCACGCGCCGCAGGGGCGCGTAGGCGAGGAACTGGGCCACGCAGTCCACCGCGCGCGGCGGCGTCCGCGACCGGAAGACCTTCGCCCACGCGTGGGCCCGAATCTGCGGGAACTTGAACTCCGTGTAGGACGCGTTCATCTCCTGGATGTCCTCGCGGCTCGGCGTGCCCAGCACCTTGATGATCTCGACCAACTGGTCCACGCCGCTGTCGCCCGGGAAGAGCGGCGCGCCCAGGAGGAGCTCCGCGAAGACGCAGCCGGAGCTCCACGTGTCGATGGCCGTCGTGTACTCCGTGGACCCGAAGATGAGCTCCGGCGCCCGGTAGTAGCGCGAGCAGATGTAGGACACGTTGGGCTCGCCGGGCACGAGCACCTTGGCGGACCCGAAGTCGATGAGCTTGACGATCTGCGTCGCGGGGTCGAGGAGCAAATTCTGGGGCTTGATGTCGCGGTGGCAGATGCCCGCGCCGTGGATCTGGCCCAACGCCCGGCAGAGCTGGTAGACGTAGAGCCGCGCGTGGTGCGCCGGCAGCGGGGTCTTGGCCTTCTGCCACGCGCGCGCGACGGAGTAGACCGTCTCGGGCATGTACTCGAGCACCAAATTGAGGTAGAGCTCGTCCTCGTTGCGCTCGTCGGAGCTGTAGAAGCAGTGCTTGAGGGCGATGACGTTCGGGTGGGGCTGCTTGGACAGCTGGCGCATGATGTGGAGCTCGCGGTTCTTGAACCGCTTGTCCTGGAGCACTTTTTTGATCGCCACGACCTGGGCAGGAAAAGAGTGATTCAAGTTCGCTTCAACGTGAGTGTTCCGCGCGCGCGCGTTCCGGAAAAATCATCCACGCTTCGAGGCCGTTCCAAGAGATGATCGCTCGTCCAAAAATCAGCCGAAACGAGTGGAAAACGGCCGAGATCGGAGCCTTTGAAGTTGGGAATTTCGCACTCTTTTCCTGCCCTGGCGACGACCTCGCCCGTCTCGACGACGGACGCGCGGAAGACGACGCCGAAGGACCCGTTGCCGATGATGCGCTCCGCGTTGAAGCGCAGCGTCTGGCCGTCGATGACCTCGCCGACGTTGGGCGCGACGGCGCGCGCCGCCGCGCCGTCGCTCTGCTGGCCGTCGCGCTTCTTGTCGCCCTTGCCGACGGCGAGCGACTGGCGCGCCTGGCCGCTGTGCTTCGGGAGCTGGTCCATGGCCGTCGAGCTCACGTCCCGCCGCCGCGTCGACTCCGACTCCGTGCTGCTCCGCCTGCGGGTCGGGGCGTTTCCGGGCGCTCGCTTCCGCGGGGGGGGGTCCGCGCGCGCGCGGGTCCCGGGCGCCCGGGAGCGCGCGCCCAAGGCTCGGGCGGGACCGGCGGCGGCCGCGGGTCGCGACTCGCCAGCCAGCCCCGGGAGGCGCGAACCCGAACGAGGAGCGCGACCCAGCCTCTGTATCCGCGGGGACGCCGATGGCTTGCCGAGCGGCGCCGCCGGAGAACTTGTCCATGCCGCACGGGGGGCGCCCGACTCACTAGCGAGTCGACCACGCCCGCCGAACGCCAGCGCACGTGTCGGGGCACCCGGCGCGAGGTCCAGCGTCCAGCAAGCGAGAGGTGGCTACGGGCTGGTCGACGACGAGCTCGAGAGCCGACGGCATCTCAAGGAGCTTGAAGATACGCAAAAAAGTAACCAATAATCGGCAAGTACGCAAGCAGTTGTTTACCTTACAAAAGCTTGCGTGAATAGGGGCGAAGGGGGCGGCGCGTTCGGGGGAATCGCGACGGCCCGGGCCCGGGCGGGCGCGCGGCGCGGCGCGCCTCGACGAGGACGCACGAAGCCGGGCAAGCAAGAAGACCACTGTCGTCGCCGCCGCGAAGAAGATCGCGGCTTCGGAAGTTCTTCACGCGTCGTGACTCGCCTCGCTGGGCACGTACGGGTGCGTCGGGCGCCGACCCCTGCACCAAAAGCCCAAAAGAGCAGTGCACCGATCAAAACTCAGATTCTGATAGCCTGGATTTAAAAGTCAACATTTTTGTTGAACTTCAGCACTTTTGTTGAAGTTAAATCTTGCGATTTCCTGACCCGAACCAGCGACCGCGCGCAAAAAGTCATCGCAAACGTGCAATTAACGCGTGAATATCATCGAGCTTGCTTTGATACGACCATAACCCAATTTTGGCCGTGATTTCAGCCCGCGGACCTCCGCGACACCGCGCGCGGTCGACGTACAGCCTCTATGGACGACTAATGACTCTGGCTCCGCCGGCCGGAATTCGATGATTGATCTTTATTAATATTTCGTACGGGTGCACCTAGATGTACGTTGATCGGGGCACTGCAAAAGAGGCGTCAAGCCTTGTGGCAAAATGGGGCTCTCACTGTAGCTCAGCTCGACGGCGGGCATGCTGCGCCAAGTGCACCGACCGTCTCAGTGACGAGTCCTCGAGTGCTCGACATCCACTCGCCAGCGCATTTATTTGTGGCAGCGCATCCACTCGTCGCGGCATCCACCTGCAGCCACCGCGCCCGCATCCACTCGCAGCAGCACCACCGCGCCCGCAGCCACCGCGCCCGCAGCCACCGCGCCCGCATTGCGGCAGCGCACTCCGCCCGCAGCCACCGCCACCATGCGCGCCGCCCTCCTCTGCGCGCTGCTCGGCGTCGCCGACGGCCTGCGGACCTCCATCGCGGGCCACCCCGTGCGCCGCGTCGACGACGCTGCCACGGGCCTCTTCGTCTACGCGGTCGTCTTCGGCGAGCCCGCCGCGCCCGGCGCCGCGGCGCACGACGCGCTCGCGACGCAGCTCTGACCGAGCGCGCGCGTCGCCGCGCGCGCGCTCGGGCGGCTGCCGCGCTTCGGTTCAGCTCTCGAGCTCGGCGCGGGCACGGGCCTCCCGAGCCTCGCGGCCGCGCGCGCCGGCGCGAAAGTCCTCGCGACGGACCGCGACGCGACGTCGCTGGCCTACGCGGCGGCCGCCGCGGACGACCAGGGCCTGGCGCTGGCGACGGCCGTCTTCGACGTCGCGGACTTCGCCGCGCCGCTCCCGCCCGCGGACGTCGTCGTCGTCGCGGACGTCTTCGTCACGGACGCCGTCGCCGCGGCCTGCGGCCGGCGCGTCGGCGAGGCCCTGCGCCGCGGCTCGACCTGCGTCGTCGCCGACGCGCGGCGGAGCACGCGCGACGCGTTCCTCGCCGCGCTGCGCGCGGAGGGGTTTTCCGGCGCCTTCGGCGCGTCCGAGGACCCGCCGCTCCTCCTCCTCGACGGCGAATAAGACGACTCTTAAGCGTCAGAGCCCCGTGCACAGGGAGCTCGCGGACGCGCTGTCGAGGTTGCACGTGCAGCACTCCTCGCTCTCGGCCTCCGCGCGGCTGGTCCGCTTGAAGCGGCGCGTCGACTCCGCCTCGAGGTGCTGGGCCCGCGTTGAGAGGCGGATCTTGTTGACGACGAACTGGCACTGCGCGACGTCCAAGTCCTCGAGCGCGTGCACCGGATCCACCACCCGGAGCATCGCCGCGCGGCGCTCGCTGCTGTAGGACTGGCGCAGGACGAGGTAGATGAGCTCGCCGAGGTCGTCGACGCCGATGCGCTCGCCGCCCGGCGTCGCCCGCTTGAGCACGTCGAAGGCCTCGCGGACCTCGGGCTCGACTGCCACCGACCCGTGGCGCGGCCGCGGGCTCCCGCGCCGCGAAGCCTGGCGCGACGGCGTGGAGGCGTGTTGGCCGTCGCGCGGCGGCGCGTCGGGCGGGAGCTCGCGCGACGCCTGGCGCGACGGCGCGTCGCGGCTCGGGCTGCGCACGTAGCGCATCGTTTTCCTTTGTTTCGCCGGTTTTCGAGCCGCTGGGTCGGTCGCTCCGGCGCCGTGTGCGCGTCGGTGGGAGTCTTGATCGAGAATCGACGACCGACGGCGGATCTCCGCACCCGGGCGCGTCGTGAAACTCGCGGCAACACCCTCGTTTCCGTCGTGCGGGCACTGCCCCACTTTGCCTCACCTGGGCTGGAAATTCAGGCACTTTGAACACGGCAGCTATTCTATGCCGGGCGACGGACAGGAGATTCGTCGCAAGTAACAAAAGATTCGTCGCAAGTAACAAAAGATCTGCACGACACCATCAATGTCAACGCTCGTCCCAAGCACACACTATCAGCAGGAGCTCGGAGACAGCGTCTGAGCGCGGAAACGGTGTTTTGCATCGACGTCCTTGCATGTGACGCCCTCCCAGCGCTTCCAGTGCGTCGGCACGCTGTCGCATACCTTCCGCGTCCCACTGCAACTCCGGGGCTGCCCCGCATTGGCGCACGCGACGGCGGCGTTTCTGTCGTCGTGGGCTGCCTCGCCGCCGCCATGGGTGCCACAGCCGACGACAGCGAACGTCGTCGTGTGCCTGCTACCGCCGTCGATG